TCTCGATGCTCTCGATCTGGGGTACCTCAAACCGACCGTGGTAAATGATCTTTCTAGAGATTTGACAATAACACGTATACTTAACTTTACCAGATCAAAACTCACGAGTAGTGGCAACAGTCTTCGTCAAAATTCTTTCTAAATAACAGCAGTGGCGTGACTCAACACTACTCGATACCTTACCTAACCGCCAACCATCGACAACGATATGCAATCTGAGCCAAGTCCTACTTCGAAACATAGGGGCTCGAGAAGATATCTCGCAGATCATTGGAGTTTTCCGACATGACAAATCCCGACCAGGACTCTGCTAGCGTTTTTCATGTATATTATACACATGCAACGCTAACGCCTCCCCTCCTAGGCCGAACACAGATCCTCGGTGTCCGATCGACAGCAAGCAGTGTTGTACCGTGAACGCACAAGATTCAAGGAAGACGACGCTATCATGTCAAGTCTCTTCCCACTGTGCCGCGCGCCTGCAACCTCAAACCAGAGAGTAGGATTTCCGGTGATGATACCGAACTGTCTCACAAAATCCCTCATTCATCTCTTTGGAATAACCGGTCGGCTCCTTCATGACCAGCATGCTTATCATCAAATCTCTCTGCAACCCCCGCCCTCATTACCCCTTTTAGGCGGTATTTTTCTAAACATTGTTACAGTGACCTCGGTCTTACTTGCGTAACACCTGCATTGCAGGATCTCAGAGTCTTCCGGGTATTTTTGATCGTCGATCTCGAGCATGTTGGCGTCACCTACCGAACTTGTCCTCAAGTGTTATGAACTAGTGAATTCTCTATACCAACACGTACGCTGGCAAGAGATTAACATAGTAAAATTGCTAGCACTCCACGATCTGCAAAGACACGGTCACTGTTCGAATATTATCGCGGATGAGGAAGATAAACTATAGCGCATGGTATTATGGGCTGTTGTTGTAGCCTCCTGACTTGGATGTAGGCATAAATCGATAGCAAAAAAAGAGATGAGCAAGGAAGAATAATATAGCGTAAGCTTTTAACTATCCGTGGATCTCCCCTTTTCGGTAAACTGCCAGAACCAATGGTGCCGTCAACAAGAATAAGCAGCCGTTTTCAATGGCCTAATCTTCAAGATCACCAAACCTTCAATTTGAAGCCCATGGCCTTGTCGAATACATATGCCTCTCTGTTTAAATCATTATTTCTCATTAAGCATTCAGTATGACTTTCCGTTCCATTGCGGGCTTTGCTGCTGCTGTTTAGCCTTTTCTGCTGTTCCGGTTATATCCTTAACCACGGTAACATAGCAACCGACGGGTCTCAACCCGTTCGTTTATTCCAGGGATATTCCCTCTACCTGAAGATCTTCAACGTGAATATGAACTCAATTGGTAATTGCTAATTCGAGTAGTTAATGGTTGTTGCAACAAGCCTTCGAGAAATCATGCTACCTGTTATCCATCCGTTTCCCTCCGCAATACCCCGTCCGTAGCATCGCCTGCGAGCTTGGAACATGCCGAACACCATCGCAATAGATTCTACACAACAAATTCCTGCACATAGGCCAGCAGAGTTTGGGCTTCGTGGATCGTTAAACCCAATCAACTTATACTTACAGTCGACCCCTTGAGCTCAGAGGAGATGCACCCCTCGCTGGCTCAACAAAAAGTGAACATAGGAAACATCGGCCTAGCAGCCTCGCAGAGGCCGAATCAATCCACGTGCATCGGGGACACGTATAGTTATACCCGGGTTGCTTATCGAGGTACACCGCCGCGCGTTCTAGAAACATATACTCGCAGAGCTAGTTTAGCATCTTCGCTGGGATGGGTCCTGGCTCGTTTCTACATAGGAGGTGAGGAGGAATCATTTTCAAGATCTTATATTCGGGCATCATATTAATAATGGAGCGGAAGTTGGAACAATGGTCAAGATATAGGCATAAACTAACTCTAAACTACGAGGGATAAAGTTTCAAGTATTCTTGGTTGGCGTAGGTGTGTAATGAACATACAGACGCGGGCTCTAATCTTGTTGTCGCTATCTGTCACACGACAGTCTACCAAAAAGGCTCCAAAAATGACTGCTCGGTATATTAAGCCTACTTATGCTTTGTTTTTATTTACTTGCCTGCTGTGGATAACCGTGTTAACTCACACTAGATCACTGGGTGGACTATGTGGTGAGTTGGATTCAATTCCTCACCGCGCCATTACCATTCGCCACGTAGCTCATCTCGATCAACTAACTGCCCTGACTGCAACTACAACTAGCGGCCTCCGTCGACTACTGTGGAACTAGTTCTCAATACCTTTAGAGCCTCAGCAATAGCCATACACAAGCCTCGTTCTCAGATACCTTTGACACGTAAATCAGCCAACACCCTGGCCGTACCGTGCCGACTTTTCCAAGCTCCCGTTCAGCATCTGGACTTCGGAACCGATGGGCGAACATGCGTTCGGCATAATCCCGACATCCATGTCTACAAAGTTCAACTGACAACTGCCAGGGGACATCGCATCCGAAGTGCTAGAAGATTGATATCCCTGTTCTGCGAACATGTTTCTGGGTGAACATAACCGTTGGTTGTAACCCATGGAGCACCAGCATGTGTCAATTGCCCGCACCATTTTCTAGAACCGTGTATCCCTAGTATTTATACACCTCGCCTCCTACTAGGTTAGGTAAGCATTCTAACTGTCATAATACATCAGAAGCGAGTAACTTACGGTCTCTATCTTCCTTCTCAGTATCTTACTCTACAGCTTCAAAGCCTCATAAAAAGTTGATTATATTATGTATCAGATTAAGGGTCCCAAAGCTGACGCTAAATCTCCGAAGCGAGACGTTCTCGGAACTCTCGCCTACGAGGAGCTGTACTCTGGGGCCTACACACGACAAGTCTCTGGGCAAGTGAGGCTCTCAATCTCTCGCTCACATGGGACAGGATGACGGACTTCGGGGCCGAGACATAATTTCATCCTCTCAGACCAGAACAGGAGATTGTGTGCCTTCTATCCTTGTGCCACTCCCGAAGCTCAGCGACATACCAGATCCTCTCATCATGAAGACAACAAGAACAATATCTTCTTCCGTGAAAGCTTCCTCATCCCACACGAGACCCAGTTCATTGTTAATGTTTAGAATATATTGTCTTATGCAAGTATAATATTGTACCTAACTCCATTTCTAGACAACAGTTGCGATGAAGTCCGGAAAAATCTCTTTGGGGTCAAAGAATCTGAACCCTGATTTCCCGATACTTCCTTTATACCACCCATAACGCCTCGGGGTTCTTCTTCCCCTAGCCCAAACTAACCATGGAAACCCTATAGAATAGAATTGGGCACCTGCTTATAACATATTGCTTCACATCCCAGCACACGTGTGCAAGTTTAGAGGATGCCTTAGCCCCCGGACGCCAACAAGATGACTACAAAACCGTTTGAGCTTGAGCTTGAGTTTAAGTATTCGAATGGGCGGGCAACATATAATGATATATTCTAAATCTGATCTCAGGCGGCCGATGTCCCACCTTGTCTGACCAAGAGGTATACGCGACCGGGTTTCGACTCTCTCAGAAACTACACCATTTTGGGGGAATTATCTGAAGGCTCCATGATGCCTTGATAGAGCGCATAAACTGCACAGAAGCAGATATCCGGCTTCTTTATGCTGAGGCAGCTTGTTCATTCATGGCCACCTCTAGGTCCGTTTCCGTTTCTCTCGAATAATTAAGCGCTTGGAATCATTTCCTTCGCTGCATTTCTCACAATAGTTGCCGAATATGCCATGCCAATAATTTTCTTGCGCTGCCAAGGAGTCTAGGATTATAAATAGCGGTTTCGCGTTGGAGATGTATGTGAAGATGGAAAAGAAGTTGAGTATAATAACCCCTGTTGGAGAAAGGATTTCTATGCGTGGACGTGAGTTGCTTTCGGCACGGTATCTAAACTTTAACCTCGGCTCAACAAACTTAAGGTTCATAGAACCTTGTTTTCTACTATATTTTGCGTTTAGCTTGCGCGTCGCTCCGGTGAGGCACCTGTTCCGTTGCGAAAGTGCTCATATTTCTGCTTCGTTGAGAAGTAGAGGGCTAAGTTGTTAGAGAACCACAACCTCAATATGAAAAAGTGTAGCCATTGTGATTACATATGAGGCTAAAATATAAGACAATGGTTAATTCGGTACGCTCCAGCCTACCGGAGAGTGTCTTCAGCCATCCTGACGTCACGACGCGGATGCGGCGCGGGAGGTTATTTCTCAGCCGTAAGGTTAAGCCTCACATTCCACTCCGGGGCTCAAGTACCATGCATAAGGACATTTACGCACCTCGGAGCCTCTCACGGCGATGGGGGAGGATAAGATGAACTGTTGGGACACGATAAGAAAGAGTATGAATACACAAGGCTTCTGACGACTTCTGTTTCATGCACGCATTATTTACCTAATGACAATCGTTTATTTTGCTCTTGAACCAAAGTGTGCCAGGACTTCTGGCCAATCACCTATCTTAGCTTCCGGCTTACCCTTGTGAATGGGTTAGGCCAACAGCGACCTGATGGTATGGGATGGCTATCCTTGGGAGAATTATGTTGGGCGATTCGCATCTGGGTAGCCGGTAATCCGATCGTAATCAGGGTTGGATACAGGGTCCTCTGATTCATTACCTCATATCTACCATGCTAGTGGTGTCTCGTACCATGGTCAGACATCGAGTCACACCCCTCACAGTCTTAGACTTTAATGGAAAGCCCCTTCGATAGGAAACCGTGCTGAATCACATATGGATGGCAGTAGGGTTGATACGGACCTTGGGAGATCCCCGTTTCTGAAGCGTTCGGAGGGCAATGATAGAGACGTTGATATGTTTTGTTCATTCATACTAAATAAGTCTGTGTACTGTGTTGAAGTATTTGTACTCATAGTTTATCGCTCATAAACCTCGAAGATTAGAGTTAGCCAGATGACCAGGCCAGTATGTACTCCCTCAGGCACGTAAACAATCATTTCATTTCAGTCCAGCTGTATCTTCCAAGACTCGTCTATATGTGGCGTTATCATAAAGTCGGGGTTGTTTCTGGAAGCAAAAATAGTAAAGCCATCGCCAAGATAGGAGACATCGGTTGGCGGTGTGGGTATCCTCTGGCTCGGTGCGAGGCCATGCTGTGGTAGTGACAAGACATCGGAATTTACCGGTCGGGCCGTGAAACCATCCCAACCGCTATCCTGACTTTGTATAGGAGGTGTCAGTTCTCCTAAGCTCAACTGGCTCTGTATTGGGGGCGTCAATTCTCCCAAGCTCAGCTGGCTTTGTGGAATTGTGTGTTGGAATGAGGGATGAAATATACCCCAGTCGGCCAATTGAGTCTGTTGCCTCTGTGATGGCAAAAGCTGCTGGAGATCTCTAAGTGAATTTCTAAGTTCCTTCTCGATCTTCTGTAATCTTTCAACCTCATCCCTTAACTGCGTTATCTCATCGTCCTTTCGTTTGCGGTACTACTGCGATTAGCCATCCAGTGAACTAAACTAGCGTGAAACTAGTCAAGGCATGCGCTTACAGCTCGTTGGGAATCTCTATTTTGATGTCTTCGGCGCTTTGATATTGGCACGATGTCAGCTACATCCGCTATAAATATGGGGTTTCTGGGTTGGGATGCTCACCTCAATGACCGAAGGCGATGCGTTCGCATAGCGATTTGGCCTTTTTCTAGGTGGCTTAGTTGGCTTCGTGAGCCCTGGCAGCCCATTCTCGACTTTGGGACCTGAAATCTTTTGCTGTGTTTTGACTGATCTGCTTTGTTTAGTTGGTTGATGTGGTTGAGCTGACTGGGGATGGGTTGCCGGAATTGGCTCGTCTACCAGTCCAAGCAGGTCGAGACCAAGAGAGCAGTGTCCCTACTGAGGATTAGCTGCTGAACCATTGAGCTCTGACATTCAACGATAGCTAGGGCTTACATACTAAAGAGAGTAAAGATGAAATGTCGCCTCCATGATCGTGTGAGAAAGAGTCAATCGGAAGCGGTTCTTCCATGGTAAGGCAATGTGGTTGTTATCGTGATAGGAAGAAGGGTAAGTGGTTCTAGAAGAGGTTAAAGTGTCACTCTGCCTGTCGCGGGAGCTGTCAAGTCCTCTCTTAGTAACACGCAGCAGAGCCAAAGCCAAAACTAGCAACAGTGAATAGCAGGGAAAGCTACGGTAGCAATGACGAGATGGTGCATGGCAGAGATATCTGTATATATAAGCGACATACAGGTCGCTCCAAGTACCGTATCTCTCTCACCTCTTCTGCTCGGGGTTGCTCGCAATATTAGCGTGGAGGGTCAGGACAATTAAACACAGCCCTTGGACGCTACTCTACTACTAAGTTTAAAGGAAGTACATGGCCTTTGCAGCTAGGTAGCTGCCTTGATGCCTTGTTCCTTGTAAGTACTTAGTAGGGCCGGGAATAGCTGCAGAACCCAAGCATGGGTGCAAGGGGGGGCGAACCAACCGGCAGGGACACTGTGGCGGGCGGCGGTGTAGTGGACAGCGAAATGGCAGCAGCGTTTGAGATAATGTCTAACTTACCCAGTCAGTAGATAGCCTGGTTATCTGGAGCTCTTGTTCCTGTTCTTCCTTTGCCCAGAGATGGCATGCTTGGCGACCATCTCGAGTTATTGGAAATAAGTCGAGCATGATACATACATGTAAGCCAGCTAGCTGTATCACAACCCCGCCTCTCCTCAGTCAGTCAGTATGTAGCTGCCTATTGCCCCAGGTAAGTTAGCATCTTGGCCAAGTACCTACGATGGAGATTCCGTTGCGTGGGTACATTTAACTGTTAGATGCCCAACTGTGTATGGAGGGTAGAACATCAACAACTCTTTTCGCTGACCTGCCTTAGTCTGCAGGTTGAAGTGCTATGGCTAGGTGTCTACCTACCTACCTAGCTCGCCTGGGTAGTACCCCTATCTAGCGTCTACCGAGTACCTACACCAGCTGGGGCGGTATACAGTGCAGCACATACTGTATCTACCTCCAACAGGTCGTGAGATTAAACTCGGGTGGATATCACCTAGCAGCTTCCTAGCAGCCTCCAAGCCGACGTACGGTACGTAGTAAGTAAGGGTGCCATACAACTGGAAGCAGACATCGCCACGAACTCCAGACATCCCCTCGTTGGTCATTAATGTCGATCCCGAGATCGTGTCTCGCTAATCCCTACAGTACTCCGTACAGATCCGTAGTTGACTTCGTAAAATCAATACAGTGTCTCGCCAACATACCAAGTATTATAGGGCTGAGGGCTGAGGGCATGTCACTACCCACCTAAGTACCTACTAGGGCAGGTAGGTCCCTTAACCACTCCAACACCAACAACTCCAACAGCACTTCCCGCTTCCGTCGCTCGCCTTGGCTCCCTCATACACGAAGGAAGCATAGATTAGGCTTCAAATAACTTGGATGTCGCAAGCTAAACATCTTGGAGCTCGCAGACTATTACTGCCCATCGGCGGATATTCCGCATTCTACCCGTCGTAGGCACATCACACATCCAACAGCCCGTTGGAGGGAAGCTTTGATGCAGAGGACTATGCAAGTGATGGCCTCAGGAAACTTGGTGAGTTCCAAACATCGCCGAATCTTAGTTCGAAGACGCTTCAAGAATCGACTCAATCTAGATACCAGGTATATAATCCCGAACTTCGGACGTTGAACGCCACGGTCAAGATCACACCGGTCATATCCGGGCCTATATCTCCGAGTTACTTCCATCAAAACTACGTCAACCTACAGCAACACGCATCAACCCACACTTTATGTTGCGGGGTAGTCATCACTTAAATCTTTGACAATGAAGAGGGTTTATCATGGAAATAAACATAAAGCGCCAGACATGTTGCCCAGAAGACGATCAAAGCTGGTAGAGATATATAGTGAGTAATGTTGGCTACCATCCGACAAGCCAAGAAGAGCTGGTTCAATTCCAGCAGTTGGTACTACCTACCAAATCTTCTGCGTTTGGTTTTTATCCCTTTATCGCAAAATGCGTACTGCTGCCGCCTGAGGAAGACTACAACTCTTAACTTTATGGCTACTGTATAATTATTAGTGTACAGCCAAGTAGCTCTAAATATGCATTGACCTGTGTTTTACTGGGAGCTGCGACTGTGGTGCTGTTAACCATAAGTGATCATTGATTTCTTGGCCTCCTTTTGCACCATCTATCTACTGCATGATACCTATTATCCTCCGGTTGTGGAGGCTTTCACCCCAGCACTTCAACATTTGTATGCAAAGCTTGGCAAATCTTGGATCAAAACTTCTTGGCTTTTGCAAGGTACCGCTATGTAACAACTGCTCTGCTCTTTTAAAGCAATACGTAATACGTGAGTCCTACGGAGAAATTATATAAGGCTCTGTTAAGGAGATATATACCTAGACTACTACAGCAGCATATAACCCTCTATACTAATATGGTAAGGTTAAAGATTGCTGCCATATCTATTCCCCTATACCCATTAACAGTAATACAGTTTAATCCCTAATCACGCACTCTCGAGGTACAATGCAGTACTTTTTCTACAGCAAGTTCTTGTTAACACGAAGAATTTATTTGCTAACCCCATCTCAAATATTAACCTCAAGCATGATCCCTGATCACCACAAAAAATAATTTTTCGCATCTCGGACAACATGCAAATTTGACATCGGAAACTCTATTCGTTGAATGGAGAATTGGCCCTGTTGGACCCAAGTGCAGTGAATTGACTAGCCGAGAGCACTTTAGTAGTCTCGGTATAGTCCGAGAATCGCAACACACTCCAGCCCTTCCTTGATTTGATTTCCTGCTCTGGTTCCCACGACGAGGCCTTTTGCTTCGCTTAGAGATATGATATCATTCTCATGCCACCCCAAACACGACCCCGAGAGAATGGCGTATCCATTTATAGATATCCGGGCTAGCTAGATGATAGCTTCCGCCATCTCGGATGGTCGATTATCTGACGTCCGCATTGATATGGGCGTATCAAGCACTGTGGATACATACAGTACATACCCAGCGAGTGACTTGGGGAATATAGAGTATCAACCGTTAGTTAGTTACCTATGCTAACTTGTTCCTGAAGTAGTCTTTTATCGAAGAATGTCTGCGGAGCTTGAAATACCCCTTCGATACGACCCAGAAAACAAATTCACATGTGAATAGGCACTTTCTGTTGATTGGAGAAGGAGATGGTAGATGGACAGAGAGGTACATAATCGTCGCATTACCCCTCATACTAACCCATCGCAGAGCCCCTTGAGACGACTACACTAGCCGCGCGGTAGAGCGGAAACGAAGTCCGCTGGGCAATATGGATCACCTCGATATGGGGGCAGCAGGGTCGCCTGTGGGGGCCACGACGCACCCTACATCCTCATCTCGCCCTATCTGCGATCTTGAAACCCTTTCATTCCGTCTACCCGCGTTTTGTGAAGGGGTGTATATACAGTGCAGTGATTTTGATAGTACGAGATGGAAGGGATGGATACTTGATGCATCTGACTTCTTACCTAACCTACACTAGTCCAGTAGCGTCTACCTTACTAGGTAGTTAGACCAGCAATACGAGTTAACCATCTATCCCACATCCCACATCCCCCCCCATATTCAATACTGGTATCCCACATTCGCATCCCACATAACCCCTAGCTCCGGCGACAGCGACAGTTCGATTCACAGCTGCCTAGAGTTGGTCTCCCAGCTAATGCCCTCAATAGCGCCGACGCCGACGACAACCGAGAAACAACGGTTGAAATAGGAATCAGATCATTTTCAGAACAAAAAAAAAAATTAGACCATGCTTTTTTTTTCTACGCTATTTCCTGCACCTTCACAATGAGGCCCAGATAAGCAGAAAATAGAGAAGCGCCCAAACAGCGGACAACCAAGCACGTGCAGACGTGGCGCGTCTACATGACACCTTGGATCACTCAGTACACAGGCCGATAGATTTGTGGATTTGTCAAAGGCGAGAATGGCAAGTCAAAGCATCGCGGGCTAGCCTCTTTTCCCCCCAGGACCGACGAGCATGAGAGGCGGACGAGACGGTGCCAAGTGATCATGTCGAGCAGAAGACGATTACGCCGAGCCGCATGTGAGACTTTCGAGAGCAGCTACTGTCTTGGCCGGATTATATCTTTTCGCGGTTATGATCCGCGGAAAGGGGGTTTCCGCCCTGCGTGTTGTTGTGTAATGTAGAGCCAAGGGTATCAACAGCTTGAGAAGATAACATGATATCCTACGAGGTCCACTTGATAAGAATGATATTGGGGATTTTACGGCGGGCGTCTAAATGGTATTTCGGGTAAACTACTTGAGAATCTGAGCGGCGCCACAGGAGAAGTCTCAGGCATTTTGCTAACTCTTGCCGTCGGCCATGGAGGGGGGCAGATAAGTTCCTGGCAGAGTTGGTATAGTATACATGGATATATGTACAGGATTTCGGTTGCCCCCGAATTCAAGTCATGAGGAGCGACGCTTCGGTCGCCAAGACCAAGTCAGATTGTTCTTTGGAGGTGAATGGATAAGGGACGAGCTTCAAGTCCCTAATGTCAGCTCCAATCCTAAGTTCGAGGATCCTATCAAACACAGTGACGCATCAGGTGTGCTTGTAATACAAGAGACGGTAGGCGGTCAATTAGTCCTTTGCCGACTTAGTGGATGACAGACGTTTGAGGCCGTCTTTGGCTTGTATCATTCCTGGCTCGAACGAAAGCTTCTGGCTTAGCTCAAGACTCTCGCGGAACCTACGCTTCGCTTCCTCAACATCACCAGCCATGGCCGCGATGTCGCCAAGGTTGCACATGGCTACAGCACAAGCTTCGTCACACTCCTCAGTTCGGCCTTCCCCAGTCACTTTCTGTGCAGTGCCCAACGCCTGTAAGGCCCATTGACGAGCGCTGGCCAGGAGCGTAGCTCGAGTGGGCGTCGCATTGGCGGGTTGACTTTGCTTCCCAGCTCCTGGAGCAGGTGCAGCCTGGAATGGGGACTGCACCGGCTGCTGGGCAAGAGAGATAGCTAGGTTGTTCACTAGAGGACACCGCTGGTTAACATCAGATTGGATCATCGGCACGGAAGCAACTTACTTAATACAGCAGTGTGGCAACTATTTGGGGGTGAAAGTGACACTGCTTGTAAATATAGAGGCGCCGAAAGATAATGCTGAGACTTGGACTCATAATGATTCCCCAAAGCTGCATCTTTTGTCAGTAGATGGTTAGGGGTTAGTATACAGGCTGGCAAAAATTTCACTTACCTTCCAAGGCTCCTCCAATTTGCTCAGGGGTCATCCAGTCACCCTCACCCTCCTTGACTCCCTCGACTTGGCGTCTTTGTAATTCTTTCAAGACTGTCTCAACAGACCAAATCAAGTGCTCACCTGCTGCGTCGCCTTGAAGAACATGCTCGTCCGCGTACAGCTCACCGAGCTTGACACTAATTCCAACGGACTTGCCTAAAACCCGAGTGCGCTTTGCCCACAAGTTCTCTGGCAGCTCTATAGCACCATCATCGCCCTCTTTCGGGGGTTCGGCTTTTGGTATAGCAGCGCTTATTAACCTTCCCGCCTTATCGACAAACCCATCCTGAACACTTTTCTCCATCTTTTCAACCCATCTTTTGCAATCCCGTAGTAGCGCTTCTAGGACCTCGATCGAGTTTTGATATTTTCCAATCTTCTCCAACCACGCTGCGAGCTGAATCCTAACGCCGATCACTTCATCGGAGAAGGGATCTAAGCCAGCAGCTGTGCATTGTTCAAGGGCAAGCTTATAGTATTTGAGCGCGAGCTTCGGATCTGGCGAATAATTCGTATAATATAATGCGCGACGTAGAGATTTCGCTATGTCAGGAGGGAAACGAGTGAATTGTTCGGATTGGAAGTAGTTGAAATAAGAGTATACTACATAGACCGAGACACCAGCACAGGCGCAGAGACTGTAGCAAAGGGTAACAGGTAAGTATTGCTCCGACAGGGAGTAGATAATTAATTACATACATAATAATGGCGATTACAAGCTCCTCGGGGCTTTGACGGAAAAGTGTGCGCAGATTCTGGCCGCGGATTGCGTGGAGTAGAGGCCGGAAGCTTAGGCCTTGGCGTAAAGCTCGAAATATTAGTTTGGACGGCGGCATAGGTGGCTGTTGGTCAGTCGCATTTTTCCCAGCTGATGATGACTGGTGTCGCTTATGCAGCAATCGCAGGATTGCAAGTACATCCCTTTCCTGACGTCTAATGTTCTCTGAGCGCATGCATATTTGGGTCCTTGCTGCCGGAGCTTGGTGTAGACATCGCGATTGGGAGAGGCCGCTGGCGGGCCACCGCACCGGGGCTCGACATGCAGGCATTGTGAAGACGAGGATGGATGGAAAATGTGTCGATATTGAGAGAAAGGTTCCCGATTAGATGACCATTTTAGATGTAGAGAAATGTCAGAAAGGGACATGAATATTCGACCCTGTATGGGGGCATAGATCATTGAGCTCAGGTTGCATGCAATGTCATATCAATGACGCTGATAAGACACCAGCTGACAAAGCTTTCAGGACAGCTGGTCGATACCTCGGCATGTACGGAGCTCTACCTGGTCATTGTGCTCATCGCGACGTTGAAGTGAGTACCTACACCTATCATACCTGAGTCTGAAACATCCGAAATCCTGAGTATATATAATAATTATATTGTTATTTCCCACTCTTTGCCATTGAACACCCGAGCTCTTTCGTTAGAATCCAAGTTCGTTGATCAGTCGGAAGTTACAACAACGATACAAGCTCTCCACCCCCACCTTTCACCACCTTCACTATGGCTGGGAAATTCGAGCCAAAGGCGCCTGTCAACCTCGACCCTCCCAAAGATGACCCGATCACTCTGGAGGAGCTAGCTCAGGCAGATGGTGAGTCTCAACATTGATCGTCGTATTTTAACATAGACCTTCACTGCTAGAATCTTATTCCTTAAGAGCTGCACGGACGCTGATGATATCCATCTAGGAACTGAAGGGCGTAAAGCCTATGTAGCCATCAAAGCAAGTCATCGTTTCTCTCAAGCCCCTCTTCATAGAATTGAAATTGTTACTCCATAATCATATAAACCAAGATAAATTCAGAGGTTCTCTTGACAGATGCTCTAACACTTTCATAGGGCAAAATATACGATGTTACTGGTAACAAGATGTACGCGCCTGGCGCTGGTTACAATGGTATGTAACAAGACCGCATCTCCTGTCACTCCAGATCGTCCGCCCCTCGATCCGATATATTCAGCAAGCATTAGTCGCTGTCTTGTAATCACGCTGGTGCGAGGCTGTTCCTTCACGTTCGCTGGCGTCCTTCCTATGTTCTTGCCATGCACACCATTGTATTATAGTGAAATTTGAACTACTCGCATTTCAATTGAAGGCATGAGCCAGCCTCGGACCACAGAGCTAACGGCCTTGGCTAGTATTCGTCGGCAAGGATGCTTCACGGGCACTAGCAATGACATCGACGAAGCCTGAGGATGTGAAGCCGGAATGGCGAGACTTACCCGACAACCAGCAGAAGGTTCTGAATGACTGGGTCACCTTTTTCTCGAAGAGGTACAACGTCGTTGGGGTTGTTGCGGGTGCTACTAATATGGAATAAGGCGGTAGAAGTGTATACCCAAAGAATAGAGTTCAATTCTATCCCACTCATTAACGCTTGCATGCCCTCAGGTCTGATCCAGATTGCGTGAAAATCGGATAGATGAGGACGGAATTAGACCAAACGCACAGTCACCCTTATCGTTTATTTTACTCTTCCCACTTTGAAGCTGGACACGGTATTTTGGAGTGTGAAAAAGGCTTTGCGAACCGTAAACGTAAAGCGACGGAGCTCGGCCTTTGATATCTCGTGGTACCAATCAATCTCGGACAAATCAGTTTGCCAATACGTAGTGCATCTGTCCTCCCTCGAATCCGATCACCGACCCCGTCTGGATTAGCAAATATCCGTATCCTGCGACGACACGCATGCGCACAGCAACGTTGTCCCACGTGAACTACGAGGCGCAGGAGGTGCGGTATAACTAATTTCCTGCTTACACATTTTTCTGTCACTCTAGATATATCAGTAGAGAGCCGAGTAAACTTTCAATTTTCGGCGCATGGGGTGGGTGTTTGTCTTGGTGCTTTTCACTCTTCGTTACACGGGATGGTATCGTGTTGTTAGGGGGATCACGAGGCTCATGAGTAATACGATGCTGACATGTCAATAGACGAAGGAAAACATCACCAAGAACAGGTGGTACTAGCACGGCATATCGTCGGTAATACATTAGGCACTGACTCGCCTTTCATCCGACCTGCGTGTCTGTATATGTTGCGAAACCTCACTCGTTTCGTCTTTCTCTCGGTGAATACATGCCTGCACCTCGTCATTGCGTGGGGAAAGCTACAGCAGATGATGTCTCGGGGTTGAGGGGAATAAAATCTCCGCAGCCCACCTTACGACCCACGTCGTGGTATGTTGTCCAGCATCATCATCCTACAATGTCTTCTTGTTACGTATGGTACTCGCTTGCAGAGCCTCTATGGTGAAGCGTTATGTCCTTCTTTGTCAGAAGTCACATAGGTATGAACCGATGAGAAGCAGCACAAAGAAGCAGGGAAAGACCGAGATTGTTAAAGTCCACTATTATACCCGGTAGCACGGCTATTCGTACCGATCTCGGGAGCCACCAAGTAACCCATCTCGATCGATTCCATCTAGTCATTAGCAAACACGTCAACTAGCCGTAGAAGCATCGAAAGAATGGCCCGCCCCAGCCCCAACTTCGGATTCGCGAAGCGGGTTTTGATACCTGAGGGAACATCCAAAGGCCGGACGACTTCAATACCGTACACTCAGTGAGTAGGGCGGGCTACCTGCATGCGTCTTTCTGCGATGCGGTTCATCGGGCCGCCAGTCTACGGCGGTGCACCGCCGTGAGACGATCCTGGCTTGCCCGTGCCCGTGTGCTGTACATAACCTGTGAGACAAGACCCTTAGGTTCTTGACGTTGACTAGTCGCTGCTGGGGTTTGGCTGGGGTTTGGCTGGTGTTGTGGCAGGTTGCACCGCATCTTGAGGTACATACATGGTGCGAGCTCCACGTGGGCATTATTTTCCTTCGTCTGTGGAAGCCTTGGAAGCGAGGAAAAATGGGGGTTCTAGAAGATTGTAAGGGGCAGGTAGTATTGTTCTAGAATATGTGACAATCAAGTAATGGAAGGCTTTATCACAAGTCGAAGGAACGTTCTGCCTAGGATAAATCCTCGTATCTTGGGATTAAGTCACCACATATCTCTTATATGTCCAAGTATCATTTCAAGAGACTGACGTTGTGAACCCTCGGTTTGCAGGAGCAGCCTTGAAGCCTAAGACTTTCCGCAAGATAAGCAGGCGTTGGGCAGTGATGTTCACACCTTATAATAATGGCTATTATTGTCATGGGGCATATTCAATTTGGTACTTATATAGGCTGAGATCCAATGCAGTCGAGGAACACAACCGATTTCTTGTCACATCTCGGATACAAACCGAGAAGAACTATTGACTGAGGTACTCATAGACGACTTACCTTCCAGCACTGTGAACAAATATATACGATCATATTAGGCTCTATTAAACGAAGACAATCGTTTCACGCACAACTATCTATGCATGTTTTGTGTATCCTCCTTTTAAGAGTTAACGCTTTCGGAAAGTATTCATATTATTCGGGGCATGCAGCAAATTTTATTAGCGCAAGTGATGAACAAGTTGCGTACGCACTGATTAATTCCACCCATAGCTTCCTCCGCTAGACAGATGCAAAAATTTGGCTTCAAACCCACTAAGTAGGTAACCTGAATAGGCGAGCCGCCTCCCATAATCTAGCACCCGTGATGACCAATTCCCCCTCTTCTTGTGAGGACTCTAGAAAGGAGCCCTAGTTCGTAACACACGACGGGCGTTTTCCGATGGGACAAGACCCCATAAGCAATCAAGAAAAATCAAAATGCAAGTCTGCATACAAGCACACTTCATGAATCCAGTCCCCGTTATCGTCATTGCGGACTCCTATTCGACTCGCCCCACCCTTACTCAAAGTTGCCGCCCCTCAACGTCTGTGGTGATGTCTACCTTGGTTTTGTGACAAGCGCCAGATAACTCCGTTCTGTAGACGAAAGCCGTTGTCCAGACAGTTGTCGCATAGCTGCCCCTCCTGGAACCACGAGTCCCGGAGGACCTTGACACCAAAACATTGGTGGTTGGGATCGTTCCGCGCAAAGTGGCAGTGTGACTTGAGCCTCAGTGTCGTGTGGTTGCAAACGAATATGAATTCTTCCCAGTCGCACATGTTGAAAGATATCTTGAGTGTGAACCGGAATTTGTGTTGAGAGTCAAAGTGACTGTTGTTCTGTGCCGATAGAAGAGATATTGAATTAGACGATAGTTAGTGTCGTTCCTTGTGAGAGTGCCAAAGATGGCAGTCTTGATACACGTCGTGGTCAGCGGGTAAGCCATCGGGAGGATGGGCACAAACTCACTTCAAAAATGGGTATAAGTAGAATGCCTTAGACGTCACAGGGTGTCGAGCTTGTAGGTTAAAGAGCAAGAGTCAAGACGGGAGTGAGCTTCCACGGCCCGCTAGTCTAATATATACTTCTTCTACAGCCGAGATCTCGGCCTTTCTCGAAGAGAAAAGCCAACGTAAATTACCGGGATACCCTCCCTAATCAAACAGCAATCAACCAACGCCGTCGATGGTTGTCCAGCAGAATGTTCGAGACGAAAGACTATACCTCATGCTTGTTCGCCTGAACCGCCAGCCCCGTATCTTGACGCAGCTTGCCCAGGCCAGTGGAAGGGGGCTGCATGCTATTTTGGACTACGATCCATACAATTCATGACGTTTTTTTTTTCTTTTACAATGCCGTCCAGTCGTCTGATCTATCACATTCCCCACTCAAACGCACTGTTGGAATCAGTCAATCGGACTGAGAGGGTATAACTGCCTTTCTGGGTTATGAACTTCGACAGTCCCATGCATATTTTTGTAACAACACGGCGGTACTTATTCCTTTACAAGGCTTTGTTTCCATCATTATGCTATTATTACTATTAATACCACTGTTGGTGATAAAAATGTATCATGTGTGATTACGTTTCAAGTCAAGGGATATTGACGAAACTGAGGCTCAACTAGAAGGCTGAGACGATAATTTGCTAAATCTGCAGCAGTGTCGTGATCGTAGATTCTCAACTCCCTTGCAGAAGCCACCCGGGACACAGCCAAGCTCAGGGACTGCTGCATGCGAAACTAGACAGGTTTGTGACGTGGGCTCCCGGCTACAATCATGGCCATATCAAATAAGCGAAAGGAAACGAGCGGTTGCGTGCTTAATAAGGCTGGTAATTTGGATCCAAATACCGGGCTACGCTTTATTCTTGCAGCCGTCAAACCCAGCTACCTGTGACTTAACGAGAGAATGTAATTTGGGGTTCGAGTATCCTCATTACTACGGCTACTTTATTTAGCTTTGCCATGTTAATAAGCGAGCTTCATATACTCTGGGAGGTTAATAGTCCTCGGAGGCTAGCAATAGTTGCACAAAGAAAAGGCCCCGAGCGAGAACTGTGAGACCACTGGTCTGTAGCGCCCAAACAATTGACGACGAGTTGAAATGGGTTTAGCTGGGGCCTGTCACCCGGCTTCGTGCGAGTCAAGGTGGAATATCACGGCCGTTTGACATGAGCGATGAGCGTGACAATGATCTGCAGCTAGCCTGTTCGCAGTGGGGGGAAATCTTGACGTGCATCCGGAGTGGAGAGCGGCAGCATCCTCACATGGCACACACACTGGCAAGGGCTCCTCTAACGGCTGGCTGTACAACAGATCTGATGGGCGAGGGTTGATCCCGGCGGTTAGTACGATTGACAGATGATTCAATGTGTAGGTAGGTAGGGACGAAACTGGCCTCGCGAGCCGGACAACCCTAGAAGATGTCACACCAGCTTGGTTGGTAGTTGGCAGTTGGCCGTGCATGTGCATACGAGGTTGACGAAGTAAGTGTGAGAGGAAACTAAACTACGTGTTCATCCCTACCTACTGTGTATTTGAGAGCGGCTAAAGGTGAGCAGTGATGAGGGCTCGAGGGTCTGGTGTAGTACCAACTTACATCTGAAAATGTCCCACGGAGGAATTCTCCGCTGCTAAGTGACATATGCCTTGGGTACCTAGATAGGATGTAGCTTAGGGAGAGATACCTACCACAGGAAGATCGATTGTTGAAAATCCTATATTGGAAGCCTGAGGATATAGCAAAGCTGAGCTAAGAACTGGTATAAGCCGCATACCTGCTTACAAACATCTGTGATGTACTCTAAGAGTATGGGCAAGTTTAATCAGATGTCATGTTCTTGGCGTCAGATCAATTGACAAGCAATGGAACTGCAGACGGCGAAGCTTGACGGAACGGTCCGAGCGAACAATCGTACCGGTAGGTAGTAGTAGATACGGTAAACAGGCGCTCTCATTTCTCACACATGTCGAAAAAGGGAGTAAGCAATAATACATGTTCATTACCTACATACTTACTACCTACGGTACCCAAGGTATGTACTTCGTAGGTAGAACAGCTGAAAACCGCCAAACAGAGTGCACGGGCAGACGAGATGAGTGATGTCTGTAATCAATCAGCCCTTACGGATTCACAATGACGCCTGTTGGAGAACCCAGGGATTGGGCACTGAAGGAATACCTGGGCAGTACCCGACAAAGTGCCGATCGAGGGATGGGGCGCATCGAGGCCCCGACATTCCGATCAAGATGCAAAAAATCGGGCTGTGCTGATATGCAAGCGATAGCGTGGGTATGTCATTGCGAATAGCGATGCCCAGAGAGAAAGCGTGGTGCATCACGAGTCGATGGACCGACGTGGTTTTGTCAGAAAGAGTGGGAGGACGGGAAGTCCTCGATACCTTGTCTAGCCTGTAGCATTGGGGCTCTTAGGGCGCGATAGGTGTGGAAATTAGGCGTGAAGCCGGCAGCGATGCTGGTGTGGCTGTGCTCGCTGTGCTCTGGCGACGAGTACCGTCTACCTCCTGCTGGATTGGTTTTCGGTAAGCAGCTTTGGGCAATCGTCTCCCTCCTCGTCCTCCGCCCTTCCACCCTCCACCCTCCACCCTTTCGCTCGCTGTTGTCCGCCTTACATTTTGCCTGGATGGTTGCCTTAATCTTGGCACCGCCAGTTTTCCAGTCGTCACCCAGTTCCCCATGTTCTTTGCCCATTGCCCGCATCTTTGCGCCGCATCACCGACCACAGAGCGAGTAGAGCGGCACCACTCCTGCCCTCGTTCCCTCCCTCCCTCCTCTGACATTATCTCGTTTTTTTTTTCGGCTTCGTTTGGTAATTTGCTTTCTGGCTTCGTTGCATCGCAGGTGCAACATCGATAGCGGCTCTTTTTGCTCTTAGTGTCACTGTCAAGCTAGTGAACAAGCCCGGACCCTCAACCACCATCTACTGCAACTGATTTGCTTGGCGACTCTGGTCCTAGGGGCCTCTACTCTCTATTTCCCTCGCCAACTTCGCATTCACACCTTAGATAATCCGTCATTAGGTCACGAATTCTTCCTTTTTGCTCCTTCTTGATCTTCAGACGCCTGTGTTCTCGTTCCTTGGACTATACACCTTCGTGAGGGCTGTATCTATCTCGTCCTCAAAGTGGGCGCTTTGCTGTTTCTCGATTGAACGACATAATTCGGACCCCGCGAAGATTAGTACTATCATGATGCAATAACAAGAAGTTAGCTCGTCCTAGGATCACCATTTTATCAAAGCCTTTTACCTTTGCATCAGTTACCAGTGGCTGCTTTATTGCATATTCTAGCCTACGTCAAGTTCTTTGGGCGTGTCTACCATCTCCTTATACCCATCTGGACGAGACTCCGCTGAGAGGTTTCCATTGCCTCCATTACCCTACGGTCCATATAGAAGTTTCAATGCTATAAGATATACTCTCATCATGGATGATCATCACCTAAGCTTGACATCGCCCGGTCCTGCGGGCATACATCACCTTGAGCGTCCGCTCATCTCCTTTGATCTCACACCACCAGCCATGCTGGCCAGACAACAAGCAAACATGAATTTTACGACACGCGAAGCCCATGCCACTGGGCAAGACCCCTTAATGCGGTGGTATGAAGTCAACGATGGACCATGGCACCCCCCAGAATTGACGCCGGACACTGGGGATGGCAACGGCCAGTCCTTGGTGACCAGTATGCGAGATACCCAATATATGGTCCCTACTCGGTCGAACATGGTACCTTCTGAAATTATGCCACAATCTGATTCCGGTTATGGGAGTTATCACAACCAGCCTAGCATTGCAAATGGCTCAGTTTGCGGCGACTCTTTTGACCCTAATCAAGATACACGGAGCATTATGGGAGGATCCATGGTTGATGCTCAATTTTCCGTGCCTGAGACCATACCCGGAAATCATATGGTCTCAGGCCCCTCGTGTGAACCATGGCCCAGCCATATCAGATTAGAAACCATGACATGCCCAGAATGTGGGAAACCGGTGAGGACCAAATCGGAGCTGAAGTTCGTCTTGCTATCCCTTGACTGTTACTTTCCGCGAGTGTCTAGGCTGACATGAGCTGTTATAGGAAGCATCATCAACGCCACAAGAAGCCATTTAAATGCGATGTCGCCGACTGTGCTCGCCGAATCGAGGGTTTCAGTACTACAAATGATCTTGATCGACACAAAAGAAGCGTCCACCCCGGAAGCCAGACATTTGGTAACCGCTACGTCTGCCAGATTGGCCCATGCAAGAATAAGGATAAAATCTGGCCCCGGGCAGACAATTTTAAGGCACATCTCAAACGTGTCCACATGAAGGAGACCGTGTCGGACGAAGATCTCGAGAGCTGTATCTATAAGTGAGGGCTATAAGTCTCTGATTTTACCAATGTCTTTCTGATTTATTACTCTACAGACCCCCAACCTCACCTGGTGAGCCTCAAGAAAGCCCGCGACAAGAACCCATGGCTGGTTACGGCGATTACCCGGGGCTCTCCCATGCACAAACAAACAGTTGGCCACAGTTTATTGAGGCAGCTCAGAGTATCAACCAATATGGCTCCGTGAGTGAGACTCAGGTTGAAGAGACACTCTCTCTATCGAGTTCGCATCAGGAACATGGCAATGTTCAACTTCACCATGCCGTACCACGGCAAGAGTTATACCAGGTAATAACCGAGTCTAACTCAACATGTCAGAGCCCCGTGCCTTCGTCATCTCCCATGCATCAATCGCCCATAGAATCCGAAATTGCCGTTCCTAATTTAACGCCACTCAGACCGCAGATGAGGCAACCATCTGCCGAGGCTGACGATATTGACGTAAATGCCTCCGAGGTCTCAGAGGCTGGCATGTTGGATGAATACAGTGAACAATCATCGCATAATTCTCCGTTAAATAGTCCTCGTGACAACCCCAAAAAGAGGAGCGGCGGCGCGTCTGACTCCTCTGAGCCGGAACGTATGTCGGCACCTAGCACTGGCGCTCTTAAGATTAACATAGCCGGCTTGGATCTTGACGACACAACTGAGATGAAGAAACTCGTCGAGGTTCTTGAGCGTCGCGGATTACTTGAGCAATTAGGTTGGAGAAAAGATGGCTCTGAAGTAGCGGAACCCGCCAAGGCTGAAGCGGACGTGGTTGTAAATCCAAGCCATGTCTTCCCGTGTTCTACCTGCCGCAAATCTTTCCCTCGAAGGTGCGAGTTGAAGTGAGTTATCCCCCCCTTTTTTCATTCTATTCTGTGATAGGACTAATTAGTATTGCAGAAAACACGAGAAACGACATGAGAAGCCATATGCCTGTACCATGCAGGACTGTGACAAGAGGTTTGGGAGTAAAAATGACTGGAAACGTCATGAAAACACGCAACATTTGATGTTGGAAATGTGGAAGTGCGACGAGGAGCGTTGTGAGAAACACTGTCCCCGCCGGGAAATGTTCAGAGCCCACCTTGAAAAGGATCACCAGATCACTGATCCAATTGCGTTGGATGCCCGGCTCGAGAAGTGCCGTGTCGGGAAAAACTACGATGCCAGGTTCTGGTGCGGCTTCTGTCGGAAGATCATCGAGATTAAGCAGCACGGTAAGCAGTCTTTGTGGGCGGAGCGCTTTGACCATATCGATGAGCATTTCTCGGGTCGCAACGACCAACGCCGTAAGGACATCAGCGAGTGGAAGGAGTTTGATATGTCATGGTCAAGCAAGGAAGACTTTGGAGACGAGGACGAGACTTGTCCTCCACCGAAGCATGATAAAGCACAAAAGCCTAAACGGAAACGAGACGATAGGGGAAACATGAGCAACACGAAGAAGGCGAGGTTACAAAGCCGGGGCATGCTATGCGTAAGTCGATAATGAGAGTCTCTCCATCTCATTATTACCAACTAACGGCCGGGTAGTGTCATTGCGGGGACCTTATGACAGTATCAATGCTTCGTTGTGTTAACTTTCCCTGTGAGCACATACCTTGCGACAATTGTAAGTCGTGAGGTTTATGGTTTCCCTGATTGTATGGTTATGGTTATAGTTAGTGGTGTTTTGTGTTATTCACTATCTGTTATGATTTCTCCACGGACTTTTAGGATGTTGAATTAGTTTATGATATACCCCATATATAGCATGTTGTTTCTAGACTTTCAATGTAGATATAGCAGAGAACAGGATTTAGGAGTCGAAGCAGGGCAGGGCAGGACACGGTAGAATAGTATTGATGCAAGCATCACGGCACCGGCGGTGCCTCGGAGGACATGGTTCGATGAGCTTGGGTAGGGAAAGTGTTTGCATGCTACACAATTGAGCTGCTTACCTGTCATGTTAGTTTATTGCGTTCATGATCCTTATTAAGGCTGGTCTTGGGTAGCTTTGAGCTGTACCTTTAAGCACTCTACCTATGACAAATGGATACTTATTCAAAGTCCCGCAGCGGCGGCGGCTATATTTAGTCTACCTAAGGCTACAAGACATTATGTAGAGTACCTGTGTGCGTGCAGATGCGAAGCTGAGATGCCCACAATATGTACCTACAGGTAGCGCACTGCGCACTTAGCACTTCTGGCATAGCGCGTAGTTGGTCGTCGGCGGGGGGTTCTAGGCCTTGGGGTAGGTATGGTACAGTGCCACCTCTGTAGGTACCTAGGTAGGTCAAAGGTACCTAGGTAGGTCAAAGGTACCTAGGTAGGTCAAAGGTACCTAGGTAGGTCAAAGGTACCTAGGTAGGTACCGGTACGTGTGGAAGAGCAGATCCATCCTCCTGGAGCCGCTGAGCTCACTCAGTTATGACGTTACAGCATTGCATTGCGTCGCGATATCAGGCACACGGTCCTCCTCACATTGGTAGATATAGGTAGTAGTATATAGTATCTACACGTCTTCAAGCGCTGTAGCCTAGGCAAATATAAATAGACTATCTATAAAATACACGAGTGGCTACCCAGGCTGGTCTTTTTGATTCTCATACCTGTTGGTTCCGTCTTACAGTCCAGTCTGTTCGAGCCTGTCAGCACCAAACTGATGGATGGATGAGCAGGGATAACCCTCCCCTCAGCCGATACGTCACATAACATAACACCACTCCCAATTGACTCTCCTCTCTACAAAATAAAGCCAACCTTAATTAACTTTACCTTTTTCTAACGTCACCTCTTTCTGTCTCTCCGACGATCCAGCAAGATATCCTCGTCATGGAGTCATTCGCAAAGCTCAAACGCCGCGGGACCGACCTGCTAAACTCGCTTCCGCACCAGATGCCTTCAATGCCTCACATAGGCGGCGGACATGGCATGAAAGGAACCTGGCAGCACATCCCGCTTCCTGCACTGCCTCGATCATCCCACTCACTCGATGTCGTTGCCGGCAACGCCTACATCTTCGGCGGCGAGGTCGAGTCTCGCAAGCCCGTTGACAACGATATGCACGTTGTCGTGCTACCCTGGAGCGGTGCCCCAGCTGACTACTATGCCATCAAAGCGAAACCCTCGCCCAGGACAGACGACAGCGCCATACCTGCGGTTATCACCGAGGAAGACGAAACCGACTCGCAGCTCAGAGACCCGCTCACCGAGGTTCCGCTCGGTTCCTCAACATCAACACCCGAGGTCGAATTGGAACCGGATTCCTCCTCGAAGGGCAAGGGCCCCGACACTGGTGATGTCCCTGCCCCGCGTATCGGACACGCCACAGCAGTGATTGGATCGCGCATCTTCCTCTTTGGCGGGCGAGCCGCAGCCGCAGGATCGTCAACGTTAGACGAGAATGGCCGAGTCTGGATCTTCGAGACCAAGACGCACACCTGGACATACCTCGACCCGCACCACAGCAGTCCAATTCCCCCACCACGGAGCTATCACGCCGCCGTGGCAACAGAGAAACCGCGCGATTTCGCAATCAAGCCGATGCGCCTTCGGCGCTCGTCAACGTGGAAAGAATGGGCCGAGGGCGACTCGGCCGAGGTCGGCATCCCGCAGCGGCCCATCACCGGCACAATTGCTGAAAAGGCTACGGACGACGAGGCTTTCGGAGCGGGATTCGGCACCTTCTTCATCCACGCAGGCTGTCTAGCGGATGGCACGCGAACCTCTGACGTCTGGGCTTTCGACGTGCACGCGCGCACGTGGAAACAGCTCCCCAACGCCCCCGGCCCAGCCCGCGGCGGCACCGCTCTCGCTCTCGCGAAGAGCAGGTTATACCGCTTCGGCGGGTTCGACGGGACGCGTGAGCTCGGCGGCCAGCTGGACGTGCTGCACCTCGGGCTCGACGAGTTCGACGACCAGAACAGTAGGGGCGAGATCGGCGTCTTCGCGCGCGGGGAGTGGGAGAGCATTGTGGCGCCCTCTTCTCTGCCCGAGGGCAGCACACTCGGCAGCACTGCATCTTCGGAAACAGCGGGGCTCACAGCCTCTTCTGTTGGGACGACGAGCGAGCCCTGGCCCTCCCCCCGCAGCGTCGCGAACCTCTCCCTGGTCCAAGCCGGCGGTGGCCGCGAGTATCTCGTCCTCGCGCTCGGCGAATCCAGCCCCTCGACCGACGGGCACGAAACCCCAGGAACTTTCCACTCTGACATCTGGGCCTTCCAGATCCCTGCCCTCGCGGGCACGGCTGCGAGCTACACCGATGCCTTCCTCAGCTCCGTCGGGCGCAAGACGGGCGAGGGCCGGTGGTACCCCGTTTCCATCGGCCCGTTCGACGCCGACGAGGAGCGCGACGTGCAAGGGCCCGGCGCCCGCGGCTGGTTCGGGGCCGCGCCGTTAGGAGATCTCGAGGAGAACGCGATTTTCGTCGCCGGCGGACTGGGCGAGAGCGGTGCGCGGATGGGCGACGGGTGGATCTTCCGACTCGAATAAGAAGGCAGGTGGGAAAGTGTAAAGGAAATGATGTCTATTACTGTTTACGATTACGAAATTTGAACTGCTTTGTAAGGGTTTCGGAATATGTCATTTTTGTCATTTGTTTACCGGGTTACGGCGACAGAATGAAATGAAGGCCTTGGATTTCTACGGCACTCAATGAACCAACATTCTTACCAATGAGAAGAGGATAAAACGGGGTTGAAGTGATGAAATAAATCACTAAAGTCAAGCGAGGATCTAGCGAAGCAGAAAAAAAAAGCAAAGAAAAATATGGACAGAATCATGAATGAGTGTATCGTCAAAGCTTTTCAAACGGGAATATTCGATCGATACAGGTGTGTTCTATGTACATTGTGGTTTTATCCCGTCTATGACGAAATCTCTTCTAAGGAGCTGCCCCAGCCTCAACATGCACGTACATGGTTCTCACATTATATATGTAAACTTCTTTGGTTCATCTTTTAACATCGTTTCTATGTGCTCTGCTCTGCTCTACAGATCGGACCGCGTGGTCTCGGGGCCCCATGGTGTGCTCGTTAGATTTGTCTGGCCAGCGGCGTTCTCGCAGGTCTGACGGCCGCTCTGGGGGCCCGCTTTGGGGACGTTTGCCGTGCTGCCGGTAGTGGCGCTCTCCCTCAGACCCTTGAGCAGCTTCTTTGTGGTCTCAGGGGTCAGGTCCTCGTAGTAGTCGTCGTTGATCTGGATCATGGGTGCGTTGACGCAGGCGCCTAGGCATTCGACTTCGATGAATGTGAATAGGCCGTCTTTTGTCGTCTCGCCTTGCTTGATGCCTAGCTCTTCTTTGATCGCCTTGACGATTGCATCGCTGCCGCAGCCACCGAGCTGGCAGGGTGTCTATTATAAGATATGTATTAGTTATGCAGATCCTTCGTTAGGACTGATAGTAAAGACGCGAACGGTACTCTGGTCATGGACATGGGGGGAATGCATTGGTTGTAGAGGGTATCCAAAATTCCCAGGTTCTCTATGCCAATGATGACATCGTACGATCGGACGTGCCGGTTCCGTGGGCTATCTGACTGTCCAAAATAGTATGCAGCTATGAAAAGTTTGACTCACGGTGGTGCATGCTTGGACGTGGAACTTGCCAACGGGCGTGCGGTTGTACATGGTGTAGAAAGAAGCGACCTCGTAGACACGAGCAGGGGGCATTTCGAGGAGTCGGGCTACCTCGTTCATGACGGAGATCGAGGTAAAGCCGTGCTGGCGCTGGCCGAGGTCAAGCAACGGCATCACGGCAGCCTTCTTGTACTGGGGTGGATATCGCTTGAGGATCTCGGCCATGAGCTTCTCATTTTGCGCATTGAATTTGAACGGGATTTCCGGGTTGTTGTCGGGGGTGTTTCGGTGCTAGAGCAGAGAGCCATTAGCAATTGGCCGCTAGATCGGTATACGAAAGCATGAGGCGTCCAGAACTATGAGTCCGGTATGTCCATTTCGTGTCTCGATGAGAGCGTAGACGGCAACAAGCTGGGACTCGACTGCGGGTTGGTGTCTGCGAAGGTGAGCGGTAATACTTACCACGGCGAGGGTATCGCTTCTCCGGGGGCTCGAGACGGTAAAGGTCCGAATATGAGGTCGAGGAGCCCTACTAGTCGTGCGGGCTGCGCTTCGGAGAAGCAGTGGACTGAGTTTGGAGGCCATTGTGAGGTTGTGCGGGCTGGATTGGCTTCCGACGGCGAGGTTCTTCGAGCTCACTGCAACTGTCAATGGGAGGTTCAATTGATGATGGAAGCTGATTCACATCGGCGTTGATTGGTTACGAGCGCAGAGACTCCACTTTTATGTGAAGCCGCCATACAACAGCTACCCCCGGCTTCAAGCAGCTGGCAACGGTCCGTAGAAAGGTCAGTGCTCTCACCCTGTCTGGTCATTCATATACGGTAACAGTGAAGCCATCGCGCTGTGATAAGCCTGACTAGCCGCGTATCACAATGTCGCTAGACCATCGTCCTATTGTAAAGTTATGTCAACAATGTCAATTTCTTTTCTCAAGTAGAGGGTTCGAAAAGCTCTCATCTGTGGGCAGCTTCCGCCACTCACAGCTGGGTACTTTCGCGGACCGCCCTGATTGCCGCTTCTGTTGTTATCTTTGGAACAACGATCTCCTGGGGGCTTCCAACCAGGTCTACAAAATACGTTGCCTCCGCCATCTGCTTTACCCTGTGTCTCGAAAGGCACGTCAGAGGGAGTTTGAAGAGTTACGGCAATGCTGGGTAGTCATATCCCGACCTGCCGCAAACCAATATTTGACGGATTCATATGCCATGATTGCGAGCCTAGAGCCCTATACGGTACCAGCAGAGTTAATCATTGGAAATGCGATTGACAGGATTTTCGTGAGTGCTGAGACGGAAAAGGGACAGATGAAATGGCAGACGTTCAGTCCTTTGAGATTTGTTACCCCGGAATGTAAAGTTTAGCTGCAACCCTGCCCGAATAGACTCGAGTGTCTGTAGGGGGTAGGTATGCCACGAGCTGACAGTCTGCGATAGCTGACCCTCTTGCAAAGTACACCAACTATCGTCCCATTGCATGGGATGGTCTGACAAGCCAGTGGGTAGCGGATATCAAAGCAATGCTCAAGTGTTGCCTTACATCTCATCCCCAATGTCAACAATCTCGACCAAGGGTGCTGCCAACCAGGCTTTTGCATATAATGAAAGACAGGGAAAGCAGCTTTCGAGTGCAATTAGTCGCTACTGAAAAAGGTCATACAGGACAATATGCCGCACTTAGCTATTGCTGGGGAGGACCGCAGTCGTTACAGTTAACAAAAAACACTGTCCACAAATTCATGCAGCAACCTATAGAGTGGCAAGCCTTTCCAAAGGGTTTGATTGACGCAGTCGAAGTGACTTCTTCCTTGGACCTTGAGTATCTTTGGGTGGATGCCTTGTGCATAGTCCAGGACGATCAAGATGATAAGAAACGAGAAATTGGTCGGATGAGTGCCATCTATCAAAATTCAGTTGTCACGATCGCTGCAGCCACCTCTGGCTCAGTGCAAGACAGTTTTCTCTGCAACCAGTCCGTTTTCAACACCAAATACTCCACTTGCGATATATCTATGACTCTAGATGCTCAAGGTTCCGATGATTTGGGAAGACTTAACAGCAGCCTCTCAGTTGTACCGGTACATGCGCATCGTATAGATAATCTCCCTCTGAGTAAGCGTGGATGGGCGTTTCAAGAAGCACTATTGCCACCCCGACTGCTCGTATTTGGAGATCTCGAGCCGTTCATCCGATGCCGGACTAAGAATGTGATACGCAAGTCTCTCAGCTGTATCGAATACCACATGTCGACTCTTGTTCCTCGGAGAATCATTGATAATCTTGTGAGCAGGCAGTATCAGGAGAGGCTATCTACGGACCACAAGGACGACACCTTGGATTTCATATGGAGAGAGATCGTAGAGCAATACACTCTTCGTGAACTCAGCATTCCGGAAGACAGACCGCTCGCGATCAGTGGAGTTATTGACTTTCTCTCCGAAGCGTTCAGTGATGAGTGTTACTTCGGGGTTTGGAAATCCTGTCCAATTGTCTGCCTGTTGTGGAAGACGGAGCCATCAGAGGTGAGAACCACAATACCACATGTCCCGACGTGGTCATGGATGTCAGTTACAGGCCCAGTGGATCTAGAAACTGTTGTCTACTTTGATAAGTCAGAAGCATCGGTCAAATGGGATAGCACCGACACTTCTCAAACTCGACTAATAGTGAAATGTTGCGTTTTCGAATCCGAGGGAGTCTCCGGTCCCGCTCAAGAGTTCGGTCCGGGTGTTTTGACTGAGAGCTGGTCGGATGTCTTACCATCATCACCATCTACCTCGAGCCAACAACGCAAATTTGAACCCGTGGGAAAATGCGCATATCTTGTGCTTGCCCGGACGACACACGGGCGCTACTTGGCCATTGTTGTGACTGACGAAGGGGAGGGTGTCTACCATAGATGTGGACTTGCTGAGTTGAACCTTCCCGAAAGCTGGCGCATGCGACCAAAACAAGAGATTGTGCTCGTTTAATTTTACAATATGAAACACTCTGTACGAAGGCCTCTACTGACTCATTGTGGCGGTACGACCGTCCTGCCCTCTGCTCGTAGCCGCCGGGCCTCAGTTTTCCCATGGAGGAAAGCCGTCTAACTTTTCGGCAACATGGAAAACTCGGTTATGGCACGGGTTAGATTCTTGTGATCCTACTTGCAGTTCTCATTTCAGCTCCTTTCTATGGACTGCCACGACTGTACATTCAAATAGCTTGGATCTCGGCGCGCCAACCTCCCATATGATCAATTATCACCGCGGCCACTTGCAATCTCTCGCAGGAGTGGGCCGGTAGCGTTTGTTTTCATCCTCATCCTCATATCTGAGGCAGACCTCAGCTGTCACGCAGTAGATGCGATCGCCCTCGGCAGTTTTCGCATCGAAAGTGAAGTTATACCATCCCTAAGTTGCCATTAGCCGATTACCAAATCTAGTCAGCAGCTGAGGAACATACCGGGGCGCCAAAGAACATGCGCCAGGCGTAACCAGGTGAAGTGAGTAAGGCATGCCCCTCCACGGGCGGACAGGTCTCGTTCCTCTTTCCCCCGCCGAGTGGCTGCTCAATTTCGGTCAAGTCGCAGAATGGCATTTCTCCGGATTCGCCTTCCCTCTCTCCCGGAGGTCCGCCGTATTCCTCACAGTGCGATCCACAATCTACTCTGAAGTTCATAGTGGCATTGGGCGTAAAGCTTCCTTGAAACTCGCCGTAGAGGTGGAAGAGAACGGCATCTCCGCTATTCCAGTATTTAGAACATGTTATCTAGTGGTTTTGCCGCTAGATGATGAATATGCGTTTGGAATTACTTACATGTAGACAGGCTGTTTGGAGAGCTCAATGGAATCAATCTGGAACAAATCTGTTGGCTGGGATACGTCGCATAAACTGAAAGGAGATCCGCCGGGTAGCTCAGGTCTCGAGAATAAGTGGTGGTTTCCGTGGATCTTCGAGGGACTACTGCCCAGGGGCGTTTGTAGCCCTGAGGACAGTGTCAGCCCTAAGCTGTTGTAGATTTTTGCTAGCGTGATTGGATGCATTCTCAAATCGCTGATAGAGGAACGATGATGTTGCACAGGAACATCTATTGCGACTAGAACACAAATAAGACTGTTGAGAATGGTGGTTTGCTTAGCGTTGTTGCGGTTGCTGCCTGGGTTCTATATGAATATGGATTTTATTATAGTTGGGCCATATAAAGTTTTCAAGGCGATAAGCGCAAAGAAACTTTTAATGGCTTGCATTGCCGTGACCGTATAATTAGTGTTATAAACACAAAGCCAAGAACTTGCACGTGGTCTCATCCAGGGCTGTGGTCAGCAAACAAGCTGATTGGAGAGTTTTTATGTTGTTGGTTAGCTCTGAAACTGCGTATGCAGATATCACCATAATTCAGCTGCAGCCCCCAAACGATAGCTCCAAAATAATTAGCAGCCTTGGCGGCGCAAGAAAAAAGTGAGAGAGACTCTACACTCGGCAGCTTCATTGGCTTAAGTTCGAATCAATTGATAAACGTTGAAACAAGAAGGATTGATCCTTTAATGATGCATCCTTAAGGCATCTAGACTCTGGACTTCAGAGTCCCATCAAATCCTCTTCCATTGGAGGCTCCATCGTAGTGCTTGGTGATAGTTAGAGATTGTATCAGTGGCATCATTGGTAAAGCTGATGATTGATATTCAGCCCTTTCTCACCCTACTCGCTCTTGGAACTATTCAATTTCATTAACGCCTTCGCTAACTTTCTTTTGGTTGTTCAACTAATCTACATAGTCGCTCTATGACTTTTACCTAAATCATATACCAATCAAGTTGAGTGTCAGGTGATATGGAAGCTTGATCTCTAGGGCTGACCTGGATCAAATGGATCACAGGGCCAAAATATCGCACGATAAATGCGTAGGTTGTAAGGGGGGCGGCGAGCAACTGTTGGTAGCTCAGATACAGTAGCTCAATAGGCAAAGAGCCCCTCACACCGGAGCATAGGTCTTTATTTAGCAACTTACGCCTCATCCAGCGTTCAACTGTGCCTTACAACTTGTTAAATACAGCCAATATCATTGCACTTGATGTTCTCATCACCAGAGACAAGAATAGTAATTTCTTTGTTAGCAACCTCTCGCATTTTGCTTCAAGCATGATAGAGTGGCATGACCGTTTCTAACACTACACTCTCACCGCTAGGAGTTGGCAGTCCTTTTTCTAAGCGATGAAGCGTCGCTTAATTCACCGGCATGCTCGTGAAACTGAAGGATGAAGTTGGTCGGATTTTGCCTCCTCAGGTCTTGGCTGAATTGGTAGAGTTGCAGTAGGGGGGAAAGGATCGCAATACATTGGGATTGTAGTTCGTCAAGGCAATGCCTATAAAGACTGCAGGTGCTGTCTATAGATGAGGTTGTCGTGATCGAGAAGACTCACTATCATCGAGAACAATAAAATTACTACTTCTGATATTGCCTGTCAACCCCTAGTTAATTCTATATCACCCAGAACTAGATCGTGCCCCTTTTCGTTGTTATATAGCCTAATGGCTTCCAACCTGATGAATTGGCCGAAATTCTTTACCATATTGGCGACTGCGGTCACTCCTGGTCTTGCGTCTCCCTATCAGAATGGTCTTGGAGAATCCGCACGTCTGGTCCGTCGGGATACATTCGAGTGGACTGCTCTTGGTGACTCATACTCCTCGGGCGTTGGAAGCGGCGATTATATCTCAAATTCCTACCGTTGTCTTCGATATGATCACGCCTATCCGGTCGTGATGAACGGTGATAGCAGGCTTCCTGGAGATCACGTGTTCAACAGCGTGGTATGCTCTGGGTCGAAAACTAGTGATGTAGACAGCTATCAGTTCTACGATGAAAACACGTCAGGGACACCTAACTGGCAGTATGGTAAGTTATAACATAGTTGAATCCTCGGCGGCGGATCTTAGAGAAGATAACTAACCCAAGGAAAGGGGATCGTCCGAAATTCGGAAACCCAAGCATTGCCACACTCAGTGTTGGTGGTAATGACATCGACTTTCCAGGTATCATCTTCAACTGTATTCTGGACACCAAACTTCCAGATGGCTCGCCCCAACGTACCTGTGATGAGCAGAGAAAAGTCACTTGGGATAAATTGGTTGATCCAGGTCTGATAGACAATATCGATAACACAATAAAGAAAATAGTCGACAAGGCCCGAGGAGGTCCCATCAAAGACCAATTCAGGTTATATGTCACTGGTTTCCCCCAATTTTTCGACACTCAAACTAACGAATGTGACTCTGTCACCTTCGCACGGACAGCCAACCCGACTCCTGATGGTAAAGAACACACTAAGTTGACCCAGGCACTCCGCAAAGAGTTTAACGATATGAGTGTCCAACTCAACAAAGCTATCGAGGCGGCTGTTGCAAGGAACCAGGCCATGGGCGCCAAGTGGATTCCGATCGATGGTGAGATGGATGGGCACAGATTCTGTGAGCCAGGAGTTCAAGAGCCAGATCAGCACAACCCTAACTTATGGCTGTTCCATTACCCCTATAACGAGCCAAAAGATGCGTCCGTAGACGCCATGCTCCAGGCGGCCTCTGATGAAGTGTCGAATGGTGTGGATATCAATACCGCGTTTCAAACGTATAATGATTATCAAAACGCTCTTTTCGACGCCCTTCAGGTTGACAATTCCACAGTAACTGGTATCCAGGATCCGCTATGGAGGTCAATAGGGAGCAGAGTGAAAGTCTTTCACCCACAACCAGCCCTTCATGACAAAATTAGAGACCTGGTGCTGGATGCCTATGTTAGCGACTCAAATAACCAACCCCCACCACCTCCCCCTCCTCCAGTGGAGATGACGACCTGTCACGGAATCAGCGGAGATGTCTGGGTCATGTCACGCGATGCTGCCGTGGCTAGCGCACAGGAGTTCTGCCAGCAAACCCAGCAGACGGTGACCTATAACAAGGACTCTGTCAACGAGGTTGAGTTCTCGGTCGCAAACCAAAAAGATTCAAGTCAAGGTCCCATGGATGCGCCCGACTGCTTCGATCGCTTCCAAAAAACAGTCATTGATGGTTGCGACGGCAACGATCCGATAAACAACCCTCACAATTACAAGTTCGGAGGCACATTCACATCAGGTGACTGGACATACACCATGACGCCGCTCAGCAAGCAGGTTAACGAGGTGAGCTGCGACGTGTCATACAAGTTTTTCTTCGACGGCTTCGAGATCCGCGGCAAGAATTTACCCGACGCCACCTTCGGCGCCAATGGTGAAGGGCTCAAATCACAGTTATCTGACTGCGGTTCTCTAACTAATTACCATTTCGAATGGACGCCTTCTGATCCAAATTTCCAATGGTATGCCGCAGGCCGCCTTCCAATTGGAACCAAATCCTGCGTGGGCACCGCTCTCCAAGAGGCTGGTGGTTCTAGTAATGGAAACTGTAAAGGCGCTGGCAAACGTCGCGCCCTCTTTAGGGCACGCTCAATCGGTATCGAAGACTGGCCTGGCTACGGCGACGAAGAGAGGCACGTATTCGGTTCATTGGCTGCCACATAGATGTGGAAGAGTGTCGACTATTTTGAGTGTGAGAATTGATGTCGCTGAGAACCCCCCGTTGATCAAACTCAAGAAATGCACCAAGTGTTCAGCTCCCGCCCCTTTTTTGTATTTCTTATCTCAATGTTCTTTGCATATGTCTTATTCCATTATTTTTCTCCATGAATGCATTACTATAACTGCTATTTTCAAGAAATATTTATTGAAATATACAATTATACAATAGCTATAGGGTCATACATTATAGAACGCTTCGGGGAATCCTAGTAATGTGTTAACAACCTTACTACCTGATTATACGCTCTTCAGGAGTACACAAGTTACAACCTCGTGGCATTAGTAAGAGCAGAGCTAATAGGCAGTTACGTAAATCTAAATAAGCTATTATCGGTTCGTTTCCAACTGCTAACCATCTACAGCTATATTAGTTATACTATATACGACCACAATTAACATAACGGGCTATATAGTACCTATATTGTTTAATGAGCTTAGTTTATTTTTACCCGTGCCCTTTTGCTTTTTTATGAAAAGGTAAAGGTGTTAAAGTTAAAAGTATATAGGTAAAGTAGGATAAGATTAATAATAGCTTTAAGTAACAGGTGTAATAGCAGGTATATAGTTTTAGTGGAAAATTATACCTAAACTGTATCACCAGACGATAGCTAGCTATAATTGCCTAATAACTGCCCAATAACTGCCCATTTAGTTCTGCTCATTGGCAAGGGAGACCATAGTATCTCGCATGATCAAGTAACTTATGTTCCACACTGCTAGAAAAATCAATGAGACAATAACTCAAAAGGCGCAGTCATTCAATTTAGCAAGAACCTTTTCCCTACCTAACTCTACTGGATTTGATAGGGCAAGGTTCATAAGAAGGTCTTCGCCTTATAAGCCAAACCTGGTGTAATTAGAGGACTCCAATTTCGGATGCTAGACCTCCAGTCTTAAAGACTTCCATATCAACACTTCAACATTTGTATGCACATTTTAGCCTTGGCAGTACGTGATCGATACAGAGATTCCCATCAGATCAACCGTAATTACTAGGTCAGCACTCAATCCTGTCAAACAAGGCGTTTGACTGCAACAGATACTCTTTTGTCAAGTAATCTTCTCTACCAACATTAACATGGACCTCCATTCCCATTAGACTTGGATAATAGCAAGGTCGCACAGCTCCTCACTCTACGCTGTTAAATGTCACTGGGAAAAGAATCTTGGATAATACTACTTGCCCCTCTCACGACCTTGATGGATTACGTCACGATGACACTTACGCCTTATATGAGGCTGTAATTTCATCATTCGTTCTCAAAACTTGCCATCTTTACCACATCGCGAGAGCCATCTACTTTCATCGATCTACGTTTTAATTCTTCTTATTAGAATCATCTCACACCGACCCGACAGACTCATTCGATCAATCACGAAGTAACCATGTTCAAAGCGATAGTGACTGGCGCTACAGGTTGGTGATATGCCTTCACTAGCTGATTTTACCCATATTTACTCCACCTCGTTTCATGATCCGTTTTAAGGCTTTCTCAGAGATCAAATCCTAAGATGCCAATTCTCAACAGAAATAATGTAGTTCTAACTTCTGATCACAAGGCATTACGGGCTCGGCTATCGTGGACGCCTTAAAGAACTCGGCAGAGTATTCCGAGGTCTATACGCTATCGCGATCGCAGCAGTCTGAATCTCATTCGAAGGTTAAGCATGGGACGATCGACTTGCAGGAGACGGCAGAGAGCATGGCGGAGTCCTTGACGCATGTTCCCCCGGCCACCCATATATTCTTCTGTGCCTACCTAGCTGACTCTGATGAGGCGGCCGCTGCGCGCATCAATGGCGAGATGCTCTCAAACTTTCTAGAAGCGTTGAAAAAGACAGGTCGGATGGCGAACCTTCAGCGTTTCGTGTTGACGTGCGGGCTGAAGCAGTATGGGGTGCACCTAGGACGACCCAAGAACCCCATGAGAGAGGATGACCCTGCGTCTCTCTTCTGGCTCGAGCAAGATGACCGACCTCCTAACTTCTACTACACACAGCAGCGTATTTTAGAAAAGGCCGCTGCAGATTCCATCAACAGCTGGAGTTGGACGGTTACCTACCCGCAGGACGTTGTCGGATTCGCACGGGCCAACTTTATGAACCTCATGACATCGCTGGGCTTGTACTGCGCTGTTAGTCGGGAGATTGAGGGCTCCAAGCTTATTTTCCCCGGAAATAAGGAGAACTACCTGGCATTCAACGACTGGACCTCTTCCCGACACCATGCCAACTTTTGTCTCTGGGCGGCCACATCGGATAATGCCAAGAACCAGCGTTTCAACGTCGTTAACGGTGATGTTCAGAGCTGGCAAGATCTATGGCCACGCCTCGCGAAGCTCTGCGGCTGCACTATCCCGGGAAGGATGTTCCCATCGCCAAACGAGGAGCGAAAAGCGTACCCAGGCTATGAGAGCAGCACGGTGAAACTCCATGAGCGACCACCAGTGACTGAGGTTGAAGCGAAGATTGGTTTGAAGGGGGAGTTCAAAGCGGATTCCTTATACAATCAGATTGATCTAACGAAATGGGCTAAACGACCCGAGGTCGTCAAGGCCTGGGAGACTTTGCGCGACAGGTACAATCTCGACCAAGCAGCTTGGGACAATGCGACATGGACCTTCCTGAATTTCTTGCTTGGACGCGAATACAGCTGCGTCGCGAGCATGAGCAAGGCTAGGAAGATGGGATTTCACGAATATGCGGATACATGGGAAGAGTTCAAGCACACGTTGCAGGAGCTTGAAGCGGCGAAGATGCTACCCCCTATTCCACTTTGAAGGGTGACCATCTTACGGGCTTGATTAGATTAGCATCGCGACGGTGATTTCGGCCGTTCGCGTCTCGAGACAAGTAATAACAAGTATCCGAGTAAATTGTTCGAATTTGATAGCTAACAAGTCCTATTGCTGAGAACGAATGGATGGCACCAATACTTCATTGTCAATATTCCGAGACCTCTTGCTCAAAAGCTCTGGCTCGAGAAAAGCCGTCAAGTGTTGAGATGTGCGGAGGTCAATCTCTAGTAGTTGAAACGGAGTATACGGCTCGTTTAGAAGGAAGAGCTGCCTATAACGATTTCTTGGCAATTCGCAATTGACTTTGGGCGGATTGTGAGAGGTCACGTCGTTGAACGAGCTACTCCTGATAATCCCTATGTCTTGTACTGTTTAGCGGAGGGATTGGCAGAAGAAATTGGCTACTGAAGGAATCCACTGTGAGGGGTGATATAGCCACGCACTCTTACGCTTCTACCTCAGTAGTGGAATCCTCACAGGAGTTTACGATGTCAACTTTATCAGAGTCATATGCTAACACACTATGCAACGAAATAATTGAGGTTTATATTTGATTTCAATCTCATTTTAAACCTTTACCTTACTCCAAAGCAAGCAAGTAATCATGTGAAAGATACAAATGGCTGCAACATAGTCGCAAACTGACAGGTAAGGCCGTTCCCCAGTCTCGTAATATGATTACACAAAAATCCATTATCTCATGCCCTCAATCATTAGCCAACTCATTATCAGAAGACGCCCGTCGTAATGAAGGATTGCGGAGTCGATAGCCAATCCTTGAAGACCTCTTCAGAAGCATTATTCAATTTCACAATGGGTTTCCGCCGAGTTCTGTTCTCTTCCACTAATGTGAGATTTAATCATCGCCACGTAGATCTCCGACCTAGAGTTTATCAGCATAAGTCTTAATGGTACCCCTCACAGATCTGCACTTACACGAAGGGTCCCCTCAGAGGACAAGCCATCAGCCCAGAAACCACCAATAGAAGGCGATGTACGTGACATGCTATCATGGGTCAATAGCAGCCAGAAGCCAAAGACTGGCTTCGCAAGAATGTCCAAGACAGCATAGGCGATAATTTCGCCGTCCACATTTACCATACGGGAGCCATCAGCAATTCCCCACACACTAGAATTGGTCAGTAACAATCTTCGATATGATAATATCGTACGACTATACTCACACGGGGTAAATAGTCCAGAGGAGTAAAGTGAAGAGCGAAATGGCGCCGAAAAAGGCCTTTGTCTTGTTGTCCTTGTTTGCCACGGCGTACCGCCCCTTGTATCCCAGCTGGTACACGATGTTGAGGTACGCCAAGCACGCGAATGCGTACCAACCCCAGCCTTGAGCTTCGTGGTGGGAGAACGCGGCGAAGAGGCCGGTTAGGATCATAACAATGTCTGAAAACATGAGCACGAGGATGCTAGCTCCATTGAGACCGGCGAGGAGAGATAGGTCGAGGAGCAGGAGGGGCGTAGTTAGGGACCACTATATTCGCAACCGCAGTTAGCATGATGTGTCACTTCCAGTGGAGGTGAAAGGGAGAAGAGCTTACGTCGACATATCGTGCCCAGAATACTTGTCTCTTGACGACTTCAGTGATTACATGGAGTTTGGACTCTTTGATGACAGTCGTGTGGAAGTCGACGCCTGATCCGGTGGCCATAGCATAGTAGGACAAGAACGCGGTGGTCGTGATGAAGGCTGTGATGATATGGAACAGTCGTTTTTGCTATACCGTTGTCAATATACTTGCTTCTGCGTCAATTGATGCCTATTGTGGGCTCTTACCACCGGCACTCTCATAGCCATTGCGTAGAACGCGAGGGACGAGATGCCCATGAGAACGCAAACCACCCTGGTGATGTTAGCGGATGCTGCATACGTCCAGTTCAACATGGTTGACGTACCAGAGTGTCTTGTGTCCAACGTCTGTCGAGTACTGGTGATAGACTTTAGGAATATCCGGAGTAACAGTTGGGATTGGTAGATGGGTGTGCGTAGGACGGTGAGTGGCTGGCGCCAGGACCTCCTCGAACACATTGTCTGGGATCATCATCTTGAACGATGTTTGATGATATCGTCTCTTCACAAGAGTTGCTTCACGTAGATTTCGAATGTGATGTAGATTGGTTCCCCGCCGTACATAACACTCCTTAGTAGAAATCAAGCAGACGTTTCAGGAATAAGAGAGACGAGTGAAATGACATGGCATGGCTTGGATCGAGCGGACATCTATAAGATATCTCGTATCCAAGCCGTCTCGGAATGGTGTCGTCACTTGTGTCTCATACTTTAAGGCGTGTGGCCAATCGGAGCTAGGGGACGGGCTCAAATTGGACATGAACTCAAAACATCTGCCTGCGGAAGGCGAATAACTTTCTTGTTGCTGACGCTCCAGACATGCGGGGAAAGCATCGCATTACGCAACTTAAATACATTGTAGGCTCCGATACGCCTCGCGTAAGGCGGTTAACTCACCTTGGGTGGCTGGTCATGTGTTGAAAAAGCGCATTCTGTGTATACGTTCTTCTTCAATTGGACATTGTATTAGCAGATATCACCGGAATGGCTGTCTTTAGCGAATTGCCATAGAAACAACGGCTGCATTTACTTTCCACCGGAACCAGGCTCCTTAGTTTGTCGAGTCTGTCACCAACATCTACACTACATCATAGTCAGGCAAATCCCTGTAATCTAGGAAATATGGAGAGCATCGATTGCGCTAATTTGCCGGCGTGTTTCTAGACTCGATCACCTGGACAGGGGTTTCATATTGTGCATACACGACTTGAAAGACGGCGCGGCGTGCGCGCGGGTGCATCTGCTATGCAAAGAGTTCTCGTCATATAGTCGTCAAGCAGTGTTCCACGCGCACTTCAAAAAACGTTGATGCGCGAGTGCTTAGGTTGGCTTATAGTGCATACGCATTCGGACTTGATCGTAGATTTGATCCGGGGTTGTCAAGATGCAATGAGCCGTTCATCTTCTGCTTTGACGTCTTGGTTGATCCGCAGGTATCCGTTTGGACATTCGTCAAATGTATATACCTGTAGGTAGTTGCACGCCTCCATCGACGTCCTATGCAGTTCAGTCAGTTCTTCTGTCTTTTTTCCCTCTACGGTACTTTGATCATACCTTTATTCAAGTTAGTATTATACCATAAGCAGAATTGCGGCGCTCCGCCTTCAAGCCTATTCAAGCTGCATGCGTACTTGAGCAGTCGAGACAGCTGTATAGAACTGTGCATGGCCGAATCTTTAATCCTTACGGCGTGCATTTGAATCTACCTACCTAGGTATCTTGGCAGCTCCTGAAGCACACGCCAGGTGGCTCTGTCGAGTTTCTATAATACCTACATATTTCAATAAAATGGTTCGGGACCTACCGTACCTAGGTAGATATGGCAGCGAGGGCAGCGAGGGCAGCGAGGTACTGGCAAGTTAGAAAGTGCCAGAGTAGGTAGGTGCAGAGGTAGGTGGTGGTACCTTCCTAGAGGTTTAGGCTGCGGCTCCGTCCCACCCGACGTCCCACTCCCACATTTTATCGCCCCGCCCTCCACTTCCAGAGAGCTCTATCTCTATTAGGTAGGCATATGTACCTAGCCCCGCCACATGGCACAAGCTCCCCCCCATCTTATGTAACCATAATTACAAACAACATTTTGGAATCATCGTTCAAGCTCAACAGCATCGTCAACTGATGCCCTACGCGAGCGTCGTACATAATTCACCAGAAGTTTCATTGAATGGCACAGTTGAAAACGTAGCTTACTTCGCCATTGCCCTGTGAACGAGTCTTGGCCACACCCACCATGGCCACAATGGATCAGTGTGCCGACGTTCTGTTGGCCTTTTCGCCGCCCAGCGACCTGACCGACAACGAGGCCTACCACAAGGCTGCCCTGATCCACACCCAGCGATTGTCCAAGCTCCTCAAAGAGCGTTCCAAAGAACTTGTGACCTTCAGCAAAGAGCTCCTCAACGTACTGTCTACCAACGTCTGCTTGCAAGACTGTGTGCTAACCGCAACGCCAGGTCGTCGACCCCAGTTACAACTCGCTATCCTACCTAGCCATACTACATGCCGTTCTGATTCCGAGTCCAGCGGCCAAAGTCGAACAGGAATTCGTATTAGACAAACTCGTCACATTTATGATGCTTTTTGATGGACGGCAGTGTCGGTATGGAGGATTAAATCTACTGGATATAATGGAAGCCGTGGGAAGTGGCCGGCTGTTGCCAGTACGTACCCGTTACTGTGGAAATCGTCCTTTCGCACTACTGACGACATATCCCCTCAGCCCTCCGTAGCAGTCAAATGCCTTGCTTCTGCTATCTTAAGGCTCGATCCATCCGGCGCTATGCTTACCTCCTCACATCTCATTCTGGCGAGACTTGCATACGACACAGATAATATTCAGCCTGCCTTACCTGTTATCGATAAGCCCATCGTCTATTACCCTGGCGCGCCAGACAACAATAATACTCAGTATCTATGTGATCTAGAACTACCTCCCCCCTCGTACATCTCAAAATCTACGGGTCTTACATCACAACTCAAGACCTCATTGGTGCTGGAATATGATTTGATCCGTGGTATGATGTACTGTGAAAGAAGAGATTGGCGGAAGGCACGAGATGCGTTTGAGGGGAATGTCACATATCCAGCTAGAGATGGAGGCTGTAGTAAGATTATGGTGGACTCGTTCAAGAAATGGATTCTCGTGAACTTACTTGCGAACGGAAGACACGGTAACACGCCATCTCGTACAAATGCCTCAACATCCAAGATTTTCGGACTATTAGGTAGACCATATGTGTCACTCGCAACGGCTTTTACAACCGACGACGTCGAGCAGTTGAGGCTCGAAGCACAACAGAATGCACAAGTATGGATGGAAGATGGAAACGCGGGATTAGTGGAGGAGGTCATGGCGTCATATCAAAAGTGGCGCGTTCTCTCACTGCAGGACATATACACCAAGATATCGATTGCTGAAATTCGCCAGATGACTAAGAGTGCTGAGACAGGCTTTGCTCTAAGCAAGGACGAAGACGTCGAGGCGCTTATTCAGAATATGATCATAGCAGCAATGCTCAACGGCGTCATCGAGAAGAATGATGATGGAACAAAATTCCTGCAATTTCTATCCCCTACAGCACACTCAGAAGCTGATGTTGCACGTGAGATGAAAAACGCAGCAGCTATAGTCCATCATCTAAGACGGGTCTCTGCCTCCACAGATCACCGTCTCGGACACTCCAAGGAGTTTATCAAGTTTCTCATGAAAGAAGCAAAGCGCGAGAAGTCCGGTGAGACCCAGGATCCGACCCTTGGATTTGAAACTCTACTCGAGGATGAGGACTTGATGGGTGATTCCATGAATGTCTAGTCAGCCAGGCGAAGAAAAACCTTTTTCAGAAATCTACTCGAGCAACATGACTTGAGGAGCTATCCTATGAATGGCTAGTTAGCTTTCATAAAGCCACCAAAGTTTCTAACGTATAACCTATCGCGACAGACATTCTGGAGCCCGGAATTCCCGTTGCTTCCAACCGTTAGGGTTGCTTCCAGGTCACTACGCAATATCTGGACTGGTAGGGGGCTTACGGGATTCCCTTGAGCGATTTCCATCCGCTTTAGTGGCATACTAGGTTGGATCAGCAGCTGCTTAAACCATTGCTTCTTTCCAGCTTCTATGCCAATCGAAGCGTGGAAACTGGGATCCACGAATAATCAATCAATCGATAGTCGCGTTCTAATCGGTTATTTACAATACCTAGCTAGTGTCTATCTAGGTCCTCCGAACGTTCGTCTTGGCGTTTCGCTCATGTGCGAAATGAATCCTACTGGGGACAAACAACTTGAGAAAAGCTCATCCGTGTCCGAGGGCGAATCAGTCAGATTTGATTCTAGAGAGGGGTTGCATAGACTCGCAAGGCAGGAAGAATCAATCGTCAGCTTAGACGACGGTTTGGAACAATATGAGTTATTGTAGCCGGCATTAGATCAGAAGTCTCACGAGATAGATCAGGTGATCATGCCAAGTCGGCACTGCCGGTCTAGATTATACGACATTGACTGAAATGACCAAAATTATCTGTTTTTTACCCGTGCACATTGTAAGCCGTTGACATATTGACTCGGTACTAGTAGGTAGGAAGACGGTTTTGTCTTATGTTTGCGCATTATACGCACTATCTAGGTAGACAGACATTGTCCTGACTCTTTGTCGCGTCGGCGTCAGTGCCAGTGTCCGCACAAGGTATATTCATTGGTAGTCACCAACATCACGTCCGTCCTGATCCACCACGTGCCCGCACTATTCTGGGGCTGAGAGTGGAAATGCGTTAGAAACAGCTAGGTCAGTTGCAAATGTGTGATGACCGACTTCCCATAGACACAAACCCCTTTTCTTGCTTTTCCGTATCTGATCCATCCGACCCTGTATAATCTCTGCCGAAGTGGCGGTGTTATGTAAGTGCTCTCCTGAAGCTAAGTACGTTTCCCAAGGTGGTACGTAGCACCCTAAGGGTGGCAATGAGGCTGATAAACAATGTGTAGGTAGGTGTACTATTCATTTATCATGAGCTGATACCGAACTGCTTGATCATGTCGGCTAGCTTCAGGGCCTCTGTCTTGTAATCGATTGGAGTTGCGCTCATGACTTGATACCGGACCCTGGAGAATTGGAACATCGTCAGCACATCGGTAAAATTACTCCAGTGATGTTACCATAAATGCCATGGGATCCTGATAATAACTCACCTTGGATTCTCGCCATACGTGTCCATTTTTGCGCGGCATTGGAATGTGAACTTGGAGCAGTTGGCAGCTTCGAAGATAGCTGGAGCACGATCCTCGTCATTCTCCTTGACTTCCATCAGCTCATCAGCGGTCATGCCCATTATGATGCGACCAACATCATCAAAGCACGAAAGCCACAGCTGACCGGTGTGGTCGTTGACGTTAACACTCATAATGTAGCGATATCGTGGACGTGCGTGCGCAATGTCGCACTTCTCGCACCGCCATGTCCCGTCGCCTTGATCCACGACCTTCTTATTGCAGCCTTCTTCGCTACAAGCCGGGTATGCGAAGTTTTCTTGCTTAATATACACGATTGTTGCCTTGAGCGTGAAGTAATCCGGGTTCTCCATGCCTAAGCCCTCGTCCTTGACCTGTGAGATGACCTTCGTCTGGTCCTTGCGTCCCGTAGCAGCACCCATGGAAGCCATGCTATTGTGTGTGCTGAAGTTGTCGGCGCGCCCTTCGGAATCATACCAACCTTTTAGGCGATGAGCCTCCTCGATGTCGGGATCCAAGGCCATGGTTCCTGACGCGAGGAGAGATAGTGACCGTCCGCCAAAGTCGGATACCTTAACTCCCTTGAACGCAACTACCGACTCAGGCTGTGCGCTGAATGTAGTTGCGGTCTTACCCCATAATGTGAGGCGAACTGAAAACCGTGAGTCATCAACGAGTGTGAGCTCACGCTTGTCGTAGGGCTTTTGTGTGGTTTTTGAGACAATCTGGGATACTTCACCTACGTCCTTGAGTACACCAACGACATCTACTGTGACATCCTTCTCAACTGACTGAAGTTCGGAGATGGGTACAAAGTTGAAGCGGACCTGAGGCACGCTGCTCTGGTCCTCTGCCTTTTCGATCATCGTCTCTCGCTCGAAGGCGAGCTCGTAATCGTTAGGAAGGTTAGAGAATTGCTTCTTTGCAAGATTCACTTTACAGGTGCTAATGTAGTAGACCTGGCCTTCTTGTAATAATTCATAAAACGCATCGCATTGCTCATTGAAACCTGTCGCTCTGATCTCACCACTTTCATCGAGGAGATTCACTGAGAATAGCTTGCCCTCACCCGACGCTTTGTGCCAAGTCTTGATATCAGACTTTGATGTGACACGGGCCTTGATGGTCCATTTGTGTGCGTAAGGGGTGATTGCCTCAATGGGATAGATGACGATGTTTCCATGAGCTTTAGAGCCGGTGCTCTGCATTCCGCCGCCGGCCGGACCCATACGTGACGACATGGGCTCTGCCTTGATGACGGGTGCTGGGGACTCAGTTTTAGCGCCATAGAACCCAGTACCGCCAATGGCGGTGGAGGTATCTGTAGATTTGGCTTCAAAGGGAGCGGGTTCACCGATTCGGTCATGCGTTCCGAGCTCAGTGGCAACTTCGAGGTCGAGGATAATCAGAATGCTTCCTAATAGTCAGCCAAGGCTCCTTGCAGACAGGATAGTAGAACGCACTTCTTTCCCTTCACTTCATTTGCTTGGTAGGACTTGACGCGGACGATGCAACCCCGAGCAAGCTGGTTATCGTGAATGACGTGATTGGCCTCTACAGAACGGTGAGCCTGAAAACCACCATATTTACATGGAAAGCAGCCGTTTGCTTACGAGTCGCCAGCATACACTGGACATAGTTCCTGATATCGCTAAGCACGACTCTGTAGCGCTCTTGTGTAGTGGGACCACCAGGTGCTTGCTGGGCAGCTAGAGGCTTGATTTGAAGACATTGGAGGACAGGTACGGGAAATCTCTGGTCGGCGGTCCCGGGTTCGTTGAAGATGGCACTGAGCTATGGGGTTAGCCAGCATTCGATATCAGAGTATACAGCTATATCACGATGCAAGGGGGAGGATACGCACTCTAATGCGCCTTGGGTAATGGCCTGCTGTGCCCCGGCCACCGACATGTTGGCTTGGCCTTGAGCTTGACTTTAGATTTGGGTTTGAGCTTAAGCTTATTCCTTGTCAATGGATCCAGCAGGCGGCGTATGGAGTAAATCGAAGGCGACAAGAGACGAAGTATTGAGATTTTGAGGCTGATATGGGAGGGAACTGGGTAATACCGTACATAACGCGTCCAACATGAAAAGTCGCGTTTAGAGCGTCTCTCCATTAAAGTCCCATTTAGGTAGGCTGTGGAGACAAAGGCTAGGCGCGGGGCTTTTCAGCAGCTGTCAAGGCAGCAACGCGTCTGGCAGAAAGTTGCGACTCACCCGCGTTGCTACTGCGTGTTTAAGTACTTACTCGGGCAAGGCACTTACCTACATGTATGGTATATGTACTCAGACAATTGCTCTGACAGCTGGCGCGAGATGGAATGTACTTACAGCTTGTACATGTACCCGTTCCGTACTATCCCTCCATCTTCAGTGGGCCCTTCCTTACCTGGAAAGTACCTCCATGTACCTACAACGTCATCCCCACAGCAGATCGTCCACCAAAGCTCCTTGGCTGCTACACTGAAGTTGTGCCTCCCGCGCAACTAGAGATCACTTTTGAAACTGCGTCAGGGTCCTCTTACTAAAGGTTAGGCAGGCAGAAGTAAACAGGTCCGTACCTAGATCTTACGTCTCTAGCGCCAAGTATCTACGAATATCCTCATCGCACGCAATCGTATTCGATACTTTGATCGTCCTATATCGTTGCATTTTCTTGGCCAGCCCCTTGCAGAACATAGCTCTTAATTGAGTATTCTCATCGCTTTAGCCATGGCAGACCCCGAGATTGCGACAAAGGCGCCCGAGAGCGATGCCCATGAACCAGAGGCGGGGCCTACAATTAGCGAGCATTGTACAACTGACCGACCTACACGTACGTGCTCACAGTTAGTATCACGAGGATTATATCTCCATTGACCGTGGTTTAGCGAACGGCGAATCTCCCAAAGGAGAGGTCAGACCACTTGGTGGGGTTGAGGTACAGAATACTAGCCCGTCCTTTCGTGATGGACGTGTTATAAACTAACATATCTTCAGGTCTACCTAACTAAGCCGGAATCCTATCCATCGAACCCGTCGAAGCTCCTACTCTTGCTAACGGGGGGTACCGGACTTAAATCGACGAACAATCAAATCCAAGCCGACAAATACGCAAGCGAAGGTTATGTCGTGGTGATGCCCGATTTATTCGACGGCGACCCGGCTCCCAACTCGGCGGCTGTTCCTGAATCCGAGACACTCGCGACGTCACTACTCGAAACATTCAAGCTGAAAGCTGCAGAAACTGCTAAATCTTTCCTGATTGACATGTGGCTTGCGCGACATACCGAAGAGAAGGTCCTCCCCATACTAGAAAAAGTAATTCACGCAGCCGAAGGAGAATTCGCAGACGCAGTAGGAAATGGTGGGGGCATCTACGCTGTTGGCTATTGCATAGGTGGACGATACGTGTTGCTTTTAGCTGGCGAGCGACCCAGCAACCAGACAAGCTGGACCGGCGCACAGAAACAACCAGATGAAGAGGCTGGTGAGGGTCAAGGTCCGGCCAAGAAGGGTCCGTTAATCAAGGCCGGTGCTCTAGCGCACGCTACGCTCGTGTCGCCAGATGATTTTCAAGGCCTGAAATCGCCCGTGAGTTTAGTGTGCGTCGAGAGTGACCCCATGTTTCCCGATGAGGTTCGCATAGCGGGCGAGGACGCCATGTCAAAGAGCAACCTAGAACATGAGGTTCAAGTTTACCCCGGTGTACCTCATGGTGAGTTCAATCCTGCGAGGGTGGACAGATATGAAATCTGCTAACAACGGTTAGGCTTCGCGGTGGTGGGTGACTACACTGATGCTAATATCAAAGAAGCACAACAAACAGCATACGAGCAAATGCTCAAATGGTTGAATGAGCACTAGAGGACTAACTGATGATCTCGGGAAACGGTTTTGTTTTTGGCGTTGGCGGGATGCATGATTGTTTAAGCTTGATTCAAATAAACATCGGTTTGCGCTCTTTAGTAGAGACGGCAAATCCTCAACATCAATAAATCTTATGATATGTCATTATGAAATACCCCTTGCCTTCATCATGCTTATTGCCTATGGGACAGTGCAAATAATCTTACCCGTTGTGACATTCTTCTCCAAAAGCTCGTGAGCTTTGATAATATCCTCCATGGGAAACACGGAGTCGATTTTAACCTTGAGCTTCCCGCTCTCGAAATGCGGTATATACTCAGCCAGCTTATCCTTCAACCGACCCTGATATTCCGGATCGCGGCTCCGCAAAGTGCTTCCCTCCATTCTTATCCGCTTATACAGCAACATGCCAATATCCACCCCTTCAAGCTTCGAGCCACCCATCAATCCTAAAATAACCCAGCGAGCATCTTTGGCGGCCGCAGCCATGTTCTGCTGGAAATAGCTCGCGCCGATAAAGTCCACAATCAAATCCACGCCTTTCCCGCCCGTGGCCTCGACGATACCCTGCGCCCAGTTGTCTCGAGACTTGTAATTGAACGCCTTGGTGGCGCCAAGCTCAGACTCGATGAACTTGCACTTCTCGTCGCTGCCGGCCGTCGCGTAGACCGCGGACGCGCCGGCGTCCAGGCTGAGCTGGATCCCCGCGATGCTGACGCCGCTCGCCCCGGCGTGCCACAGCACGGACTTGCCGGCCGCGAACTCACCGACCAAGTGCAGCGCCTGCGTCGCCGTCATGAAGGTCTCGGGGATGCCTGCCGCCGACTCCCAGGATAGAAAATCAGGCTTGCGAAGGAGCATCCGCGCGTCGACCGCGATGTACTCGGCGTATGCCCCGCCGTAGGCCAGACCGAAGACTGCGTCGCCTTCGCGCAGAGGGGGCTCGGATGAGGGTGAAGATGAGGGTGAAGATGAGGGCAGGGAAGGGCCTAGACTGGCTACTGTTCCGCTGAACTCTACGCCGAGCGTGAGTGGCGCTTGCGGAGGGAGCGGGTATTTCCCCTCGCGCTGGATGAGATCCATGCGATTCAATCCGAATGCTTTTACGCGCACTAAGACCTCGCCTTCTTTGGGCGTGGGCCGTGGCGTGTCTGGGTTTATGAAGAGCGCGCTGGCTGGGCCTTTGCCGCCTTTGATATCTGTTTATATCATCGTCGCGTTAGTGAGATTGAAATGTTCAGTGCCATATCAATGTTCGTGCACTTCTTGCTCATATATAGATGACATCTGCCTGAGGCGGGGTTGACCGTACCAACTGCTTTCATTGTGCTCGTCATCTTGAGGCTAATCGGTGAACCGTCCGCTTGGATCAACTAGATCGTGAACAGAGGGGTCAAGAAGTGTATATGGAAAATCGAGGTTGTAGTCGCCTGATCCGTTGAATTGGTATTGGAGATGTTCGTCTTTCACGATTTATATCTCGTTAAAGCCGATCGGCTATATGAATGACCTAGTACACAAGTAGATGACATCACTTTTATACCGAAACCAAATGCGCCAGTTTCGTCGCATAGGTATTGTCATGATTCCATAACATAGCATAACACCCAAAGTTAATCGGATTAGTAATGATCCCGATTGATCCTACGACACCTACTCAGGGCTCCTCGCAGTCGGATTCGCTTACGATGGGTCCTAGACGAAAAGTCTCCGAATCCCGGGATACGATGAGTTGCGGGGCATTTTCAATATCCACTTCACCGAGATATCCCGCCCGCCTTGCGCCGCAACTTCAAATAAACAGGCCATTTTGAATTCGCCTTCAAAATCAACGCTCTCCCTCTGGCTTGCTCATCCATACAATCGATGCTCGATGTAAAAGCTAGCCTCACTCGATATCAGCAGAGCATGCGGTCTAGTACCACAGCTAGCCCCACTAAGGGCTCTCCGAAAAGAGGGTTAAAGCCCCTATCTTAGAAGTCATACCCTATACTTGAGTAAGGGATCTCCCTCTAATGCGAGGGACTTGGCAATAATGTGACTAAGGAACTAACAAACATACAAAAGATGAGATAGGAAGACAAGACTGGGGGGAAAGCCCTCTCCCCGTAAAACTAGGCTAGGTACAGCCTTAATAGGAGTGCGATATCCGAATTAAGGCTCACGGTTCCATCGACATTGTAGTTATTCTGTAGATTGAATTAGATATTCTACGTCTTGTTGGCTCTTGAATATGTGGTCTAGTGTTGTTAGTAGGCGGCGGTGAACTTTGCCTAACATAATACCTAATCAGAACCACCCCGTACCTTTTCCGCGTTTGTCCAATTTGATGGAGATAACTCCAGGAAGCGATACGGTCGCGGTGCGGGGAGTCTTCTGAGTAAGGTCTACGACATGGTGAGACATCTTAATCGCTGCCTCTCCGGGAGTTCGTAGTCAGTAACGAGTTCTACAGCACATACGACATGGTCAACCATTTCGCGTACGGGATTTCCTGAACCCTAGTCGACCGCGTGTTTTTCTACCTGTCAAGTAATTATATGCAGGAACTTAGGAATGCGCCGTAGGAGAAGCTAAGCCTTCCTAGCATCCTAAATAGCGTTTGCATGCTTTCTACTACCTTGCCTAAGTTCGCACCTCTGACCGTGACTGTTTTAGACCTCGACAATGTCCAAGGTCGGCGGCCTTGAGATCACGGAAGAGATCCAGATTAGTTCTCGGGTTGACCTCAATCACACGTTGAACAACCTCATAGAGCCCATGCAGACGCCGTGTTTTCGAGCTGCGGAAAAGGCGATGCCGGCTTGCCCAGACTGGACCTCAGTCGTCTTATACCCCAAGATACTAGAGCTCTTTTCCCATATGTCGGCGCGCGTGATGGCTGGGTCTGAGCTTTGGCAAGCTTAGCCTTCCATTTCGATGAGATATATTAATTGTGTCCTCGTTGCTCAAAGCGCTATTTGAAAAAGGCACTATCCCGCGCTCTATTGGACAGCATACTATCTGGACCCAGAAGCAGGTCTTGTGAATGGAGCGCGCCGCGAGGCAGCTGAGCTTGCACGTCCGGTACTGGAGGCTCAGCAAAGTGCCTACGCGGCCGATGGCGCAAGGGCAGAAAATCATGACGACTTCATTCAATGGATCATGGATAACTATCGCGCGAATGGGAAGACTATTACGCGAGATGAAATTGTATAAAACATTTTCATCGCCATGTTTGCGCCTATGCACGAAACTTCGTTTATCGCACTGCAATCGCTCTTCAGCGTGCTCGACACACCTAACGCCCTCGTTGGCATTCGTGAGGAAGTCGAACATGTATCGAGGAACGAGCTCAAAGATTCGTCTGTATGAACACGTCATACTCTCGGGGAGCTTGGAGCCATGGATTTCTTTATGAAAGAAATATTAAGACTGAAGCCGTTTTAGAAAGGTTAGTTTATACACCGCGACCTAGCTTATCTGTTTACATGATACTAGCAACCGTCTAACGCTACGCCATGACTCCATCCACGTTTAAAGATGGGTTGCGAGTTCCCGCAAGAACTATGATCTAATTTCCTACTTTACGCTACAACACAGGTTCATCAAGCATATTGACGCCATGCCCGAAGCTGGCACATTTGATGGTAAACGTTGGGTACATCGCCGAGTTACGCCCGGCATGAGCAAGTTTCAGTTCCGCGGGACTACCCTATTCGGGTCATAAGAGTTACCGTTCGCCTTCAATAGCCTGCTCCTTGCGCAACATCACACGCCTCATAAACACTCCCAATGTGGCCGGAAAGTCCATCTAGACCTTTCCACTACCCTTGCATGTGCTGCAATTACCACGCACAGTGCCTACCCCTTTACAGTAGTAACAGGTTTTCACAATGAGTGTTCCTCGAGCCACCATGTTTGTACCGGGGAAGATGAATGTTCCGTTGCCGTTGGGGTCGACATCGGTGATCTGTTTGCTCCCACTACAGGTAGAGCACGTAACTGTCGCATCACCAGAGCCTTTGCACGTACTACAGCGAGCCATTTTCAAACCTGACTGGTTCTGAAAGCGAGCGTGAGAATGCGTTTCCAGGAAATATATTGTACGCAACAGACACTTCAATATTTGAAGGAAGCACTTACTTGGTAGCGACGACGGGGACAATCTAAACAACGGCTGGTGCCGCACACGGGACAAGTGTTATACTTGTTGATATAATACCAGCCGGAAAAGCAGATGCACTAGACTTCTTAGCAAAATCGATGGTCAAAGTATTACGGGATTGGTTCCGTACGCATTGCCAATATGGATTAGCAGGGACGGGCATCCTTGTTTGGGTAGGCTGAGGTTCCTTACGTTGCTTTCCTTGGCTTCGAGAGGAGCGCGTTTTCGGGTAGACAGTAACTCTGTTAAGGGATCTGCCTCAGAATGATTAGAGAGCTGGTTGCAATCAAGCACGTAGACAGAATGCAGGACAGGGCTGAATAGAGCGGTCGGCTGATCTCCAACTTTCCCACTGTTAAGGGGTCCAAACCTCCTTTATATAACCAGAAAGGATGCATAGCCCCCCATGATTCATGAGACTATTTTCTCTGATACGCTTTTAAGATGAAGACGCTTGATTTCCACGTCAGGGACGCAGCTGATCTTGCAAAATAGGAAGCCATGACCCCGCACGAATCTCGTGAGATCAAATAGTAGAGTGATACCTCAGATAAGCTCATGGGTGATTGGCTACCTTCAGATACTCTGCGCCGCTTTGATATAACTGGGTAACGCTTCCAGCCTCTCCAGTCCGAATACTACCCGAGTAGCCCCTAAATGCCGATGGGAGAGCATGAATGGGGACCAGCCGAGGAACTGGCTATTGAGAAATTCTCACGCAGATGTAGAGCAATATTGAGGCGATTTAGTGACAACCCTCTGAGAGCGATCAGCTAATGCAGACTAATCAATTGATCTACAGTCTAAGTTGAAATCTATTCTCCCTAGCGGTCTCTTTCTCACCAGGGATCCTCGAGACAAGGTTTCCACACTTCATATCTACTACTCTGCGAGAATAAAAGTAGACAAGGGCACGGGTTCGCTCAAGAATCGGTAGATTCCAGTAAAACGATCGAATTCGGGGGGTCAGAAAGACCCTGAATATTCCCAGATGGTATGCGGTGTATGAGGCTTAACAATAGTATAAGGAGGGGTCATATCAATCCTCTCGGGGCCGAGCATTAGCTAAGACACACAAGGCGATACGGATCAATAAATCCTTCAGATGCAGGATGCAACCAATAAAGGAGAATCATTGGACAATAAGCTGCATGCCACCCTCACATGTTACAGGGAACCAACACATTTGGTAGAGCTATCAAGGGTCATAAACTTCATGGGTCTAGCACTCAACTGGACTCGGAATCACAACCGTCGCCCGGATAGTTTACCTGTACCATGTCTCTCAAACAGCTGTACAACGATGCGAGGAACCCTCCCGCCGACCCTACACATCTCTCTTTCAAGAACAAGACGGTACTTGTCTTACTTCCCAAGCTACGCGAAACCGCCGCCACTGGCGTCACACCACAACTATGCTTTGTCAACAGCCAATCGTCGCACCTAGTCAAACTAGACCGGCTGCCGACCAACCAGACGCTAATCGAGCGCCTCGATGACAAGTCCCAATTCGACAGCGCTACACAGTACTTTCTAGTGAAGCTGGCAGCGTGGTAATTATGCCGTGCGAGGCATAGTTGAGCGCATGCATAAAGATCACGCCGCCGGCGATACCACCAACGGCGACGTGATTATCAACGCTTGCTGTCCTGGTATGTGTAGAACCGACCAGGGCCGCGATTTCCTCCTCGGGGTACGGATTTTCATGGGCGGTTTCCAGTCTATCTTTGCTAGAAGTGCTGAGCAGGGAAGTAGGTCACTGGTAAGCGCTACTGGCCTCGGTGTAGAAAACAACGGCAAGTTTTGGGCAAATGACGGATATCTTGAGTAAGTCTCTATCCGTGCTCTATCCATTCACTGGCTTTGAATGAGATTTATGACGCTCCCTAGGCCAGGCGGAGTTTTGGCGACCGCGCGTGGGGAGGAACTATACCAGGAGACATGGAATGAGATTCTATCCATCATCGGCAAACACATCACTCCTGATGAGGGTGAGTGCTAGGCAGGAAATCCCTGTTAACTGAGAGTGATACGCTGGGAGCATTAATATATAGAATTGCCACTGGACATTAATACACAGTCTAACGGCACAGTTTTGGACTAGTGACAAAGACTATGGAGGATCTATCCTTCTCAATATAGCTAAATAGTGATAATATTAGGTCTCTATTGTGTAGACGACCCAAACCATCATTGCCTTTACCGCACGTTTAAAATGAGATTTGTCAAGGAGCTAGTTTACCTACCTGTAGGTATTTCATAGACTGATAGGTACGGGGAGCACATAGACCGACCGACCCTATACATAGTAGTTACGAGGTGATATTCCGTTCTCATCTACCAAGCAGATCAGTAGAATGTAACAACACTCATATTTATTGTTCAAAGAGATCGATGAATCTAATCAGTCGAGCGATGAAGACGTGTTTCACTGTTTAACAAGGCTTTCGACCGCTGCGTTCTTCATCATCGCCAGGTAAGCTCTCGTAGCGCATTGGAACCGGTGAGGAATAAGAACTACTGTTGCTGAGGCATAAATTGGTTTTACAAAGGGATGTTTGATAAGTACATAGCTATTAAGACGGTTTACGGGATAATAGTAGTCCCTATGTCAAGTGAGAACTCAGAATAGCCATATGTAGCAACTATCCGCAGAATGAATGTTGCGGTGTATGCACGAACGTTATACCTCTGGAACATAAGAGTACCTCTGCTATGAATGCCAAATACCGAGAAAGAGAGACACGCACAAAACTTTGCGCACTTTCAAACAGAGTACTGATCTTTGAACTTTTGGACTAACAGAGAAGACCTAGTTAGCTTTTGACAGTACAAGTTAACATACTCTACTTACCCTCGGACTGTAGAGTAGCCCAAAGCTCCAGAACCTTCGCCTTCTCAACGTTGAGAAGCAGTCCGGGCCCCGGCTGTGTGCTAGACTTGATGGAATCGCGCAAGCCATCGAGATCACCAGTGATCGCACTAACTGCACCTATATTTGTTCGCAAGTTGAGCAGCATCCTTCAAGTGGTCTTAGTAGAGTCTTACCGAGGAGGATCTCAAGGTTATTTAGCGACGGCCCGGATTGGTCTTGCATATTCTGACCCTTGATGATGTCCTTGAATGAGGTCTTTGTGTTAGTCATTAACACGTGTGGATAACCAAGGATAGGGGCTCCTTTTACTTACTCGAAGGATGGACACGGCAGCAAGGTCATTCTGCACATCTTCTTCCGTGGGATCCCGACTAGCGAGCTTATCGTGTATGTCGGAGCCTCCGAGGGCGTTTCCCAGATCAGTGAGTTTGCTTTGAATCTCGATGATCTCCGTAGTAGAACTTCGAAGGAGGTTTGTGGCGTCTCCAGAGATAGCCTTCAAGGCATCTATGGCCGTCAAGCGGTCGCCAATTGTTTTGTCCACCTGTTGTCGCAGACTATCATTGTCTGGATCCATGAAGAGCTTTTCAAGGTCATCGAAAATAGCATCTTCCGCGAATTAGATTAGTCGAAAGATAAGAACAGGATGTAAGGATCATAGCGAGCGGTTAGAAAGCTGAATTATAGTATAAATCATCTCACCATAGTCTGGTTGAGCGGTAGAGGCAATGTACAAAGCCCGATCACAGACATCCTTAACCTTCTGACAACCGATCTGTTTCTGTCATCAGTCTGACATAATAAATAGCATTAGATGGGGGCGCTAAGTAGGCTTACTCGGAGGTTTGCTGACGATTGTTGGATCTATGTTGCTGTAATTTAAGTTCCTCTCGTTGTCGAATTGGTGCATTCCACCTACCTCCTGAAACCTCTCAACAATAGGCCATACGATGCTGTACAGCTTTTCTCTCGTTAGCGCTAGAGCAGCCCATTGTGTGCCAATCTAAGCCGTATAGACAGCTTACAGCTTGAATTCCATTCTCTGACAAGCCTGTCTTGTAGTTTATCATCATCTCACTAGCAGGCAAGTCCTGAGCAGCCCAAAGGGCGTTGGTGAGCTCCGTGAAATTGGGTCCATCGCAGCAGAACTTGTTGTTAATCAGTAAGTCGCGAGGAGAAAGAAATCCGTTGGATGACATTCTGTAAGTGTCTGTATTTGTAGTATGTCAGGTATGAGAAGTATGTTCAGACCTAATGTTGAGAAGCAGCAGAAGTTCTACAAGAACCTCTCGACTTCTCTTATAAGAATAGGATCCAGTACGATAGAGGGTCATGATACTTGTGAAGGTGGGCGACCGACTGTAATGTCAAGTCATATTTCCTACTTCAAGGAGGTGGTACCCTTGGAACCGAGTTTCTTGGCCGACAAGCCATCCTCGCTCGCCATCCTTGATGTGTACTGTATGATTCATCACATGATGGTGTTGACTAGGTCACCCCTGTTGATGTTGATGGTGCTCCAACAGCAGATCCTCACAGAGCCGGTATAATTATAAGGGTGTAATCATATATATCAGATACTGCTAGGTAGGCTATCGAACAGGACGAGGGGCAAAAACGAATAAAAGAGATAAAACATCGCGGCTTGCCTATCCCATACTAGTGTCGATCATACAATCTTGAACTATTGGTTCGATAGAAATTGGAGAATCAGAGAAGGCGTCCCAGCTGGTAAAAGACGTGTGCGACAATAACACGATGCTCCTGCAATATTGATACCGCCGTTTCCACGAACCCTTACTACATGATACGTCATCCGTAGCATCAAAGGAGACTTGACATGGGTGTTTAAATGCGCTCGAAAAGTTACCCTAGCATTTTGAGAGGAAAAAGAAAGAAAGAGAAGAAAATAGAAGAATCGGCACGTCGACATGACCATTCTGCTGTCTGGATTTACGCCTTGGCTTTACGGGCTGGGTCGAAGCGGACATGGCCAGTCCACTCGAAGTCGACCGCTGTAAGGTTATCCAGATTAACACGCTCCGGATACAATAACTTGATCGTCCACTGCGTGAAAGGCGTGGGCTCCGCATGTTGGCTAGTCTCATAGATGGCATGATCACGTGTCTCACCAATTTCCCCCGACTCCTTCAAATCATAGGAGAAGCGCTTGGACTGGGGCAGGCTGGCGAAAGACAATACCTTTCCCTGGTTGATATCGGAATAGACGCCGGAGGTTGAGAGCTGCAAGACTACGATGACAACTCCATTCTGCACCTGCCCTGGCACGGCCTTCGCGCCACGCAACGTCGCCTCCACGCCATCAAGGCGGTAATGGGAACCATCGACGAATTGACTTGCAAAACTTGGGGTGTTGTCCCCTTCAGCTTTTGGGGCTAGCGTGAAACTGGCTGTATGATCGGGGCTTTTGAGGCCATTAATGAGAACTTGGTGATAGTTTGAGGGTAGCTGTGTATTTTGTCAGCTTTCTAAAGGAGATGGAAAATACTGAGAGCCCTACCTGATCAGACGGGATATCGTACGTGAACACTGTTTTTCAGCGGAATCAGCTTTGGCCGTGTTATATGTATAGAATAGCATCTACTCACGCTGAAAATCACTAGCGTATTGAGACTCTACATTCTCCATTTCAAGCTTGATGGTGGCGATATCTTGTTTGTAGTCTGCGCCTGATTTCTGCGAATCCAAGACAACACTGCTATCTTCGAGAGTGTAATACTTATACGCCCAAACTATGTTCTGCATCTCAATGGAAAGGCTGATTCGGAGACCCATGAAGCGATCGTAGAATTTGGCTTGGGCCTCAGCATAAATATCTGCTTCACCCTGGTATTTGTCGTGCAAGTCCTGAAGGCTCTGAATGTCTTGTTGGCACAGTATAACCTCCATCTGAGCTTGGACGTATTGCTGCCCAGCTTTGACGGCTTCAGCCTGGGCCTGGGCCAGTTGCTTACCATCAATGGCATTTTTGCGTAAGGCGAGGCGATAGTCAGAGGCTCCTTCGATCCCCAAGCTGACCGCGACGTCCATTTGCTGATCAGATTCCAGAACCCATTTATCCCAAGCCGCGAGTGCAACAATGGTAGCTGCGTCAGCATCTCCCTGGCTGGAACCGGAAATGTTATTAGTGGGAGGAATTGTGGCATTTGGATCTGACTCTGTACCCTGAACAGCGTTGACAATGGCGTCGACCAGTGGATATAGCTTCTCAAGAGCTGACATACAGCTCCCGAGCTTCTCCAGGGTGCCAGATGTCAGCACCTTGTTTACTTGGCCGGCGATTTGCTCTGCTTCTTGTACTGTCTTGACAGCCTGTGCAACCTCGACTGCAGCTCCTGCTCCAGTATTGGGATCCCCTAGGCAAATGGTACCGATTCCAGCAGCAAAGTCTTCGGTTAGATTAGTCATGGTATACTTCCTATGAGGGCGTGCAACAGAAACTGTGATGCTTACCGATAATTGCAGTAAGGATGGAGAAGACAGCCTTCATCGTCTGTTCGAATTTCCACTTCTCCAAGCCGACTTCGAAGGCTACCCTGGCATCATTGACCTCTCCATTGTCTATAACCATCTGGAACGAGCAGTTAGACGCAATTTCCCGCGCAGAGTCATATTTGGTCCTAGCCGTATTACGGAGATTCTCACGCATGCTCTTCTCGTCGATGGCCTTTTGGAGCATTGTGTCCCAAGCGAGCATCTGGTCTTGCAAGGACTGTCCTTTGTCTAGAAACCGATTGTACTGCGCTTCAAAAGCGGATAATGCGTCTAGGGCTGAATCCATAGTGTTTAGATACTCGGAGATTTTCAATACAGGCGCATAGCTTGCGTCGGAGCCTGTCATTGCCCGAGCAGAAAGCTGCTGACCCAAAGCAACCGCCTGTGCGTTGATTAGCGGATATTGTTGTGGTAAAACAGTTACAGTTGCGACGTGTGCACAGAGTGAGACTGATATTGAAATATTCCTCCAGAAGAGCGCTAACGCGACTCGGAGTTGTGTCTGTAGAAGGAGCTGGAAGTCCGCGTGGGTATCAATGAAGTATCTCTTTTGGTACTCAATTATGACGGAGCCTGAGGTGAAGCCGGCCACAACCCCTACGTTTCCTGTTCCCGAGCCAAGCTCTAGGGTTGTGAGGTTAGAACCAGCTGCAGAAACGCTGATAGGTTGGTCTACGATTGAGGCGTAGAGTGAAATAACACAGGAACCCGATGACTGGTTAAATTTCAGGTGTACTGGGCCGTCTGCAGTGAGAACCCTCGCAACTATTTGTATGGTAGCATTTGCTGGGGGAGTGAGGACAGTCTCTAGCTCTGTTAGAGCGAGAACATCTGCGTAGATATAGATTCTTGACGCAGTTGTCTTAAGCAGACTGGAACCATCGAGGTACACGCCTCGGAAGATTGCTATTCCCTGTGGTTCTGTAAGAAATAACCTCTAGGAGCAGATTCCATCTCCCCCAGTTGTGATGAAACTTACTGTTTGATCGTCTACTGCCTGAGCTTCTCTCAAAGGGATGCTCGCCACTGCGTCCAAATCGGCGTACTCCTTCCATTCCGATGGCGAATGAGGCTGGCTAGAAATTTCTGTCATGTTATATTCTAATTTGGATTTCCTAATGATTGAATCATAATTCATCTGCCTGCGGTAGTGCTCATGCCCGTATTATATAGCAAGACCTTTGTCAGACGAAAGCTGCGCCCACACCTGGAGCCGTCCTCTGTTCTATTTACCCCTTAAGGTTACTCTCAGATTTTCGTAATAGAGAATTATTATAGTTATTCTTTGTTGACATCACCAACATGCCCCTACTTCGACTCTTCACGTTTGAAGCGAGACCTGCAGAATCATGATGAGCGTGCGCGAACATACTTCAACCATTGGTTGGGTAATAAAGCTCTCCCTAGCTGTGATCAGAACCTGGAGCCATAGTTGTCGGTTCCTATTGATGCCTTCAGATCGTTCGCATGAAGCATAACACACCATAATGCTTTAGATTCGGTCCCGATGCAGCATGTGCTTGTCTGTTAGTGGTCCTTAGGGCGGCTCCAAGAGGTTCTAGATTGAAGCCAAACAAGATGGTCTGGTATGAAATGAGCTTGATGGCCCCTTTACGAAGTATGTTCTCTGTCATTGACGTTGTATTTAACCTGTCAAGGTGGGTGGCCTGCCAATCATGAAATTGCATACATCACCCCGGTTCAATGCCGATAGGTGTGGCGTTGCCAACTCCTACCGGATTGGGCCACACCTGCAGCTTGGGGAAGAGACATCTCCGAACCTCTTTGATAGTCATGGTTCTTCAACCAGCATCACAACAGAAGTCCCTTGTCCTACCAGAAGCATCTACCCTTGCACGCTAAGTAAGACACCACCCTACTTATGCAATCTCTCTAGAAAGATGCTCACGATTGCCTCATTTCTTGACCAGTGTGTTGCCTGTTACGTTGAAGTACAGATCAGCACGGCTTGTCTGCACATCCAAGATTCACGGCTATGCCGGCCCGCTTCCGACTTCATCACGATTCTGATGTTCGTATACGAGTTGTTGCCGAGAGATGCGTCGAATCGCTCCCAGTCAAGCCCTGTACATGTGAATGCGTGTAAAGGTGACGCATGGATGATGACTTGTTTATGCATCTCAGTATTCAATACTTTTCTGAACGGGTTGCTTTTTCGAGATGTCAATGACACTTAGATCTGCACATAGACGCTCGGCGCGGGATGAAGAGGTACTGGGGCCAAAGAGCTTCAGATAAGGAATCCCTTCATAGAGGAGGCCGACCGGCAGATCGATGATGGTGGTTTGATTGTCTCATTGAGAGCTGGGTGTCAGCAAGGTCGGGGGAAGGTGGAGGAGTCTCCTAGGCAGAACCTCAAGAACGAACAGTCTCGACATAAAAGCTCGCTGTCATCCATCCAGTTTTGGTTGAATATTCGACCTTTCCGAACCTCAATAGCACGATTAACTCTAACTGTCTCCCTCTGAATATCAATTCAAGTTTCGAAAACATGGCGACATTCGATCCCACTAAGCCCATTGACGACCCAGTCGTCTGGTATCCTCAGGGTATGTATATTCAGCAAAAGACAAGAGTTGGAGATGATCAGGTCTTCATCTTGTCTTCAACCGACATGAGTGCACTCAACCGTTATGCGTGGACCGGTAGACTGCTCGCGACTACTCGTGACGATTACAAGGCTAGCATTGGCATTTCCGACGCGAGCCAACTGAGTGACTCGGTCTGGAGCGCTGTGGATACACTGCTCGGCAAGTATTCAACAGTATGTATTCTAAGGGCCATGGTATTGCTTAAAGGGTTCCTGAATAACACCTTCAAAATAGATCAAGTCCGATACCACCCAGTTCTTGGATGTAACTTGGCCAGGTATTGTTGACCTTGCGAATAAGATCTACGATTTCTCTGCTCTTGCTGGCGGAACGCAGAATAGCTCGTACTATGCCAACATGTTGAAGTGGGTTGGAGCGTACAACGATGAGCTTCAAAAGCCAGACCCCGACGAGAATATGTTGCTTCAGTATCAGTTGTCAATCCAGCAAATCACCAAGCAGATGTATGACAAGACTCAGACACTGCAGGTTATGGCCAGCCAGAGTAAGCAGGCTTTGAAAGACTTTGAAGAAGCTACTAGAATCAGTCAGAACAACGTTCATGCCAGCGATGACCAGTTGACGAGTATCTTGGAAGGCGAGGAAGGTGAGGTTGCAGAGCTGCGCAAACAGCTTAACGATGCCCTGGCAAAGGTAGACGAGTACCAGAAGGAAGTAGACGCAGGTAATGTTGACCCTTAGCAATGCCATTAGTAGAGTTTACTAACCCTGAAGGTTGTATGATGCAGATCGCCTCGCTGTTGAAGACACGGGCGCCTACAGCTGGATGTGAGTGGAGTTAGCCGTCTCAAAGCCCTAGCTAAAACTCTATCATAGCCCCTTTTTTGGTACGATCGCGACTCCCATTATCTGGAAAAACTACGCGGAAATCAAGGAACTGGAAGCCGCAATCTCATCCTTGAAGAGCACAATCGAGCAAACCAAAGCCAAGTTGGAAGCCGCCTTGAGGCTACAGGCTGATATCACGTCTATTACCGTAAGTGAAGGCATTACTTGTACAATTAACAACTTGATGGGGTATTGACATGGCTCTTCTTAATAGATACAAGTCGATAGCCTCTCTGGTCTCTTTGGCCCTGCTATCGAGACACTCGAAAAACTCCAAGGTGCCTGGGAGGTGATGGGCGCAGATCTCTTGGCATTGAATGGGTTGTTCACTGACTCGGGAGCGACAATTCCGCCGATGTTGATGGCGCAGCTGCAGCTAAACCAGATCATGGAGCAGTGGAACACGCTGAAAGACTACGGTATGTTAATCATAAACAGCTATCTAGGGAACACGGAGGCCTGACGTTTTGATAGTGAACAAGTATCGTGAAGTTGCCTACCTCAGCGACCAACCTTCAAAAGAATCCCTAGACAACTTCTTAGCAGAGTTAAGGAGCTAAAAACATTCATTGTGAGTGGGGTTTGAGAGTCTGAGGCACCTACGAAGGAAATCAAAGTACCTCTCGGTCTCAACTTAAAAAATTCGTGCGGGGTCAGCAAAGTTCATCTGATTTTGTTTAGTCTGTGATTGAACATCGCGTAGTAGTTAGTATGCGTAATACTGATAATACTAAATTGACTCTCTGATACCATTTCAGGGATATTCCTTATTCACTCCAATAACAGTAACCTTTTTCGCAGTGCAATATCCTCTTCACACTGGTAGCAGTTGTACAGTGGCCTTAGGAACTTTTCGGGCTTGGAGTTGAAGAAGGGTTAGCGTGTATTGAAGTGGAGGGCAAAGGGGGTGGCTAAGCTGTACGTCAGTGGCTAATCTTAATAGAGACAGAGAAAGAGGACTGAAAAACACATACGCAAAAGCAGTCACTAGAGACGTGTAACTAGCGTTGATTTGTTTTTAACGGCCGTGCCGTTTAGGTGAATTAAAGTTTAAGAAGTGTGACTGTTACAGGGTAGGGAGCTTAGCTACTTGTCGAAATTTTAAACTCATATCCCGAGTGATTTCAGCCAATCAGCTGCGTATGTAGGTACTTGATGAGGGAACCATCGCCACCTTCCTTTCCGACCGGCGCGGAAAGGATAAATAAAGTTCTTCCGGAGTGTATACTATAGGTATTCGAGTTGGCTTTATGATTCTGGACGATTGCGCTTCGAGCGGTTTTCTCACATTAAGTTGGGTGGAGGGGGGGCACCAATTAGGCCAGATAAGAAGCTCGAATCTTTTTATAGCCAACTACCTAGGTAGACTCCTTTATAAATGTGCGCTGTTGGTTAAGCCTTCCAAAAAGATATGGCAATTTTATAGCGGGTTGTTTTGGTTATGAGAATAATAGTGTAAAGGGTCGTTTCTTTTTTGGCCCCCCTGCTAAAGCTGATGTGATCGGCTTGCTGGGATCACAGCAAAGCTCGCCGTTTACCGCTAAGGTACCCCGGAAGCAGCTGAATCTCGCAGATGTACGGCTGCTACAGCACTTTAGTGGTAGGGATTACTGTGTGGATTACTACGGTCTTGTCAAAGCCGAAGCATCATAGTCGGTGGTATAAATTGGTGTGCTTATGCTGACCACAATTCAGCCATGATGTGAGAAATGCAACCATGAGGTATTTATTGATACTTGTTGTTACATGAGGGTCTCTGGAGCCTTCGTGGCTACACCAGGGCTGTATACAGCGAGTCTCTTAATCCATAGCCCTAGAATCGTAACAGTGACCCAGGGTCGCGACCGTGACACATGACAGGCTACGCAGTGCGCACGGAGGTATTTGAAGGTTTCGAATGAATAATGGGTGGTGTAACTGCCATTAGCTCAATAGAATATATAACTGGATGTAAATTATTGATTGAAATTGAAAAAAGCCTTGTATCAAATGTGGTGAATCTAGAATGCTAGCCTACGCCCATAAGTCTACAACGGCCAAAACTAGGACTTATACGAAACCATCAGGGTAAAGTTGCTTCAAACTATCTAGCCGGCTGGTCTTGAGGAAGGAATTAGGTCAAAGAAGCGAGAATACATCACAAATCAACTCGTGGGGGATCATCCTCACACTTAACCGAAATGCCACATTCTTACGTTAGACGTAGGTATCTCAGCTCAGAAGCCAATCAATAATAGCCAAATTAAGAAGTTCCTCAATTCTAGGATGGCACCCCGGAAGTATTGTTGCTTGATAACCATTTTGATGTAGGATAACAGGGGGGTTGCAAATTACAGTATGTCAGCAAATCAGGTAAAGAAGGAGGCTGAAGCACTTGTGCCTCGGCTGGGGTTTCCTGAACCTGTACATTTCTCTAGCCAATATCAATAATCACACAATTTGGGTGTACCATTGTGGTGGCTATTTGTGTATTAGAGAAGGATCAGCACTATTTTTACAAGCAGTAACCAAGGCATTATCATCTGCTTAGAGTAACTCCTTCATTTTCGTCTTTCATAGAAAATAGCTCTATCGGCTTACAACTGCGAGCTTAGAGAAGAATTTTCCGTTGCTATCTACCAAGCTCATCGGGCATACCCTAAACATTATTGGCCTCTTAATACCGGACAACCCACTATTGGTATTCAACGAGGGCACCAATGGCAAAGGCCTCAGACTGTCCCGAAGACTTAAACTCCACAGATTGTCTCTTACGAGTATTACTACAGACAATCGATGATCACTTCGATGAGTATGACTGGGATCCAATTACCTTTGGTTTTACAGTACCAGTTGGTATCATAGCTGCTCTTTTTGCCTCTTTCACCCTGTACCAGGCGATTATATATACCGGCCGAGGATCACGCAGATCTAACAGGAGGGCTATCGGTGAATGGTCATGCGATACAACTAAAAAATGGGATTGGCATGATTTATGTCGAATCTCCACTGCCCAAACCCCAGTCCTCAAGACGTCTGATTTTCTGGAAATTCGCCAATTCCGAGGCGCCTTCCAGAAACGCCATATGCTACCCACAGACAACCCCGCGGTAGCAGGCTGGCATGGTTTCCTAGACGAGCTAGGCTTAGAGTATTCGGAGTTACAAGGCATGCCAGCGAGTCAGATAATTGCGGATTATCTCCCTGATGATCTTCTGGCGGTCCCTGCGCACGGAGAAGTAGGGTTCATTGTCGCTGCAGCTGCTGCAGCAGGCGCTCATTCTTGGGAACCCGATAAGCGATCGGGGTATCCCGCAGTCCTCGGTGAGAGATTTCAATTCGAATTCCGAGCCCATCAAACATTGGGCACAGTCGGCGCTTTCGTTAAGTTCGAGCACAATGACGGCAGTCGACGCCCGCTCACTTTGGGGCAGCTCAGGATAGCGCTGTTACAAGCTCGAGCGGATCTGGAGGTCAGTTTCCTTTTCACGGGCTGGATAACGTGGGACCGTCAATTCAATGCCATGAATGACTCGAGCAATCTTTTCAATAAGTTCTTCTACATGACCCCTCAAGCATCCTCCCACAACTGCAGAAGTGGTCTATGTGTTCATAGCAAGCTATCGAAGAACAACGAAGACAAGTATCACTTGGCGTGGCTTTTTGCGGTGGATACACCAACAAAACCTCCCGCAATCTTCCCTTCAACTCTCGTGTTACCAAATCCGCACATTTTCAAATTACTTGCTTTCCACAGCAGCTTTTGGTCAAGCATCGAGACTAGGCACGCTTATTCTTGGGTGGGCCAAACTACCGCGGCACCAAATTTGATACCGGGTGCTGAGGAATGGCACAACCCTGATGATGTGTCGCGAGTCGAACGCGATGACCTTGCTCGCATTCTCGAGTTTCTTGACGAGACGAATCGCGAAAACAACGAAGGCTTTGACTCGGGATTCGTTGATGATGGTGAAAATAATGACAATGAGAGCAGCGACAATAGCGAAGATTCTGAGCCAAGTCGATCTCTACCATTTGCTCTTAATCAAACCTTGTTCAAAGATCCAAAACGAGTTTACGTGTTCGGCTACGTTCTGGAATTGAGTGTTAAGTTCCTCTATGACAAGAACTCCATCAAGAATATAATGAGTTCATTACCCAAATTGACCCAGCAGTATGTTCGCATTATCGTTCTGTTACAAATTAACCAAATCGACAAGTGGCTGCGACCGATTGATAAGGTGATAGTCAGGTGTGAGATGAACTCTCTATATAGAACCACGTTAGCTCTTTTAGACACAAAAGAGGGCATTGGTCGTGGTGTATTTGACTCCGTTGCCCCGAAAGGGAAGGAAAATCCGTTCTGGGAGAAGAAGAATCGAACTGGTGGTGACATCTTCAGCGACTACTTTAAGACTTTGAAGTGTCTTAGTAGACTACTCAACGAGTTCGGGAAATTGGAGGAGTACGACATGGACGCTAGTGCTGGGAAGATTTCACTTAAGGGCAAAACCTATCGCATGATGACAACTAATGACAAGGCGAAGTGCAGTCAGATGACAACAAGATTTAGAAATCATGCCCCATCCTTGAGTTTTTTGACGCATGTTCGTTCAGGACGGACCGGATTTGGTCTTATGACTGAGGCTGCAGATATCAGTCTGTTTCTTCGAGCTTTAGGGAAAGTCGAAGCAATTTGTAATCGGAGCCGGTTATCTAACGAAGCCTATCTGCAAAAAGCGAGTAACCACAATTTCGATGATTCATCTCCGCACTCTCAAGTTCTGGCAGAGGTGGAAAATACTCCCGAGGCAGATACCACTACATCAAAGGCAGAGGGGAAGGAGTCGCTACCCGAGAAGGATACTGAGACTGAGAAGTTGAGAGACACAATACGGGACGTCTTGATATGGAGATGCATTCTCATGGGCATTCTCTTTTCAACCGCTCCAGATAATAGCGATATGTTGTCATCTGGAATGTGGGAACGCATCGTTCCTATTATATAGGCCATATCCCGCAGGCTATGAGTTGGGAGGTTACTGTTGTATCATCATAGGGCCTTTCTTTGATCAACTCTTGCATCACGCAGGAGTGGGTTATATTTCGTTGTGACCAATTGCGCAACAATTTGTTTAGATCGTCACTTAACCGCTTACTGTGTTCGCTACCTTACTCTCCAAGCTCAGAGTTTCAATCACAGAGTGACCACCAGTCAGCGTGCATCGATAGACTATTTATACATCAAGTAGACACATTGTCACGACCATTAGTAGCATGTAGGGGGTCATTAAGGGTCAAGGTCGCCGGAGATGAACGGGGCGTATTCAGTCCGCATGATGGGAGTACATTAGAGCTAACACAGCCGCAATAGCATGGGCATTTTCAAGGAAGTTCAGGGCCATTTCCAGCTTTCCATCAGCCAACAATCTCTTATCATAAGCGCACCGCTTGCCTTGATCGCCGTTCTGCCTGAAAATCATTGAGGCCCTTATCAGCGATACTGTAGTGGTTAATATCGTAGCCATATCACCAGTCTGTCTTGCCTTCTCAACGATTATTATCAGTTCAGTTAACCCAGTTGGCGCACGTGTTTCTTGATGCCAGTCGCACAACTCATCTACCAGTTCCGTCTCTATGCCGCACCAGCACTGAGTTTCGACTGTCTTGACGCGCTAAGCGCTATCTGTTTACCTTCAAAGCTCGGCAGAGAAGAGCTAGCCCCTGAGTCTGTTTTCGTCGAACCCGATCTCAACCAAGATACAAAAGATGAAGGCAGCTTAATAGAAATTCTCGAGTCCTTGAATATCTTTGGAATAGAAGGTACGCAATAGACCAGAAGGACGCATGTTAGTTCGGCAATAGCCCACACGGCCACGGCGGATGTCTGGTACGTCTTGTCGTCGTCGAGATAGAGATGAATGGAGGCATCTACCTTAAACCCGCCCGAGATGATGGTACTATACGTAAAGACGGCGTTAGGTACAGCGGCAATGCAAGATGGAAAGAAGAATATGAGAGTTATATAGGTAGAGCGTGAGAGTCACCTACAGCAGCCCAACAAAGAAGATGAAGGCGATACCAATCTTCTTCTGAGTTTTAACCTGTAGTTTCCATATGACTCGTTGTGGGAGGAGCGTGATGATGACATCCGAGACTAGATTGCCGATAGCACCGGCAATGTAGATGATTTCCCGATTCGCATGACACGTTCCCACTGCTGTCTCGTCCCATATCCTATAGTACGGTGTACAGGCGACGCATATAGAGATTACTATAGAAGAGTATAGCAGGATATTGGCGAGAACCAAAACGTAAGAGGTCCACTAGGGTTGTATTTAACGTCAGTGGTCTTTCGCTTCTTCAACATAATAGATGAAGCACAGATATGCTACATATTATATTCTGAGCGACAAAGTCCGGGCATTACTTACATAGAATGTTCCCTTACTGCCACGGGGGACGAATATCCGTATCCACTGTAGAAGGATAGCAACCTTGAGGAGCATGATCGACACCGAATATAGAAGAGACCCAACATGGAGGAGCTAATGAGTCCGTCAAAAGAATTGTCATCTCAATATTGTCAAAAGCTGGGGTCTTCTTACATATAATGTCGGCGGCAAGTCCTTGACTCGGGCATTCCATTGGTGCACAAAGTACCCTACAGTAAATGGAGCCCGGTATAGCAGAGCGGAAGCACCGACGATAAGCCCCTAGCATTTTTATAATGAATTAGCCCCAGCTTTCAGTACAAGAGTTGAGAAGGATTGAATCTCACATAACTAGAAAGAACAAGAACTTCGTGAGTACGTTAGCAGTAGGACTAAAAGATTCAAGGTTCACCAGACTTACAATCTTCTACGTGGACTTTCTTCATACAATACAGCTTCGCGTATGCCGCTAGCGCGAAAACAATCGTCGATATGGAAAGACATATGGTAGTGACAGCTATCCCCAAGGTGTTCAAGTTCGGCGGATGGTCAAGATTTGACTTGACCCCTGGTGGTGGTGCGAGCGCAGGCCCGTTGAGGATGATTTCCTGAAGCCATTCAGGCAACTCGTGAAGCTGATCTAATGACATGGTCGGAATTCAGCAACTCGGAAACACAACAACTAAATTCGAAGGATTGTATAGAGCAGGGAATAGATTTGGAAAAGAAAGAGGGGCCAGACGTAGTGATAAATCCACTGGACCCTATAGACTGTTTCACAAGCCCTCACTAGGAGAGTCTCGTCAAAATGCCTTGCATCGATTTGCTTTCAGCTGGGTTATGTTTGATGTGATGTGATCCTTCCATGTTACCCCTTCAATAGAGATAGTAGTATGCAGAATCATACTACATGGACTATTTAGAGGTCGTGCAGGCATCTATGAGCGATGATTGCGGCGTGTATACCTTGTGTCCCACCTGATAGACACTTATCTCTCCATGCCTCGATGTGCCATTGAATCCCAATGCACGTAAACAAGGAGGAATTCAATTGGAAGCACCTTTAGATTCAGACTAGGCGCAATGGCAGAATGCAGGGGACTAATGTATTACCGTATCATCATATGCACCAACGGCCAGCGAAAATACCACACATCATCCTTCATCCTTTATAAGAACATACCTGCATACCGATTACTACCCTGTCCAAAGCTTGAAAGGAGACGAAGTTTATCCCGTGATACATGAGCCTCTAATGACTTATACACAGTCCAATCGGCTCCATTATCGGTCGGCCAGAGCTATCTGGGGGCCAAGACCTTGGGACCTTCTCATCTACCGAGCAGGGTACAAGGAAGTTCGGCCTGTTCCGGCCACCCTAGGTGGCCCATTTCCATTCACATTCCGAGTTTGATAGGCGGTTGTCACTCTTCACCACTATCACTCCATCACCCAACACTGTCATTGGCTTTTTATCATGTCGATTCTCTACTCTCAGCTGTGGTCATACCTAGAATCAGACGTATTTTGTACTTCCTACTTGTCGGAGGGAACAGACAAAGAAAATTTTCTGAATATGATTTTAGCAGTAGGGCTCGCGTAACAACAGGAGTTATCTGCCAGCCATACTTTGAGATCGTAACACGACCAGAAGGTTGAAAGGTGGTATTTGTAATCAAAATGCCGTACATACACCCCGCTCTAGGATGGGATGGCATTGGAAAGGAATCGACGGCCAACTTTGAGCACAACTTCTTAAAAGGTGGACGAATAAATGTTAGCATTGTCCAATAATGTGTATGTGTAACCAACCCAAACTCAAGCCAAGAACGAGCGAAGGGAGAGCGGGCGCTATACACAATCCGCGGGGGACCATTGGCAGGATTATTATTAGAATCTGGTAATGTGATAGTGATACACGGGTTATTGAAATGTTACCGTGTCAGTATTGATAACTCCTTTCTGTCCCCCAGCCCCAAAATGACAATCGCGTCATCATTAATCATACCTCATAAGGGACGATGATAATCAACCGCCACCTGATATATGATTTTGGGTTTTATGGAATAATACACTTCACAGCGAAAAAAAAAAAAAAAAAAAAAAAAAAAAGCTGAACTGGCTATCTGTAGCTTTCATGTATGCTGTGTGACATGAAACCATCCCTGCTTCCCTCAACGCTCCCATTCAAAATCTGACTGTCAGACGTAGAAAGAGATTAACTCCAAGTCCGAGCATCCATACTGCATGTCAAACACTATCCCAAGGTCGCAAGTGTTCAATTCGGGCGTCTTAGTCCCAAAGACCAGGAAGTTTGAGAAATGCTATGTTGACGTCCTCTCGAGAATTGTGCTTTTGCCTAAAGCCCGGACTCAGCTAACAGTATACGTGTTTTTGATCGTTCTGATTGGCTTGCAGCTGAGTCCCGGCTCAAAGCGATAGTGAGGACGCACTTGGTGAGCTATATTCCGCGCGAAGGCTTGAATTTAGGAGGCGGCAACCTACGCAGAAGCTGGCACGATATAACAAGGGCAGGATTATTGGGCTTGGAATCTATGCAATTCAGATTATAATGAACAACTAGGGCTGTTGGTGGCTTGACTTGACTCTATATACAATTGGTCTGCCAGCCCAGACCGCCTAGGTCTCTGGCGTCCGTTTCAAGAAGCGAAGTCTGTATAACCTCACTTTCCAATATTGCTAAATATTTCCTGCATGTCTTGAAAGATCATGAACAGCCTGCAAAGGTCCTTCGTACGGCCGAAGTGCAAGGCGAACTGCATATTCAGCTTAGCACAGAGGTTGCACGTGTAACACACGAAGCCACGATGGCATCTAGTTCTAACCTCCTAAGCCGGGTGAATCCGCGCAGATTGAGCCACTGAGATATTTTCAGGGACACGGCCCGCAGGCAAAGCTATTCTGCCATCATTCTTCTTCATTTTCATGTACGTATCGAGAGTTTCAGTGTGTTGTCTGTCGTAACTTGAACCAAGATCTTCAGAGCCTGATTGGATAGAGGGCTGGGCACCTTGATCAGGCAGGAGTTGTGGTCTCAGATACGGTGCCATAATTTCATGTATACCAGAGTAAATTATATGAGAGGAAAAGCTGTGGGATGCGTCGTGATTCTATTCTGGGGAGTAAGTGCAGTAGAAGAGAATTGACAGTTGGTGTGGGCGACGGTACGGCCTATGTATAGTCAGACATTCAGTGATTCGAAAGATCGGAGCGTTCTAAGGCTCTGCATCAAAGTCGTGTGAGGTATTATGAGCCCCTTCTAGAGTTAGCTCTTGGATATTCGCCCTTGCACGGACCGTAGGCCGATTCTCCTCTGGGAGTACGTAGGTTGTGGTCGCAGATTTTCATCAGGCTTGGCACTGTAAGTCAATACTAACGGTGATGGATATTTTGGACCCCAACCTCCGTACACCTGCTGAGCTAGAGTAGGGGCACATATACAGGCTCAAAGCAAGCGCGCACATGTTTACCGAGGTGACTACGTACGACATGGTGATAAATTCCGTAAGACCATTCATTATGGTATTTCCATCACATGATCATCAATACAAATGTCAATGAGGGCTACCTTGATAATCCAGAGTAATATACAAGGGAGAAGGGTACATAAGGTGCTACGAAGGCTCTTAGCAAAGTTGAGCAGAAAGTGAAAAAGAGCTAGCTATCTATTCACCTTCATTTAAATGGTCTATATAGCAATTCGAATACGTCATGATGCTCATTGGACTCCAGAATGCCTGCAAGCCTTAGTATTTGACGATATAGCTGACTCAATCATCTGCTGTCTGATAATGTACTAGAAGTATTCGAATCACATGTATTGACGGACTGAAGATACTGTCTCTGGCTGTTGAAGATGTATACAAACACGGTACACCTAGTTAGCCTTGCTATCGCCATCTCTCTTCTTCACGATCATGTTCGTGGTGTTGTTCTACGAAGCCATAGGTGGATAGTTTCATCATAGGTAGGTTTCGTAAGCAGATATCAGGTGGAATAAAGATTCGGCATTAGTAAAATAAACTCTACTCAACCTATTCTAAAAGTTAACCTGCTGGTATATATATCATTTATATAAGTATAGTTCTTCGTAGACGTTGTAACTAACCTAATTTCCAGTCGCCACTGGCACACATTAATAGATGCCAAGACATGCTCAAGCTTTCCCCGCAAAAGCCCGAGCTGCCTAGAACAGGATTTGTAGAAGCCTACAATAGCTGCTCACCCCACCTATATAGGTCCTAACCTAGGTATCTGCTAAGTACCTTATAGAGTAGGTAGGCATATTAATTGATAAAGTAAGCGAGGCGGTGCAAGAAAAAAGTGAGAGACTCAACAGCTCTGTGTTCAGTGCAGAGTCCCTCACTTTTTTCTTTCACCGCCTCGGTAAGCCACTGTAGAACAACTACTGTAGGCTGTCTAGGCGGTCGCTCTAGGGCTGCCGTGGCGAAGTGGATTCCGTCATGATGCAGCGGCCAATCGGAAGCGGGTAGGGCGACGATTCCCAGTCCAATGTTCTCCATGCTCTTCTGTCAATCAAATTCATCCAAGGTCGTATGTTCGTTCCACTGCCGGCGATGCATCTTGATCTTGTCAACCACCACCATCAGACCACCGCGCCACTCGAGCCGCCGTCTTGTCGCCCATCCAACTCCCGCGCTCCGGAGTGGTGATCTCCTCAAAATCCTCACCTGAAACAACATAATTATCAAACCCTACTTACACCACCATCTTTGACCTTTAGAACCCCGAGCCAGCCAGAAACCAACCGACCGACCGAGCCGGCGACAGACAGAGAAGCAGATAGTCAGCCTATTCTTCTCCAACTCCAACAGACCCAATACCACTCGACCCAATTCCATACAATCCAATTCGGCCCAACCGAGCATCTTGACCCAACTCCCCACGATTCTGTTTGCTGGGCTGGGCCAACTCGTCCATCGAATCCAACTTGAATAAATGCTCACCTGGACTGAACTCAACTCAGTTCAGCGCCGTCGGCATATTGTATTTCTGTAATCATGGTTCTCACGCGCACAACCAACCATACCTACTCTCACCCCTTCCCGACTGTCACCCTCGCCTTCTTTCTCCGCTACTACTCTCCGCAATTGAACCCCTTCTCTAGCCATGTTCTCTCGACCGACACCATCTCATCCCACGTCGACCCCACCACTGGTCGCCTCCACACCACACGCATTCACCTGAAGAAGTCGCGCATGCCATCCGCTGTCGTCAAGCTATTGCCGACTAGCGTCACTGGTGGTGGAGGAGACAAGTCAAGCTATGTTCTCGAGACCAGTGTGGTGGACATGAAGGAGGGCTGGATGAAGACAGAGAGTCGGAACCTGAACTTTACCGGTGTGTTGAGCGTCGTCGAGGAACAGCACTATTCGACCTCGCCTCCAGACGCTCCTGGCTCGGCTCCTATCAATACTACTGCGCTTACTATTCCTCGGCCTCTCTCTCCGAACACTTATGTCACAACTACCCTTTCTTATCGGTCGACGCTCGGTAATAAGAAGCAAGACCGAGCCCCTGTAGACTCGGTAGAGACTTCGGATGAGCCTGGGCCACGTCGTCTTGGCACTTGGATCTCGGGTTGGGGCGCCAGTCGCATCCAGCGAAGCATTGAGTCGATTGCATCCAACAAAACCGAGGATCAGATCTCCAAGTCTCGAGACGGTATGGGAATGGTCCTCGAACGCCTACGAAACAACGGGGTTGTTTCTGTGCTGAGAGAGTTGAGGCGCCGAGAGGGAAAGGTCGCATTCGACCAGTAACTCTTCCCCTGACACGGGGCCTATCATATCTCATTGTAGTATACGGTCACTTTTTATGAACTTCACAGCAAGGCGTTGGGATCGTCTTTTCATATGGGGAACGGAAAACGATATCGGATACGGGACATGGCAGATGGACTGCAATGAGGCAATTTGGACATTGCCTTCCAACGACTTCGCGATCTTCCACCTTGAAGCGAACACGGGGGGTATATCGCACCCACGTTCATTACTCCTCTCATGTATGATATGTTGTTTGGCTCTTCCGTCCACCTTGTATCCTGTTCCAAGGGCGAAACACTTTTGTATAAATCACGAATCAATGACACATGTTCATTCGTATTGATTGTCTTTCAGTCGCTTCCTCGTGTGAATAGTGACTTATGGCCCATATTGTTTGTTACCTCTGCCTTGCCGCGGCAATATTTGAAGGCGATTACAACACTAACACCTCGTGCATGGGCAATGTTGTCACATTATCATAGTCAGGCTCTCCTCTCCGTAAGCGTAAATATTGAGCTTCTAAGTCGTCCCAGGCCCATGCTTTCCCTTTCGGTATTGTAGTATTCCTTGTAATCCACCTGTTCAATTCGGATGCCTTCGAAATCGCCTTTGATTCCCATGTTGTGTGTCAAAGGACAACCATTTGCTCCTGCAAATCGTCTACCAACACAATAAATTACCATATTAGACAGCCACGGTAGAAGGCCGTAACGAAAACAAAACCCATCGCCTGAAAATGATATGCTTGACTCCAATTCCCCTTCTCACCATCACACTCCCAAGGTCACTTAGCAACCTCCTCCTCAACAGCCTTCTTCAACCCCACCGTCCACTTCTCAAACCCAGCGACAATCTGCTCCCTAGGCAGCACATACCCGAGCAACCCACCAAACGTCTCCCAATTAGCATACTTGGTCCTCACGCTGCCGTCCTCAGCGACATATTCCACGAACTCCTGCACGCGCTCCGAGCGCAGCAAGAAGGTCGGGAAGGACGTGCCCTTCCACGCAACGCGATACGCCTTCCCACCCCCGTCTGCGGGATCAAAGGCCTCGAGAAACGAGACATCGAGCTCGACGGACCGCGTCCAAGACCCGCTCATCACAGCGTCGAATCTAATCCGAGCACCGGGCGACACGAAGCCCGGCCGCGCGGCTAGGGCCTGCACCTCCGGCGGTAGCGGCGCCGAGGCATTATCGTCTGGCCCGGACGTCAGGACCTCGGCGCGAGGGATGAATGTGTTCCACGACCCGTAGTGTGGGAGATCGAGGACTTTCTCTAGACACTGGAGGGCTGGCGCTGCGAGCTCTGCCGCGCAGGCTACGGTGAAGACGCCGCCTGCGCCGTAGGTCGGGACGGGGATTGGAGGGACACATTTGGGTTCTTTGGGGAGATCTGCGGGTGCTAGTGACATTTTGGATTTGCTTGAGTTTTTTATTTTATTTGTATGCTTGTTTTGATTGATGAGCAGGTAATGTGAGAGGGTGTTTGTCTATTCGTTATGGGTGGTCAAGTCGATGGATGTTCACCAAAACTTAAATTACATAGGTAAGTACCTAGTAGGAGGTGGGCTGATAGGATTGTGAGAGTATCTGATTCATTCCCTTCCGTATCTTATAGTAACAGTTCATAAGAGTGAAACTTGGACACTGCAGATATGGTTCCTCGAAGTTTGTACACCTAAGTAGGTATGTATGCTATCTCGGAGGCGTTGATGATGTCTGTGGAACCAAGCTATCGAGGATTCAGTATCCCCGGTGATCATCCGCGCCAAGCCAACATGAAGCGCGGCCCATATTACCCAGGCGTTTTTCGCCAGAGAGAAAGAAGCATTCACAAATCCTACGTTCACTTGAAGATGAGTATTGAGTATCATCTATTATTCATTCATTCGTAGCTCATTCGTCTTTTCCCGCTCTCCTATCCTGTTCTCTATATCTCATAGCCCGTGAGTGGTTCGTACCACCCAGCTAAGAAGCACTATCTATTGCTTGTCCTACATTTACACGTCGCGTATGGGTGCCAGACGAATATGTGTAAGCTCACTCTTTGCACGCCAGTTATCGCTTGTTCGACAAGGATAACGACGTTGTTGCCTTGTATACCCGTTGGCGAACAAATATCTTTCGATACATCAGGTATCTCGGCCCATTCGCAGGGGCCTGGTGGTTTGGCAGGTTATTTCCCCGGGCTGGGATTCCCAGTCACGCAATGCCCTGGCCAGCCCTGGTCACCCCGCGAAGCCCGCAATTCGCACAGATGGTGGGACAGTAGTCCCACAACAACTCTGTTCCAGCTACGTAGGATATGAGTTCTCAACCGGGGCGATTAGAGCCTCTATCTGCGTACAAGGCTGGTGTACCCCATTGGGTACCTATCAATGAACAGTTTGAGGCCCAGTTGATCTCTGGAAACTGTAGGTTCTCATCTGGAGGATAGATACAGTTGTGCCAATGTACCACTGCCCAGGAGGATTTGACGGCTCGAGAAGTTTTTCATTGATGCTTTCTTCTTTCCCGAAAGCGATGCGGAACCTATTTCACTGAGTTTTGCATCACCGTACTAGGTAGACTGTCGCTTCATCCTGAGTCTCTTGAATTATTCGAGTCATCCGAATTCGTCGACCTAATTTCAGAATATGTCGATCGGCGGCCTCTAGTTGTAGGGAGACGATATGATTGCTGAGTAAAAGACTTTAGACTGATGGTCGCAATTGGAGCCGGGGCACTTGGGAACTGATATTCCGCGATATCAGCGATATCGTCGCCTCTTTCAAGATCGGATATATACGCATGACTAGGCGTACGAGTACGTGGCGTGGGGACCCTTTTCGACGGGCGGGACCCAGGTTGCAAGATTCTCTTCAAAACAACGAAAACCACGGGCATACAACTGCATATGAGACCAACATTGAGTTCGGCAGCGCTATCGTGAATACATTTAGCGAGCAAACAAGAGCAAAGGACCAAAGACATGGGCATACCGTAGAGTGTAGCTAGGGATAGAATCCCATGTAAAATCGTATGATTTCAACTGAAGAACGCGAAATGCGGAACTTGTTATCGAGAGTGCGACGGCCCTAAAAACATGTCAGTCTGGAATTTGACACTCAATGTAAGCATCCTTACAAGAGCCCAGTGAGAAATATCCCCAGAATGCCAAGTTTCCGGTTGCGAGGCATTCGCAGTCCATAAACCATGCTAATTGGTATAACGAGCACGTAAATATCGGACACAACGCCGAACAGGCCCACTGCGGCGTTGAGGTTGTAGACTGGCTGAGAACAGTTGCTTGCCTCCAGTTTCTTAGCCCATTCCTCTTCGTCCGGGACAGGAGTCGTCATTGAAAGTGGCGTACAGAACCGAATATTGAGAATGACAGAAATAGTATAGAACACCACGATGGTCACAATTCCTAGCCAGATCATCACTCGCGCAGTTGGGCTAGGAGCGAATACGCGTAGATATAAGCTCAGAAGCGCCGTTTTGACGAATAGAGAGCTGACCGAAAACATAACTATGGAGCTAAGCGTCCGCTACACAACGTGTTAGCTCATCATGAACTGTCGAATTTGTAGTCGGCGTGAAATCGAGGACTAGACCGGTGATATGAGACGCTACCTACCCCCAAAAAGCTCTCATTGAAGTGGCTGAGAGGGACATTCCACTGGTGTGGACCCAGAGGATTTCCAAATACTAGCAAGCCGTTAGCATGAAAACCGATGAACATATGGACGATGCAGTCATAGTTCTTCCAACTTACATGAAAGAGAGAGCCCCGTGAAAGCCGTAATGCTAGCCTAGATCTCTTATCAGACGTTATCTCTCCCAAACATTGCATGGCAAACTAACCCCTGCGGCGAGAGAAAGGTCTTTTCACATAAACATTAGCGCCTTTCTCATTGCTATTGCACGCAACATTCAAGAAGAACTCACAATCATCGATTCCCAGTGAATTAGTGAATTTGACTCGGGCGTATATCCGAAGTGCTAGAAATATAAGCATTAAACCATACGTGAGGCCAACCACGATTCTCGCCAGCTCCTCTCGCGTTTCTGGATGATTGAAATCTGACTTGACACCGGGAGGCGGAGGTAAGGCGGGAATCTGGTCCAGCAGACTCCAGTCGTAGTCTGAATTGGCCATGGCGAAGCCTGATAGTGACGAGCGCACCTTATCGCTTCATTTCGATCGGTTTCTCATCAGCGGAGAGGAACCTGGGCTTGTGAAATAGCAAGGAGAGATCTGGAAATGAAAAATATGACAGCATAAGTAATAGCGAGCAGTAGAATGTCACTACTGTAATGTAAGCACGCTTTACTTCCCAGGGTAGGTGGCGTATAATGGGCATGGGTCAAAGTCGAATTAGGGTCATCAAAATTACCGGGTCCCTGCCGAATCGCGGCCCTACTTGTTACAGAAAAAGCTTAGAGGACCGCGGAAGAACGGGCGGGGGATGAAGTTGATCAAGATCTAAGGTCAATCTGGCAAAGCTTACCTACTTGAAGTAGTGTATTAAAGCGGCGATCACAGAAAGTGCCTTCCATTAGTGTATTGACACCACCAGGCTTGTACATACTGAATATATAAGTCCCTGCTACTAATGTACATAGTAAGTAGTTTTCTGTCAGATACCAATACACATGGCGATAGTCTCTGGTATGCACCCGCGACAGGTCTATACTTACGTGGTGATAGCAGTTAGGATGGATGCATTAGATACTACCTAATAACCTACAGACTCCCATGTTAACCCCGCCTGCTGTACCACAACACCCAAATCCTATTATTTCTCGCATTCGATGCCTTTTCAGTGATCACCAGAGCAGAAGGCTTGATGGACAGGATGGGACGCGTTTGAAGGGAGGATAGCGTTGCACCCGGAACCGATAGATACCAGCAGTACTATGGAAGGGTAGCGCACCTAAACCCTGCCCCCTGATCTAAAGAGGTTAAAGTAAGGTTACTAACCCTGTTGTTGGACTCTACTTAACGTACGTAATAAGTATTGTAACAGTGGCACCAGCAAACTACAATGTCTGGAACTTGAGGCATGTCAGAATTCACATTATTTATAAAGTTCCACGCAGCGAGTTCAGTCTCGGACCTGATAACTCCCGCCGATCCTTGCCGATAAGTGGGAGACTCTCGTCAGCATCCGCTTCTCACGCTTGTCTCTCTGATGATTACCGCATAGGTGTGTAGCTATATACAACTATGCAGTCATACAGCTACGCAAGCAGCTTACCTAAGTTCCATTGAGTACCATCATAGGCAGCCAGGGTAACTGATAGTTTCAATAGTAGTTTGTAACGATCGTAGTTATAGTTACTATTCCTGACTATATTCTGTTTAGGTCCGTACATAGGCACTCTCAGCACTCCTCTAAGCGGTAATTCACACAGCTTCAACGTGCGTCAACCAATCAAAAGCTACTCCAGACACACATAATTGCCTGCCGCGAAAATGAAAGTTGCATGCCGTTCTATATTGTAAGTTTCGTACTAAGAGGTAAGCACATGGCAAGGCAGACATTGCAGTTTAACATAGATACTGGCATAGTGGCAAGGCCACCACAGGAGCCTAGAGTGAGGCAATCGCAAGTCAAATACAGCGCCTCAAGCGAGGACACGACTCGACCTATTCGCCAGACCTTTTTCTAGCATTGAATCCGCAAGCGTTCAACACTCCGAATTGGCAACCGACCAACATTTGGCTACCAATCAGGCGGTTAAGCACTCGGCTCCCCTGGCTGCACCCCAGTGTTGCCGATCCATGCCGGCAATTGCTCTCTTATTCTGTATCCAACTCACACCTGTCCGATCGCATAAAGGCGGCCATGGAATTGCATGACAATCCTTGTCCGCGCCTCAAGTCAATAACGTGCGACGGCTCTGATGGACGCATGCAAGGTCACGCCTCCGATAAGCCAGCGGCCGCACTTCTATACCCCCCTATCTTAGGTCCCTCGGACATTAGACTGATTTCTTTGCTCCCTGGAAAACTTGAGGAGGACATTCACTGCGAGCTTGCCGTTTACGATCTGTCTTCACGGCTAGACTATGAGGCTGTATCATACACCTGGGCCGATGAGGCCAGTAACGTCGATTTATGCAAGACTCTGCTCGTCTCTGGGCAGTCTCTAAGTATCACCCGAAACTGCGAAAACGCCCTGAGACGTATCCGCAGTCCTACTGACGTGCGAATTATCTGGATTGATGCTGTGTGTATCAATCAAGATGACATTGACGAGCGGGGGCACCAAGTGCAGCTTATGTCCAAGATCTACTCGCATGCACGGCATATCCTAGTCTATATTGGCAGAGCGGCGAACGATAGTGACTTCATTTTCGACTCACTAGCTTCAGGTACCATAGCTTCATGGGACCCCCGCTTCAAAAGCGCGTGGAAACACCTGCTCCAGAGGCCCTACTGGACACGAGCATGGGTGATCCAAGAGACTGCAGCAGCTTATACGGCTACAGTCATATGTGGTGACAAAATGATCCCCTCGACACTACTATCAAATCATTGGTTTTTCTCGGCCTCGACCACCTCGTCATTGAAGGACGAACGCTTCTTTAAGCTGCACATTCTTGCCTTCCTAACTCCCAAATCAAGCACTAGACCTACGGGATTCCTTAATATATTGGACATTTCACGCATATGTCAGGCTAAGGATCCACGCGATAAAGTATATGCTATACTCGGGCTTGTGATGGATGAGTCCTACCGGAGGCTCACCGTCGATTATAACCTCAATGTCGAGGATCTTTACATCAAAGTTGCACTTGACCTAGCAGCGCAATACGGCTGGGCCAATGTCCTTCGTCGCGCTGGTATTAAGCATCGCTCAATCAAAACACTGCCTTCATGGGTGCCTGATTGGAGCCATCCCATCCGAGACTGTTCGGAAATGACCCTTCATCAGTTTTATGATGAAGCCGTACAGTACGACGAGAGCGATAATACATTATATCTAAAGGTGTGCCGTATAGGTTTCTCAGATCCCTTGAAAGTGCATCTCTTTGATACTGAAGCATATGGCGACTTTCAAAGTTATGATGATCAATCTAAAACACCTCAGCGCCTCTGCATAAGCCTTGGCATCTTGACACACAACCCAGGACTATCATATGTTAATATGGTTACGCATATGTGTTTTCATTTGTGTATTGTAGAACCCGCTCGTACCCAGGTGGCCATGGCACTATGTAATACCGATTGGTACTGCCTGAGGTCTCGTCTCCTGTCAGTGTACGACGTGGTAGCTGTGGTGGTGCTGACCACAGCCGGCGAGATATCCATATTTCTGGATTCGATATATCGCGTTGTCCCAGACCAGATTGGAGATCCCTGGTGTACGCTATTATCTTGGACCCAAAAATGCTCTTTCCATCAGATCCCGAAAGACGTATTACTCAAAGCTATCAAGCATGAAATGCGTCCACCGACCGAAGTTGATTCGCTGTGGCAAGACACAAACACATTCGACCCATTAATTCAAGCAAGGCTAAGAGCAGCAGAGACGAATGATGAGGATTATAGGATGCTACTAAAGCTTAATGATGCGATATGGAAACTTTTGGTCAGGTTGTTCTTATGGGAGGAGACACACGTCAAGATTACTTAAACACTGGATACGTAGAAGATTTAACAGTAGTTTCTGATAAGCGGAAGAGGAAGCAATTACATTAACCGTTAATAGTGTTTAAGGGATGGGTATGAGTCCAGCGCTCTCTACACGCAAAAATATTCGATGAGATCATCCTATCCATACCCCAAGATAAGTGCTGCTTGATCGAGACGACCTAATTCAACATGTTCCAAACAAACGTCGCAAAAAGACCTGAGGCTCCAATTGTCCATATATCGATCTGACGCCTCTCAACACCATTCGTCTCGTTGGGCGAGGGCGAAGCATCCCCTGTTGGCGTTGCGGTAGGGAGCCCCGCAGGCGTGTTAAATCCAGTGGCTTGAGTATCGCCCGTAGCAGCCGCAGCTTTAGATGTTGGAGTTGCTGCAGCGGCACCGTCACCTAAGTTCGTGGTCACCGATCCGTTGGGCGCCGTGTAAACGCCGCTGTTCGCATTGCCGTGGCCGCCCACGTCGTCGACGTATTCGCCTAAGACACGAGTTCGTTAGCCCTGACAATCCACAATAAAGAAGCAATAAAAAGGCATGTCCGCCGTCCTATAATGATGGTGGGCGAGGAAGATAGGACAAGTTATACGTACCAGTATCCCCGTTTAGACATAGTAACGAGCCATCCGTGTATCGGAAGCACACCTCGTCGCTGGCACACTCAAATGTCGCTCTCTTATCCTCGCATCCCACAGCATTGCATTGTCCTTGCTGAGCTGTCTCGTAGCAAGCTTGAAGACACGCGCTGTCATTACCGCAGTAATTGGCACAGGCATCACTGCCCGCAGGAGCGAAAGGCCAATCTATCGCGCTCGATTGCGTGCATTCCGACGCAATGGCCAACGGGACCACTGTCAATAGCACTGACGCCTTGGGGAAGAACATAGTGATGATGCTGTTTCAATTAAGGAAGATTCAAGATATGTACAAAGATCAGAGATTTGGCAAGCCAGAAAATTGTTTCTATACTTGTTGAAACACAATGCTCTCTCTGTAACTGAAGACAGCCCCTTCTCAAAAAGTAGTTCCCCGATCCCTTCTTATGCGAAACTACAACGAACACACCTTCAGGAAACCAAAGGCCTAGATGCTCTCCAGTGGATCAAGCTAAGAGACATCGAGATCCCGCTTGCTTTGTTAAGACCGCTCATAGTCAATCGTTAAGCTCTGGACGAGGTCGACTTGGCAGTCTAAGTGAACCGGCTGGATGGGCCCAACAGATGTCAGCCGCACATTAGCGCAGGCATATCGCAAAGGCCGAGACCACAAGATCCCCAGACAGCACAATCTACATGTATATAGCAATGCTAGGTTTTGTGGGATTCTTAAAGCGTGTTAGTTGGTCGCGTAAAATCGCCCATTACTGTCAAGCGCAATCCAATCATTTGGGAGAGTCTACTTCTCAACAGGCATCCACACCAACTTTGTCATTCAGAGGCATCCAACAGGTTGTTGTGCTTTTCACATTAATCGACCACTCGTAGCGAAGAACTCATTCTCCTATGACGGCGCGGCATTAAAATTGCACATCAATTTGCGCGCCTACAGCAACAACTTATGCTGGTTCAAGCAGGTGGACGCGCGCCTGCTCGCTCACGACAACACCAACGCAGTTTAGCGGCGCAGGCATGGTCGACAAGAGCAGCTTTCGCCGAGATCCCGACGGCCTGGCATGTGGCGCAATTCTACATATGGTGCGCGTAGATCCACGTGGAGAAAGGTGATGATGGCAATTCACGACGCCACCGGCGCCGCCACGGCGCAGATAACGGTAACGGCGCATCGGAGCTTAGACTACTTGTCAGGATCCCCGGAGACGAAACAGGGGTGCTGCTCCCGCAGTTCTGGTCCGCGCTGACGAGGTGCGCAACGCCCGGCCCCGCGCTATGCCCACCTGGAACCAAGGGGATCCATGTTGCTGAGCACCTCTGAGGCAATCAACTTGTCACACAGCATGAGAGAGAAAGGAGAAATCCTATCTACCTGCGAGTTTACCCGCTTAGGCCAGGGAAAGCTAAATATGCTGTTCATCTTGCACTTCGGCCGTACGAAAGGCCATTGCAGGCTGTTCATGATCATTCAAAGATATGCAGGTAATATTGGAAAGTGAGGTTATGTAGACTTCGCTTCTTGAAGCAAGCCCTTGAGACCTAGGCGGTCTGGGCTAACAGACCAGTTGTATATAGAGTCGAGTCAAGCCACCAAGGCCAACAAGGAATCGGTTGGTCAAGGACTCATGCAGTCCTAGTTGATCATTATATTGTGAATAGCATCAAGTTCCAAGCCTAGATCTCTGCCCTTACTATAGGTATCCACAGTAGTGAACGACTTCACAAGGCAGGTAGTGGACTGTACTAGGTAAATCAGGAAGAGGTACCTGAGAAGAGCTCGATGCTACCTAAGAAAGGGAGTAAATGCATCAAATAGACGGCTAAACGGAGCAATGACTCACGAGCTTGCTTCGGATCCCTAGCCGACGATTCATTGACTCCGGAAACGAATAGCTCCCCAGAAAGAAAGCTAAAACATCATGTAGTAGCATAATGTTTTGTCCCAGGTCTAACGTGGCTCCAATCTTAGCCGCTTAACCCCCATGGGATCTGTATGGCGCTATCTGTTGTAGGCGTGTGAATGGGCGAAGATACGTAATCCCGCGGCCGACGGCGGAGGGAGTAGTCTCCACTCTATGTCTGTATCCAGGAGGTGGATGTTCTTTTAGACGACCGTTCGGTTGAGTGGTACCCGACGTAACCTCGGCGTCCGGACCGAGAAAACGAAGGGGAGTTTATTCAAATCATTATGGGTGCCGTTGGAGTCCTTCCATCTTGTGTCCTCTGCCGACTCCTCATGGGCAGTCAACTTCACCGTGAAACCCTCTTCCCTTAGATACCCTCATAGCATTAGTATTAGACTTAATTCTTTCGTTGGTGCCGGACTCTTCTATCACGATGCCCCTCACAACACCCTCCGTGTTCCCGCCGGCTTCGGACGAATTCGTCAAGTTCGCGAGCCGACGCAGCGTCGTCCACAGCACGAAAGGTATTGTCGCGTGCTCGCAGTCTCTAGCAGCCAAGTGCGGCATCGAAGTTCTCGATGCGGGTGGAAATTGTGTCGTACGTACTCAGATTTAAACAATTCCCCATACGTGTATAAATATGATTTAGAGTTGCTAATAAAGTGATGCAGGATGCGGCGGTTGCCGTTGGTATGTTATCATTGAACGCTAGTTGCATTGCCTGTACCCATGAATCAGACCTTGAGAAAATGAGACTATCTCATAATACTCTGCTAGGTATCTATTTGACGAAATGTTGTACTAATATTGGCTCATCAACACAGCTGCGGGCCTTAACATGACGGAACCCTGCTCAACCGGCATCGGCGGCGACATGTTCTGTCTGTTCTACGATGCCAAGACAAAGAAGATCTCGGCACTCAACGGCTCAGGCCGGTCCGGCGCCAAGTATACGTTAGAGACGATACGAAAGTCTCTCGGGATCCCTGATGGCCAGCCGGGTAACATTCCCATGCACAGCGTGCACGCCGTCTCTGTGCCTGGGGCGCCGGCAGGCTGGTGCGATTCTGTTGCTCGCTTTGGTAGCGGCAAGGTTACGATGGAGCAGATTCTTGCACCCGCCATTGAACTGGGTGAGAAGGGGTTTCCTGTGGCTGAAGGTGTCGCTTATTGGGTGAGTCCTTCCAATGCAGGATTTCCTCTGCATAAAGTTGTTGCAATTGGCTAGTGGCAGATACTTCATATATAAAATGGAAGAATGTGCTAATATGAAGCAGTGGGATCGTTCTGAGCCGCTCATTCGCCGCGCCTCACCGAACGGCGCCGAGATGCTGAAGACGGATCCATCCGTGGTAGGTGGCGTGCGGGCGCCACGGGCAGGTGAAATCATGAAGAATCCCACGCTAGCGAAGACGTTCCGGACTCTTGCGACGGAGGGAAAAGAAGGGTTCTACAAGGGTCGCATCGCAGAGGAACTTGTTAAAGTCGTGCAAGATCTCGGAGGTCATCTCGAATTAGACGATCTGGCACATCACCTCGACGTAGGAAGCGAACCAGTGGACGCGATCTCGCTAAAATTTCGCGGTCAGAATGTAGCACAAAAGCTATGGAACCAAATTGCAGACCCCTCACAGCAGGCAACAAATCCGGATCTCGGGCTCGAGATTTGGGAGCACCCGCCAAACGGCCAGGGGATCGTGGCGTTGATGGCACTAGGCATCATTCAAGAGTTAGAGCGCGACGGGAAGATCCCCACGTTTACGCCGGAAGATTTCAACACAGCGCCATATCTACATGCCATCATCGAGGCGCTGCGCATCTCGTTCGCGGACGCAAGCTGGTTCGTCACGGATCCGAACGTAGAGCGCGTACCGGTGGCCGATCTGCTGTCCCGAGAGTATCTGTCTTCGCGGGCGAGGAAGCTATTCTCACCCGAGAAGGCCGGCGCCATACCCGAGCACGGCATGCCGTCCCCGGCACACCAAAGCAGCGACACCGTGTACTTCGCGGTGTCCGACAGCGAGGGCAACGCTGTCTCCTTCATCAATAGTAACTACGGGGGTTTCGGAACGTGCATAATTCCCAAAGGCTGCGGTTTCACGCTTCAGAACCGCGCGGCGAATTTCAGCCTGGATCCCTCGGGTCACCATCCGAATATCCTAGCACCGCGCAAGAGGCCATATCACACCATCATCCCCGCCGCTGTTACGAATCTTCACGACGGCAGCTTACACTCCGTGTATGGCGTCATGGGTGGATTTATGCAGCCCCAAGGACACGTGCAGGTGCTCCTCGGACAAATTGTAGGAGGACTTAACCCGCAACAAGCACTCGACGCTCCACGTGTATGTATTGGGGCGGGAATGCCAGAAGATGGCAAGGTCATCGACACGAAGGTGTTCGTAGAGGAGGGGATGCCGGAGACGACAATCGAGGGATTACGAAAGCTAGGCCACGACGTCGCGGTCCTTACAGGAATGGCTAGGGCAAAGTTTGGTAGGGGTCAGATCATTCGCTGGACGACGGACCCTATAGAAAAGGACATAGGTGTCTGGTCTGCGGGCAGTGACATGCGTGGAGATGGCGCGGCATATCCGCAATGAACGCTGCGCAGACAGCTTACGGGAGAACAAGAGGCTGTAGGATTGTCGATGTCTAGACTAAACGAGATAATTTTAAACCAACAAGACTCAAATCAGAATACGGAGTACTTTTGGGCTATACCGAAAGCCTACGCTGTCAAACCCCTCAGGTAGAAATATGGATGTGAACACCTGTTGTGTAACGAGACCGGCGGTGGTGCTGTAGATATCAACGTAGCAATCACCGTGACGGTTTGGTGCAAACACTGTGACTTGTGCTTATTTACATATAACAAGAATTAGAAGCAAGGAACGAATAGTGCTGGACTAATCTTTTCTTTTCTTTTCTTTTCTTTTCTTCTTTTTGATCTAGCTACTACAGAGCAAACCTCAAAATTTAGTTGCGGCTTGAGTATTGCAAAGTCATATGACCATTCATAGACACAGACAAGTTGATAAAACACCGAAGTCTACAAAATATATGGGACTAGCATTCTACTATCTCCCTCAGTTTACCGTCAGTTTGGCAATTTCCTCAGATGCCTGGGCGGCATCCTTAGTCGGCTCAACAACGTCTCTCATCAATGGGAATGTCAATACTTCCTTGATACTGCGTGGTTGTTAGCTTTCTTGTAATGGGTATTACTCACTAGACTTTGCTTACCTGTACTGGTCTGTTAAGAACATGACCATTCGGTCAACACCTAGACCGAATCCACCAGTGGGCGGCAGACCAAATTCAAGAGCTTCACAGAATGTCCTTCGCATAGAGTTAGTGATTGATCAAAATAGTTCGAAGCTTCAAACCTTACTCGTCGATTAGCTGTGCTTCTAGATCTCCCTTATCCTTATCCTTTGCCTGTTCTACAAATCGTGCCCTCTGGTCTATGGGGTCGTTGAGTTCGGTATATGCGTTTGCAATTTCCTTGGTGCATACAAATGCCTCGAAACGCTCGCAAATACCGGGGGTGTCGCGATGAGCCTTGGCTAACGGCGACATGCTTTTAGTGAATTAGCGACTGTACTGCTTTCACATGAGATTTTCGACTTACATTTGCGGGTGACCTGTAATAAACGTAGGTGAGATGCACTTGGATTCGATGAACTCCCCCACAAGCTTATCAATCATTCGCGACGTTGTCACCGGCGGCGAACAAGGAATGTTTAGTTTTGCCAACAGCTTGACGAAAAATTCATGGGCTTCATCAGTGTGGAATTGGTCCGCAGCGGGAAATTTGGTCTCAGTAGCCTTCTCAAGTGCAGGGATCATGTCAACCCGCGGCCATGGTCGCTCCCAGTTGACATCATACTCTGTTCCATCCTGGGTGTGGTATTTGGTCTTGTATGAACCAGTCACGCTCTTTACAAGCCCACTGATCATCTCTTCCGTGATATCCATCAAATCGTGAACATCGAAGAAGGCGCAGTAGAATTCCAGGGTGGTGAATTCGGGATTGTGGGTCAGATCTATGTCTTCGTTTCGGAATTGTCGTCCAATTTCATAAACACGCTCAAGCCCGCCTACGACCAATTGCTTGAGATAGAGCTCCGGCGCGACTCGCATGTAGAGTTCCATGTTCATGTCGTTGTGGAAGGTCTTAAACGGTCGGGCGGTAGCACCTCCAGCAATCTTGTTCATCATCGGAGCTGTGGGGTACCCGCGGTTAGCAATCGCCACAAATCTTGTTGTTCAGCGAGTAGGACTGCAATGCAGGGGAATCTACATACTCTGGACTTCGAGGAAGTCTCTGTCATTCAGAAATTGTCGAAGATATCCAATAATCTTAGATCTCCTAGCGAAAGTGTTTCGAGTTGTGTCATTTATCATGAGATCGAGATATCTTTGTCGGTATCTCTGCTCCTTATCCTTCAGGCCGAAGTGACTAGACGGGAGCTGGTGGAGACAGGGGGTGAGAAGAACGACCTCACGGGCGAAAATACTCAATTCGCCAACGTCGCGGGTCTTGGGCTTGGTACGACCGGGGAATCCAACAATTCCTATCCACTAGAGTGATACAGTTAGTAGTCCGAACTCCGTTCAATGTATATATAAGGAGTGGGATGCATAATGCGGTCAAAGGTGGGAGCGGGATAGACGAAAAATGTGATCTCCTTGGATTTCACTCACGTCTCCTCGTCTAAGGTGGTCATGTTGTTCAGCGAACGGTAGACCTGTAGCCTCATTGCGATCACACATGATCTGAATGGATACACCCTCGGCTTTGCAGTCATAGAACCTCAGCGAAGAACCATACGAGCGCTGGGCCATAATTCGAACTCCGACACGAATTTCAACATCTTTACGGTGCTGGCCCGATTCAATATTCTCATAGTCCTTGACGAAGGAGGTAAGTTTGGTGTTGACGTGGAACTTGTGGGGGTAAGGGTTGATTTTGCGGTCGCTTCGTAGACTATCAATCTGCTTGCAGCGCAGTTCGAAATATTGCTAGGAATTCATGTAAGTGAGCATTCAGCACGTCCCTCCTGATTATAAGTGGCTACCAACATTCGGGTTCAACTCTTCCTCAACATTAGGCTTGGAAGCTTGTACGGCGGGTTGAGTCTTGGCCTTCTCTTCCTTAGCCTTTTCCTTCTCTCGCTGCTTCGTCCGTCGCTTGAGTTCGGTCTTGGAAATCTTCTCTCCAGTGACAGGATCATCGTAGAGCTTCTGGGCCTGCTCAGAACCCTCGGCCGGGTTTTCAGAGGCTTGATTGGAGGCCATGGTGAGATTGTCGTCGTAGGGGGAAATTGCACTGAGAGTGCGATTGTCGTGATGGCGGGGTAATATTTTTTTCAACGCCTTGAGTCACCTCCGTCATAGGAGGGGGAGGGGCTGGAGGGAAAAACTTCGGCATATTAATTGGAGTCATGCCAGTACTACTAGAGTACTCATTAGATACTTTTTTGATGGTTCTATTCTACCCCAGCAATGTACTCCCACTATTAATTAACCTTCCACGCTACATAGTAGCTCCTGTTTTATATAGTACCAGCACACTGATTAGACTGTAGATGATATGTACCCGAGGACCCATGAGCAGGTACCTCAAATACCTGGAGTGCCGCTCTCAAGATAATATTACCATCTGCTCATCAAGTGCGGCATGTTGGTATCAAACGTTGACAGTGACTCATTCAAAGTTCATGTTCATGGACCAAATGACCGAGCGACCGAAGGATCTCCAATATGTTTTGACCAGTATGCAGAGCGCACTGTTCTGTTGTCGCGAATAGTTCCAATCTCCAGATTTCTCAGACCCTGCTCCGTTGTTATTGTTTCAACTGCATGTTAGCGGGGAAAGACTCCATGTGGGAGCAAGGAGCTTGTATTTGCGTTTCCTCTTTCCGTAGCTTTTTCTGGTAACTCTAAGTCAGTGGATCATGACTTTCTACATATATGTTTGGAGGCTATGTACCTATCGGTCCGCTTTGCAGCTTCATTAAGAATGACGATGAATAGACGCCAAAGATTTCATAAATACCATATGCTATTAGTCTGGTATCGTCTTTAGGTTGACGTAGTTGCGTGATCATGATGCCTCGAAATCCAGACTTTCGTTTCTCTACCCATGTAGTAGGCAATCTACAATATACGAAATTAAGAGGCAGAGGTACTGTTAGACTGCAATTCGTCGCCGCCACTGCTGTCCGATTTCGCTGCCACAGCAACTAAATCACTTAGATACATGTATAAAGTATATGGATAATGATAAAGGGAAACCTAGTAATCAGAGTGCCTGCAAGACTCAGCACCGCACTTTTGAAAATTGGGAAGGTCAAATACCGACCCAACATGTGTTGTAACCCCATGTTGTACGAGTGTCACGGCACAATTGAACTACGCCATGTAGATTCTCTAGAGGCATGAAATCGTAGGTACACCAAAGACGTCTAGTACCTCTTTAAGGACCTAAACACGGAATCCTACAAACATAGTACCTTTCGGTTAACGATGGGGTCTTAGGTGCCGTTAAACCTAATCAGCAGCTCTGCCTAGCAAAGTTATGTCAGATGTGCATCCAAATCCATGGGTTGATTGCTCCAGACAGGGACAAGCATGAATAACTCCATTACTCGTTTGTACTTATACACGAACCTATATAGGCCTTTTGATTATACAGATCCAAGTCTGTTTCCTTCTATGTGCATGTTGTTCTCATTTCTACTGCGCAGGTGGTTCCAATGGTGCGTCCATCGGGGTTAAAACCCCCTTCTCCTCAAGCATCTTAGCAAGCGAGCCGTCCTGATGCATGCTGACGAGAATATCGCAACCGCCGACAAACTCCTTGTCGAGATAGAGTTGGGGGATGGTGGGCCAGTCGGAGTACTCCTTGATACCTGCAAGTGAACACAGCCTCGCATTAGTACTTCTTCTCGCAGAATCATTCTCGCTTGACGTGTACTCGTGCAAGGGCATTCGTACCTTGTCGCAGCTCCTCATCTTCTAGAACGTTAAATGCGGCGAACTTTGCTGGGTTGACGCCTTGCAAACTTAGGATTTGAATGCTAGCCCGTGAAAAGCCGCACTGGGGGGTCTCTGGGGTGCCTTTCATAAAGAGCACTACGGGTGCCGAACTAACGGCCTTCTCGATAGCTTGCCTTGTGTGGTCAGACAGCAGACGTTGTTGGAAAGCCGTGAGGAAAGGCGTGGGCCGCAGGAGATTTTGCCTGGCGACAGGGCGCGCTGCTTGGCGCAGGCTCTGTGACAAGACAAAGTCAGCCAGCCGCGTTTTGCCGGTCGCCTTGTGATCAACGCGAGAGGGCGAGACAGAGACTTACAGCTGAGAATAAAGATCTGGAAAACATGGTGGCGTGACAATGGTGTGGATTTTGTTGAAAGCTGAGCCTCGAGAAATGGGAATCGTTTTTTATCAGGATCAGGATATCAGGGTACCCCAGGTCGGTCCAGTATCGGGCGATCAAAGGATTATGCAACAATCAAGGATGCTCGGGAAGGGAATAGACTACTACGTAAGAGGTAGCGAACCATTCCCAGCCAGTAGCGTCCAGGGCAAAAATAAGCTACAGCGCTGGCCCCATAACGCCCAAAAGAGCCCAAAGACGCTGGCCGGCCAATCAGTGGGCAAGCGCATTCCCCTCATTCCGCCGTTATGGGGGCGGGCAGACGCGGGCATGGAAAGCTTGAAGCTCCCGACAGCTGCTGGCAGACCCCTCTATGACGCTACATGCTACGGTACCTACCTACAGATGCTTACAGGTACCTACAGATACGTACAGGTATGGCCTAGGTACAAGCTAGGTACCTAAAGCACCTAAACCTTAGGTATGTAGGCAGCTTATGTACATACCTACATAGCTACCTACGTTGGTAGGTACCTGCCTCCCTAGATAAGGCACCTACAACTACCTCTAACTACCTGCATCCTGCATCTTCCTCCTTTGAGAGCTTGATCAATTCCACGGAACTCATCCGGACATTTCCCAAGATCGCATTCCTTCACGGTCATCGAGCATCCTCAGTTTTCCCACATCCTGCGAATCCCATCGTACCACCACCGCCGGGCCTTCGGCAGTACTGTAAGATACTCGGCTGGACCTTCCCAAAGCGGATATTCACATCTCTCCCTGTAGCTCTTCATTGTCATTAGCTTCCAGCAGCCCGACTATATAGAGCATTCACTGTCTATCTCAGAATTGTCCACGCGTTTGTCTACCTCTTTAGGCTTCCTTGATCAATCGCTTCCTCCCGAGCCTCTTGACTTCCCAAGTATTAAAAGCGTGAATCAAATAGCAATCTCACCATGCTCGCGGCCATCACGAATGGGTATGAGTCCCATCATACAAGGACCTCTATCCAGAAACTTACAGCATCTCTTAATGATGGCAAGATCCATCTTCTCCTAGCCTGCTCGTAAGCAATGTGCCCCTGTGATATCCGTGTTCGCTGCTTCATTTCCGTGAATGTTTCATGTAACTCCCGAATACAGAGGCAGCGTCGCCACCATCAAGCTACCCAACATCATCCAGGCACTCTCCAAGTACCCCTCAGATCAACTCTCCATCCGTGTCATCCTGACGCCGTCGGCCTCACACTTCCTAGCTGGCCAATCTAAAGAACAGCCTACTATTTCCGGCATAAGCCATCTTCCTAATGTCGATGCTGTTGGTGAGTGTTCTTTTTGAAGTTGGGATCTGCTGTGAAGATATTCGCTAATAAGTACCGACTAGTACGTGATCTTCTGTCCATACTTATAAGTGACATTTGCCCAGTCTTCTTATTGAGCAGAACTTGCCTAAAGTGCGATAATCTAGATGGCTCAGATGCTTATAATTAGTAGTATATAGATGCCGATGAGTGGAAGGTTCCTTGGGTAGTAAGTGTGATGCCCCTGCCCTTCAATCTTTCCAGTCTCTTCACTCCTGAAGAACGACACTTACAAGGCTTTCATTACAGAGGGGTGGTGGAATCCTCCATATTGAACTCCGCCGTTGGGCTGACCTACTTGTCATCGCACCTCTTAGGTTCGTATTCTTAATTCTATCTGCCATGCTTTGGGGTGTATGAAGTGTCGCTTAGTCAGGGGCTCCAACTTGCATTACGCAAGCTCCCACTTCCCCTCACGGGCATCACCAAAAAGGGCATATACTGACTCCTTACTCAGCGCCAACACATTGGCAAAAATAACAGGGGGCTTTGCCGATAGTCTCTTGACATCTGTCGTGCGCGCATGGGATCCTTGGGGTGAACTAGATACAAATGCCAATAGCACCAATACAGCCGTACAAGGTTCGACAACAGTGATTCCAATGACCCAGGAGGGATCCATAGGAGCAAGCGGTAGCAGAAGAATCAAAAAGCGTCGTATCATCGTCGCACCAGCGAGTATGTGACCACTCTATATGTTACAAATTTCTCTCTTTTCTTGCTGTTGGACATGCGTCCTTCTCCCTCTAGGCATATTTACAGCCTCCACATGCAGCTGACCAATTTCTATAACTGACATTCATCATAACAGTGAACACAGCAATGTGGCGCCATCCCATAACGGCAAAACAACTGCGCGTTCTAGAAGAAGAATGGGGCGTCCGGAACACCTCAATCGCCAAAACAGAAGCACACAACGGATCAGTGCAACCGCCCCAGGAGATAGACCAAGCAAGCCCAGACCAAGATGAGGGCGACGGCTGGTTCGAGGTTCTCCGGCCCCAGCCCAAAGTTCTGGCCTGCGGCGACTCTGGAGACGGCGCCATGCTCGAGTGGTCGCAGATCGTGACCGTTATCGAGGAGCGTCTTGGCTTAGGGGCGTGAACAGACTGCGCATGAATGCGAATGCTGCAGCTAGATTTACCGAGTATGAGAACAATCTCAAGCCCAGGCTAAGAAGGGAAGACGGTAATAGAGATAAGAGTTAATTTAATAGGAGGTCGATCTCGAATGATTATTCTCTTTTTTAGTACGGTAACGGTTCTGGCAATGGCTTTGCTCGCTCTTGAAACACCCGGTATTGGACAAGGGGAATATAATGAGGAAGGAAGACCGAGTCGAGGCATTCTGGCAGGGTATTTAGTAGTGAGCAGAGATACGAACGATATCCTACGAATTAATGAATAAACAAACACATGATTATCAAAAACAGCACACTCACCAGGCATGAACTCACAAAGGCAAGTAGCAAGTAAAATATCCGTCAAGTAATTCTCTGCTTTCCTCACACAAGGCTTTCAATCAATTCCTATTTTTACAAGGCAGGTAGGTAGGTAGGTAGGTAGGTAGGTAACAAAGAACCGTCCGTATCATCGTCGTTCAAAAGACCTCGAAGTTTCATCCCGTTCCAGGTGCCAGAAAATGCTCAGTCAGAAACAACCAACCAACCAACCAAATCAACCGACCAGACCAAACGAAACGAAACCAACCCCCTGTTTTAAAACGCCTCCGTATTGCTTTGGTCATGTGGTAATGGTACAATGTGTGCAAATGCAAAAAACGCAAATAGTTGTAGTAGCGAAGAAGTTTGGCAAATCGTCGGCGAAACTTTCCCATGCTGAAAACATAAACACCTTTCTCTTTCTCCCACACTAGAATTCGCAAATGGTACTCGTACAGGGCAAGATAGAAGCAATCCCACTTTTTGTTAATCAGGGCTGCCTACCCTCTCCTACATGTGAACGCCAGCGCAAAAGTGATAAAACAAAATAGCGTCCTCATTCGCTTATACTCCTCTTGTGGTTCAAGTTTTCGATTTTATCCACTTTCGATGGTGCATTTTTACTCGTGTGACGTTCTCCGCAGACAAGAATGCCTAGACTCGCTCTATAATGCTCATTTGAGGTCGTTAGGGTCATGTCGGAATGTACAGTTGTCGCCTTTGGCACACTGGCCCTTTGCCCAGAATGTACATGGTTTTGTGCCAATAAGAGCACGGTTGATACCCTTATGGTCTTTGGTTCCTCGGTCGAATTGCTTGCGATTTCCACGCTCATTATTGTCGCGCTGGTACTGTCCTTGGGATTGGTAGTCTTGCTTATTCGAGCTGTGGTTCGCGTCCTCATGTGAGGCGCCATCATACTGTTGGGAATAGGCAGGGTAACTCTGGCCATGCGACTGAGCCTGAGATTGGGTGGCATACGCATGAGCCTGGCTCTGTATCCAAGCCTGCCAGGCTGCGGTATTAGCGTCTTGTGTGGTTGTTTGAGTTGGCTGGGCAGGCTGGCTAGTATGGCCAAGCGTAGCCAAGAGGCTGGCCACATTGTTATTGGGCTGTTGGGCCGCAACATTTTGAGTGACTTGTGGGTTCTGTAAAGCCTGAACTTGCCGTAGGATGGCGGCCTGTTGTTCCTCGGAAAGCTGATTGCCAGGCTGCGAGTAACCTTGCGCGTGCTGGGGTGCTTGGACTTGCGCTTGACCTTGAAGTTGACCTTGAGCCTGGTAGGCAGCAAGATAAGCAGCATACTGACTTTGGGTGATTTCAGCCTGCTGAGTGTGCCCCTGTGGTGGTTGGTTGGGAGAGGGCAGACCGAGTCGTTTTCTCTCCTCATCCTTTTCTTTCATCTCGTCTACAACACTCTGGAGGATGGACCACGCTTCTTGTACACGTTGATCATTGGACTCTGGAGGGTCAATGCTCTTGTTGGGATCGGCAGGATTTGGATCAACATAGTTCCTGGCCCTATCTGACTGGAGCAGGGCCAAAACACGGCATTCACGCTCTTCCTGGGTCATGCGAGCCCCAGGAACCGGTGGGTCGTTATACTTATAAGGTTGGCCAAGACGTTTGAGCGCAGCCTGTGTAGCTACAACTAGTCCATATATCTTTGTCTCTCGAAGACGCTGAATCATTTCCTCGGTCTTTGCATCAACTGGAAGTCCAGGTACAGGCCTTGGTTGGTAGGTGGGTTCGCTGGTCGTTCTCGAAGGGGATCTAGGTGTGTCGGGGATTTCTGAAAGCGTCGTGTAGATACTCATCAACTCGCGATTTTCATAATCCTCCATCACCTTCTTTTGCTCCGAATTGATCTCGCGTGTACCACAACGAGTGACATAGTTCTTCTCCTTTTGACTAGCATCCAGATGAGACATGTCGAATGGTCGAGGCGAGACCCAAGGACGTATATCTGTCTCTGATGGGTTTCCGTCATCTTCCTCCTCATCATCATCTTTCATATCATTACCGTCAAACCCATCTTTCTCTTGTTTTTGTTTCTCGATCTTAAGCATCTGCTTCATCATTTGCCCTTCCTGGCGATTATCTCGCGCATCCCGAATCATGTTGTTAGCTCGGCCCTCGTCTTCGTTTGAATCATGCTCGAAGAACCGAACCTGGACTAGCTCTTCATCAGGCTTCCAAGTGACAGTTCGACCTCGGCGTGACTCTTTACGCAGCCTGCGTGCTTTTTCCTCGGGAGTTTCGGGAGCCTTAGCTACCCGTTCTGGCGCTTTTGGCTTCTCAACAGGTTTGGCGATTTCAGCAAGGAGGCCGCCGATAGTTGACGAGCCAGATAACTGAGGCTCAGGCTTCTTTGCAGGTGGTTTGGCAGCTCGTGATTTGTTCAGCACTGTAGACCCTGCAGGTCGAGGACGTAGTTGGCCGTTGTTGTTGGAAGTGGTAGTTGCATTTGGTGGGGCTGTAGTGTTGGACAACGAGCCTGAGGTCACTCTTCCGGTACCAGCTGCTGACACGTTGCCTTCTACTGCCAGCTTCTTAGCCACACGGGAGTCAACATCGTCATCCCTCGGTCGTTTTGTTGGCGACGCCCCAACTGCAGTCTTTCCTGCGCCATTGACCACTTTTCTTGCAGAAACCAATCCTGAATATGCTTTAGTTTCTTTCCTTGCTGATTCTAGTACGGCCGCACTGGCAGGTGCCTGGAGTTTTGAGCCAGTAGTGCTGCTTTTCGTAGTAGAAGGTGTAATCTTTTGAACAGGAGTGACTTGACTTAGTTTCGTACTGTCAAGGGGCCTCTGCTTAGGCTGGCTTGAAGTTACAGGTTTTTCAGCAGCATTTTTAGCAGTCCTTTCCTCAGCATTCTTCGTGATTTGTGCTGCAAGTTTCTTTCCCTCGTCATCGAGACCATCACGATGTTTTTGCAACACACCGGTAAGCTTCACTTTATCCATGGAGTCTACATCCATCAAGGTAGCCTCGGAGATAAAGCGAAGGATGGTCCGTGGAATGGCAGTGTTATAGATCTTAGCGGCAAATTGTCTCTGCAAGACAATAGTCAAGCCCGACATCAGTTTCATATGTTGCCCCATATTCATCAATGTCTCATCATCTCCAAACTCGAGCGCTGTCTCAAGGGCTGCGCGAATATGGTCGTATTTCTGGTCAATGGCAGTTTGTAGTTGGGCTGATTGACTTTTAGCAGCCTTTGCCTTTTCTTCTCGCAAGGCTCTTGCCTCTGCACATATATCAACTACATACTTGCCAAAGTCGGCTACTCTTCTGCCTATCACTTTAGACCAAGGATCCTCTTTCTCTCCTTGAGAAGCTGGCCCTTGGTCAGGGTTGGCCTCACGTCGGATTATTTTCACCACATCATACTGGATGCCTTTGGCAGGGTCGGCTGGTCGTGTGTCTGAGGCCATTATCTATTGTCGCAATGATACAGATTAGCTCAATCATATACAACTGGGCAAGTGCAAAACGTTCACACTAGCTAGCGGGGTGGGACACCAGGCAGAAAGTAACATGAGCTGCGCTGTCCTCAGGCAACTGAGGTAAGTTGTAATGTTTGGATGAAAGATAAAAGAAATTTGATACAGGCCAGGGCAAACACGGGTCCGTTGCCGGGCACCATGAGCAAGAGTAAACAGTGAACAGTACAGAACGTGAGAAAGTTCAGAATGCGGGGTACTCCGTGCATCTAACTGCCACACCTAAACAAGGTAGTTAAGGGAATGCAAACCAAAACTCACCTCTTGGACAATGAGCTCCAGGGGGTCATCTTCATCGCTGGACTCAGTGAGACTTTCGCTGTCATACTCAGTAGCCTCTGATTTGCCCGTCACTCGACTCTTCCCTAACTTCAACACACCTGATATTATGTCAACATACAAGTCAGCCAATAATTTGAGACTTGTCTACTTACCCGCTTTACCAGTTATCTTCTTCTTCTCATTATCGAGCCCTGACTTTTGGCTTTCTAACTTCTTCAAGTCATCGGTGTACTTCTTATGCTCCTGCGATCCAGCAGGTACATCTTTAATCTGTTGTTTGATCCTGTCGATGCTTTCGGTGACCCTTTTCAGCTCTTCAACCAAAGGCCTGACCTTTTCTCGGAGTATCTCGCACGGTAGAGGGTGTGGGAGCAGTGGCAGTAAGCGCGTGCCATTCCTGTTATCACCAGCAACATGTGGTTTGACTCCCGGTGTATTCGTAACCACCTGACGCCGGACCGTCGTTGTGCCGATAAAAAGATTAGGGCACCCCTTGACAGACTTCCACCCATCCCCAGGTCTGCCCACTCTAGGAACAACTATCGTGGCATCGTTTGAGGTTTGATTTGTTGTAGGCATACTAAGTTTCGATCCAGTCCGCGTCATATCAGTTGTTGGCAGGCGTGGTACAGGCGACGCTATATTGCGAGTTGCAGCAGACGCTATCGGCGCGCTACCCAGCCTCTGAGCTTGACCTTGGGACGACCAGGGCATTTGGTGGGATGTCGTCACCAGAGGGCCTGGAGATGGTGTTGGAGTTCCATTGCTTCTGCCTGGAACAAGGGTTGCAGGCTGTGGTACTTGGGCCGAATAGTTGTGCAAAGCCTCGCTGCTCTGCGGAGTCTGATAAGTTCCACCATAAATATGTGGCTGAAATGAGGTCGAATCAACGGGGTATGCAGGCTGCTTCTGCTCGTGCTTCGGTGTTGGCGATTGCGCAGGTGAAGCCGCCGCTACTCGGAGAAGAGGCGCGTTATTGGCGTACAGCTGTTGTCCTTGAGCGTAAGGATTCGCAGGGCTATGTTGTGGTTGAGGTTCCGGCCAGGAGTTCCGCTGAAAATCATTTGACGTAATATGTTGCTGTTGCTGTGTGTATTCAGGATATTGCCCTACCATTGCTTGGGGATGGTAATGTTGGAAGTTCACACTTTGTCCATTGGCATAGGGACCACCCGGTTGTTGCTGATACTCGTTGCCACGCGATTGTCCTGCTACCTGAGTAGGACCCAAGGATCCGATATCATGAGAATATTGAGGCTGGCCCTCCACTGCAAAGCCCATGTTGGAGTATTGATGCTGAGGTGCATAATGTCCGTGGCCTTGCTGGCCATATGGGTTTGCATTTGGGGCATAACCAACGTGATCGTAAGGATTTTCGTGGGTTGCCGGACCATCGAGATATGAGCCCGTGTTAGGATCTACATGTCCCACAAAGCCAACATCATTTCCGCCAACACCAGCATCATCCATTCCAGGACCAACTGAGCCCATTGCCCAGCCAGCTGCCCCATGCTGGGCCATACTGGAAGGAGTTGACCACAGCTTGGGTCAACAACAGGGTGCTCACGTGACCTAGCGTAGTGTCAGTGGGGTCATGTCACTAAAGGGGGGTGTATATATAAAAAAATCATTTCTTGGCTCTGCAAGGGACAAAGACAACACTTACTGGCAACAGAAAGCCAATATTTCTGTTGAAAAACCTCAGCTTGGCAATCAAAAACGAGTACAGTGGATTTATCCTGTGTCTAACTCTGTCCACACCTTCTGAATTAATTATGAAGGAATGAAAGGTTGATGATGGGATGTGTTATCAAGCCGAGAAAAACGGGGGTGTGTGTCTAGAGGACTGAAAGGGCTGCAAGTAAGTGGAAGGATTCTGCGGGCTGCAGGTTGCGTGAGCTGACAAGACGAAAGAGGAATGGTGTGCAAATCTGCAAAACAAAAGTCAGCTTCAATTACCCTAGAAGATGATGCCCAGGCACGTCCCATTCCAAAGACAAGAAGGCCTGAGAACATGTAGATTATGAGGTGTGAAATTTTGTGATGTGATTGTGACGATGATAGGAAACCTGTGAACGCAAGGAGGGCGGTTGCAGCATTAGATGTGCAGATTGGCAGAGAAAAGCACCAAGGTAGTTGTGGCTACACAAGTTGCCAGCAAGAGTATTCAACAGAGAAGACGTCTTGTGTCGAGATTCCAGAACAGTCTTTGTCGATGTTGTTTACAATCATCGCCCCAGCAAGGAATGAGCGAGAGGAGAAAAGACCGCCTAAGAGGTCATCGTCCCGGCAATTCCAAGTCAGCACAACAGCAAAGTATCAACTGGCCTATGGAGCCTACAAGCTCTTCAAAGCATTAAAGAGTCGAAGTATTCCAGTACTCCAACGACAACAGGCACGAAGGTTCACGGTGTATCACCGCAAAGGCCTTAGAAGTTGGTGCGGTGTTTAACTGCATAATGTGTGGCGTGCACAATGCTGGTTGTAGCTTTTCCGTCTAAGCCAAGTTGGCTGGCTAGTATCTGGACTGCTTGAAGTTGAACCACCTCTTGACTGGATGATGAATGATGAATTGGGCTGGAAGTAAAGGGGTGAATGAATGTGAGCGACCTGGCATGCACCAGAGCATACCCAATACAGATGACATGACCTCATGTGATCAAGTGCGGGTTTTGTCAGATTCAAGGGGGTCGCGGTGTGGTGATGCGCAGGTCTCTTTGAGGATCCCCAACTCTTTATGTGCTTCCGACTTCCTCTAATTCTGCCAGGCTGACCTTCAGGCATGGAAAACATGACTTGGTCTTAGGGGGTCACTGATGATATTTTGGGCATGGTGGAGAATTTGGATTGGAGTTAAGTCAATCTGATGATCCCAGTGCTTTCTTGCAAGTGCATTATTACTGTAAGTGTAGCAGATTCCATTGTTTGCTGCCCATGACTTGGTTGCCCATGTTGCTCCAAGCCTCCCCAACCAAACCAGCTGCAATTCACTTTTGCAGGCTGGAGGGTCGGAGTTCGGAGGCTTGGAGGGGAAACAGCCAATGACAACAAAGGATGAAAATATGCCAGCTGGCACTCACAATACCGTCTTGTTTTTGCTCTTGACCCCTCAACCAATTTATGCCAACACAGATAGACAAAAGGTAGTCCTGCGAGGTTTGACTAGGGGAGGAAATAAAATATCAAAAGGGAGGAATGGGGTTGGTGGATTTCAGCATACCCTTAGTTGGTGATTATTCCACCAGTTCTTGATCAACAACACTGTGGCTGCGGTTTGCTACTGATTATGTAGTCGTTAAGAGAAGTAGTAGTAGAACGACCCAGCAAACTCCGTTATGCCCTCTTAAATGAGAGTAGTAATTTTACAACATGGATAATCCCTCGCATGTAATTAATGGGACAAGCTCTCTGTGAGTCTATCTCGGATTATTGAGCAATGTGAGAATGGTCCAGGATTGATGAGTGACAGCCTCGAATGATGACGCGATTGCTGAAGGGTGACGGGTTGATGTGAAAAGACGCGACCGAGGAAAAGCTGACACCAGAAAAGAATGACAAGTCAGATAAACCCTCCCCAACTATGTTAACAGTGCAAGGAGCGACAGCGCGCGAGTGTTAGTGATTAGCCGGTTAAGAATCTATTAAAGCAACTTTCGCACGAAAAGGAAGCCGATGATGTCGATGGTGTTGGTGACGATGCCGACGATGATGATGGAGTAAGGTTGAGCTGGATGGGAGGATTTGGGGAAGGAGAGAGAGACAGAAGACGAAGGGAGGCAGGATGGCCTAAAGCGGATTTTGATCAAAGGGAGGTGGAGGCGGAGGGCAGAGCGCAGAGCGCAGAGGTACATTAGGTATATGTAGGCACCTAAACGGCCCCATCCTCTAGGCACATTTTAGGTAAGTACACGCTAAGCTTAGCTGTTACAGGTACGAGAGATCGCTAGAGACAGCGTGTAGCGTCCCTTACGCATCTTCATCCAGCCTGCCCAAGGTCAGCCTAGCAGGTATCTACCAACAGTTTTAGTACCTAGGCATTTAGATACTACTAGTCAGAAGCATACCTATGCAAGTTCAAACGTTCTCTAAAGTACCGTGAACGCATACAGTACCTAATGCCAGAAGATAGTAGATAGCAGTGTCGCACCTAATAGGTACCTATGTAGGTAGGTAAGTACTTAGGATGTGTAGCAGGTACCACTAAGTAAAGTACTTACCTGGAAAGCGCTAGAAAGGCGAGAAAAAAAGGCAGCTGCCGAAACATTTGAGTTTACAGGGGCTGTTCCAAATTTATGCAGGCCACGACCTACATACTTCGTACATGTAGATATAGGTATCAGCTGAGCCCAAACCAAAGACCTGCTCTGACCTACATAGCGCTGAAAGGAATCGAACCTAACCCATTAGGTACCTACATGTATCACGATACAAAGCATAGAAGGTGGGCTTCAGGACGGGACCAACCTACCTAGGTACATACTTACTTATATATGTACATCATAGATATAAAGGATTTAAGTAGGTGCTACATACTGCGAGGGCCCATCGCTCCAAGACAGCAATCATTAATATACCTACAGTATCGAAGAAATATGTATATGCTTAATCTTAGTAGTGAGAAGTTGCCCTCTTCCAGCTTTGTTTCGTGATTGCTGACCCTGATGACCAGAATATCACGAATCAAGTTGCTTGTTAAGCTTTACAGCCTCGCAAATGTTTCAAATATCAACCCAACTACTAGTAAGTAGGTTTCTGCGCTGAGCCAGTGCAATCCACGTCTCTCATGTTAGCTACTAAGCTTTCACACAATAGAAAAATAGGTATCAGTGTGGATACTAGCTATACACACATATTATGGGTATGACAATGGTTGGGAATCAAGCGCTGATGCTGGCACTTGATGAAGGCTCACGCAGTGACGGAGAAATCACGAGCTACCAAGAGATGAACAAAACGAAGCCCGCCGGTAGGCTCCCTAGCAGAATGCGTGCATGCTGCAGACCATACTTGAATTTACCCTCGTCATTTGACTCCTATGGAATTTAGAAAAACTTCCCTATGCTGCGGGTCCACGATGCTCTGCGCAACATCACTCATGGACTCAACTTCGCTTATGCCCACGCCATGCTTGAACCGCCATATCTCAGATGGCACTCCTTCATTGTCTGTGTCATACCGGATCTGAAATGCTTGCCATCTTTGATTCCTCAGTTCCAGTACATGCGACTCGATAGCACTTGTCTCTCCAGAAAAGACCAACACTCCAGGATAGCCAGGTTTTGTGACCCCAGAGACTCTCGAGGCCGCCATCGAGGGATTCAGAGCAAGTTTACGCTTATTTGTGTTGAGGAGATGATGGAGCCAGATTATGACTGTTCTGTTAGCTAGCTCACTCATCCCCTGGGATTCAGTTTCCCTAGTTGCTTGCACAGTTGCTTTTTGGCTCGGGCCTTCTCTCGACGACACCAAGTCTCTAAAGGCAAGAAGCAGTACATCCAAGACCTCCTCTCCTGGAGGGGCTTCAGTAGAAGAGAACACAGCTTGTGTAGGAGACCTCAAATATTCCTTGTAATGTCCCGTAGCAGAAACAACTTCGGGGAATCCGACAAGGGGATAAGTGTCGGGCAGTCGGAGTGTTAGAACAGCTGGGGACTTTGTACCCGACTCATCACCCCAATGTGAATACTTCAGCTCCCGGCCCTTTGCAGAGAAGCTGAGAGAGTCGGGGTACATTGCAAGGAGCAGGTCTAGCTCGGCCTGGAAACGCTCCGCTGCTTCGACTTCCATGTTCACCAAGAGTCTCTGTGAACACGATGGGACCTTAATATTGAAGAAAGGCACCTTTATCACGGGAATGACACGATTGCTCGAAGTTGGTACGACTGACGATACTTCGAACCTTCAACGACAGAAAACCAAGTATGCGCCTAATACCAATTAGCTCTGAAGCTGAAAAAACTCTGGGATATTCCTTCAGACAGCTCTGTCCTAATCCATCACACTGGGAATGTCCTAGTTCTTATTGGCCATTTTTCCACCTACCTCGATACCGCACCAGTATGGATTGTGGTTCGTACATACCTTAGTACACTACACGTAGGTAGGTATTGAGAGGTGCGATGTCGTACAGCTGTGGGCCCCAATGCTGTAGATGCATGCCTACCTTCCTACATGTAGTTAGGTAGGTACATGTAGATACCTGATTTGTATGATAGGTACAACCCTCAGACTACCTTACGTAAATATACCTTCGATACACGCATTCAGCTCGATAAATGCATGCCAAGTCTTTCAACCTTCAAGGTCGGGACACATTGAACATGGAGCTCTAGAGACGATGGCAGTGCTCAAGAAGCACTGATGTCTGTCTTCATGTTGGCCTTTTCTAATGATCTGTCTAAGGTGTATTACATAAAGACGAGTCAAATCACCTTTCTTATATCCCCAATTCGCCAGGGATAGCTAGATCTATCCAGGTCCCCCTCGTCATGGCCGCCGGTCATTCATTGCGCGATCGCCAAATTGGTGAGCATCCATTTACATCATGTCACGTATATGCTCTCTCCCTGCTCACCTAGCTGTTCGTAGCGTCCTTGAAGAAGATCCTCAACCTCAACGAGAACGTTTCCCAGAATGATAACGACGACCCCCACGCGAATAGCCTTGCTCCCGTTGGGCCCATCCTCAATGCGGACGGAAATCCCATCTGGAAGGTCCTCGTCTTCGACGATCTAGGCAGAGATGTCATCAGCAGCGTGCTGCGAGTGAGCGACTTGCGCTCCATGGGTGTCACCATGCACATGTATGCTAGGCGCAACATCGTCCTCAAGCTACCCCAGCTTGGGTTATTAGATATGGCTAATTGACAGCTGGTGGATAGGCACATTTCCGCCGTGCGCCATCCCATCCCCGACGTTCCCGTTATATATCTTGTCGAACCGAATGCAAAGTCTTCGCAAAGCATAACTGCCGACCTACAAAAGGGTCTCTACTCTCCTGCCTATATCAACTTCCTCTCCTCCATACCACGACCCATCCTCGAAGACTTCGCCGCACAAACGGCCGAGGCTGGCACCGCTGAACACATAGCCCAGTTATTCGACCAATACCTCAACTTCATAGTAGCCGAGCCTGACTTGTTCAGTCTTGGCATGCAGAAAGAGCACACGTATTGGGCACTGAACAGCGCAAAAACAAAAGATGAGGAGTTAGATTATGTCGTCGATCGTATAGTTAGTGGGCTGTTTAGTGTCATTGTGACTATGGGTGCGATTCCCAGAAACACACTCACTCTCGCGACTGCCTTGCTAACCCATCACAGGTATCATTCCTATCATTCGGTGCCCAAAAGGTGCGGCGGCAGACATGATAGCCGGCAAACTAGACCGAAAGCTTCGTGACCACATCTTGAATTCGAAAGACAATCTCTTCAATGCAAGGCCGGCATCATCCGCTGGTACTCCTGCCTCAAGACCAGTTCTCATTATCCTAGATCGTAATGTGGATCTGAACCCAATGCTATCCCACTCGTGGACATACCAATCATTAGTCCATGATGTCCTTAATATGAAGCTTAACCGGATAACTATCGAGACCCCCGTGGATGAGGAGAACCCGGCTAAGGGTGTGACAAAGAAAGCTTATGATCTAACCTCCGCTGACTTCTTCTGGGAGAAGAATGCTGCGTTACCTTTCCCACAAGTCGCTGAGGATATCGATGCCGAGTTATCGCGGTATAAAGAAGACGCCGCCGAAATTACCAAGAAGACGGGTGCTTCGTCAATAGAAGATCTCCAGAACGACACAAGTGCAAGCGCACAGCATTTGAAGGCCGCGATAACTTTATTGCCTGAGCTGCGTGAGAGAAAGGCAGTGCTCGATATGCATATGAACATCTTGGCAGCCCTTCTCTCGGGTATCAAGAACCGACAACTGGATAACTACTTCCAAATGGAGGAAAGCGTTATGAAGCAAACAAAAGCTCAGATGCTCGAGACTATCAAGGACGGATCAAAGGGCGATGACTCTCTAGATAAGCTACGATTATTCATAATTTGGTTCCTCAGCACTGAGCAAGAAGTTAGTAGAGCAGACTGGACTCAGTTTGAGGAAGCTCTCACAGCGGCTGATGTTGACTGCACATGCCTTGCTTACATCCGGCAGTACGTATCAACATCAAAACCCCCAGATATTGAGCTAATTGGACACTAACCGCTGAATCCAGAGTTCGTGCAACAACAAAAATGACACAACTAACTACTATTAATAATCCTTCACAACCAGCTTCGCAATCAGGCACCACAGATCTTTTTGGGCGGTTCTCCTCCCTCTCCACTCGATTGACAGATCGTCTTAAGGAGACGGGTGTAGGCGTACCCACCAACCTCGCCTCTAACTTTGACTCCTTAATAGGAGGTATAAAGAATTTCCTCCCTGCCAATCGTGACCTTACTGTCACCAAAATCGTAGAATCAATCATGGACCCGCAGACCGCTTCTACATCCGCCATCGCCAAGACGGAGAACTACCTATATTTCGACCCGCGAAGTGCGAACGCTCGGGGGACCATGCCACCCCCCAGCGCCGTTCGAGCTGGCGCTAGCAGCACACCTGGCTCTTTACCAGGAGCAGCCACACTAGGTGTGCAGACTCCCGGTACAGGCGCCAGCTTCGGCCAGCGGAGACAAGGCTATACGGATGCCATTGTGTTCACAGTCGGCGGAGGCAGTATGGACGAGTACGGCAACCTCCAAGAATGGGTCAAGCGTACAAATGAAGGTAGAGCAAAGAAGCGGGTCGTATACGGCAGCACAGAACTGCTCAACGCCAGAGAATTCATCAAGGAGGAATTAGAGAGGCTGGGAAGCGAGGCCCCATAAACTTAATTATAGCAAAACAGCGGGTAAAGACTGCGGGACAATAAAATGAAATAACATTCTGGCAGTGATATTTCATTTAGCAAATTTGTTGCTTCACTTGTGACTACCTGTAGAGAGCGTACAGAGTATCATGTACGTAGGCAAGATATAACGTAATTCTCTGGTTTCGGGTTATGCATGTATATCTACATACCTATGTAATGCTAGTAATATGCGCTTTCCCCATTACAAAAACCAACAAACACATACCAATTCACTCATTCACTTCCTCCCATCCTACCTATTCGTTCGTCCTACCACCCCCTTACTTCTCACTAGGACGTTACACAGATATCGAATCTCGAGATTCTCTCTTATGCATGCAGAGCCATAAAAACCCACGAAATGTATGTATATATATAAATATACAACGCAACCACCGCACGCAAACATCATTCATTAATCCCATCAAACTGCCCGCTTTGTTTCCTTTCTTTCTCGCGCGCAGTGGGGGTATTAGGAGGAAAGGAAACAGAAATGGGAAGAAGACAGAATATGCAGAGATAAGCAAGCAAGCAAGCCCTTCTCTAAACGCCTGCGATGGGAGGAGAAAACGAAAAGTAGAAAAAGAAAATGGCAAACAAAAGTTATACAAATCGCGCAAACGAGAATTGCAAGAACGATGAGAGCTGGGCAAGATGAATTGTTGGGTTTCATGAACACGTCCCGGCATCAAACGAGTAACTGGGTAAAGTGAAGTAATCCTTTCTTAATATTCTGTTTTCTTTTTCGAACAATATAACAAGTCTTTCTATACACCCCTAAACAAGCGGACAATAAGGAACCACAAGGCGCCGATGAATTTGAACGCGCTCAGACCCGCTACACTCCACAGAATAATCGTCGTGTACAGCGTGGAGCGCGCCTCTTCCGAGGCCTCCGTGTCGGGCTGGCCATTCAGGTCTTCGACGCCCGCCGTGCTGAGGACAAGTGCGACCAAGCCGAAATTCGTAAAGATCCAGATCAGGACAACGAGGGAGCGGATCCAGCGGTAGTAATCCATCTGGTCTTCTGCCTTTTGCGCCTCGGACTTCTCGCCCTTCACTTCCTTGGGTTCTTTGTGGTTGAAGACTTGGAGCTCCTTCTCGTACTGTGCGTTTAGATCGCCCTCGTCCGGCAGGTCGGTCTTACCTTTGCCATCCTTGGTATCGACCTTGGGAAGCTCCTCTGGCTTGTCGTCACCCTTTGTACCCCACGAAATATCGTGCGTGTTGCAGAAGGCATACACGTTCAGCACGTTGACGTACGTAGGTGTCAATGCCAAGTATTGCACGAAGGAGGTGAGCATGTGCCAGGGATCGAACATGAGGAGAGACGCAATAAGCCAGAGGCCATAGGTGGACAGCAGAGATACTACCAATGAGAAGAACACCTTGTTCTGGAAGATGGCGCTGATGCTGAACCCATCCTTGATTTGTTCTTGTACTGCCACAACTGAGATGAAAACAGCGGCAAAGGTCAGATATCTAGCATAGAGGTTAGCAAACCCGAAATGAAGTGAAGGAACATCACAATTCTTACATCATGATAATGCACCAAAAGATAACCATAGCCGTGTAAAGCTTTCCGGAACCTGCTGGGCGATTACCAAGGGATAGAACAAAACATGCGACCAGGCAGACACCGTAAAACCATTGAAAAACGACACTCAAGATAGTGCCAGCATTACCCAAGAGCTGATCGCCACCAAGACTCTTGGTCAAGATCTTGAAAACAAGGAAGAAGTTGCCAATTGCGAACCATGCAAAAATCTGGTTAATGGTTTGGAAAATGAATTCTATGAAGAAAGCAGTTTTGCGCAGGATAGAATGATCTGATCGCCAGAACTGGTAGAAGTGGGCAATGGCGTAGATAGCAGCAAAAAAGGAGCCGTTCAGCCAACGACGTCGCTGAAGAATGAATTCGGTAACCGTGTCCGGCACATCTGTCTCGCCCGTAGCGGATTTAACGTAAGAAAGGACCCAGTGGCAATTGCGTTTAGTGACCAGCTCGAAACAGAGAATTCTGTCTTCGGCGAGGTACATGTTTGCCGTGAAGACACCAGCACCTGCGCCATGAAGCGTCTCACCCTTGAAATACTTCTCCAGCGGGCCTTGTCCATTTTTATCGTTCTGTAACGCGATATATCGGTATGCCGAAAAAGCACCGGGCAAAACGGAAATGAAACCAAAAGCCGACTCGAGTGGTTTATCCAGGATATTACTCATTTTGTACTCAAAGTTTTGCGTAGCAACCAGAGGATTGAGTAAATGCCTGCCGCCCGTGCCCAACATAGCCTTGATCTCACCACAGGCACCGCCGCAGCTGGGTTCCAAATCGAAAGCTTTCCATAGCTGGTAGATCGAGTTGCCTCCGGGCCTAGTACCAGCATCGATCAAAACACAGATGTTGGGATCTAGCACGCGTCCAAAAGCTTGGAAGAACCATCTATGCGAATTGATTTTCTTTTGGTTCTTCTCTTTCAAGCAGAAGAGCATCTGAACCGGTTGCTTTTTGGGGATCAACTGTACCACGTCATTCTTGATCTGCATGCCCACCTGGGTGGTGTACTCGTAGATGTGAGCCGTAACGTTATCACCGTTCACCTGTTGCTTGGCAATACCCTCTTGGTAGACACCCATACCCGCCAGAAGAGCTTTTGTGCGCTTATTAATCTTTGCACGGCCGTCACTCACGACACATACCACAATCTTCTTCCAGGCGTCGGGGCCCCAGGTCTTACTCTCCTTGCGACTGCACATGTACTCGATGTTCTTCAGCACGCCGATCATGGTCCTCGCAAACAAGATATCGTTCTCGTTGTACATAGTGATTACGATAAAAAGTTCGGTATGTCGCGGTTTACTGAATAGCTTTTGGCGCAGAGTGTAATTCTCATTATAGAAGTCATTCGGGTCGCATGTTGCCGCGGTATAGCGCATATGTGTGAATTCATCACGCTCGCCGTGGGGAAGCTGGTTTAATAAACGAGGCGGGACTGGGCAGTCAAGAACCAAGTTTCCACGATATAAGAGGACTTGTTTCACCGTCTTCCATCTCTTGATGGGCGCCGAAGGCTGTCGCTGTGGCTCATCCCTGTAAGGTTCTTGTGCTTGCGCATGCGAATATGAATCGTTCTGAGTTAGCATGGGCTGTCCGTCATGCTCGTCATAATCATAGCCTTGGTGATCATTTAAAGGCGTTGTCGCAGTATGGGGCTCGTATGGTTGGTTGTAATAGGCATCATGATGCTGTTCTGGGTTGACTGAATACTCAGAGCTATACCCTTGATTATGGCCATGGCCGTAGGGACTATGAGAGAGGTCGCTAGCAGACTGCGCAGCATTGAGAGGTAAGTTATCGCTCGGCGTATATGTACCGGGGCCTGGCCTATCGAGGTGGCTCGTCGAGTGCGCACCGTATTCGCCATAGGGCACGTCGTCTAATTGATATCCGGTCTGTATAGGATGGCCTGGTGAGGGCGTCCGATGCGGGCGCATGCGGTGGTTATCCATGGTTGGATCGTAATAATTATCGTCTGCAGTCAAGACAGGTTAGGGAAGAAGCACGGGTGGGTTTATAGTTGTCTTTGCGCAGGGGATTGGGTTCATTGACAGGCAGGCCAGCCTGCGAGGGACGTAATCAACAAGGAAGTGGCCAGGAGGGCGACAGTAAACAAGGGTATCGGATTGAAGATGACGACAGAGACGAAGGGCCACAACGAGCGCGAAGAGAAAACAAGACAAAGACGGCACATGAGAGTTCGCAACGTACCTAGGCGATTATACGACATGTTGAAGATTTATGTCTGTGCGAATCCACTTGTCTTTCTTTGGGTGGGCGGAAGGGACGAACGAATGCGATGCGCGTGGCAGGCTAGGACGGGTGGAGGGATATTGGAATGTGACTGGCATGCATGGACGACTGGAATGGACAGGGCCAATCTACCAGCGTCGTGGGTCGTATCGTTTGTGGTAGCAGACCAATATTATCCGATGATTTGAAGGGCAAAGGGCGGTTGGGTGTGTGTCAAGGAGTCGTCGCGCAGACCAGGCAGTTTCATGCGGATGAGATCCAGGGAGCCAAGCCTTGTTTTGTTGGTTGGTTGGTTGATTCAGTTCAAACTTGGATCTCGAAGACGATGCGACCCCTATCCTCGAGGATGTCAAGGGAGACTATTCTCAGGCCCAATACGGCCGGTTATTACGTCTGATAGAGCTGTAACAGGTGGGCTGTTGGTTCCCGGTATGTGGAAGATTTTAATTTCAGCAATGTCAAAAAGGAAAAATGGGAGAGAATAGGATGGAAAATGCAAATGCGCAGAGGGATGATAGTAGGTACACACACACACAATGGTACAGATGGTACACAGATAGTTAGATGATCTGCCTGTGTGTGGGCTGGTTGCTGGGCTGAGCACAGCAGCAACGCGACGACAACAGCAACAGCAGCGGCAAGTAACCGAATTAATTACAGATCCAGATACCTACAGTACTACTTACGTAGGTAGCGAGGTAGGTAGTAGGCGAGAATAGGTAAAATGATGTCTGTTTCAGAGCGACAAAGCGGGCGAAGCAGCAATCACCCGCCAATCACAGCACACACGGCCGGTGATCCCTCGCTCCACCTTCCCTTGCTAGCCGCAGTAGCGTCGCATCCGTTGCGTCGCCGTCAAGGCCTGTCAAGGGGATCGTGGAGGCAAAGGTGGAGGAGGGGGTTTGCTGAAGCTGCTGAATGGGCACAGAAGGGGCATTTTTGCTAAAGGCTGTCGAGGCTGTTCAGGTACACGCGCTACTATCATCTAGACGACTCTTAGTGTACAGCCCAGGCATACTGCTCGACTGGTAGTTGAATTGGAATTGGAATTGAATTGTACACCAAGTAGGTACTCCCGCTGTACCTCGTGGCCGGAATCCACAGCCACTGAAAACCATGCGCAGTTGCTAGGTTGTCTGCCGAACTGCGCCAAGCAGCCCCAAACTGGAACTGGGCTCATGGGCTCCCGTGACAATGGATTCGCCATGCAAAAGCCGTCGAGTGACGTCGTCCATTCTCTTCAACATAGATAATCTCTGCTCTTAGCTAGGTATCCTTGGTTTCTTCCAGACAAGGTGAGATGGTCTAAGTATTCATTGTCCGTTTCGTCTGAAGGAATCATGACATCCACTGTCATCAAAGCAAAACCGCCCCAGTCCTCTTTGAGTGCAACCCCATGTCAATAGTGATACAGCAGCGCTGGGAACTCGGCAACCGTCGATATCTGCGGACCCCCATACACTACGCGAAACAAATGGCCCGGTCACTATTCCCACTATTCCCGTTACTAAGTAGACCGAGTAGACCTCTGCTAGACCGTCAAGCTTAGATAGTCCCGTTACAGTAAGGATCCGGCAACGATTGCCATCATTCACAACCCTTTACATAGTAAACAGCTGCCTGAATTTCCATAGTAGGTAGATACCCATCATGATTTGGAGAATCATCACCTACAAAAGGGCATACGAGGACACCGCGTAATTGGCTGCGCACGACGCCACTCCGAACATCTCGTCATGTTGCTAATCCATTCGCACAAGGTTCTCCAGGTCTGACATGCATCAGGCAACAGGATACGGATAAGTAGTGTAACGAACGAGGCATCTTAAAAGGAAAATGCTCAAAATAGTACAGCGAGCTTGATCCGGGGAATTCCCATAGTCGGCCGCCACATCTGCCTCAGCCACACACACCTCGTCATCAGATGTGAGATCGCTACCTACCTCTTGAGTTGACATCAAACAAAGTTCAATTGGATCTTCAGTCTATGTGATCATTCACTCTAGTCAGGAACATACTTTAGTCATCCCATATTTCGTTGCTCTTTGCGTCTCCTAGTCAGCCGTACGCGTATACTACCAGCACCCGTGACAGGACATTTGCCAATGTGAGCTGCAGGGCGATATCCAATGCGATGTCCGAGGGATAACCTTCTTACAAGTGTATTCGCCAAAGTGAGGGCTTCTTGGCATTCTACACTGTAATTATCGGTATCGTTCACACTGTGGATTGCACTGCAATTTTAGCCCACACCGTTGGCATACATGTAGGCTGAAGGATGCCGAGGACATTCAAGGTCTAACACATACCTATCGTACCATAGCACATACACAAGATACCTAAGAAGTAGTAGTGTAGGTAATAATAAGAACACAGTCATCTAGCACGTTTTATTTTATTTACAGACAGTAGTCGCCATATTTTACAACCCCCATTCAAGCTACAATTGATTTAATATGGAGGCGGACGGGATAACCAGATAGTTACAGACAGCTAGAAATATCTGATACTCGGGGATCTCATCTTAATCCAAGGTGCCCTACCACACAATCACTTCACGCTATATCTCATTGCTCTTCTCTCCTGGTTTCGACGCTCGTAAACCCGCTCGCGGCTGAGTACGTCGTGAGTGCTCTCGTTCTCTGAATCATCCTCCTCTAAGTATGCCGTTATCTTCTCCTAGTGAGACTGGGGGTATATCTTAGGATATATTAACTCCAACATCAATCGATATGAGAGCTAGTAAATGGATTCTCAAGATACCATATGCATCGTCTTCATCCTAACACATACCCTCTAAACCAGGACTTCTGCATAGACATGATGACTGGTTAATCAACAGCGTCTGACTTGCTCTATCTGTCACCGTTTTTACAACTATGGATACCTCTATAAGCCTTCTCCCTGTCGAAAGGTCCGGCTGGCCAGCAAGAAGTAGATATGTCTCAATACGATGATTAATATCTTAACAGGGAGACCACATATTGCATATAGATGTTGGAGAGTTGGCGTAGAAGCTTCTAGGACTGGATATTTGGGGATTGAGAAAATCGACTCCCTTATAGTACTTGTGCTCAGATAACTATCTCGCCTAGCAGCATTAGAAGCCCCAGATCTTTCCTCTCCCTCTCAGTCTCCTTCTTTCTCCTCTCTTTACTCGAGTAAAGCGTTGATGAGATATTAGCTAGCGTTTCTACTAGAATACACGCACAGGTTCCACGCGGGAAGTATTCTTTCTTAAAGAGGATTACGTCGTATTCACTTGCACATATGATACTATAAGCTCCAATATACCAAACGCCAAAGCTCTGTTGGATATCATGCATGGTTAACTAGGACAACTAGTAACTACTTAATATTGACGCGCAAGGATCTCCAAGTTCTATTAAATGTCCTTTTCGGCATCTATATACGAATAGCGCTGCACCAACAAGTAATACATCACAATTCTCAGCTCTCTAACACGTATAGAGTCTTCAAAGCCTTAAGTCTCCTAATTTCTACCATATGAGCTACACACTAGAGGCCCGGAGTCCGTTCAGACCCAGCATCAACCCAACTTAATTCTTAGTGGGCGTCATCCAGACCTTCTCGCCCCCAGCCCCGTTCCAACCGTTCAGGGTAGCGGTGGCTTTCACTCCGTTGGCACTCTGTGTGAAAGTCCAGGAGGTTGTAAGCAAAGGGTTGCTAAAGCTGATACTGGAAGCGCCGTCGATGTTGTAGCAGAGACCGCCGACCTGCACGCACTAGAGATCTGTGTTAGTTCGTTGCATGATACATGTGTCTGGCGGTATTATAATGTGGTCATTTGAATGGAGTGGCGAGAATTGCGAGGGTGGTATGTTATACATACCCAAGCTAAGAAAGCGGGAAGTCCCTCGATGACATTGTCGCCGCCACTGAGGAAGAAGCCACGGTTATCGACTAATGTGCTTGTTGTTAGTACTAGTACGCTCAACAATCTTGAGAATAAGAAGAACAAGGACAGAGAGATAAGTTGAGCAGCTTACCGGCGTATAGACCCCATTGGGCGGCCGTAGAGGTACCAATGACGCTAAGAGCCGGTAGTGCAAGAGTAGAGAGCTTCATGTTGTTGCGTATTATAACGGACTTAGAATATATAGAATGGAAATGGTTGTGTTAAACAGAGTTCAGGGGAATATGGCCTCCTTTAAGTATTGCAAGTTGGCCAGGGTTGGTTCACTTTCCCAACTCAGCCTCTATTTTCGCCAGAGTTGCTAGAGCTTCCAGATATAGATTATTGGCTCACTGGCCTGATCATCACTTCTACATTGTTACTGTTTTCACTGCATCAAAGGATATCAGGTACTGCTGTGCCGCTCGAGGGGCTGAAGTTGGACAAGATTTCGGCCTACTATAACCGATGATTACCTGCATGAGGATTATGGTTCTACAGCGGGATCACCGGGGGGAGAGAGGGAGCGGGCGGATCCGGAACCCTGTGAGAATCTCGGAACCGACAAAGTATGTTTCTACTTAGAGTCGGGCACCTGTGTATTGCCGCCATTGTATAATATATTGGGTCGTTTACGGAACAAAGTGGGAACTTCGATGTATGCACGGGACCATCATTGGGTTGATTGGGTAGTTCGTAAGTGTAGGTAACAAGCACTCATCGTTAGCTCTAGCCCCGCCCTTAAGGGACGTCTATTCCCTCTTAGTCCACTAGGTCTCAAGATATCACTTTCCTCCCTCTAGGTACTTATGGCAAAATATCACCGGCCATGGGGAAATTCCCTATCGTCATACCCCCAACAATTCGCAAGCCGAAATTACCCATCCACGACGACTGCTATGAAGACGATAAGCTACAAGAGTTGCTCGCAATAGCGTCCGGCGCTCAGGCTAGCACGGTGTTAGGACGAGCCAGCAGTTCTACTCTCGTCGACATCATCGACCCTGAAACGGGGGACTCTCCGCTTCACCGGGCTGCTTCGGCAGGAGTTCTGGAGGCCATGGATGTCATGATGGATTGCTTCGGACCCAACACATCCCAGCGCCCTAGCGAAGAGAGACTTTTCTGGACATTCATGACGCATCAAAACAAAGCCGGCGACACGGCTCTACATAGCGCCGCTCGCTCAGGCCAACAGATAGTCGTTGTGGCGATTTATAGGATGTTTCACATGGACGCTCTTCCCAGTGAGAACGACGATGCTGAGCGAGGACCTGATTCCAAATATCCTGCCGTTGAGCACGTTTTAGACTGGGACGAACCTGAAGCTGCGTTATTGTTCTTGACCACGAAGAATAGTGCTGGGCGAGATGCTGCCGCCGAGGCGCGTCACGCTGGCCATATTGGCATTGCAGAATGGCTTGAGGCTTTAGCAGAGAATTTAGACGTTAATAGACAGCGCACCGATAAGATTGCTATGCGGCTGCTGGAAAAGTCTGTGTTAGATAGATATTGGTATCTTGACGATACAGAAGCTGAAGAGGATGGGTTTCACGGTTCCGATATTTGAGACGAGCAAAGGTCTACAAGAAATGCTAACCATACTTGTAGGAGGAGAACGTGAATGTATTTAGATCAATCTTATAAACTGCTAGTAAAGTTCTATAAAGCCAGTCTATAAGACATGAGATACGTTTTTTTCTTATTATATTGATCTCTATCTAAATGGAGGTAGTATGGAAAAGAATTTGTTGCATAAAAGATGCCCCATGTGTAGTATGGTTATTGGATAAACATGTTAACATAGCACAAGTTTTAACATTAAGTTCCAAAGATAGCACTCTTATTATTACGATATTTAAAAAAGCTAGTACTGATATTCCACTATTATTAAAAGCCAAACTTGAAAACAAAATAAATAGACTCCTTTCCATATCGTTGCATTTCTAGAGGTATGTAATTCTATACCCACTAAAGATAATACCGGTACAACCCAGTCTTACTCCCAACCATCCACATATAGCGATGTTTTGAGTAGCACATCTGACGACTGTCTCAGTTTCACAATCACAATCTAGCCAATGAACCCATTAAACGTTTAAATAGCATCCTTTTATCTATAAAAGCCAGCCCAGCCAGTCCTAGCCTAGCCAAAGCTCCTATCCCACCAATACTCCTCGAAGAAATTCGTCAAGCAAAGCATAACAATCCCGATGCAACCCCTCAATCTTTGGTATCACGCCTAATCCCATCCGTTAGGTAAAAGAAAACCCAATGAGAGCTAGAAGAAAAGCCCTCCTACCAGCCAATGCCAGGCTACCATGACTCCAAGCTATATACAAGAAAATAGCCTTGAAAATCAGCGGCTAATTGGGTATAAATGGCGAGTATGTTTTCGCCACCGGCCCGTTATATATATGTACATTTTCGTATGATGCATATTTTGCATTTCGAATGAGATGTGGCGGAGGTTTCGAAAATGAAACTTTACTTCTCGAGGTCCCCAACGGCCACAGGCTCGTATGTCGATAGAGGCATGCCCTTGGGGATCTCCTTCCACTGTTCCTCGTTGTCGAGGAGCTTGAAGGCATCGGCCCACTCGCTGCGGATGACCTCGGCGTGCTTCTGTGTGCGGGGGTTGATGGCGGCCCGGAACGGCTCGGGTTGCACCAACATGCCAGGGATCAGTTTAGTTGGGTCGGGAATGATGGGCTTCCCGTCCTTGTCCAGAGGGGCCTCCATGCGGAACGCCCAGAGCAGACGTGAGATGGCGAGGAACATGGAACGGTCGGCAATGTGCATGCCCTGGCAGATACGCCGGCCAACACCGAATAGGAAGTTATCGCGCTTTGATACATCCCTCTGTTGCGAAGATTCCTGAGAGGTGGTGTGGTCGTCGATGTATCGCTCAGGGTCAAACACAGATGGGTTGGGGTGGCGCTTGGGATCCATGTGGATAGCCCTGTGAGTTATGGATTAGTTGAGGTTTCAACATATTTGCTGAAAGCAGGGTACATACCAGACGTTGACTACACACATCGAGTCCTTGGGAATCCTGTAACCCATATATACGTCTTCCTTGTTGTTAGAGTGTGCAATACCTAGAATGGCTGTTGGCATCCATCGGTTGGTCTCCTTAACGCAAGCGCGGATGTAGGGCAGGTCATCCCAGTCGTCCATTGTGGGGAATCGAGAGCCACAGACACGGTCGAGTTCTTCTTGAGCCTTCTTTTGTACCTCAGGGAACAGCAACATAGCTTGAACGAAACCAGTCAACTGGGCCGCTGTCGTGTCGGCGCCGGCTTCCAGGAGGTTTCCGGCGATGTAGCCGGCCTGTTCGTCAGAGAAGCCTTCCGCATCCTGAGCCTTGATCAAGTCGACACAGAGAGAGGGCTGAGGGGAATGACGTGAGTAAATATGTCATAACTGGGAGTATAAGTATGGGAACATCCTACCTTAGCAGTACCGGCCTTGAGCTTTTTCTTCACTTCCATCCAATTACCCTTGTGGAACTTCAACTCGACATCGTGGAGCTTCTTGGCGTGAGCTCGGCTGGAGAGGAGAGAATCCGGCAAGGCTCGCAGAGGGGGAAACATGTCTAAGATCATAGCGGAAGCAGTGCCCATGGCCTTGGAGAACTGATGAAGATTGTGAAATAGGGACTTGAGTCTCCAGTCGTCCAAAGTAGGTGTTCGGAAACCGTAGATCATCTGGGTAGTCAAAGAAAAGGAATATCGTTTCAGGTGATCAACGAATGAATCTGGCTTGTCTAGAAAACCTTGAAGCATCTGCTTGTTCTCGAGGTCTTGATAAGGAACGAAGCTCTTGGCAGCCTTGATGTTGAGAATACTGTGGTAGACACGATGGGCCATCCTCCATCGGTCGCCATATGGCTAAGGAGAGATATCAGTGAGAGTGAACTCAATAGGAGAGAATGGTTCTGACTCACCATGTTCAGAACACGGTAGCCGCCATCGACCTTGTGTGAGCCGCCGACCATTCGAGCAATGTAGACCTCGGGGCGAGATGAGTAGATAGAGCTCTTCTTATCGAACGTGTCTTTAACAGCCTGATCCGAAGAGAAGACGATCATGACATTAGGTCCCAGCATGAGTGAGTAAACCGGTCTATCCGAAGAACATTAGTCACGTCTAGGTAAGGGTTGGGATGGGATAGGCTATTTACCCGTATTCTTCGGCCCATTTCTTGAACTGAACATGTCCATTCTCCTTGGGCATCAAGTGTAGGTTACCTATTATCGGGAGGGTCGGCGGTCCAGGGGGGAAGTCCTTTGGTCTGCTACCAATCTGAAGGATACGGTATATCGCCAAGCCCAAGAGGGCGAGAACTGGGTAAATCCAAACGCCAGGCATTTTGAAATTTTGTGCTCGGTGGGAAGAACAAAACTTACAAAACCGCTTCAAGGCCAGGTGGTATGTCCAAGAGGGGACGCCCACCATATATAGAGAGCTGCTTCATCGCCGTACAGGTTGATCCAGATCGATCCATAGTATGTTGTCTGACTCCACGCTGACTTGCGACGGCCCAGGATGTTATCCCGCAGCTATCAAGCCCCGTTCCAATTTGTGCTTGTCGATGAAATGTACACCTGTACGCTACTGTAGTACCAGTATCACAACACATCATCGTCCTCTAGTGTACAGCACTAGAGCAGCCTTGGCAGATTTCTATATACATAGTACTGTACTATGACTGGCACTAGGAGTTTCGGCTAGGACATAAGCTGGGGTGGGCACTGATACTTTCATCGTCCGTAGTACGGGCGACACGATGGTGAGCATTGCTTATTCCAACGTTAGATGCAAGGCGCAGGCCCTGGAGCCTATCAGGGGAAGCTGTCGAGATGCCGGCCGGGTGGATTGCTGGCGTAAGTCGCGGCGCACCCACGCCGCCCATACCCATGCCATAGTTGCTACCAGCTGTCAATGAAACGAAAGTACCAAGACTTGGGATGAAGATGACATGTAGATACGACTATGCTAGTCTGAATAGGCAGGCAACATGTTGAACCCTCTCCGGTCCCCATGCTGCGATGATAGAGCGTATACACATGGCCTATGGAATGACAACAGCGACGATACTGCGAACAACGGGACGCAAGCAGGACTTATGCGTACATCACTCTATCCAGTGGTTTCCCCATGGTGTTTTTGGTACAGTACCTATGTCTGGAAATAGCGTCAGGTAACGTTAGTAGAAGCGTAGATCCGTGCTTATCGATCCTGACGGGTCTTGGTGAGTGAGCGTCGCGCGTGCGAGGGTCCGTCGTTGATGTCCGGGTGGGGACAGCGAAGCACCGCCATGACGAAGAACAGTAATCGGTGTGCATGCGACAGATTCATCTCACTGTGTAAGTAAGGTATGCCTCTCTTGGCTCGGGACAAGAGAAGTAAGTCGCCGGTAAGTCCTTGGGTCCTTGGGTTCTTGAGTTCTTGTCTTTTGGGTTCTGTCTCGGGATGACCGCGGCAAAACTCTCCCAAGCCCTTCCTCATTCTCTACGGTTCATTGAGCAGGTAACCGAGTACCGATGCAGAGGCACGGATGGCGTAGTTGGGCGAGCTATTGGTTGGTGATGCCTCGCTAGGGCACGTACAAAGTAGGTAGATGTTCAACGGGCAGTGGAACTATGGGTCATGATGAGGTTCCCACCTTGCATTGCATACTTACCATCTAAGCAAGTGCCTACCTTAGGCGGGCCAACCTTAAAAAAACTTAAAAAGTAAGCTTGTTTGCTGTGCCGCATCGATGCGCCCAGGCCAGTACCAAGCAGACCCATTGGAAGCAGACCCAGGCGAGCCAGGCGAGCCAGGCTCACGATCCCGGTCTACCTACTCTACCTAGGTAGTGTAGAGTGTACTTACTGTGTTGTGAACACTGTACACCAACTGTGCAACATCAAGACGGACTTAAGTTAAGCCTCTGCCAACAGAGAGAGACGATGCGGGTAATAGTAAGTAATTCACACTGTCTATTTCCCGCGCATATGTACATACTTCCACTACAAGCCGAGCCGAGGACTCGGACTGCTTGGTTGATGTTTGATTCATCATCGTTGCTCCAAACTACCTAGCCGGAGGATTCGCTTTCTCGGATAACACTCTGTCACCAATAATAACCCAAAGCGGGCCCAACTGACGACACTTTTCTTTTCCATCTTATTACTGGGACGCCGTGTGATTGGCACGAGATATTAATAACGTATACTAAGACGAAATACTGACTTATCTACCTATAGGTACTTACACGTACTCACCTACCTACGGCCCTTACGGCGCACTCAGTAATGTAAACACTTCTTTGTTCAGCTCTAGCTCGTGTACATCATAGTGTCAAGCTAGCCAGTCCGTCAGTCAGTCGGGTCCGTCAGCGTGGCACGCTTGACACTAAATGTCAGCCACAAGCAAACGAAGGACATGACTACTACCCAACTACTAAGAGGTACCGCATCTTCTTTGCAGTAGTGTCTATATCTACCCAGGACACCCGGGACCTACTGTTTTACGTCCAGACTACAGTCTACGTCCAAGCGTGATACGATGGATATCTTGACCATCTCCCCATCCTCACCGATGAAAATGTCTGTACCAATCAGTCACCACAGCAGCAAGCACTCTTGAAAAGGTTTGAACATACGAGCCATTCGTGCCGCAGGCAGTTGTAAGTACTCATACTAAGACAGACAGAACGAGTGGGAACTGGTTTGTTGCACTCAGCTACTGGATCCAGTTAGTCTCGGTTTGGCCGGACCGACGGCGTGTGTGGGAGGCTGTACTTGTGATGAGTATAGGAGGAACGTATAGGCATCGCCCTCCTCAGCTGTGTGCGTTATTAGCTGTCGCCAGCGAGGGGCAGAGTTTTCCCCATCTCGTCATTGGAGGTTCAGCGCTCACCGCCAAAAGCGCAAAGGCGGCGGCGCTGTTGGGCTTGACCCTAACTTCCAAGAGTTCAAACTGGAGATGATGCGGTGATATACTAACTCAAGTATGCCCCAAAATGCAGGTTACCTACGCACAAACAATGCAGTGACACCTACTTGCAACACAACCTGCTGCGTGCCGAGCCTTTGAGGCCAATAATTAATGGCATAAGAGACTTGCGGCACAATATCGACATGGAATATGACCCTCACCTTTCGCCAGGCAGACATCATAGGGGGGATATCTACTTTCTTTTATTTAATCGACGGCGCCATACCGTGACTTTGCGGTGTCATGGGATACAAGTGTAGCACCACTAGGGTAGACCTCTAAACACACAAAGTACGTAGGAGAGTCTGATATCTATTAGGTATAGGTATTCTAGGCCTTCTCCAGCATGATGCAGCATTGGCACTGCTAGTTCAGCATAGATAACACAAAATCGTAATACTCATCCTTAACAGAGATCCTCTCTGACCGGACGATCATTTGCAGCACTACTTGCATTCACCAGAATCATGTGATTTCCGGTGATCCACCTATTTACTACATTCGTAGTCTTGAGGGTTAAATGATTTGACTCTGGGATACCTAGACTCATGAAGTCTTTTTTTTACAGCCATGTCGAGGAAGGCATTGTGTCCAAGTATGCGTACCCTCAGCGGTCTGTCTCTTATTTGCCCTCATATGATTATGCAGCTAGGCTTTGCGCAGTGGAACAGCTGAAACTCCCAGGATCAACCGGCAGGCTACGGCAGATCAACTAATGAAGCTACAGTAGAGCTGATCACAGACAGCACCAGTACCTTGCTGAACCAAGATTCGTCCTTGGACACATCAGAAATAGACATCCAATCAACCCTCCAAGTTACCTGGACTTGCCCGTCGACTTGGCACTCCTGCTGCTCGCATGCTGATTAAGTTTTTAGTAGTACTTGGGGTTACATTGACCAACGCTCTACCTCAGGGAATTAACCACAATTGGTTTCCATCGCTTAAGGCTCTCGCGCTAGTTGGAATGTGATCTTCTATTGGGTGTAAACATGTTACCCCAGAAGTGAGACAAGAAAAAGAAAAGGTTTTTCTAGCCTTTGGACTTCATATGGTCATGTACACATATTCGAGATGTGAGAGCAGGTTATTCCCTATGTAGAAGATGCCTTCCTAGGTAGGGGCCTACATACTTCGTACTTCGTAGGGAGGAGTCTAGGCGCGAACAACAGTGGTATTAGCGTTGTCACGCCGCTGTAGGTAGCACCCTCCGGTGCGCTAACCTATGGTGGCTAGCATCCTCTATCGCTCACCGAGGGGTCCCCGATAGCAGACGCCGGCACGCGGCTACCACCCGACTAACGCTCAGCGACACAGCTCCGTTATGCCGTTGTGTCGCCCCTCCGGCATCGCAGCACGCCTTGACACCCAACCAATCAGAGATGTCGTATTGTCAAAATACCCGTGGGATTTTCTTGACTTGGCTTTCTCGCGACTTTGGAAACATTGACACTGCCGATCAGGTTGATATGCGCTGTTTGAAGCATGAGGGCAATTGAGATCGCAGGCCGTCGAGGCGCGAGCCTTCGGGTGAGTTTTGTCTTTAGCCTCCTTCCTTGTCCAGTGCCTAGATCATCTAGTATTGACACATTTTCTTAGCAATTAATAGCACGAAGCCGCCGAGGAGACGTCACACGCCCCCGATCGTTTGCGACCCCTACATTCGAAACCTCGAACCCACGGATCCCGCCCTATCTTAAGCTCGTCAAGAACTATGAAAAGGTCAAGGAAGTCCTCGGGAGGGGTAGCGCTCTCACCCTGGCCGAGAAGATCCTCTATAGCCATCTGGACAATGCTGAGGAGTCATTGCTGACCAACACAAACGGCGGACGAGACATTCGGGGCACCGCCAATCTAAAGCTCAAACCTGACCGCGTCGCCATGCAGGATGCCTCGGCCCAAATGGCCCTTCTCCAGTTCATGACCTGCAACCTGCCTACAACTGCTATCCCTGCGAGTATCCACTGCGACCACCTTATTGTTGGTGAAAACGGCGCGAAGTCTGATCTGGAGTCCGGCATTAAGATGAACCAAGAAGTCTTCGATTTCCTGGAGTCTGCCGGAAAGAAGTACGGCATAGAATTCTGGCCACCTGGCGCTGGTATCATCCACCAGAGTGTCCTCGAGAACTATGCCGCCCCTGGTCTTATGATGCTGGGTACCGATAGCCACACGCCTAACGCTGGAGGTCTCTCAACCATCGCGATTGGCGTTGGTGGTGCTGATGCCGTTGAAGCCCTCGTTGGTGCGCCTTGGGAATTGAAGGCACCTCGCGTCCTCGGTGTGAAGCTGATCAACAAGCTCAGCGGCTGGGCTTCGCCGAAAGATATTATCCTGAACCTCGCAGGACAATTAACAGTTCGTGGTGGTACTGGCTACATTATTGAGTACTTTGGACCTGGCGTCGAGACGCTTAGCTGCACAGGCATGGCCACCGTCTGCAACATGGGAGCCGAAGTTGGCGCCACAACCTCGATCTTCCCATTCAACTCAGCCCATGTGCGATACCTCGAATCTACCCACCGACGTGATGTAGCTGCTGAGGCTAAGAAATTCTCCGACCTTATCTCCTTAAGGGCCGATGAGGGTGCTCACTACGATGATGTTATTACGATCGATCTAGCTACATTAGAACCTCACATCAATGGCCCCTTCACCCCTGATCTATCTACGCCGTTATCCCAGTTTAAGAAAACAGTACAAGACGAGAAATGGCCCGAAAAGCTTTCAGCCGGTCTGATAGGTAGCTGCACAAACAGTTCCTATGAGGATATGACTCGTGTAGAAAGCATGGTCCGCGAGGCTTTAGAAGCTGGCGTGAAACCAGCGTCTGACTTCTACATCACCCCTGGAAGTGACCAGATTAGGGAAACTTTGCGCCGAGATGGACCTCTTGACACTTTCAAGGAAGCTGGCGGCACGGTACTTTCGAACGCTTGTGGTCCTTGCATCGGTCAATGGAAGCGCCAAGATGGAGTCGAGAAGGGCACTCCTAATGCTATCCTTACCTCGTATAACCGCAACTTCCGGGGCCGCAACGACGGCAACCTAGACACGATGAACTTCTTAGCGTCTCCCGAGATTGTCACGGCTATGACATTCGCGGGTAGCACTACCTTCAACCCCATGACAGATTCTCTGCAGACAGCTGACGGCAAGGAGTTCCGCTTCACGCCACCCTCAGGCAAGGAAATTCCCCTACAGCCGTTTGAAATCGCACGGGAAGAGTTCCGACCCATAACATCGGCCCCAGACCCGTCCGTTGAAATTGCCATCTCCCCCAGCTCATCCCGTCTTGCTCTCCTGGAGCCCTTTGAGCCATTCCCTGCGTCCGAACTGAAGGGCATGAAAGTGCTCGTGAAGGTAACGGGCAAGTGCACCACTGACACCATCTCCGCTGCCGGGCCTTGGCTGAAATACAAGGGGCACCTTCCCAACATCAGCGCCAACACGCTAAACACAGCGACCAACGCCGAAACAGGCGAGGTCAACGTCGCTTATGATACGGACGGCTCCAAACACACCATCCCTGAGCTCGCGCAGCGCTGGCGGGACGCCTCACAGCCTTGGCTCGTCGTCGCCGAGCACAACTACGGCGAGGGAAGCGCGCGCGAGCACGCCGCGTTGCAACCCCGATACCTGGGCGCCCGCGTGGTGCTCACCAAGAGCTTCGCCCGCATCCACGAGACGAACCTCAAGAAGCAGGGCGTGGTACCCCTGACATTCGCAAACGAGGCCGACTACGACCGCATCAACGCCTGCGACGAGGTCGAGACAGTCGGCTTGCTGGACATGTTGCGCAACGGCGGAAAAGGCGACGTCTCGCTGCGCGTCAAGAATTTCCGCACCGGCGAGGAGACCCTGATCCCCACGAAACACGCCGTGAGCCGCGATCAAGCGGAGTTCATACTTGCGGGCAGCGCCTTGAACTTGTTGTCTCAGAAATCATAGTTGTTCAAATGTATCTATCAATTATAGCGCAAATGAAATAAATGTATGAATAGAAAAAAGGATTTCACCAAAAAAAATAGATCCAGAGCCTTCAGGTTATAGAAGGCAGTTTATTCATCGCGTAGACGAAAATCATGCGGTTGTTTTTTCGTCTCACCGGCTTAGATATTGACTGACTGACTGACTGACTGATTGACCGTAATTACCTACCAAGCAACTACCTACATACCTAGGTAACCCTACTGACTTTCTGGGGACTGGTCAAGAAGGGCCGCGAGTGAGGACTCGGGTATATAGATAGGGTAGACAGGCTTTATATAACGTCCACCTAGGTATCGAGTATGCATAAGTGTATATGATCCATCCATCCGCATTTCCAGGCCGTCCTTCCTCAAGACGATACCAGACAAGGTTGTTCCTTCCTCCTAGTGCTATGCCCCTCTATTTTTGGAAACAGCCCTTGCAATTCCTTCCACCGTCATCATTCAATTCGTCTCGTCTCATTCATTCGTATACGGAAGACGCGAGATGGCCGTGGTTTTCGCGAATGAAAAATAAAAAATAAAAGACAAGACGTCACGGGACGCCGGGGGTATATAGAAGTCGTGTGCGGCCGTATCGTGCAAGAATTCGTTCAACAGACGGCGCAGCCACATTGCCATGTGCGTGCAAGTAAATGATCATGAAGTGCAGTTCTGGTGATTCGCCAGCCGTTCAATCGCTGATGCTGAGTTGCTTAATTCCATGTCTACAGGCGAAGAAGGAATCATTTGCCGACGCCGGCGTCTCTTTTTGCTTGGCGAGCCTTGCCCTTCTCTTCTTCGCTCGATTTTGAGCCTCGATTTGCTTCAAGATGTCTAGTGCGGCCAGCCATTTCGGGTTATCCTGCACCCGCTGGGGTACCGCGGCTTGTGTCTTCTGGCTGAGATTCGATGCTTCACTTTTTTGCTGGGCCAGTCGCTTGACCGCCTTCCCAAAGTTTGCCTTGCGGCCGCCACGACTCTTAATCTCGTCCTGTTTCTTTTCATACCACTCCTCAAACCGGTAAACGGGCACCGAGGGTCTCGGGTCAATGTAATCAAAGTGCGTTGCGGCACGCTTCGGCCGTGGGGGCAACTCATCTTCTGGTAGTCCGAATAATTTGTCTCCAGGCCGAAATGGTCGGTTATTCTCGCTATATATCTGAGCATCGAATGCATCTGCATCGTGCTGAGAAACCCAGAAGAGTCGCCGTTCTTCAGGAGACATCTTTTTCCATTCTCGATCGCCTAACAAAGCTGACAAAGGCCCCTGGCCCCTTGATGAAGGCGGTTCGCTTGTTTCAGTCACGGTAACAGGTGTAGTAGCAGGTGTGGATTGCATGATCTGTACTGGTGGCACAAGTGGCACAGGTGACTGCATGTTATGATTTTGATCTGGTGATACGAGTCTCGTTTCCTGAGGGACAGGGCTTATTACCTCGGGGACAGGTGTAATTTGCTTGGTCTTGGTGGCCTTTGTGATTGGACTTTGCTCCGGTTTTGAGTCCTTTCGAACTAAGTTGATCGGAGTCCAACCTTTTATTGGTATCGAGTTTCCTTCTTCAACAGAAGCTTGACGAACTCCATTAACAGGCTGATGCTGCTTGGTAGGCGGTAGCTGCGGGTGTATGGAAGTGTTGGAAGAATTCACAGACACGGGCCCCAAGCCATTATTTTGAGTTGGTGCAGTCACCCTCTGTTTATCGCCCGATGATTTGGGAGACAATCCATTAGGCTGCCGAGGTCGAGAAGTATCTTGTACAGTGGAAGGGCTTGGGATCGTGCTCTGCGGGGCCTTTTGGGCGTATATTTTCTTCGAGGTTTGTTCAACAGAAGCAGAGGGGCCATGTTTAACTTGAGCAACACCGCCCGGCTGGATTGGCCCCTCCCGACCTTGTTTGTTACTTGGTGTCACAACATTCACTTTTTCGCGAAATAGCTCGGTTTTCCCATCAAGCAGCGGCTTGGGTATTGGACGACCCACCTCCGGGGTTCCATTTGGGATAAAATTCTTTGGGGGAGGCTGAGGCTGAGGCTGAGGCTTGGGCCGTGGTAATGTACTTCCTGAATCATCAGCTATAATCACGGGAGATCCAGGATGAGCAAGCCCATTAAGACCGTTGCTTTGAGGCTGTTGATTCGAGACCGGCGCCGGTTGCCGGCCGGAACTGCTGGGACGAGTGTCGCCTCGGGATGACTGTCGTTGGTCATTGTACGTATTTGACCTCGCCGGCTCAATTACGGCATCTTTCTTCTTAGGTCGAAGTGCAAAATCGTCTATCGCACTAAGTTTATAAGTTCTCTCTTCGGACTGTCTCAACATACCTCTTTTAGACAATGGAGGAATGCCATTCTCAGAGAACGAACTATTTGACTTTGGTCGTGGCTCAGATAAATTTGGCACACCTGAGACGCGTTGTCTCTTTAAAGGCCGTGGGTTCGCAGATGGCAGATCTGAAGGCAACATCTGTACAGCAGCTACTGGGGAAGCCTGAGGTTGTCCAGAGCTCAAAGACGATTTGACACTCTTTCGTGCAACATGCTTGATATCCTGAAATTGCTTCTTGTCGAGTTTTGGGGGTGGTACTCTGGAAGCGTAGGGGCTATTGAGCGATCCATTTTCAGTCGATCTATTTCCCAACCGTGTTGCCGCAGAGTCCTTAGGGATGCTTGGTATAGACGAGGAACTGCAGAAATTGTCGTTCTTGTCTGGCTGTGGGTGTCGAATTTCATAATACTGTCTCCTGTGGTCATGGCAGTACGGGCCTCCGATAATAGTATTGTTCGGACAGCCTCCTGTCCATTTGCATTTCTGTAGTTGGTGTGGATCCATAGTAAGATACTGTAGCTGGCTCTTCCGATGTCCTGGTATCGCCTTAGCTACAACCGGGGCCCGTCGTCAGAGCTATTTCTATGCCAGGCCATTCACCCATGTGCAAACCGACATTTACGTGGTTAGCTAGCTTCCTGTTTGCAGTTATGGTGTTTCTATTAAACAGGCTGTCATGTCGCTGGCAAGAGCTGCCACTGGTGATACCTCTCCCAATTATTCATCTGCGTGGCACTATTATGTAGAAATTGAGTAGCGTGAGCAACGATGTTTTCGGGGTTTAGGTTGCATGACAGTTGTTTTGCCACCGGAACAAGAACACAACTTGGCATCGCCTTCCACCAGGGAGAGAGAACAGGAAGTGGGGAGACAAAGCTGGATAAGAAGGAGACCATGCCACTGAGGTGAATTGTTGTTACCTACACCTTAGGAAACTAATGAAGTGTTATGATGACTCAAAAAGCGACGAGAAAAATTGCTTTGCAAGGATTTTGTTCTGGCAGATTATATGATCGGCATTCAGGACCAGATGTTATACGAATGTGGTAAAACCTAGGATATTAGGTATGGTTAGCTGAAAAGGCCTAAAATGTAGGGTTATGGAGAATTTATAACATAGGACGAATTCTGTTTGGCCAGCCTCAGGTCTTTTCAGTTTTTATATGCACCTCAGCCTGCGGGGAAACGGCGGCTTCGAATCACAACACACAACCGGCCGAGAGAGAAAATACTCGGCGATGTCTCTCCGCCACAGCCTTTGGCTCAACCTTGGTAGGGAAGTAATAGCAAGGTCGAGCTCCATGTAGTAGCCACAACAGATTAGAAATACTGCTGTTTGAAATTTATCTTGTTCTCTTGCAGCCAACTGTATCGAGAGGTAGATATTTGGCGTGCAATTATGAGAGAAAGCAAGACGCGTTATTAGACAAGGATTGTCTCACTGCGGCGTGTATGCAATTCAAAACCAGGAGCTCCACTTTGCAGTCGGACCTTTTACCTTTTGCTCATCATCGACTCAACCAACAGAACGTGAATCTGAAAAGATAAGAAACTAGAGACAATAAAATGAGAGGGCCTGACCTATACGATCCGAGTGCATCAGGAGAAGCAAACTCCTAGGTCATAGCGACCAATATTTGTCTGTTGCCGACAACGCTGATATTTATGTCGCCAGTGATGGCAAATGCCGATGACCAGGATGATACTCGCTATGCTTCGTAACACCTAGCCTTGCAGATGGCGGCTATAGAATTCAATGGAGGCGCGTAGACGAGGCGCCTCCCGTCACCAATCGTTTGGTTGGTCTGGCTGTCCCGTCTCGAATCGGAGATACCGTACGGGCGCGGTTCCTGGACGTGGGAAGCCAGCAGCCAGCCGCTGACAGAGCAGAGTGTGGCAAGTACCACGACGACGAACGTAGAGAGGCACAATGAACGGACGATATCAGCAAGAGAAGCAGAAATCATTACCTATCTATGGAGATTAGGCAGAGAGCACCTCTGGTGCAGAGGCATGGCCATAACAGGTGCAGTGCTGTATGGGGCAACTTGTACAAAACGAGATTCGGTTCAATATCACTTTAACTACCATTTCACCTCCGTGACCTTACTGACCCAGTCTTAATCACGTGCTATGTTTCTTCGTACCCATGCTAGTGGATCAACTTTGCCAATACCTAAGTCGTCACCCAAGGGACACCAAAGCTAGTGTAGCTTTCTGTACTTGCAGTTATCTGTTTAAGTGGGGTACAAGTGCGAGAGATATCTATGCTTCTAATTGGTCATGTAAAGTCTTGGCAGGTCACAGAGGTGAAATGGCTGTTAAAGTGATAGATGCAACTAAATACTTCGTAAGTAGATAGGTATGTAGGTACCTCCAGACCAACAATCCCAGGTCCAGGTCGTGGTTGCCCATGGCACGCACTAACCAACGAAGTCTTGGGAAGCTGGTCCGTGCCTACCCGTCCCCAGCGTTTCCTGCGCCTGCCCAGTTTAGGCGCCTTCATCTGATATAAAAGCTTACCAAGGTACCAAGTACGAAAGGAGGTTACCGCCCTCACCATGTTCAGATGGGAGGCGAAATCTACCTATATTCGAATATCTAATCTACAGCGATCGTTTTATTGATTTAGCGATGGCCCCTTCGCCCCCTGCCTTCCCCAAATCTAGGTAGGTCCCGGGTTCCAATGTGCCTCCAGATCATGGGATGCGCCACGCCTTGCCATCTCACACCCCACGTTCCATTCTTGCACTTTGGCTCGCATCATAACAAGAGGTCGTTGGTTGTAGGTAACCTCGCAATCTCCAAAAATAGCCGAATGCAGAGACGACCCTAGGATAAGCACTCTCAAGCCTCGACTCGAGCGAATAATGTTTTGGACAAAGTCGTGCCTATCTGCTGTCTCCTCCGACTGTGGGGACTGCTTCCTCCAATTAACTTGGGACACGCTTGATGCGGAGCGAGCAACTGTCCTAGATATTATGTAAGTGATCCAGATCCAGAAAGACTCGACCAGACAGACAGATTCATCATCACTGGATATTCATCTTCAATTGCCACAAGAGCAGAACCTGGTAGAAAGAAAACAAAACAGCGCTGTTGTTTCGCCCGTCCAACGAGTCTGCGAGGACTTGATTGAGCAGTCGAGGGCCATCTCGATAACTACCCGACAAAGTCTCACCAACTGGCGGTCAGAGATATGTCTTGATGTCGTGGATACGAGTCATCTCGAAAAGATATTTCCGCTACTTGTCTTTTTCACGGTCTGATGCGACATTGGAGGTAAAGAATCAACCCCGTAATACAAACAGGGTGAAATTGAAGAGACATTCCATGTTGATGAGCCACGCTTGTCGTGCTGCCTGGAGCACAAAAGGTTCGGAAAGCGAACAGGTATATATCATCGGAAGGTTGGTATTACAACGATTCTTTCCATGTCTCCCAAAATAAGTGAACACGGGATCCGGGAGAAGTTAAAGGAAAATCTTCAATGTCCAGGTAATAACCCAGAGACCCACTCCATCGGGTACCTATGCCATCAGCTCCCCTTACTTTTACAATCACACCACATCGTACCACATCCCGAATCCTCCCAATTATGAACTGCTTGGAACCAACATTCACCGCTGCCGATTGCGGTCTTCTCGCTTATGCTCGCCCAATATCCAATCAGAAAGATTGTATTGTAAGACATACCAACAGCGAGACATCTTTTCCCACGATACGGGCGATAGAAGTCCCGCTCCACTGCGATTTCCGCCGCTACCCAGCGCTGTAGTTGTCCGGACCCCGCCGACAGAATGTGTCCAGAGCTCTCGTGGCCGGGTATTTTCGTAAAGACAACAAAAGTTCATGTGATATCTACATCACAGGCTTTGGCATGAATGACAAGATTGCCATACTTAGTACGCATCCTAAGTAGACCCGGCTACGTAAAGCAATATGGAGTGCATTATGCCAAGCATGTCACTCCGGGTTGCCGGGTTGTCCTATTGTCGGCGACTGAATTGCAAGCCTTATTCTTGATCGTATGTTTCGGCCGCCCTAGACAAACAGATCCCGGATCGTTCAGTCTCGTCAGCCCAATATTTGCATGAACCTTTTGGGAAAGGGAAGTTAGTGTACAGTAGGGACTCATGTTCGCATCCTGGCGTCATGGGGACTCGGCAATCGGGTCGTTGTCTGTTTAAAAAAGTGACGATATAAATATAGGCTGACCGTCCACGTTGTCTGTCAGTCATACGATGCAGACAAGCTTATACTTATAGATCAGCTCCTTCGTCACACAACAGACACTCAGTGAAATCATTACAATATCACTTAATTCACCCCTCGAGAGCATACACGTCTCTTGATCATCCTCTCCACTCCTGTATCATCACATAACTCCACTCCCGGCGGTTCCTCTCATCTCCATCTCTTCACTAGACACGATGTCGCCTCTCACACTTCAAGCCGCCCGTCTAGCCTCAAGACAAGTTCTGAGAGCATCACCCGTATGGCAGCAGGCCTTCCGCAGTCCCATGTCGGCCCAGGTAGCCAGGCAATACAGCACCGCTGGTCACGCCCCCGCTGATTGGGGACGGATATTGCGAACTAGAGGCGCGACTATGTTGATGTATGCTGATACCACCCCTTTATAGATTTCAGCAACACAATGCTAATCATAGTAACATTAACAGCTACTTCCCCGGTATGGCCGCGGCTTTAGGATGGCCGTACCTCGCATACCTGATGCTAGACAACTAGACCAGCGACATGGCGTTATAAAAAAGAAAGACAAAAAAACATATAAATCCCATTCCAGCATTTCGACTAAATCAATAGTCGACTTTCTTCATTATCATCTATCCACCTAGTATATATCCACCACATTCTATTCTTCTATGTATATGTATAGATATATATACAACATGAAACGACAAAGGCGTTATGTAGGTTTGAGCGGGAAATGAATATCCTGGTTCGGGAAGAATGTCGGGGTTAGAAAGGGGCATCAAGAGAAGGAGGGAAAAAGTTAAACAAAAGCTTTCAAATAAAAACATGTTAAAAGTTCAAACAAGAAAGACTTGTTTCGTTAAGACCTAACCTTGAGTTTCATGCCATTACAGCCTCTACCGACGTTTGAGCGGCAACATCAGCAGGCTCCTCGTTGTACTCGAGATATCCCTCTTTTCCCTCAGGGATATGCAACTTCCTCGCTTCCAGAGTGTCTCCGAGGACGCCTCCGTTCGGATTTGCACGAAGCATGGCAGCCGTCTCCTCGTAGTGCATCTCGGCGTACATCTCTGCGTCAAAGTCGAGGAGCCACGCCTCGCGCCGCAGACGGAGCGACTGCGGGTCTTTCTTGGCGGCTGCGAAGTCCGCCTTGTGCCAGATGTCCCTCGTCTGCTCGCCCGTCTTCTGCGCCGAGCGCACGCGTTCGTACCGGATGGCTTCGAACGTCGCGATGGCTTCTTGCACGCCGTCGCTGTTCTTCGCGTTTCCGTAGGTTTTCTGGTATTGCTGGGCTCGTGAGAGACAGACGGCGATGGTGGCACCGTCTTCCATGGCTTGTGAGGCGCCTTGGATAGATGTGGGCAGGAACGGGTGTGCGGAATCCCCGATGAGTGCTATCCGGCGACGACTTGAGATCCAGGTGGGTAGTGGGTCGCGGTACACGAGCTTCCAGTCGATGAGTGGAGAGGGCGTATAATCGAGGATCTTCTGGACGACGGGATCCCAGCCCTCGAGCACCTTGCGCGCATCTGAGAGGGGCGCCTCAAGGGACCAGCTTTCTTCGATATCCGCCTCGTCCTATATGTCGTTACGTGATTAGATTGTGCGTGATCGAGGCAAATATAGAATGAAGCTATCACAGGAGCGATGACAAAAAATGAGATAGACAAACCTTGTGTGTGCAGACCCATGAGAAATCTTTACCGTTCTTTACTGACGCCGCGATGAAGTGAACATCGGGGCCAAGCCACGCCACGTGTTTATCGCCGTTGTCTGTGAAGAACCGCAAATCAGGGTCCTTGGCAATCTCGTCGGCGTCAAACCAAACTCGATACACAGCGTACCCAGACGCCTTGGGCTTGTCCTCGTACCCAAGAACGATCTTTCTCCCCGGACTTCGGACTCCCTCCGCCGCAAGCACGATGTTGGCCGTGATCCTCTCGCCGCCCTCGAGCACTACACCCGCCTCATCATCGCTCTCAAAATAGTCCTCGACACGTGCCCCTAGCCTTATATCGACACCGATTTCAAGAGCGTGCTTGTACACGATCTCATGGAACTCGCCGCGATGTCCATCAAATCGGATGCCGAATTCCTCCTGTTCTTTTGACCATACTTGCTTGAGCAGCGTCTCGCCAAGCCAGTTCTTGATCTCGAGACCATCAGAACGCTGGCTGAGCGCGTCCATCTTTTCCGCCACGCCCGGCCATCGCTGGAAGATGCGAGAGCTGTTAGGCCCGAAACTGATGATATCTCCTAGGAGCTTGAGCTCGGGGAACTTCTCAAGCAGAGTTACGCTATGACCCTTGCGATGACACTCGATGGCTGCCGTGAGGCCGGCGAAGCCTGCACCTACGACCAGTACGCGAATGCCGGTTTTGGGGGGAGATTGTGACATGTTTTAGCTTGCTTGGATATATGACCAAGGATAGGATGGATCTAACTGAATGTATGCCCTTGTTTTTCTCCAACTCCATCTCCAGCGTCACCAAGCACAGCTTTATGTATCAGCTCACCACGCTATCTTCGGCATGAACTAATTACCGTCACCTCGGTCAGAATTCGGGAACCATTTTCCCTCAAGCTGAAATCATCAAGACTCACTTATCCTGTTATTCATTGATGCTAGGGTCAACTGATCAAAGCTACTATCATCAGGGATCTACATGTCAGCTTAAAACGCGTAGTCCCTTTTCCCCGCACAGGGAGGTTGCGTCAACTGCCGGCAATTGTTTTGAAGCAGGCAAAAGAGCGGGTTACACACTTATCACTGTGCGGGGTGCATAGTGATTGGAGATCTCAGCTGGGGCAATGGTTTGAGCAAGTCGGGCAGAGGTCGGGCTGGGCAGGATCCGGGCGCAGATATATACGGTAAATGATAATTGGGGTGCGTGCATACACAGTTGCAACCTTGGCAATAGTTGCTTGACAGAGACGGTGAACCAGGACAAGTATGTTCCTATAAAACCAGATTCGTATCCCCTGAGCTCTGGGTGTTGTATTTGTTCCATGGTTATCAACCTCGTGTATGTTGATTTGTTTTGTATGATATCTCGTCGAAATGGTTTGGGGAATTCTTGAAGACAGTATGCACTCCATAGTGGTTAAATCCACGGCTTGGCAGACCCTTGCTTCATTCCTAAAGACACGAATAAGTGCAGTATTTCCAGTTGGCAATGATTTCTAACATTTCAATTCTCTTAGAGCATATGACCCATGTGCCGGGCACAGGTATGTAGTCTTGCTTTTGTGCTGCCAGGCCATTGCTAATTGTCGACAATAGTTCCATTGACCGACTCCAGTGATATCCCTAGCGAGTATCGGACGATTCCTCAAGAACTATTAAAGCATGGCCATGGACGGAATGCGCATATCATATTGGCTCCTCAACCGAGTGACTCTCCAAATGATCCTCTCAATGTGAGTACTTGAGTATATGAGTTCCATTGCGTCAAAAGCTTATATCAAACTAGTGGCCAACATGGCGGAAAGACGTTATTTTGACGATTGTCGGATTATCTGCTGCTGTCGTAGGAGCATACGGCCCCATGCTATCACCTGGGTTCGTTGTGATCGCTGCTGAGTTGAATGTTACGGTCAATATACTTTCACAAGCTACGGCTTGGGTAATCTTATTGATCGGCCTGTCTCTCTTCATCTTCAATCCGATAGCGAAGAAGCTTGGACGACGACCTGTATATGCGATTTCCAGTATCATCATGCTTACCGGCAGTGTCTGGGGAGCTGTCTCGAAAGATTATCCTACCTTCCTGGCATCCCGCATCTATAGCGGAGTCGGTATGGCCCCGTACGAAGTCCTCGTCCAATGCACCATTGCAGATATGTATTTCGTCCACGAGAGAGCCACAAGAATTGCAATCTGGAATATGTTCCTTCTGTGCGGGATCAGCGGTGGGGCGCTAGTAGCTGGTTATATCATTGAGGTAAGCCAGCATCAATGACTGCCCAGCGGTCGCTAACATCATTTTCAGGGCCAAGGTTGGAAATGGACGTTAATATGGTGTGGCATCATATTTGGGGCTTTACTACCTCTCGTTATTTTCTTCGTTCCCGAGACGGCTTATCGGAGACAGTCTTGGGAAGAACGGCTAAGAGCGGCCGGGACGAACAATTCCAACGAAAAATCGCTAGATAAGAAAGGAGAAGTTGAGCAAGAGGAAAATGTGGAAGTCCCGGAGACAGGGACACAGCCCGAAAAGAAAGATTCTTTTCTACGCTCGCTGCGGTTCTATACTGGAACCTACACAGAGACACCACTATGGAAAATATTCCTGCGGCCGTTCGTGATGTTTTGGTATCCCGCGGTGCTCTGGGCGTTTCTGCTCTACGGAGTCACCCTGACTTGGATTGTCGTCTTCAGTGTGGTTAACGCAGTGATCTTCACAGCACCGCCATACAACTTTTCGGTATCCGAAACCGGATTGATTTCTCTGTCACCGTTCATACTGAGCTTCATAGGCGAGATCATCTCGGGTCCCATGAATGACTGGGTCTGCATGTGGCTGGCGAAGAAGAACCGCGGTATTTATGAGCCAGAGTTTCGACTGCCGCCAATCATCATTTCTTTCTTGATTGGGGTTGCTGGTTTCTTTGGGTTTGGAGCAACGGTTCACTATCAGACGCACTGGAGCGGACCGGTACTTACTTTTGGGTTGGCTAACATGAGCTTGGCTTTCTCGAATGCCAGTGTGTTTGGCTATGTCATCGATGCTCACAAAGAGTTGAGCGAAGAAGGTACGTGCAGCAGTTACCTGAACTTCTCATTATAACCATGCGCTGACTTGATCACTCGTTCAGCTTTCGTGGCAATCAACGCCCGCAACCTCCTCACGTTCGGGTTGACATACTTTGTTAATGACTGGCTAGCTCGTGATGGCGTCCTGGCAGTGTTCAACGTCCTTGGGGCTGTCTTCGTTGGGGTCAATCTGCTCACAATTCCACTATGGATCTTTGGCAAGCGAATCAGGGCCTCCATCGCAAGAAATAAGACCTTGGATCGCTTTATGCACGAGGATTGAGGCTGTCGGAGAGGGTATCCACGAGATAGATAGTACGTAGTAGGAAATGGATATTTGATGGCTAGATCATCATTTCCACCGTCCTCATGTCACTAAGTACTTGCCTGCTAAATGCCTGATAACCTTCAACTGGCAGGCGCGTCAATAATAACTGTAAATTTAGCGGTACACAGGGAAATGGCCAGTGACCTGCAGTGGCATGTAGAAGGCTGTGGGGTATTCAGGTACCGCTAGCCACAATAAGTCTAGCGCATCACACCCATCTGTAACTCCCGGTCAAAGACCCCCAGAGTCTGCCCAGAGCTCCTGAATCCCAGGCATGAATGAGTAGGCGCGTCGCCTGTGATTTTGAGCTTCCACTGTTGTTGGATATACCTCCTCCAGGCCCTGTACCCAACGTCGCTCATTTCCACGCGGCGTCTTCTCTGTGTTCGTTGCATTTGTGTATGTGGTACATGTTCTTTGCGAATAGCTCCGGCAACACGAAATTATATACTGGTTGAGCAGTTTGGGATAGTGACAACTATAGGCCACTCGATCATTACACAGGTTGCTAGTGCCGAATACGGGCACAAACAAGCAAATACAGGCATACGACCGATCCCGGAGGGTCAACCAGAGAATAAGATACGAGAACTCGATCGCGAGGGCGAAGGCGAAAAGGGAGAGCTGTAGTGGGCGAGGTGGCCTAGACGTCGACCACGATGACGGATTCCCTACATAACGCACCCATCGTACTCGACAATGGCTCTGGTACCATCAGGGCTGGCTTTGCCGGCGACGATCTACCAAAATGCTACTTCCCTTCGTTCGTAGGACGTCCCAAGCATATGCGTGTCCTCGCCGGCGCCTTGGAGGGTGAGGTGTTCATTGGCCAGAAAGCTGCCACCGAGTATAGGGGGCTGTTGAAGATACGGTATCCCTTAGAACATGGTATAGTCACAGACTGGGACGACATGGAGAAGATATGGGAGTATGTGTACAGCGAAGGTCTGAAGACAATGAGCGAAGAAGTATGCTATAATCGTACTACAAAGGAAACAGAGAGTCACCCGGGCTGACACGATAACTAGCATCCTGTTCTCCTGACCGAACCACCACTGAATCCTCGAGCAAATCGTGATATGGCTGCCCAGATCCTATTCGAAACATTTAACGTACCTGCGCTGTATACATCAATCCAAGCCGTCCTTTCTCTATACGCAAGTGGTCGAACTACAGGCTGTGTTATGGATTCTGGTGACGGTGTCTCTCACGCAGTACCTGTATACGAAGGTTTCGCAATTCCAAGCTCAATACAACGCATCGATGTTGCCGGCCGCGACGTAACAGAATACTTACAGACCTTACTACGGAAGAGTGGTTACATCTTCCATACAAGTGCGGAGAAGGAGGTAGTGCGGCTGATCAAGGAATCCGTCTCATACGTGGCGTTGAACCCGAAACAAGAAGAGAAGGACTGGGCAAGCACCAAATTAGACCAGGGGAAGACAGCCGAATACGTCCTTCCCGACGGGAATCGCCTACGTGTCGGCCAGGAGCGTTTCCGCGCCCCAGAGATTCTCTTCGACCCCGAAATCATTGGCCTCGAGTACCCCGGCATCCATCAGATAGTAACGGATGCGATCAACCGGACGGATCTCGACCTGCGCAAATCACTCTACGCCAACATCGTGCTCTCAGGCGGGAGCACGCTCACAAAGGGGTTCGGTGACCGGCTGCTGAGCGAAGTGAAGAAACTCGCTGTTAAAGACATGCGCATCAAGATTTTCGCCCCGCCCGAGCGCAAATATTCGACTTGGATCGGTGGCAGCATCTTGGCTGGGTTAAGCACATTTAGAAAGGTATGCCTTCCATCCATAGCCTATTTCATGAAATGAAACCACTCCCCAAGAACGCCTACTGACTATCTATCTACACCTTAGATGTGGGTCAGCATCGATGACTGGCACGAGGATCCTGATATCATCCACAAGAAACTTACGTAGACGAGCTATTTTCACGAAAAAAATGCAAATCCGAACAGAAAGAGACAAATTTCGGAATCCCTAAAAAGGAGGCTAGGAATCTCAAAACCACTAGATCCGCGCTTCTCACGTCCCCCAAACGGAACAGCTTCATTTACCCTAGACACCTCATCATGTCTTGTTACGCGGCTGTATCCCGCATGTAGTAAGAAAGCCTGGAAATTATGTACAAGTGGCATGAGCAAACAATTTTTTCTCCTTGGTGGAAAGCAGATGACATCTTCCTAGAATGGCGCAGGCGGGTTGGGAGGGCGGAGATGTCGAAATAGTACACGGAGGACGGATAACATAGGGTGAAGAAAGAGAGCGAGAATCATCGTAGGTAGATGAATGATACCCATTTGTTGAGCGTGATCTGTGAGCTCCTCGACCTAGTGATGACAACTGTCAGACATAGGAGTAGATTATCCATTTCTCCCACGCGGTATGCAAGGTCGGTATTTCTGCAGGTATGTAGCCCCAGCTTTCATTAGAGCATACAGAAGTGGGATTCACTTGCTTAAGCACAGAAGTTTTATGTACAATCACTTCATTGCACTCATTGCTTGTGATGAATGTAATTATTCATTTTATTTTACATCTCTTGCATCTGTCTATCTGATTTCTTCCAAAGTTCAGATCTCGATGTAGGTATTCTTCTTTTGCTCTTTGGAGAGAACACATTTCCCGGAATCTACCAGCCGGGAATACGACCAAAACCATCCATGTACCATCTTCAGTACAGGTATTCCGTCGCAAAAGTCTTGGGGGGTATATGAACAAGTCCCAATTTTCCTCCATTCCAAATCAAAAGATGCCCGCTCGCTGATGGCCAGAGATAATCAACCAAAAAAAGCCATATTAAATTCCACAAAGTCAAAAGAAAACTTTTCCGTCATTCCTTTCATCGCGAAGTCCTAGTCGTCGTCCATGAATTGTCCCACCCGTCCATAGCGCCGTGCTGGTGTCGTTTGTTTTGTGTGATGATGATAAATAATGTTGAATCCAATGCAAAAGATATAAATAGTGAAGTGGAACGCATGGTAGCCCTCTTCCCATCAAATGATGGATGGACTAGTAATACAATGGTGAGAGAGGGCCTGAGTGAAACACATTCACCGGCGGCTGAAAGCAGAGCTCACGCGCTCGATGAAACCGCCAGATCGGGAGCTCGAGGTGGAGCTAGATGAGCTGCTGCTGTTCTTTCGCTGAGGGTTGGGAGATGCGGCGTCGAAAATGTTGCCGGCGCCACCCCGGCCAACGTGGCCGACACGCTTCTGCTCCAATTGGCTCTGCAGCTTGAATTCCTCGTCGAACGACATCACGGGTCGCTTCTGAGAGACGCAGGCATTACCAGCGCCGCCTCGACCTGAGTAGAAGTTGGATGTCGAAGGTGGCAGCGGCTTCGATGTAGTGGTAATGCCGCTGGCCGGTGTGGTAAGTGGTGCGCGGAAGTGGTTGCCCGCGCCGCCTCGGCCTGAGTGTATGTAGGTGTTCTGCCTGACGGTGGGGTGAGGCTCAGCAATAGAGAATCGAGGCATTGTGATTGAGTTGTAGGTAATAATATGACTGTCCGTTGATCTTTGGTGACGAGTCAAGTTTACTTGCACGATAATGTTGTGTTGCTGTTATACACTTCTTGTGTTGTGGTCGATGTTTTACGGTTTTCTTTACTTCTTACTCTAGCAACAGGAGGAGAGACCTACCTGGATGGGAGGGGGGCTTAATATATCCCATCGTGAAAGTTTTGATTTGTAGTGTCACGGGTGGGTTTCTCTTTGTCAAGGTTACAACTTCTTGTCCAACGGATTCGAAAGGATCCAAGGTTCCAAAGACGGTCTGCCCCAAGCCAAAGCCGGGTGCTTGGCCAGGAAACAGATCGTGTCACACGACGCGTGTGTAGACTGTACTAATGGGGCAAGTAAAGCCCAGCTTGAAGAAATTTGCTATGACACCTGCGGTGGACACAACGAATAAGTGACCGGAAATGTTGCCACGGGGCAGTGATGACACCATTTGCACACTATATGGCTCGGCTGCCGAGGAGAGGGAGAAAAATCCAGAGAAAAAAAATTGCAGGTGGAGGTATCGGTAGTCGACGGTAACGGCGCTTAGCAGTTAACGGCAGAGAAGTGGAATCTGGGGTAGCCGCGTGATGGGGAGACTAACGAGGAATTAGCAAACAAAGAGTTGTTGTTACGAAATCGGTTCTTAGAAAGAGGATCATGGGACCGAGACAAAAGTTTTTGATAGAATAACTATTACCCCATAGTTTGCCCCTGGACAGAATTGGTCTGGCGCTGGTCAGATCCTTGCTACCCGTTAGGGCCGCGGCCAAGCCGTCGCCTCAAAATCAGCGAATGCGCGAGCGTGAGTGGCCAGTCGAGGCCAGCGGACAACGTGCTGTCTGCGAGGTCCCGGGTTAGCCTGATTACTCTGCGGTTTTGCTATGGCCGGACAGGTGGTGACGAGCAGACGGTGACTATGACTAACCTGAGATGGCGCAAGAATGATGAGATCGATGCAACACTGGTCAGGTACAGACACTCGGGAATGCGTCTCTATGCGTCGCAGGTACTTTGTGAATTCGGCTAAGTCTCTCGGTCATTGCTGATGATCAACTGTGACAAATCTCACCATCTGATCTGGATCATGGTCTGTCACATCAATCACATCAATTATGGTGTTGTCGGCATCATGTCTTCCTTTGCCAGAGGAGGCGACCCGAGACCACCCATCCTCGGGAAGCGAGGGAGCCTAGGGACGCTACCTACATTTCTTCGCCCAAACATAGGCGAGGATAAGTACTTCGTATGTTTGCTACACCGTAACGCTCATTGTCGGATACCTATTCCAGATTGCGTATGTGGTGGCACAGCAATGAAAGCGGTTAAGATGCCCATGACGGGAGTGGTTAGAAGTGCCAATCATGCGAGCAGCCGATGTTATGCGTCAAGACGTGCAGGCCATCTCCGAAGGTGGTGCGTACAAACTCGATGCTGGGAAAAAAAAGCTTGGCCAGGACGTCGCCGATCTGAGCCGAGTACGTAGGTACCTACCTATACCTGTATTACTCTGACGTACAGCGCAGTAGGCGCCTAAGTACAGTAGATCCAGGTACCTACCTGTCCAGACCCTACCTAAGGTAAACTGTCGAGACTGTAGCCAGTACAGTGGAGATCTAGGGCAGATTTTGCTGGCTGGCTCGGCTGGGTCTTCTGTCAAATTCTAAACGCCCGACATCGCATGCTCCAGCGAATTCTTACGTGAGCCAAGTGCTGTGTTCTTCCTCGTCTCAGAAAATCACATTTAGATCTCACGGTATCAACACGCCACATACTCGTTGTGTCCCTAGTGTGTATTGTAATAATAGACATTACCCTTCTTACATGATGTGTCTGTCTAAAACACTTGACTCAACGGTAGGAAAACTTTCTCGAGTCTGGTGAGGGAAAAAAAAACCAGCTCTTGCCTTCAACCTCGGCCTAACTGGGGTCACGGGTTATACCATTTCAACTGGTTCAGCTATTCAGCTAAGGACTTGTCCGCCTGTCTCTCTCTAACCACAGCTGTTTCTGATGGTGATTGATCATGATCACACACACATTCTATGTAACGTGACTGTAATGGTAGACGCCTCGGGAAAAGCCTATTTCCAATAGTAATAATGGGTACATATGTGCGGCAGAATTCAATCGCCGCGTCCAGCTGAATCGAATACTCTTCGCCTTACGAGGCTCGGCCGATCCCGAAGCCGCGCAGGGTCTACTGACAAGGCTGTCCTCAACACCACCAATTCTTTCACATAGTCTGGCCATTACCACACCAGCTGAAGTCATCCATGTTTAATGTTCTATCTGCTTTTAAATATGCTTTTTTTTTCCTCCTTTCTCAAATTATTGCCACGCACACTACCCTCGGAATATCAAGACGGCAAGCTGTATGTCTCGGTTAAGAAAATTACGTGACCCTTGGGTATCGACTCCGGTTCGAGTTTGATAATTACCATCTCTTTTTAGATCCTAGTCCAGTTAAATACTATTTTAAAGGGATCTATTGCATGATACGCATACACAGCTATTTGAACCTTACATCAACATACACATAGTAGAAAAGTAACGTCTCCTTAGCTGGAATGATGACCGCCAGAGAATAATATCTTGAATGTTGTATAACTAAAGGTTTTCAGGCCCATATAGACCAATCTCTTGAAGAGTATGTGCCCAGTAACAGTGCCTCCAGTTATATCCACGAGCTATAAATTTAATCACCTCATGATGTAGATAAGTAATTAACACAATTTCAAACGAAGTCATGCTTTCCGCGCAGACTTGCGACTAAGGGAAAGTCCCGAGTATACAGTTTTCCGCTAAACCGGCCCCATAACGGATGAGCCCTAACCATACCCATATTCACCAAGTTTATAATTTGACAGATATTGCACAACCTCCTAACCAACCCCCCTAAGATCCATTAGGGTCCCATAGCTCAGTTGGTTAGAGCGTCGTACTAATATTATATCTTCATCTGTATAATATCGGTAATGCGAAGGTCGTGAGTTCGACCCTCACTGGGACCAGGCTCTTACTTTTGCCCTGTTGGTATAGAACTGTCTTTTTTGCTTGAAGCTTTTGGTTGTTGTGAGCTTGCTTGTATATATTGGGAACAGCTGATCAGTTTTGTTATATGGAGGGATCTACTGTATGTGGAGTAGGTAAGCATCTAGCCAAGATTATGCACAGGCTCTGCACACCGGCCATGCATGATAATACCTTGCTTGCATGTCGATAGGAGGATTGGAAACAAGAGTTATTCATATACGAGATACTATGCAGAATCAAGCATATCCACCGACTGTCGGTTATACCTATTTACATACGATTGGGTCGCTTGGGCATCAAGCAAGCGTATGGCCTTGAGAGGTCATTAGCAAGCTACGTGCCATGGGTCAAGGAAGGCGATCTGTTACATGATTGCAGAATCGAATGTACCCAGGGGGGTTAGTTGGAAGTAAAGGTTGTAGCAATTCGTGATTTTCGAGACACAAAAGGTCTACATCTTTTTCGGAATGTAAGGAGACATCTAAAGTCTTGCATATGAATAGAACTAGCCTTTCTTCTTTGCGTGTCTCATTAAAGGGCCCATGGGCAGCGTGCTAAGCCTCGGGTCTTAGGAGATATGTTAAATGAAATGCCTTTTACCAACAGGTCTGGAAGGCTTCAGTCAGTGAGTCAGTCAGTCAGTCAGTCAAACAAATTACCATCTCTACTAACTTGGATGCTTATCCATTGCTGAGGATATGTTTGATATGCCATACTTGACCACGAACGCCGCACCTTGAGTTACTTGTGGAACCCGTTGATACAAGACTCATCGATCACATATTGACAAAGTACGTACTAGGCACAAGATATTACTTAACAATAATCCTCAAATTGAATACTTATGAAGAGGCCGTGGTAGGTAACAATCTGTATTCGGCCTTTCGCGTGTTCATTCATTCTATGCCCTAGATTTCACCATCCCATCTCAATGGTCCCGACTCTCAGTATCAGAATTAATTGCCTCTAGCAAGCAATAGATACAGATGAACACACTCAGGAGAGAGGCGACGAAACATAAAAGGTTTACTAAGAGAGAAATTCACAATAGGAGATAGATGACAACCTTCATATGCCCCAAACATCTGCCCAAACACATTTAAGTTGGAACGTCTGCGCTCCAGTCTGAGCTGTTCACTTATTTGGTAACGCCGAGACAGGCGAAGTACTCCTTGAAGGCGCCGACCTCGATGGCCATGACGCCCTCGCGGTCGCAGAGGGAGGCGGGATGCCAGTACTCGGGCTCGACACGGGTCAGGACGCCGCCGTAGCTGGTGAGACCCTGGGGCTCCGTGACACCCCACGGGTTGCGGATGATGATGTACTGCTTCTCGCCCTGGCCGACGGACGACCACCCGAGCACCGAGTAGGCGTGGTTGGCGACGAGGTTGCAGCCGCGGTACATGCCGCGCCCAGTGGCGTAGGTAAAGGCTACCATGGGGCAGATGGTGCGGCGGTTGACGCTGCACATGCGCACGAGGCCGATGAGGTCGTTCGCGCTGTGCCTGGAGGTGAAGTAGTACTCGGGCTCGCGGCCGTTGATCTGCGCCATCGCCTTGACCGGGTCACCTTGGTAGATCTCAGTGATGTCGACGAAGTCTTCTTCGTAATACGAGTGATCAAGCTTGTTGGGCTGGTCACCATTGCCACCTCGGATCCACTTCGCGAATGCCTTCTCGTACAGCGATGGCCAGATTGCTAGCCCGTCGCTCGAGCGACAGTACACAAAGTCCTCGCTAGAGTTGTTCACGGGGACGTTGTAGTCAACTTCGACGGTCTAAAGGCTAAAGTTAGCAATTCCTGGTTCAATGGGGAAATAGATAGTATACTAACGTCGGTCTTGTTGTTGTTGCGTCCACCCTTGTCGTGGAACTTGACGCGGAAGCGGTTCTCATGATCTTCGAAGTCAATACGCATCATATGGTGATGCAGGTTCGTGTTGCGGTTGATCATAGCTGGGTCAGACCAGAAGACGGAGAATAGCGCTGCGACGAACCAGCTGTTACCCATGGCGCCCTGGATCGGGTCATCGAACTTGCGCATATGGCCGAATTCGCGCATGTCGTGGAACTCGCGTGATCTAGTTCTGAAGTCGAAGTGAGTGTTATATTCAGAGACTAAGCTTCGTCTCATGTTCCGCATGATGAGAACATCGCGAGCATCACGCCAGGAGCTGTTGGGGGGAGTGAACGACTCCTTCTCTCTTTCCTCCCGTCGGAAGGGCAGGCAGAAATCATTCATTGTTCGGGTGACCTCTCGATTGCATACAGTCCGAGCAACGTCGTTGGCATGAAGGATGAGATGGAGCTTGTTGTTCATGATGCCCGCTCGCTTGATGCGCAGATTGCCAATCTCCTTCATGCCGACTTCCTCGAGGTCACCGAGCTTACTGAGGCGGCTGAGATCTGGGGTAACTAGGTCCTTCTCGTTTAGGATCTTCATCTCCCCTTCCTCGAGTCTCTCTGCCTTGCATTCTTTCTCGTTGAGCTTCAGGCCGGCGTAGAGCACAGAGTGGTGCTTCATGTCGAAGAGCTCCTCGTAATCGGTCTGAAGAGTATCTTGGAGGACGTGGACAGCAGTGACGGAGTGGCGATCGATCTTGTGACCGACCATGTTCTCAGCAAGAGCGAAAGGGTTGATACATCCAACACTGAGGTCCTCGGGCTGCGGGTCGGGTTTGGGCCCCTCCTGCTTCGCTTGAGCAGATGCTCGAATGTCGCTCAGATCGTCGTACCCTTCAGAAGTGGGTCGGGAGCGAGAAGGCAAAGATGATGAAGGTCGCGGCAATTTACGGCCCGTGAGTGCCTCGACAATGTCATACGGGTCGAGGGTTTCATCCTGACGAAGGTTTCTGTAGGTAACCATATTGAAGGTAGGCAACTGTAGTGTTGTACTAGATTTCTAGATATAAGCAAGTTCTTGAGAGTCTATAGCGAGTGAAGTCTTGAGGACTGTGGCAGAAGCTGGCTCAATCTGATACTACTGCGGCTCTTTATATAAGATCTTTGCAACTTCTTGGTTCCGACGGATACTGAGCAATGGAAGAATGAGCTTCTAATATACACCTTGATGGCCCTGAAATCTCTGCAAGGGGGGTTCTTACTGAGCTAGAAACCTAGATACGAGGAAGAAACTCGACAATTATGCATGCTTTTCCGCATGCTTGTTGCTCAAAGCTGTGTGACGCGGTCTGACTTGAGCTATGCATAAACCCTAGAGAGTCAAGTCTAGTGCACATTCCCCTCATGTATTCGGGTTGGCGTTTTCTCCCTTCTAGTGAATCAATAATCAACCACCAAGTCACTAACGCTACATTGATGCTATTCTGACGGAGCTTCATTCTGGTGGACAGTTGACATAGGGTTTAAACGTGTCTTCTGTGGTCTGATGGTTTAGACTTCTTCCAGCCGGTGTATTCCTTGAGACCTGTCTGAATAAAGCTTCTTTGATGCTGGACGTGACAGAGATGGTCAGCCGAATCGGCGAGAGTGGATAGACTGTTTATATCACCTTGCAACTGTATGTATAGGATAGGCTCGCACTCCTATTCGAATAACGGTTCTTTTGGTCTAAAGCTATACAGGAGATGACCAGCAAGGTCGAATCTGGTGGCTGACGGGTTGATGCTACCATCAAAACGTTCAACATATGCCTTGTCAAAGGGGCCCTAGATGAAGTCATGTTTGAACCCGTACGCGTCTAAGTAAGGAAGGGATGCTTTCTGGGGTAAAAAATCCAGTTTATACAGCTGCCGAACATCGCTACCTCGCTTATTACAAATAAGAAAAAGGCCATGGATCATACTTATGCTGTATACATGTATCATCTTCGAATGTCCATTCCAAAAGGACTACGTAGCTGTAGATTGATTAGGTGGAATAAAAAAGCGACAATCTGAGAGCCGCAGGATTCGAACCTGCGCGGTTTCCCACTACGGAAACAGAGTATAAACCTAGTCTATAGACTCCTAAACGTAGCGCCTTAACCACTCGGCCAGACTCCCAAAGGTGTTGATATTGGTATCAATAGGAGGAATTGAACCTCCACAGCTGGACTCGCGGGGAATCGAACCCCGGACCACTCCCATGCTAAGGGAGTATTATACCACTAAACCACAAGCCCGTGATTTTTGATGACGGCAGTGGTTGATAAAATAATTTGTATAGATCCCCTGAGGCACAGGCGACGAGGATTGGCTTGTTGAAGTTGGAGTTAAGACCTCCTAGAGTCGGATTTTGGGAGGAGGTGTATGATAGGTGTGATGTAGGTATGATGTAGATAGGTAGGTGTGTATACTTAGGCAATGCACTTGCACTTTGTTGTGTTCTTGGCCCGGCCGCTTCTAATACCACGATGCGTTGAATACTACCGTATGGGATTATGGGGGGTCTAGAAAATAATGTTAAAGATCATTTTCAAAGGTGAAAACCATTTTCAAGAAAAAGGGTTGCAACTTTGGAGTAGGCCTAAAAGGGTTATCGGTACAGCATAATTTTCACTTTTCAAAATGATTTTCGTTGAAAATGGTTTTCGTTCAAAATGGTTTTCATTCGAAAATGGGCTTCAATATAATAGGTACATATAAAATATAAGGGTTTTATATATAAAAGTATTGTACCTATTATGTCCCCCAGTGGCTAGCCTTTGGGATAGCGACTAGGCTTTTGGCACCTGGAAACCCTTGCCATAATCACTTTCCAGACCCCCCTTTTCACGCTACGGTAGTCACTACCTAGCACTTGCTTTGTCGTCGGTTTTCCAGCTGTGTAAGCAGTCAAGCGCATATGCAGGTACATACTTAGGAAGGAAGGACGGCCAGGATTCACTGCGGCAGTTGCACTGCTGTTGGATTCCAGTGAGTAAACGACGAGACATCAAGCTCGTAGCTTACATCTATGATGATATTCAGAATCTCACGATGATTACTACCTATGCATGTAAAACAATTCATCACACGTCATCATATCCTCATATCTTTTTGCCCTTCCACAAGGAGGTGTCTTCATTCCGAGTAGGTAGCTGGATATGCTTGCTCAACGAGTTGCATATACGACATTTGTTCTGAAGCCGTAGGAGGTGGCTAGGTAGCAAAGACCATGACGCTACAGATGATCGGGTAAACTAGGTTGGCTTCTGCCTACGTTCTTAGCTGAGATCCGTGACATAGACTTTTCCCACGCTGGAGATGACCCTGTCCAAATGATCAACATCTGGGGAAAACTATGCTGCCTACTATGTAGACTCGAAAACCCACCCACGCATTCTCTCCTCCCCTATCTTTCTCTACTCTCCAAATTCCTCAGCCGAACCCTCTTGCTTTTCCTCTAGTTTCGGCCTCTTCCTTTTCCTCACGGTCCACAAGTCTGGGGTGACGTCCATGGTAGACACCTCATTGCCATCCTCATCCGACGAAGACGTGGGCTCTTCCATAAAAGTGCGCTTCATCGGGATCTTAGAAGGAGGGCTAAGCGACTGCTCGGACCCATCATCTTCGACGATGCCTTTGTTCCCACCCTCAACACCTCCTCCGTCGTCGTCTTTTTGGGGTGGTGCTTCACCGAGTTCCCACTGAGGCGGTAGTCCAGCGCGAGCTTGGTAGGCTCTCCTGAGTACTGTTTGAGTAGCGGCATTGATATTCTTCCATTCCGCTAGATTCTCCCAGAACTCTACCTGCACGGCTTCCATCTCCAGTTGCTTCGATGCTCGCACATGTAGCGCGCTGGGATAGATGTAGATTCGCCCGAGGTTGTCGTAGATCTTGTCTGCTTGCGTGGCTTGGCTAATCGCCTCGAGAGCTGCAACATAGCCTTAGTAAGTAATTGCCATCTCAGTATATATGGTATCTATTCCACGAGCCGAGAAAGACACGGCGAGAAAGCTGAAACGAAGAAATCATCTACTTACTTAACCGGTCAAGTCTCTCGACTGCGTAGGCCGTGGGGATGTTGTTGACAGGCGATTCCAAGACATCCATTTCCACGCGATACGCGAAATCCCGCGCGTTCCAGCACGCGAGCCTGCATTGCTCAGCTGCAGAAATTGCAGACTCTAAGTCTTCCCCTTTGCGGCGGAGATATAAACTGAATGCCCGTTCTTCAAGGTCAGGATCATCTGAACTTGAGCTAGAGCTTGAGACCGGGCTAGGTTCTCGTCGCCGTCTGGATCGCCTTCTTAGGGCCCTATTTTCGGAGGGAGATGGTTCTTCCAAGATAGACGGCCCTGGAGTGTAGCCTGCTATGGCGGCCAACCCATGAATGGCCATATCAGATGTGCTGTCTGTGGTGTTGTCCATGGTATTTGTTGCTCGATCTCTCTAGCTCGTATCGTTTGTGGCGTTAGCAATCTTGCTTTACCTACAGGACCGCGCTCCCCCTTTCTCCTCTTTATATTAGGAATACAACACTAGCAAGACCAAGGTCACACCAGTTTGGTAGTTGGTAGATTCCGTGAGCAAATTCCATGGCAGTGCGAGAGTATTCCAAAGACCCCCCTGAAACCTTGTTAAACGCCAATACCAGGAGTGACAACGGGTCACAATTGAGTTGGCGTAGGCTGGACAAAGGTGTCTCCGCCAAACTCGTTTCAGCGGCAGCACCTATGCGACTCTAACTTCTTTGCTGGCTCTTTATTTTCATGATAGGTATCTGCCACATACTCACGCACCAACAGGCAGCAAATCTAGAATGATCAGTGTCATCGGATTGGTACCTAAGTAGGCAGCCTTGCATGCTCTACTACACATGTCTTACGCGCGCTGAAAACCTTTATACGCCCATGCAACTGGCCTACTACTTTAGACATATTGTCTTGTATGAGATGTCAATAGACACAAAGCATGTGATTTAGTAATGAACAGTAAGGTTATAAAGACTTCGCCTATATGAGACTACCAGTAATATGAGACATATTGACGGGCAATGGAGATTAGGAAAACCGGCCGAATTCTATGTAGTGGTAAGGGCCGTATGGGCCTTTATAGCTATAGTAGATCATTATACTGTGATAGGATTAGTTCCGAGCCTGCTGCCAGCTTCTGGTATAGTATGGTTCATGAAGGAAGTATTACATACATAGCAATATTTTCCGATGTCTTAAAAGCACTGCCATCTGGATTCCTGAGATGCAGGGTCTTTTTTTCCCATTCAATGTCGTGCTCATAGCCGTTCATCGGGTTTAGAACGTTTAGCTCGGTTCTATATGTGTATTCTCTACCGGCGAGGACTACGAGTTGCTCATTGGGATATTTAGTCACTATATGGAAAGATGGTCATTGATAGAATATTCAAGGATTCGCAAGCACACTGGGACTGCACATGCCCTAAAGACGAACCGAATGGAGGCAATTAAAGATGCCTGGTTATTAAAGCTACCTATACAATTCAATGACGCTGCGCTGGCTATATCATCGTCACTTTCTTTCCGAACATACAACAGGTATTTCCAGATGCTGTTTGCTTATTGCTCCCATCCACCGAGGAGTCAAACTCTCCCAAATTCAGCGAGGTATCTCAATCAACGTGTCATATCGTCGTTAGAGGGGAAGTCCACAAAGACGTCCCCGCGTCTTCGTGAAAATTTGCCGTTATCTATCTACCGTTCCTTGATGTTTTTGTCTTTTTGTTGAAACGTGTCCTTAAATGTATGTTATGTGTATGGGGGAGGGACCGATATTTGTGTACTGATGTTTTCATCTGTCTAGGCTTGGAAATTCCATCTCTATAGACAAGGGATGAACAGGAAAGATGATTGATGATGAAACGTGAAAAACTTTCCTCCCTTTCCCTACTACCCTAGTGCTTGATTGCTCGAAGCATGGGCAAGAATCGCAGCGAGACCACTTGCTCTATGGCCTCCATGATCGAAGACGTTGTGCACGATTAGCGGACCATCGAGGTCTCTGAGCACACCCAGCGCTCCGAGTATTTTTATCAAATTTTTTGACAGAGTTCGCCTCCCATAGACCCCAACGGGTAAAATGAAGAATCCTTAGATTTGATATAGGTAGTCAAAGGGGGCGATAATTAGTATACTATGTAGTCGAAGAAGTATTATTTTCGAGCAGTGGGTTTCATTATTTCATGTTCTTGAAGTCGACTTTGAATGGTGACGAAGGCGTGATGATGTCAAGTAGTCCTGAGCGTTTCCCCTAAAACGTCTCGGACTCCTGGCTCAACGCACTGGAAGGGCTAGCAATTGTACCAAAGGTATCTATAGTCGGTTGTTAGATATTGATTTTGATTGACATCGAAATGGAAATCAAATTGCACTAACCACGCTTGCGTCGCCGGTCATCCTTCTCGCCGTCCTCACTTCGGGACGGGGTCATGGCTCTGGGTCCACTTGGCCTTCTGGTTGGCATACCAAGAGCTCCGCTTAGGTTCTTGTTCTCAAACCTCGGGCTTCCCGAGTGGTAACTTCCAACATGAGTGGCAGTAGCTGTGCCGTAACCACTCTCAACACTCTGGTAAGGCAGTGGGCTACCCTGTTTCTGCAGTAGCTTACTCGCGCTGGCGTTCTGTGGTGGCGTCTGTGCGCCTGTAGAATGTGTATCTAGCGGCTCCTTGGGAGGACGTGCAGGTCCCTGAGAGCTTGGAGAGGCCGCTCCACCCCAGTTGTAATCCTCTCTAGCATTAGAAGCACTGTTGTCGCTATAACGGTTGGTATTTTGTTGGGGGAACCTGTGAAGCGATGTGTCTGATCTGGCCCAGTCAGCTGATCTGGGAGACATGGGCGAGTCGTAGTCTGCAGCGGACGTCTCAAGCGCGGTGCGGAAGCGTTCTGTCTGACCAGGCCGAGGCTGTGGGTGTTGGAGGTTAAGCGAATCGCGATGAGCCCGGTATTTAGGATCTTCAGGGGTGGCATACGTCATGGGCGCGGTGGTTTGTTGACTTAATCCGGGAGTACCACGACTGTCCATGCCTTGAGGGAGTAGATCAGGTGCTGAAAAGCCTGTGTGAAGCTTGTCATCCCCATAATGATCCTGCTGCAGGTAGGGATCAAAGTCTGCCAGGTCAGAACCTGAGCGGGAGGGAGGTTGCTGCGGGAAATCATCTGCGGCTTCTTGTTTGCGAGAGCTGCCACTGCTACGGAACGCTTTGCCTAAGCTAGAGGCTGTTGTCTCCGACCAGCGTGAAATTTTAGGGAAGAAACTGGAACTTTTGGATTTCCTCTTGCTGTCAGCAGTTCGTGGAGTATTCTCGTTGCTAGCCGATAATTGGAGGCCGTGAGAGGTCTGAGGCGGAGTTCCTAAAGGAACGGAGCCGCCCCTTTGTCTCTCGCTGGGTGGTGACAACATGCCGTCTCGGGACAAACGATTTTGTGCGGTTCCAGGAGTCTGCTCATACTCACCCTCATCTTCTTGGACAGTGCTGATACGGTGATCGCTGAACTTTCGCTCACTTGCTGCTCTCATAGATGGTCCTCGAGACTGAGGAATTGAAAGGTGCCCTGATTGACTGGCGTGGCTCGCAGTGGATGTGCCTGCATTGCCTTCTGGTTCATAACCACGGTCCTGCTCATATGGGATCTCGGGCTGGAAGTTGTCCACGGATGGAGCGCGTGTGCTCATCATGCCAACAGGAACGGCCGTCTGGTGTTTGAGGACGTCAACGTCCGTCAGTAGCTGGATAAGCATATCCTCTATTCTGCTCAGATCGCTCGTGCCTTTGGCGCTTAGTCCTTGTAGCGCCCTCCGCAATATGTTGCGTTTCTTGGCTCGCATATCCTCGGTACCAGCTTGGGAGCTACCTTGGACAGATCTCGCACTGCTTCCAGGGAAAGGTCTCGGGCCACCAAGATGGCGCTTAATGCTCTTTTCGGTATTAGCATTGACATCATTGACAATGGTATCTTCTGTCTCGGCCAGCATTTTCTTGATATCATCAAAAGAGTTGCGCATCTCGGCGGCCGAGCGAACCAGAGTCACTAAAATTTCGGTGTCTCTAGCACTCCTCTGAGCATCGCGAACCATGAGCTATAGAAATTGTTAGCAACTACGTGATGAAATAGCTTGACTAGTGAAACTTACATGCTCCATCAAGGCAATGATGTCTTTGCTCTGGATCCTGTCGATACCGGTCCCTGTAGCAGGATCGAACAGAGGTGTTTGCATCCCCTGGGACATGCCACTAAGTCTCAGATCCTTAGGGGCATAGAAGGGATCATCAATATTCGCAGGTGCTTTACCCCTGATATCACGTGCTTCGTTGGGAGCTGCCGAAATGTAGCCTTCGTCAGCGCCTCCCATTCCAGGACTACCGGTATGAAACGCACCCCTGTAGGTGTCGGCTCCGTAGCCAGCGGCGCCGAACATGTTCCCATCAATGCCAGGCAAATTAGCGATAGGGCTGGCCCCCTCGTAAGGGTTCGTGACCAGAGTATCTCTCTTCCTGTCGCCTGATGTCCGCTGCCACTCATCATCCTGTTCTTGACTGGGCTGCCTACTATGCGAGGCGGCGATTACGCCGGCAGTCGCGTTGTTCTTAACTGGTGTCGGAGTCACAGAGCGATCAAAGCCATTTGCTGCCTCCTGAGTTGGGGTGGCTGGTTCCTGCCATTGGCTCATGTAGTCTGGGCGAATGTGGTCAAAGACTTCATCCGCGGCAGACGGGGTGCGTTGTATTGATAGTTGGTCGTCATCATAACCATATCCGATCTCTGGCTCTGGGTTATTGAAGTCTGGTAAGCCATTAGCCTCCATCTTTGGCTGGCCTTCACTATAAAGACGATCCACGCTGTGACGTGGCGTCGTGTCGGGTCGATAACCATTCCTAGCTCTGTCTTTGAATGATTTGTTTCGAAAGACGCCGACAGGAGCGGACTCCTCTTCCCCGTTTTCCTCGTTCAATGGCTTACTCTCTTGATTTAGCTTCTTGAGTTCGGCGGCCGCAGCTCGACTAAGAGCAGCAGCAGTAATTGCAGACTCTGATGTGGTTGGTGAGTGGCGATGTGCCGATTGGGGGACTTTTTGCCCATACTCATTGAGCTCGTATTCGGCAAACTGATGAGAAGCGGTTGAGCCCTCGTGTTCTCTTGAAGGCGATGGCGAATGAGTAGCCTGTTCCATGGGGCCCATTGATTGCTTGATTGGGCTAATACCTCTGGAGCTTTCATTGTATGACACTTGCGAGTCTCTATAATCCTGCCCACCACCAACAGATCCGCTCATCATCGAAGGGTCAACTAGTGAAGCAACTGCAGACTCGGGTCCGAATTGTTGATGAACCACTTCGGGGTTACCTTCAATGTACTTGACAGCTTGGCCCGAAGTTACTGGTCCAATATCGCTGTTTTCGGTATATACCGTGTTTCTGTAGCCAAGGCCAGAGCTCAATATGCTACTTCCTTCATCGCCAAATTCACGGCTGCGCATATTACTTGGCACAGAACCTTGTGAGCGAAGCTCTCGGTCGTGGTAGGGTGATTTTGAGGGAGAGGATAAATCGCTGGCTGTGACCCGCGAGTCGCGATAACCCTGAACCTCACTCTCGCCCTCAGTATATCCTGAGACACTCTGTATCGGGCTGAGTCCCCGTCTCTCTTGTTGATATGGGACATACCGCAGTGGGGCCGGCACATGCTGGGAGTCGTAGTATAGAGAATCATCTTCGTACACGCCAGGTTCGCCTAAATGGCCTGGCTCGTCATACTCATCTTCGTCATAAACGTCCTGCTGAGAGTATGCAGGGTCGTAGCCTTGACCTTCATAATCTGGGTGTTGTGCTGGCCCTTTGCGTGGGAGGGCACGAAGATCACCATGGGAAACGTTGGCGTGTTGAGCACCCAAGTTCTGCAAAGTATTGACAGGCGATCTTGTCGGAGTCGTCGAATCATCCATGGATTCCATAGAAGCAACGCCTCTAGCAACTTCACGGATGGGCATCATCTGTTCACTAGCAGATTGAGGCCGGTCCGTGTCAGCTGATAATATAGAGGTCCTAGTCATCTCGGAGGGATTTATCTCGCTAGTCAGCGGCATGGGTGGTTCGACTTTGTGGTCGGCTTCCTCATCCTCGAACTTTTCGTCAAGTTCGCGTTTTGGTGTTTCCGCTCTTCGCCGCCTCCGTTGGCGCTTTTCATCTCCCCGAGATTTGGAACGTAGAGCTGCCGCACCGACTGCCGCCCCCAGGGCGGCATCTGTGAGAAGGTCTCGACTACGGCGTGGTGTTGCATCATCATCCTGTGCATCTTCTATATACGAAAACTGACCAATGCTGCTCTGAGGAGAAAGGTCGTTCCTGGCTTCACGGCCTCTTGACCTATTTGATTTTTTGGTATCGACAGATATCCGCTTGTCAGCAGCTGTAATATCCTCTCGCGATACCGAAGTAAGACTGGATAATGACTCCCGATCTTTGGGCTTGGTTTCTCGCTGGCTCCTTTCTCGCTTGATAGCGTCAAGTTCCGGTAATATGAGCCTACGAATCGCATCTTCAACCGTCTCGAGGAGTTTCGGGTTGTTTATGGATATTTTAGAAGAGGAATGTGAGTCATACGATCGATGACTTGGCGTTAGTTGTGAGATTTGCGAGAGAACGCTAGGATCAGCAGCTGAGACAACAGATTCTTTATGTGTCGTCCCTTTCGATTTCCGTCGTGGGGAGCTCCTGTGGTCAACTTCTTTCTCTATGACATTACTAGCCCGGCTTTTTGACTTATGTCTCCGCTCTGGCTTGCTTGACTTATGTGTGGTGCTTCCGTGGTGTTCACTGCGTTGCTTGCGGTTTGCTTTGTCGCCAGCAGCTGCCAATGGTGTTGAATTATAAGCATAGGGGTCTTCACGAGAATTACTCGGGCCTGATCCATCAAGGAAACTATCGGTTGGGATGGCAGAAATATCTGACATATTCCCAGCGTTGTAGGTGGATGACTTGCTGTCAGCCGCTGGGATGAGTGGGCTGGAGACCTTGCGACGACGGCGAGTGTGGCCAGATCCAGGGTCAATGTCCACCTCGATCGGTTGTCGAGAGATAGTGGACTCCTCCGTTGCAGAAGCGTATGAATGCATGCTGTGGTCGTCTTCGAGTTCAGATAAGTCTAATTCGCTATTTAGGTTTGCAGTTGCAAGCGCTTTTTTCGACAGTGAAGTTACCCTTGAACTTCTCGTCTCAGTTATCTGAATATGGTCGTTGTTGCCCCGAGTCTTGGAAGGCGTCAGGCGGACACGGACACTTGGCTTCCGATCCGTTGCTCTCGATCCGCTAGTTGATGATTTGCCGCCCTCGAAGTACTCGATCAACAACGAGGTTTGCGACTTATTTGCCCTATGACCACGCGTCTTGATAGTTACCGGCGTCCCGTCATCTGGCAGAGAGTAATGTGATTCTTTATCGGTTACTTGAGACAATTCGGATTGGGCAGGTTCTGTGGGAGAGATCATAGACTCGGACTCGGTCGGTGCAGGTAATGGTGGTGCCCTCCTATAGTCCACACCCATCTTGTTGCCGTTGCGATTGTTGCCAGATCTCGAGATGTGCGCCCTAGACCTATCTGCAGCCTAAGGCCCGCTCCTCCCAGTTTGTTTCTGGTAGCAACGGAGAAGCGTAGCTGTGCAGTGGTAGGGTGGAGCGAGCAAGGCGCTTCAGCAGGCAAACAGAAGCCTGCGATCGAGGCCGATTAGGTGATGATAGGGAACCCCTTCAGAGCATACGTGTGAACGTAGCAATTCTATTATACAGGCAAGCTATGCTGACTGTTGAGATGTGTTAGCCGAATTGGTTCAGCCTTTGTGGGTTTTGGCAGCGGATCCCCATTCACAGCCACGGCAATTAGTCGATGTGAGGCACACTTGTTCTACACCAGCAACGCTGAGAGCAAAAAGCAAAAAAAGAGGAATTGACACACAGACAACTTTAGCGAGGGGCTGAGACACTATCTCAACACCGTTGAGGTTAGAAAAAACAAAATCCCACCAAAAGTGCGCCGAGCCTGGAGGAGTAAACATTCGGAGCCCAACCTGTGCGCAAACAGGAAATGGCAACAAGTGGCAAGACCAACAACCAATGAAAAGGCGAGAATAACGAGAGCAATGAATGGACAATACTTACGAGGGACCCGTCAGTATGCCGCGCACGTATTATGCGCATGCACGCTCACACTCCGAGCAGAGATCGGGGTGAGGGTTGACGGTGGAAGTGGTGAGAGGAAGAAGGAGGGATGGGTAGTTTGGTGAGATGAGATGAGCTGGCTAGCTACGACTGGAGGTGGTGGTATGCCAGGTAGATAATGAATAGAGGTGGAGGTCGGGATGGTTCCGTCAAACTCGTTAGGTACCAAGTACCTCTTCTCCTGGTACCCTGAATCCACAACTGGCTGGTAGTACTGGCAGTACTGTCGATACCGGCAGGTGATGTGATGGTCTGTCGAGCACGATACCAACCAAGATGTGGTTAGTCGGTAGTCTTAGTATGCGATTAGCGGTGGTTGTCTTGAAAGCTACCTGCCTATGCAAATGCAGGTGCGAAGATTATACTTGAAATAAAGATTTAAAGTATGGAGTACAGTAGAGTAGAGTAGAGTTAACTCCAAGTGAAGATTAGAGATGCAGAAACTCGACGGTGATGGAGTCGTCGTGCTGCATGCCTCGTGCTTCCAGACCACAGATGGAAGATTGACTTACCAGCACTACCTATTGCCAGTAATAACAATGAAAATTGACAATGTAGGCATGAGGCAGCGAGCGGCGCGTTTAGGCATTGTTGTGTGGTTCGAGAGGGACAGGTGGGCTCATCATGGGCAAGCCTGGTAGAGGCATCCCGTCGCTCGGGGGGGAGCAGGGGAGCAGGGCACATCTCGGGAGGGAGACCAAAAAAGAGTTGGCTGGGGGTGGGAATGGGAAAGGCCCCACTCTCGTGGTTGATGCGTTGGCTCTACCTCCGCCATCCCGCGAATCAGACGCTGTAGAAGCACTCTCGTCACTTGACAGGCGATCCGTTGGGCTGCACAGACAGGGAATACCTGCCTATCCATCCGTTTTTAGTACTCTGTCCTGTAGTCTAGGTAGTTGGTTGTAGTCTCTTCCATGTGTAGGATCATTCTACCTACCTAGATCTACCAGATACCTAGGACAGTGAGTAGGCATCTCCTTGAGCTTCAACAATCTCAACAAGTCATTACTTTGTACTTGAACCGAAATATGTGTTGCTAAAGGATCACACGTTCTCGACTACCCTTTCATTCTGTTCCTAAATCAGATCTAGATCATCGTGGGTATAAGCATCGTAGCTAAGTTGTTGAAATAGCTTCAAGTTCAGCAGCAACTACCTAGGTACTACGTATGTGAGTCGAACCAGTAATATCAAGCGAGGTATATACAGATACAGCACGGCAATACAATACGGAGCACTGTACCGTATGTTCTCACAGATAGTTACATGTACATGAAAAAGTAGGTATCTTGTCTCCAACATATCTCCACTACCTACTGTACTACGTATGTATTTATTTGTCTCTCTATCCACCAGCCAGCCTCCTCAGTTATGCACACAATGTTGGTTCAACCCTACCCTACCCTACGTACCAAAATACCCAGCGATGAGGTAGGTGATGTGATACAATTTCCACACCGGGACTCCGTTTGTGTTCCTTAAAACCTGGCCCCTGATGTTGTTGCCCTGGCCTAGGTAGAACTGGTGTATGCGTACTATGTAATCATACTACGAGTCAAAATGATAACCGGGCTCTGTTGTAATGAGATTGACAAGAGGAAATTTAGATGCTACTTAGACCGTCGTCTTAGCGTCTTTGGCCGGGCGACGAGCTCAATCCATGACGGTTTCAACACCGGCGCGAGTGCTTAGGGAAAAAAGAGGGCCTACCACTGCCCAAGTAGGCAGTGCAATATAATCGCCAAGCATTGATCCTCTCACTTCGGATTCGTGCCCTATCCCGATCAGAGCGAGTCATCAGAGCCACCGATGTTGATGCTCAACCCTCAACCCGTTGCTGTCGAAAATAGCACGTGGAGAACATAGATGGCATAATAGGAGGTGGGTATTATTACTTTAGGTATCTCTTCGGGCAGCTTGCAGCGACCACAATACCATCATAGGTATCTCCTCACGTTCTATACGCAGGATCCCTGGTTGACGTTGCATAATACCACCGGCCGGTATACTACATGTACATGCTGTAAGAAACGAAACGTGACGAGCCGACCTATGGAAGAATAGAAGGAATCCATTCGGTCGCATTACATATACAGACAACATCATCAGCCATCCCAATCGGCAACACCCAAGTAAAGCAGAGAGCCAAATCAGCACCCCTGGCTTCGCCGGATCGACGCTACATTGGAATCCACCATTGCTACCCCGTCCGAGCGTCAAGAGCCCTCTTTCGGCCGTTCCCCTCCCACCTCCATCGTGGGGTTTCGGTTACCAAGGATTTTATTTTGCTCAAGGGCCGGCGTCCCTTACCTATTTGAACGCGGTGCGATTCACACCTCTTCAAAAACCCCCAACCTTCCGCTTCTGTGTGTCTTCGTTCCTTGCAGTACACGCACTCCGTTGCGGTGCCGAGGTGCTAGCGAGAAGCAAGAGTTCAGCACATGTACGAGTATGTACGAGTGAGTGGCCCGTGGCAAACCCGGTCGCGCCCTGCTACATATGTACGGCGCTTCCTTCGTGTATCCCAGTGTCCACTGCATGCTTCGGGTAATAATAAGTCTGTGGCAAAGCGAGCTACCGATGTCTCTAAGGTTCTCACACCGCTGCATATATATATCCACCGCCCTGCGCAGAAGATCTAGGCAATCACGCATTTTAGAGGTGGGTGGGTTGTGTGCGTACGTCATGCCGTCTAAGACAATGCTAGTCGTCATGTCGCCAATACATTTTCCTGTCCTACCTACATACGGTCCCGTACACCTGGAGACGTTCTTTTAGGTATCTTGTGATCTATTAAAGAGTCCACTCCTGTTACACGACTACCACGAAGTCGGACAGGTAGGTTTATGATCAGAGTCGCAATCACGGCGTATTATATATATTAAGGCGGGATTAAACCCCCTTGGGCCTGACTGAGTCCTGCCGCTTTTAGCCCGAACCCTGCCGTGCCGTGCCGCTCCACCAGTCCGGATGAAATACCTGATTAAACATGCATGCCTAACCTGAATTCTGCATTTCCTACAGTTCTAAACGGATCTTTACGTTTTGGATTTTTAGTTGAGTGAACAACCCAGTGTCCACCCGGGATGTCTCACGACATCTTTGGATGCTAGCAGCCGCTTCGATTTTTGAACTGGAAGCCTACATATGTATAGGTATACGGACTATAAGACTAAGTCATCATCAAAGAGCGAGATCCCCACAAGCTCCCCGAACTTCACCCCCTTCCTAGACTAGCGAATGAGCACAGTCTTGAGTGATACACTCGGCATCGCATCCCTCGCATCCAAGTACCACCTGTTGGCTTCCCCAGCTCACCTGCCCAAGGATCTCTTGCCGCTTCTTTCTTGGTTACGATGTTTTCCGTGATGCTCGCGATAGCACACTACTAAACATGTCAAAGGCTGGCTTTACCAACTTCGCGAGCAACCAGCATCGGATTAGTTGATGGAAAGAGAAAGAACCAAAGAACCAAACCCTGGCAGGGGATATATCTTATACTGGGCATAAGTCTGTCGACTGTGACCTATTAAGACGCACTCTGGAGTGTCCAAGGACAAGATTATCAATGTTAGTATGGGCTGCTCATGCCTGAATTATCAACGGACTACTTGCTCTGTTTGCTGGGAGCAGAAATACAGATGAGAACTCTCGGGGGTAAGTATATGACACGATAGGAAACAAGGGCTAGAATTGTGCAAATACCCTCTAGAACTGAATCGCAGAGATCTGGGGTATGCTTGTTCTAAATGATGTCCTCCATATCATGCTTAGCTCCTTTTTACCTCAGCACTCAAGACGACGTAGCCGAGAAAAATAGGCTTATTCCTAGCAATGAGAGGAGCTACTGGAGAAACCCATCAAAGAGAGAAAGGAGGTTATGTGTGAAGAGACGGACTGGAAAGCATTCAACGCGGAGATGTTGAGGTTACAGTTTCTAGATGTTTTTAGATCCTGTTGAGTAAATATTCTCAAAGAAACAGATTGACTGCCCTCACTTATTGGCGTGCTATGGTGCATATATAATATCACAACATGTAGTACATTAGAGCTTTTCCTTCCTTTTCTCTTCAAAGACATAAAGTAATGCCTCTCAGCAACGATAACCTCAACAGCACCATCCCACTCAAACACAGCCTCATCCAACTCAACCGTTAAACCAATCCCCGACCGTCAATCTACCTAATTCGAAGACCATTTCCCATGCAAAACCTCACCTGACCTTCTCATGGACTGATCCAAGCCGTCCTGGTAGGACAGAACGAGCTGAAAAAGCAGCGACACAACTAAGCCTGATCCGAGCTGTATCACAGCATTACGCTGGTCGAGTTTGTCGTAGACATGCACATACTGCATGGAGATAATGTACATGGCACTGTGGGCAGACAGGTAGACATCGAGGCGACAATTTCGTATCACACCATCTAGTCACGAGCCCTATCGATCGGCACGGTTCACCCGCATGGCGTTTACTGCGCAGTACATACAGCCCAGCACAATACCTAATCGCACAGCCATTACAGCACAATACATATATCAGGAGCGGGAGTAGGAATCTGCACCGCAGGACGTAGATCAGAGGGAGGTAAGTGCTTGTATTTTAAGTATTCCTAGCCTTGATATCGATCTCGCAACATACTACCCGTATGACCCAGAGCTCCTTCTACATTCGTACAGCACAGTGATGATGATATGTAACGGTGTGGGTAGGTAAGGTAGACAGGGAGTTGGTCGAGACAACAAGCTAGACCTATCCAGATTCTATCAGTACACAGAAGAAGAACTCCATATGTCCGTCCAATCCACGAGACCAACCACATACGAAACGTAAGTCCGCCCGTCCATATTAGCACGACACAAATTTACCGTGTGTCCCGTCACCATGCAAGTACCCGCCACATCGTCCCATTCCAGCAGAAGCCTGTTAGTATATGTATCTTACAGATTCACTAGGCCTCGATTACACGCAAAAAACTCTCTCAATGCCGGCCAAAAAGGGCGCTCTAAGATGGTAAATAAGTGAACGATAATTCGATTTCCTATTGCTCATGGTATTATGAATGCTACTCTTAATGATGTATGTATGATCAATAGCCTTCGGCGTGGAATCTTTCGTAAGGGTTGAAAGGGAAAAATGACAAAAATGACGCCGTAGGTTAGATGTTCTAGTAAAATATGATCGGTGCCTAGTAGAATGATATAATCGTATGCTGTACGGCTAGAAACAATCGCCAAGGAGATATTAAAAGTGTCATTTTAAAGAAGGGGCCGTTTATGCGATGCTTGGGGATTTGGGGAATTCTGAAAAAAAAAAAAAAAAAAAAGCCCGCGTTTAGAAGCCTGCTCCTTTGCTAGCCTTCCCCCCTCGATTCTTCCTTGGTGAAGATAGATACTCGTCGCCACGACCACCCTTCCCTGGGGTGGATACGAATTCGACTTGTGCCGCGCTTAGGATATCTTTAATTGCTGGATTCTCCAGGTAGTGAATGGCCAGACCAGCTCCCAACACCGAACGTAGCATCTCAACTCTTGTCGAGAGCGACCAAGTATCAATAATCATGCTGATATTGTGAATCCGAATCTTCTCGCGATATCCGTATTCTCTGTATTCCTCGCCAAAATCCATTTTGGTGCCACCTGTATGAGGATTACTAGCCATACGTCGTGCGGTCGAGTATCCTGGCCCCTTTCCATGCTCAAGAGAAGTTAGGACACTATTAAAGCTGGCGTGGAGGTGCTTCCGGTCTTTCTTAGACACGGCTTTCGATGACTCTCGAACAAGAGCTGTCATGCGTTGCATGAGCTTGTGTTGGTCATACTGAAGATCTGAGGCCTCCTCTGTCTCATCTTCATACTCTCGAACGGATTCAAAGATCAAGGCAATATTTGTTCCAGCGGAAACCTGGACGTCGACATCGGTGCTGTCGAGCTGTTCCGTGAAGGCTTCTAGGGCTTGGTCGCTCTGTTCTTGGAGATCGTCGAGGTTGCTAGCAACAAAGCCCCAAGCTTTCAGAGCTGCGGAAACCACTGGCCCGTTATCACCAGCTTCAACACTATGTCCATCGCTCTCGACAATTTCGAGTAGAAAATCCAGAAGCTCCTCTGCAGCGACCATAGAGCCGCCACCACACATTGTTGCGATACTCATGGCTTCAATAGCTTCAACTTTGATAGCGGCCTCGTCCGAATCTTGGCATAGCCCCTTCAAGCTTGGATACATGTGATCGTAAAAGGACTCGGCTTGAGTGGTTAAGATGGTCATCGTCAAGGCCTTGACGGCTGATAGGGTCTCATCCGTATTGCTGCCGCTGCGGACGCTCTTGAGGATAGCTGGGATGAGCTCGTTGAGTTGAGGCTGAAGCTGCTCGTCGGCGTAATGGTGCCGTATTATATGCGTGTAGGCAGACAAGCAGTGCTCGCGACCTTTAGCACTACTTCGCTTACGATCTAGAAGCTCGGCTATGCGATCGGCTAGCCTATCAGTCCAGCTAGCTATAGGCTCGTTGCCATCGTCGGAGTTAGCCACCGAGTTAGTTAGGCTGTCTTCGTATTCGGAATCTGAGATATCTTCTTCCTCGGACGCATATCGACTATTGACCCTAGAAGCAGTGCGAGAGGCGGCCGGAGAGGCGATGGGCGATGCGCCGAGAGAATCTGGTCGGGAACGTGCTTTTCGAGAGACGGTCTTGCCGCTCTCGAGCAAGATCTTTTTTCTAAGATCGCGCATATCGATTGTGTGCGAAGAAGCAAAACTCGGATGATAATCGCACAAATAGTATATAGGCTGGAGATCAGGTCTTTTGTCTGGTATGGAATCGGCGTATCGAGTTTGGCGACTTCTGCAACCGGAATTCCATGAGGCTGATTCGAATTTAGATGATACAAGGTGTGAGGGAAACTGCGAGAACAGGTCGTGCGGTGTGTTTATTCGCGACGCTGCGAAGGTGGCCTATTGACAGTTTATGAGAAAATTGTATTGTAGAGCCGTGGCGGTGAATAAACTTTTTTGCCACTTAGCTCTTGTGCAGGAAGATTAACAGATAATGGGTGTCTGACAAAATTTGGCAGGACACAGGAATTTCTCCAAATGCCGTCACAACGACGGCCGGATGCGGTTTGCGGGATGGAGGGGTTGTTGACACCGAATACGTACTGGGAAATGGCTGCCAGGGTTATATATCCGGTACGATGGCTGAAAACAACCCGAACATAAAATACGGAATGATATTTGAATATTTTGAAGTCGTGGAGGCCCTATTTCCTTGATTGCCCTAGTTGGCAGTCCGATGATGCTCCCTCCCAAGGCTTTTATTGTTGTGCCCACGAGCAACATGAGGACTTGGAAAGGTACTTTGAGGGTACTAGCTTGTACCGCCACTGAGTCCAGGCGATTAAAGGTACCTAGAAAGTACTGGTTTTAGTGGCACACATTGCGTCAGTAAAGAGCGGGGATGGCTCCTTGTTGACTTCAAAACCACCACTCATTCACATCACCTGCACCACATCAAGTGGCGCCAGGTGTACCACGTAATCCAAGCTGCCTGCACATCATTGATAGATAAGTATTTCCACGTATTGAGCTGTTCCGGTAGCTCATTCTAGCTAAGTCTTGCTTCTGAAGAGTCGTCGAAAGCACGGCAGTCAAGGTGACAGATTCATCTTTCTTACTTACATACCTAGGAGGTACGTAGAACATGTAGAGTAGATATAAAACCCCATTCAAGGAGATATATTGGGGTGCTTCGAGCTGAGCATAGCCAAAATGGGAAAGGGTACCTACCTAATTTAAAGCTGAAGCTGACCTTGTATCGAGCGTCTGTCAGTGTACATCAAATAGGTATATAGGTACACATTAGCGCTGGCCCTCCATTAGCCCAGCCCAGTAGCACTTTAGGTACCTAGACCACTTTATAGTGCACGCATAAACCCCACTTCCCCCGCCGACCTGTGACCGGACCTGTGACTTGGACCCCAATACAGGCCCTGTCGATGCGCCTCTAGGTTGCTAGATAATGTGCGCTGCTGCTTAGTACAGGCCTCTGTTGGCATGTCTTATCAATGACTCACAAGGTCGAAGATCAGATACCTACATTTTCGGATAAGTCGTGTGAATATCCTACTGCTTACTTAAGTACTTATGTACATATACCCCTCAGCGTTAACGGATGAGTGGATGCTATGGGGGCCGGGGAGATGTAGTACCTAGGTATCCATGTACCGTAGGTAGTAATATAAGTAGGTATCTCGAGCTATTGTTAGTATCCGGACCCCACGTCCAACTCAGAAAGCCACCAAGCTCGCTGACGTACTGCCCACCGGATGCACAGCAGTTTAAGAAACCAAGGAGTGAGTGAGAGCAGAAGTCAGGTAGGTAGATACTTCATATGTACTTAATTAGTTCAAGTTGCGTACAGTACCTACATACATGTATGTAGGTGAGGATGGTACTAGGAATGGGATACGATACTGTACATTGAAGCAAACAATCAGCCTCCACCCCCCATTCACCCACACCCGCACGTCTGGAATATGCCCCGCCCTCCGCCTATCCAACCCGAGGTACCTGACTGTTTCAGTTTATACGACAGTACTGCTCACCATATTGAACTGTAACTGTAGCTCTTTACTTGCCCTTTCTGCCTGGTTTCTGTGCTTCCTACTAGGTAGTAGGTTAGGCATCTACATAAGTATTTGTCTAGATTCAATACTGTAGGTACATAGTATCAGTGTCGGTATACAGGCAGGTAGGTGTGCATTCAGCGAAGCTTCGTACAGGTCCGAGCTACATTGGTAACATATCCATTACCTATGTATGTAGGTACCTACCTGCTCTGACTTACAGGTTACCTCTTGCACCTGCCAATGCATCCATTTACACCTACCTTAGTTCACCTATCTACATACCACCTCTCCAACCTACTTGTGTGTCAGCTAGCCAGCCTGCCTGCCTTACTATCTGCAGTAAGATGTAGCTGTAGCTTACATTAACTACTTCCCTACAGGTAGGTAGGTAGGTAGGTATATGTACCCTGATTTAGGTGCTGTAAGTACATAGCCTACCGGTACCTCCTTCTCACTTCTCTGTCTCATCTTCCCATCGCTCTTCCCTGTATTGCGCTGCCCTCTCGCTGGAGCTAAGGCAGCCAGGGAAGCTCTGATCAAACGCAAACCACCCCTCAGTCCGCACTCTTGCACCTTCAAACCTTCCCCTCTTCCCTCCCTCCCTTACTCGTTCAATTCCTGACTTCCTAACTTCCTTATCAAGCTTTCGTATCATCGTCTTTTCTTCGTCTGTTCCACCCAGCAATAGCCAGGTCCCTAGCACTTATACTAGTGGCACCGTACAGGCGGAGCCTCTTCTCATACCTGTCGCGGCGAGTATATCCAGCCGACGATATACCGATAGAGTGTTCTGCCGCCTTCAGTAGTCGGCGTATGCTTGGCATCTTCCTCCGGTCATTCAAGTTACATCCTGCATCAAGCTTAAGGTTTCTATTCTACCTTTTCTATTCTACTTAGGCAGGAATGGCTGCCTCTAAAGGCACCGTTGGGGATGTGGTTACGAGTGACGAGGATAAAGGTAAGTGAACCTTCCGCTTTCTCGCCTGCCATGTTTCGCCTGAGATTTACTAAAATATTGATTTATTGTTGCCTAGTGGCTATCATCTTGTATAGCGAAGATCAATCTTCTTTGGTTCCGAAACGAAGAGTAATCCTCACTACCAGTTATCCGGTCCTCCGTATCGGCCGATCATCCAAGGTGCAAAGCAAAGGTTTCATTCCCGCTTTGGATAACGCTTGGTTCGATAACCCTGTTATGTCACGAGAACACGCCGAGTTATCTGCCAAATTCGACGAGAACCCTATTGTAAGTTCTATATTTGGTCATAACTTGATCACATCATGTTCCCGGCATCGAGCTAATCTTCCTTCTATCCAGTCCGTTTTTCTCAAAGACGTCGGATCTTTCCACGGCACGTTCATACGCAACGGCAGCAACGAGACTCGACTTACCCAAAATCAACCGATTAAGTTGAAGGACGAGGATATCATTCGATTTGGAACTGATATTCTAAGAGCCGACAAGACCTACCCACCTTCTTCGGTCCGCTTCAAAATGGAGACAATGGAGACTCTGTACCCAAAGTATGTCTTCTACAGGTCACGATAAGTTACATAGCGCTAATCTACAACTAGACTTATTAATTCTCAACGCCGTGGCTTTACTGTCCCAGACGACGTAGATGACGAGGAAGATGAGCGCTGTGAAAATGAGGGCGCCTCAAGCGACTTAGTATCGAAACCCACAACAGCACTGGACATCCCCGTGTCCAGTAATGTTCTACCCATCAAGAAGAGTACGCCTTCCTTTGTCGACTTGACTGTTGACGATGAGTTGCCATCCCACATCATGCTCCCCACCTGTTCTGATGTGAAGAGCTGCAATATCAGTTCTGATGTTATTGATTTGACGTCCGAAGCGAACTGCGAGTCTGATGTGGAACCATGTACAGTTGATCGAAGAAGCCCACAGTGGCGCAAAACCCCTATGCCAGCTTGCCCGGATCCCCCTGCCCCTCGACCTCGTTCGGGATCAAGGCAAACATCGGAGGGGAAAGTTATTAATCTGGTCTCCTTCACACTGCCTCCAGATGATGAAGAGATGTTCTCTAAGTATCATGATGATTCGATTAATGAAGACGATGAGAGCGAAAATGAGATTAGTGATCATTCGGACTCTCTATCAATGTCTCCATTGCTGTCTGAGTCAGACATGGATGAGAGATCAGTCTCGGGATCTTCGAATGCCGATAGCACGTTATCCGACCTTGAAGACAGCGTCAGAGATAGGTATCAAGTGGGCAAATACCAATTGCACGAAAGTAATGAGGGTAAGCAGATAATAAGAGACCAGCGCTTAACACAATTGCTAACATTTCAGATGGTATTCCAGAGCTTATGTACCCATACGACAGTAGTGACGATAGCTATTTCGATGACGAGGAAGGACAAATTGATGAGGATGAGGATGAGGATGAAAGTGATGATGATGAGGATGATGCTTCGACCGCATCACATGATCGGCTCAGCACGCCTTATTCGCCTTATCTTGATCACCCAACTCCTGTTCACAGTGGGCTTCCTTCGGCTTCGGTCCCTTCTGCCCCTCCTTTCAACCCTCTTGGTTCCTACAACCGCGATCCGAGCCCTTCCGATGCTGCTCTAATTAAATCTCGTCGTCCGTTGTTGGATAATGTACCGAATGAAAGCCGAGCTCAACAGCTTGGCGAGAAGACCGGTAATCCCGTGTATTTCTTAGCTAGAGAGCAGAACCGCACAGTTCTCAGTCCACATGATGAGCCCGCACCCATCTCAGCCATCAGAGAGACACTGCAAGCTGCTCATTCTAAGATTACTGCCGTTGTGCCAGAGGTAGCTGAAGATTCTGGTAGCCCTTCGCCATCCCTTTCTCACGCCGTAGAAGAAGAGCGCAATATTACGGTTGAGGCCAAGTTCAATCTAAGAGCTATCCAAGCGAAGTGGTCCAAGTTAGCCCAGGATGCTTCCGAGGCGGCCGATGCCATATCCATCAAGCTAGGTGACACTGATACCAACAAATACTCAGCATGGACTGTTTCTGGAGATAACTTTATCAATAAGCCTCCTACTGAAGAGCCCTCAGTGTCCCAAACAGTTCAGTTCTCCCAACCAGGGGAGCTCGACATGACTAGCGCTTATAAATTTCAACAGAGCAAACAAGAATCGTTGATGCAACCCTCTGCTGAAACTCGACGTGTGCCTATTCGGGATCTTTTGTCTTGGGAGCCAAAGTTGAATACAAATGAGAACATGCAGCAATTAAAGGGCCCAGCCCTTGCTCCTCCTGAGCCATCAATAGACTCTCATATGAACTGCGTTTCCACACCAAACAAGCGGTCATATGAGGAAGCTTTTCACAAAGAGGAAAATGAAAGCAACGAACCCCACTTGACGAGTTCCTCTCACCTGCCTGTGGAACCGAACAGTCACGAGAAGGCGGATACCCCTGCATCGCACACGAAGCTTCCTACTCAGAATGCTGCATCTGCTCTCGTAGCCGCTCAGGCTGAAACATTCCGACCTACAAAGCGAATGCGATTGGCTGCGGCTGTTAAAGTTGCAGCTTGCGTAGCATTGGGAGGTGCAGCGACCTTCTCCTACCTAGTAAACACTGCTCCCGTCTTCTAATAATGTGGCGGCATCTCGACCCCACCACACCAAATCACTTCTACTGGCAGTTGCGGCGTTTTATTTTGAGGTCGGCGTTGATCGGCAGGGAAGAAGGCCTTAGGTAATGTTACATGAGGCCACAGCTTAGCCTCGGGTGGAGTTTTATGGTTTGTGAACGTCATGATACCTAGGCATTGTCCGCTAGGTATTCGATAGCTACATGCTTTCACGATTCGGTTTCACTTCTCTACCATGTTTCGTAGCTTCTTATTCTACCTAGGCATTGTCTCAATTGACACATGCGACAGCTGGAATAGGGTATAGCTAAAGTTAACTCTCTCTAGCTCGAACATATGTGAGGGCATGACTACAATAAGCTTTTACGCACTCCCCCTTTCCGAATCCTTACTCCTGTGCCTTTGAAGTATCCAGATTGGAGTCTTTAGGATGTCTTTCATTGGGAATAGATCATTCCCTTGGAGATAATACAGAAATACAGTGACTTTGTTTCTAAAAGTACAATAATATTCATTCCGGAAGATGCCTAGCACTCTCTCCGATATTAATAAAAAGAGACGCTCTATCGTACGCCGACGACGGCCCTTTGAGATAGTTGATATACAGGCAAATATGCTACGATCGTGTTTAACAAAGTCAGCCGGGCAAGGCCACCTGGCATTAGAAACACAACATAATTGGATGTGGGAGACAACGCACTGATCGATCCTTCGTCTTGGAGTTGGTCGGATAAGGCGTCGTCGGCTATGACAATGTGAGCATATTTCATATACTTGATGTGCGGTGATCTGATCAATGAGCGAATTACAGTAGTTTCCCATTAACAACGAAGACTAAGGATTCATAGGATTGCATGAAGTCGCAGGAAACTTTGTTTCAACGTCGTACTTGTGGTAGGGAAGTGACCAGTTGGAGAAAATCGCAGTCGGGGCCCTGCATACCGGCCGAATAAGGCAACTTATTTCCCTTCTAATTATCCTCGATCTTCCTGTTCTAATTGCGGCCAATGCCGTGCAGCATTTGATCGCCGTGCACCCAGAGGATGACCCTGAGCGGGGGCTCTAGTATGTGAGGTGAGTTGCCCTGTAGATCCCTGTGACCACTCCTTTGCTAAGATTATCTATGGGTGAACTTGCTCACTCACATTACGGTATAGCAATCGAGAGTATAATTATAACCGATCACTCGAGTCTCCCCCAATGCTTCCTTCGAACAATACTAGCTAAGGAGAGGGGTCACGTAAAGGCACATAATGGATATTCGTAAGTGTTTATAAATGATGACAATATGATCACAGACGACAGACAGAGCGCAGTCGTCATACGCGAGAAGTATTGAATGCGATGTTCTCCTCGAGCGGTTATTCACGTTCCCGTGTAGATGTAGCACCGGAGAATAAGTGGCTAGATACTGAACCCCTCCGTAAATAGCACATTCTGTCATCTCATGATAAAGTTACCTGAGGTAGCCTATAGTTTCACAGCTAGATAATCTAGATACTGACCCGAGAGAACCCGACATAGAGGTCGAGATGCAAGTAGCCGCAGCGACCTCGGACTTCACTGACTAGGCAAGAAACCGGTTGAAAAAGAACTTGACTGATAAACCATATCGGTATTAGAATAAATGACAGCGCCTGGTTATTCTGTGGCGGGATCTGCACAGTCTTGTGAGAGGTGCCTGAAGGAATGATGACCAGATATGAGATCTTCAGAATGGTATAAGCTTGAGAACCTGCCAGAACAGGAAGAAGGGAAGGAAATAAACGTAAAGGGACAGAGATCGACGAAAGAGCAAGCTCGCATTCTCTTACCTCGCACCTTGACAGCTTGGCAGTATGAGTGTACCGGTGAGGCTAAAGTGGTCAGATGACAAATGGAGTAGTGGTACACATTTAGAGCTAACTTTCACTTGAACCCATAGATATGTCCGAGGTCAAATGGAGAACTCGAGCCGCCTCGTTCTACTCCGGAAAGGCAGAGGCTGTAGGCTCCAATCACTCATGCTCAAACGCCCGATAAGTGCACACGTATCGCTTTCGATGAACACTGGCACGTAACAAACGTCCCGAGGCGGTGAACTTAACCTTGTCACGAGATAGCCCCGTGGTTGAACAGACCTTTGAAGGACTATAACGACTACTCACAACTACGACACACATATAAGGTGGCGATCCTTCCCGTAGTCGAGGGAAAGGTTTATAAAACTCAAGAGCATTCTAAAGCTTAAAATTAACCCCATAAAAGGTTACACGAAAGACTTGCGAATACACATTCGACTACGCGTAAAAGGATGGCTTGCCAGCAAGGTCAACGCTGGGACTTTTACAGACAACAAGAAGATGTTCCCGGCATTGGATTAGACAACCTTCGACCCATAACGTGTAGGACGTGCAAAGGAACATGGTATCATTTGAAAAGGTAAATAATTCAATTGTATTTCCACATGATACAGAGCTTACATTTAGTGTGGCTAGGGGAACAACATGTGCCGCGTGTAATAACAGCCTTGTCGAGCTTATATCGGATGCTGATTTCCAAGCATTAAACACAACAAGTCATACTTCGGGCAGTACCTTGAACCCAGGCCGAACCGACGGTAAAAGATACGACGAGGGAGGAGGGAAGAGAGGCCAGCATAGTTCTTCTCAAACCTCACAGGGCTCGTGTCGTTGAGTGTGTTTCATGTCATACAGGATTCGATAGGCGATGTATATATATCACTTACTCAGTAGTAGTCGGGGATTATGGTAACCTCTAACAACGGGAAGGATTTCCGGTCGCGGGATAATTCACTGAATTGGACAACTTTTGTAATGAAACTTTAAGCTTCTGGGAATCGCACTCGATAGTTGATAACAGCGATTAATGTCAAATATTACCGTCTTGGGTCGTCCCGCCACTTTACTTCAGACTGTTACAAGTAGATAATTATCTTTTTCAAGCGGGGATAATAGAGCGAAAGAAGTTTAATTTACAGTCTAAATCCATGCGATACTCCATACATTTCTAGGAATGGCGTTCAACATTGCACCAGTTCACGCTAGTTAGTCCTTCGACGACTAGAAGAGTTAGGCACCTTATACGGACGATGGCAGCGCGGTCGTGGCACAATGACGCCGACACGAAACTCCTAATGATCCTAGAGAGTTTGCTCGAAAGTTATATTGCGTAGTTCAAGCAGCGGGACCAGGGACCCAGACGGGTTGGGAAACGTCGGATGTAGTCTGAAAGCCACAATGCAACGTTGCTCATCAACACACTCGTCTAGACAGGTCCCTGAAAGCAAAGACGTGGAAACTAGCTGGAGGAATGGGCTCATCTCCCCTGCTCTAAGGCTACGAGCACACATGAGTGTAGTGAAACGACAGAAACTACCCGATCCGACGGCACGATTGCAGAACTGAAAGGCTGCATGTAGCCGCGCCAGTTCTCTACACAGGCTCGAAAGTGGTCGAATCTAACGGCCGTTACTTATCGCGTTGAGATAAGTTGGACCCGGAGTAGCTAAGGGGGTCAAGAAATAGCACTTGAATTCAGCTCATGTTGAAGACCGGTCTGATGTTTGGGGCGACGATCGGTCCGATGGAAAGAGCATCTCGGAATGAATAGACTGATGATGCCTTCCAAACGAAAATAGGCAGGGAGAGCAGAAGAACTCCATCCTAGCTGCATTAACTCCTTAATTGCACTGCCCTAGAAAGGCTGCAAAGGGAGAATGGTATTATTACATATATCTTCATTTATGCATATATCTTAGACGCCCTAACCTAACCCATGGTCCCCCACTCATTCGTCCCGCGTGCTGCACGCTGTACAGCATTCTATCATGAGACTGACGATCGGTGAGAGCTTGGTTGCTAGCCGACCGCTAATGTAATAATCCCACTGCTTTGGCTGGCCATGATAGATTCTCCCTAGGATATAACACTACAGTATGTCTGTCATACTTTGTACAGGTAAGCTACCTCTCGATGGCGGGACTCCGAAAATCTGTGGCACGCCCTCGAACTGACCTCGGGGCTTAGCTGGTTATGATCACACGATCAGGTTTGCGCCCACACTCTCGATGCTTCTGGAGCTCCGTGGGTAACTGACGCGCTTCCTCTAGGTTCTGGGAGGCGCTTTCGGGCATCTGTTCACGCACAGTGCAGCACTCCGACTCTCAGGTCAACCGTCTCTGTATCTCTCCCGACAAACGCTTCATCGCTGCTGCGGGTCACCACTCCGTCAAACTCTTCGATATAAAGTCTACGAATCCGAATCCAGTATTGAGCTTCGAGGGCCACACGGGGAACATCACCGGCGTCGCCTTCCACTGCGAAGGAAAATGGATGGTTACTAGCTCTGAAGATGGGACCGTCAAGGTCTGGGAGACGCGTAATGCAACTATACAAAGAAGCTACAATCATGGCTCCGCTGCCAACGACGTCGTCATTCACCCTAACCAAGGCGAGATCATCAGCTGTGATCGTGGCGGCAGCGTGCGCGTCTGGGATTTGGCCGAGAATAATTGCTCACATCAACTAATTCCCGAAGAAGATGTGGCGGTCTCGAGCGTAACCGTCGCCAGCGATGGCTCTCTCCTCTGCGCCGCAAACAATGCGGTAAGCCGTGGCCGTTCTTACCACCACTTCGCTATACAGGATGGTAAACAGATTCGGAACCATGTCGACTAATCATTTTTCACAGGGCAACGTCTTCGTTTGGTCACTGCTTCAAAGTTACGATCATACACAACTTGTTCCCTTGACCCAATTTTCGGCGCACAAGGACTACATCACCCGAATTCTCCTATCCCCAGATGTCAAGAAGCTCGCAACTTGTTCTGCAGACCACACCGCCAAAATCTGGTCGGTGCCTGGGTCTGAATCCGAAATGGGCGACTCCTCTCATACCCTGACGAACGGTAATGGAGCCAGTGAAACAGAAACACATTCAATGCCTAATGGAGATGGTGAACCAAAGCCCTTTCCTCTCGAGGCCACATTAACAGGCCACCAGCGCTGGGTTTGGGACTGCGCCTTCAGCGCCGACTCGGCGTACCTGGTGACGGCGTGTAGCGACCATTACGCACGACTATGGGAACTAGGCAGCCAGACCGTCATACGCCAATATAACGGCCACCATCGAGGCGCTGTCTGCGTCGCACTGAACGACTACTCGGAGGCTAGATAGCTCCTGCGCCGCCGAGCAGTACGAAAAGTCAGGTTCCCCAATGGGACCGTTTACACACAGACTCAGGAACACACCTTGCAGCTTCATACACGCTATGGCCTCCACCATATCCATCCTATGGATACACGCATGGAAGAGGTAGACGAAGAAGAAGATGATGAAGAAGATGACGATGATGAAGGAGAAACGAGGGAAGAGTCTGATATCCCTACTGATTCGAGCTTCTGGAGCGAGTCTCTCCCTGGTGTTCGTAGCTAAGATGTTCAAGAGTAGGCTGGTTATATTGCACCTTTTCCTTGTCCGAACATTGCTTACCACTTACTATCAAGGGTTTTTATTGTCGGAGTTAGAGGGATGGGCGGAACGGAACGGAACAGGACGGGGATGGACTTGTCAAATTTGTCTCGCTATCACTTATATGCCTATTTCCTTCTCTGCGATGCGTTCTTCTGGAGGCAGTTTTGTCCTCATTTTTTACCCACCTTGTTTTGAGCTTTTCATCTGCGCTTCTGGGCTTTCATAGACTGGTCGGCGGCGTGTAATGGAAGGGCGGCGCAGCACGGCGTTTCGAGTAGACAGCGTAATATGTAATGGTTTTTAGTTATTTTATTTGATGTAACTGGCTGATCTGCAACCTACGTACCTCCCTTGTTCTGACTACTCAGGTAACTGATAAGATTGGAATTCTTTTCATGATATTATGATAATGAGTCTAACGCACATTCGTTTGACTGCAGGAAAAAATGATGTGGGCCGTGGAATATTGAACAATGAACATAAGACAGGGAGAGAATGATTAGTCTTCGCATTAGTTATTCCATTCGTCTCAAATACCTACGTAAGTATATATCTAGATACTCGACTACACAAAACCTTTTTCTCCCTATTGAGTAGGTAGGCAGTGTTCAATCCTTTGGGTTGGGTACTCCAAAAACGCCACGCCAGTGCTGCTGTCCTATGCTGCTTGCTTGCTACTATATACCTAGGTATATATCAATTATGTCGCTCCGATGTCATATAGATGGATAAAACCCAATAATTTCGTCCTCTGCCGCCCGGTATCATTCTTTCGACACGTATTGTGTGGTTTCCAGGTCTTGTATCCAAGGGTTTGGTGACACTTGTGTCTAATCCCTGATTCCAACTGCCACTGAATGAATAGTATATATATACTATTCCATACCTGATTAATTCGATCACCATCCGTCTCCCCATCCGTCCTCATCACCGCCTGTGTCTTTGGGCTTCAAGTCAATCTTCTTGGATTTAGTCGACGCAGAGGCCGGTCTACTCGCCAATGGTTTCTTAGCTGCGCCAGAGCTGCTCTTTGCTAGACCTTTTGGTAGGGGCTTGCCAATGCCTGGATTCTTCTTCTGCGCCTGTGCTGCTAACCAGCCTGCAAAATCGGGCTCAGAACCATCGTCGAAAGGTTTGCTGGATACCGCTGGTGTCTTCTTGGCTAGTTTGCTTGTTGTTGTGGTTGTGGCTGGGGTTGTAATTGTAGTGTTGGACCAAGCGTCAGTGGTGTTATCGCTTGGCTCACCCCAGGCATCTGCTGTGTCGTCATCGTTCATATCGCCCATATCACCCCATGCGTCGCCAGCATCGTCATCTTCGATAGGCAAAGGGTCTTTGAAGTATGCATCTGGCGCACTGGTGGTTGAATTCCGCGACAGAGGTGCAGGGGAAGGTGACTTCACGGCTTGTCGATGCAGTGCGGAAGCGGAAGATGTAGAAGCTATGCGCTTTGACTCGGATCCTGCAGATGGCGAAGTTGGTTGGGGGGTTGTTGTCCCGTTGGCTGTTTGCATTTCGCCAGATACGGCGGATAGTTTATTAGTAAAGGAGGAGATAGCCCAGCCAGCCCACGAAGAGGCCTCGCTGGGCTGTGGTGTGCTCATACGTGGGCCAGTGCCGTCTGCAGTCTGAGATGGGGGAATGACAGTATCGGGCATGCTTGCTGCCGCCTTGCGTATCCGTTGAAGATAGATATCCACCGTCTTATTCGCTTGGTCACGGACCAGCTTCTCCTTGTCTATCAAAGACGGACAAATAACGGGCAAAATCCGTGAGGCACAGTCTTCTTCTGTAAAGTATTCCCCGGTTGCTGCCAGTGCCATCAGAGCCGCGTTGCGAGCATGCACGAACGGGTCTCGCAGTGACCTCGTGAAAGCGGCGATGAGGACCTTAGCCCGATTAGATGTACCGAGATTCTTAGCGATTTTACCTAAGCATATCGTTGTGTTTGTTCGAATTCCAGGTTGCTCATCATTTGCCGTTTTGGCTAGGTACTTCAGCAGCTCTCCATTGATGATGCGATCTGACAGCTTGTGGATGACGACAAGTACCGATTTCAATGTCTGTTCTCGAACTAGGGGCGCTAAGTCTGTAAAGCCGGATACCATATTGGGGAATATCTTATCGTTTACTACTTTTTGCGGTAATCTGTCTATCATCAACGGCAGATTCTCTAGTAAGCACACTCGGATAGCCCTGTCTGGGTTACCAAACAATCGAACAACAACCGGTTGTACCCGAGCCTCGAAATCGTCATTTGGAAGCTTAGCAGCTATTTTCATGACCACCCCGAAAGCCTTGGGTCCGCCTCCACCAAACTCTACAGATTTAAGAAGTTCTGGTAAGACCTTCATCTTAAAGAAATCCTCGGGGAAGTCGTCGGTGAGCTGGTCAAGATCGTCGAGGAACTCTGCCCTCTCCGTCTCCGATTTGACATCGAGGTTGTCAATACCCTCGGTTAGCTTTATCAGAGGAGAGTCGAAGAAACCACCTGAACGACGTCCTTGTTCAAAGAAGGCCCCGACGGTTATCCTAGCTTTCGGGTTCGCATTCACAAGCCTCTTGTAACCTACGTGCATAGTCGGCGGAATGCCTTTGGTCTGTCCTGCCGGGTATTGTCCTGAGAAATCGCCATTGAATACTTCATAGATGGTGGTGCCAAAATTGTAGGAATCGACAGCAGAGTGTGGGCTCTTCTTGATGGCGTCCCAGCCGGACTGCGCCAGCTCAGGGGGTGTAAACCTGCTCGAATCGGGTACCAAGCTACCGTATGTGTATATTATGGCGTCGTCATCTTTGACGTTGCTGAGGACTTCAAACCCACCAAGTTTCCACTCGCCGCTCTCGGACGTGTAGATGGACGCGACCCTCAGACTGCCATGTATGGACGACCCTTCCTCGTTGATAAATTTGACGGTGCGCGCGATGCTGTACAGGCCCCATTTTATTGTCTCCGGGTTCAAGCTCTTCCTCTTGACATGCCACCGGAGGGGTACAAGGCGCTCGGTCGCGATATATATGTAGGAATCGGTCTCGACGGCGTCTAAGACCTTTATAACGCCAGGGTGACGCATCGTGCGAAGCTTTTTGAGTGCATTCTTGGCTAACGGTAACCGTGACTTGTTGGCGGTGACGTCGAAGGAGAAAATGCTGCAGTTGGACCCGTCGGCGCGCCGTGTGCCGTTGTAGAGTGTCCAGATGGAAGAATCGATATCGACCTTGTCGCCAAAAGAATAAGGGAATGGTGGCCCCTGGGCGGCGATAGCCGAGGCCACTGCGGACTTGAGAAAATCCATATCAGTGTATCTAAAGCATCCGTAGGTGTCTAAGAGTAGTCGTAACTGGAATGTGGATATGTAGAGTGTAGGCGGAAAAGGTGTCGTGATAGTATGATGTGGTTTGTAGATAACTAAATAAGAAATAAGTAGCTCGGGACATGTTATGAGCTTATATCAATCTGTAGATACCTACCTGGCCAAATCGACCCCTCCACCCACCAGACACCCACCTATGCTTTGGCGTGGTGATCCCTACTAGCTCCACAAGATAGGCTCTGCTAGTGCGAGCCTCAGTGGTATACTATGTAGGTACTGTCCCGTTAGCATCTGTTGCTGGTACTTAAGTACTTCCAAGCTGTCACAAGCAGATCTAGTGTACAGCAAAGTGGCTGGCAATATCGTCTATTCGTGACCGTGCCGCTATGCAGGGGATTACAAGATTATATAATAGCTTACTATGAAGCAATTCAAGGCCATTAGAATAGTTACAATACCATATCATGCTGATGGTATCTTAAATCCACCGGTCCTCGTCTTCCAGAAGCCATTTGGATCAACTTCAGCCTGCACTCTTCGCGCGAGCGCCAGCTTCTCCGGCTTCAACCTACCAAAGTAGTCTTGCGGGTAGAAACAGTCGTTCTGGAATAGCGGTAGGTAAACATCCTTGGCCAGTAGTCCACTGTCCTGGCAATCCTCAACGATCGTCTTGAACCCATCGTACGTCGCCCGCATGGTCTCGTCGATTTTGGGATACGCAGCGTTACCCCAGAAACTGTAGTCCAGTTCAAGCACAATGCGGTCGATGTCGTCGTCCACATCGAGCATGTCGCCGCCCTTGGCTCTGGCGATTGCGCCAAGCTTCTTGGGCAGAGGCTGGAAGGCAACACTTGCAATCAGCCCAGGAACGAGCTGCGCCGTATTGCTTACGTTGACCCAGTGGTCGAATATCTTGCCCATCACTTCTGCACCGTTCTCTTCGCTAGGTAGAGGCATGGTCTCTGTGCCAATTGTATCTATGAGGTTCGGTCAGTGATTGCTAGTACGAACTGCGTCTAGGTGTCGAAATCCCAAAATCCACCACCCGGGCTTTGCCTAGATTGAAAAGGGGCTACTCGTCTCTCAAGGTGATTAGAGAGAAGAATCGATATAGGATGACTTACAGACGCTGCCTTTAACGATTGCCCAGTTGTTACCACTGAGGAGACTATGAATGCTCTGTGTCTTGCATGTGTTGATCTTGAAATCGCTAATGGCGAAGAACTTGTCAAAAACACCTTTAGGTGGCTCTGGGCCATTATAGTACAGGAAGATGACCCAGATGTCGACGAGTGTGGCGAGTGTTCGCTCGGCTGTCACAATGATACCGGCCTTGTCGTCGTCATAGTGTTCTGTGAAATCTCGAACTGCCGCAAGAATCTTTGTGCTGGTCTCTGACTTCGCGTCGAAGACGAGATTGCCTCCCCAGATATCGCCAATGGGATATGCTTGCAGCAAATAAGATGTGACTATTCCGTAGTTGTTGCCGCCACCCTTGAGGGCCATGAAGAGGTCAGGGTAGTTGTTCTCTGTTACATAGACGACAGATGCGTTCGCTAGCACTAGCTCGTATTCCAGTATCGAGTTGGCAGCCCAACCGTACTCGGTACTCATGAAGCTCAAGCCACCTGTGAATCTTATTGTGAGTTGAATGCTCGCATGAAAGTCGGTGAACAGGCTCACCCCCTAGCAGATATCCACCGACGCCAACGTTACCAATTCGTCCACCAACGACCGTGTATCCGGAGCCGTCAAGCGCCTTTGTGACCTCATCCCACCTGTTTCCAGGTCCTACCCTGACTGTTTCTGCCGTGGGATCCAAAATAACTTGGTTCAGCATCTTTGTGGAGATGAGAGGCCCGCCATCGACACTTGCAAAGTAGTTGTTAGGGTTGTGGCCACCCGACTTGACTGCGAAGGTCTCGTTATTCTTCGCTAGAATAGAAACAATGGCCGCCACCTCATGAGCTGTCGTGGGCATTAGAATGCACGATGGCTTCAGGTCACCACATGACGTCGACCAGTACTCGGACTGCTCCGCTGTGTACTTGATTTGCGGATTCTTGTATGACTCGATGGAGGTTTGGCTTTGTACCAAATCACATGTGCTCTGAGCCGCAACTACTGCAGCCAGACCGATCACGGCCACAGCGAGGTCTCTCCGCATGGTGGAGAAGATCATCGTTTCTTCCCGACGGTTTCAAAGTAGGTGACGGGATCCGTGGGTTGCCAACCATCCTGAATACCCAGACCATCACGGGATCCTGTTCGAATTATATAGTGTAGGTATCTTCACTCTGAATGGGGCTATGCCCAGGGCATTCAGCTCGACCTCGGCTTAGGGCAGTATCCTTATGGATAGCAATCTTAAAACAGGAAATATCTGCATGCCTTCCAAGGCCCAATCCCGGTCAAACGGTCACAACGCCAACGCACCACAACGTGGAAGGGTTGCTGTCAACATGCATGTCACGCTATCTAACGGCCAGTAGCCTTACAATATTTCGACGTGTTCGGTAGCGATGCTGAAATTTAATGAGACCAGACCATCATACATAGTAGGCACGCAAGCATCAACGGTCAATGGGACCACTACGGGGCAGCGCACCGCGGATGCGATGAGTTATTCCCACATCGACTAATTAGTCCGTTTGAAGGCGCTGTACTACGTGTAGTGGGCATAATATCACCAATAGGAAGTGCTAAGTTTTTAGGAGTCCTTATTCAGCCGTTAATTTTTTACCTTTCAACAAGGACATATAAATGTCTTCGTTGAATTACGATCCCAGTAAGTCCAGGTGAGCATCTTCGATCCCAATACTTCTTCAAAGCACGTGGGCGTCTTCGCGTTTTCCCACACTCTGTAGCTTGAGGGAAATGTACTTCTTCGAATTTTGAGGTTTACAATAGATTTAGCCCGTGTTTAGAATAAGTATGGGTCGGTAAAATAGAGCTGCATATCTCCAGGGTAAGGTTATCAGGATCTCTAGCATAACTATTGGCACGGGCCCCTTGCGTGCACCATCTGGGTATGATATCGCGTGTACACTAGTGCAGTATAGTGTATATCCAACGGCATGACGATCTGCCGCTCTGACTATGCACAAGGCCATTGATATACTTACTTCGTTCGTCCTTGCTGTTGGTGTAAGTATGTTTATACTATACGGGAAGACCTCAATCTGGCTACATTGTAATCAGTGCAATCTTGAAGGGTGCGAAAGGCCTCTCGGTTCGTGAGCCGAGAGAGATAGATTATTGGTGGACTTTTGTCTTATACCCCTACATTAAGGCTTAAACGGGGGTGTAATCCGTCACCGCTTCCTTGAATATTTATATAGAAAAGATGGGAATAGAACATATAATTTTTATACGTGTAAAGCCACCACGGATGTACGATGACGTAGATGCGATCCAAAAGCTGGATTACGACCTTCTTTGGTGGTAGTCGTAACTGAAAGTAGCATTGTGGTGCGGTGGGTGACATTCGTCCGTGCGGACTTATGCACTTCGGAATCCTTCCCTTGAACGTGCTAGAATAGTGATGAAGATGCAAGGACACTATACACAACATTCAGCTCAATGATGATCGCACGGAAAGGGAGAGCAACTTAGGTAAACCACCCGGGCGGAACCCCGGGCAGTCAGACAGGTTATAACGGAAAGGTGTTAAGCGAGGCAAGGATTGTTTTGCTTCCGGAACAGCGCGGTTAATTACACACCAGTCTATCACCTAATTCGTACACTATTCTACCCTAGACCTCGCTTGCGAACCAGGTATCCATGGTTTCCTTTATATCAGTTTGAGAACACTGCCAAGTAATCACTCTCTTTTCTATACCGGGAAACCTGTACGAGATTATCTTCATGGCCGGGTGGTGAATCCGGATTGAGCTGTCTAGCTGTCTGTCGATTCGTCTATGATCGGCTGCCCATACCCGCTACTCAAGATTGGGGGCCGCGAGGCCCAAACCACGTCATTACGTCTTGATGACCTTTGTTCCCTCGGCGGGCTCCAGCAATTTCCATCGACAGTCAATATTCTCCTTACGGAACCTGGCTATTATCCTCTCTGCAATCTCCTCAAAGTTGGATGTCGCTAGTGCGAGGATCGTGGGACCCGCACCCGAGAGACACACGCCAAGCAGACCTTTCTGGGTAGCCGGGGTCATGGAATCAACTATCTCTTGCAAGCCCGGAATGAGGGTTTGCCGGTATTGCTGGTGGAGTTTATCCTGCATGGCTAGGTTGATGAGTTCCGGGTCTGGCGGTGATTGTCCCAGGGCCACGGGGAGCAGAGCGATCCGCTGCATATTGAACACCTAGCGGGATGAGATTGTTAGAACATATATATACACGTTGCCACATGCGCGAGAGACGTTCACACGCAGAAGCACTTACGACGTCATGTATAGGATATAATCTTGGCAGCACTTCACGTGCTTTCGCAGTGGCCACCTCGAAATTAGGAATGATAGCGACGGCCTTGATCTCTTTCGCCCACGGGAACTTGATGTGGTGTCCAATTCCAAAAGGTGGCTCTGGCGGTCGCTCCCCTGTGTCGACGCCCCCAGCTGGTGATGGCAGGACCTCGCTCAGCGGGATTTCGACACGAGCAACGTCCTCTGGTGCTAGGGGCTTGAGATAGGTTCCCACGAAGCCGCCAAATAGAGCAGCGCCAACATTATCGGGATGTCGTTCTAAAATTTCGGTGTTAGCTTCCGCAATGTAAGCGACAGAAAGATCAGCCCGTACCTATCATCAAGCAGAAATCGAATAAACGGCTGTCGTCAAGCTGGTCAAGACCACCAACCACCTTGCCAAGCATCACGCCAGCTACAACAGCGGCTCCCGATGAGCCTAGACCGCGGCCAAGCGGAATGGGGTTGACGATGTGCACATGTGTCTCGACGGGGAAGGTCCGTTGATCGTGGCATCGCAAAACGTATAACGCGGCCCGCGTGATGAGATTCTCAGATGGATTCAAAGGTATCTCGCCAGGCTCATCACCCTCTCCTTCGTACGTTACCCTGCAATTTAGAGGATGCTCCGACGAAGATTTGCTCCGGTCAATAGTGACCTGGAGCTCGAGGTATACGGACAAGGCCAGACCTATGACATCGAAACCGGGGCCAATGTTGGCAGACGAGCACGGAGTCCGGATGGTGAAAGACTCCATGGTGAATAGTTATGAAGTCGCCACGTTACAAGTGGTCGTCTCATATACAATTGAGCTGATAGGGCTGAAGACGTTCCACTTCAATTGAGTCCGTGGTTGCGTGGATGCTTGGCTCTACTCAGTTTAGTGATCTCGTCTTCGAACCGTTAAACTGCTCAGAAGTAGTTGAAAATACGATGACAATCGTTAACAAGACGGCGAAACACTCACTTGAGCCTCAAGCCCAGACTTCCCATTTCCCTTAACGTTGATGGTACAGGTGACTGACTAAACACTAAATACGTACCGGTACTACTTATATGAATGACGCGGATTTTCTGTCCCCGCCCGATTCCGGAGCAAGGCCGCTGTGGGGACCCGTCCGATCTAGGTAGCCGACCTGGCCACTGCTGGTGGGGGGTGCCTTCTTGCCCTAATCAGGCATTGCCAAGCGCTGTAATTGGCTGTCCACGGGCCAAGTCACTTGGGCCTTCGCTGCCTGTATCCAAACCTTGGAAATACCGGTCGGTATCTTACGTGGTATGTGTAAGACAACCTAGATTACATGTAATATTAAAACAATTCTTGAAGTACGAGAAGTATAATTGAACGGGAATGAGGTGCTTCAAGCGACAATGAATGTAAAAAGAAGGAGAGTAGTGGGCGTCGCATTTACATACCTTTCATTGGTGCTGGGCTACGTATATACCTACCTCCTATCCGTCATGACCTGTATAGGCCATTAGACAGGTGTACTCACGATGTAGTCTTGAACAAGATGAAATGCTTGGTCTTCGGTTATGATTTAACGATAAAGTTCTTCCCATGTTTGTCGGCTACAGCAGAGACATGGCTAACAGTCAATTTTGAGGAAACATACTCTCGGAATCACCCGAGAAGTTTGCTATCATCACGCTGAACAGGATACCTATATGAGCCGAGACTGATTACCTACTAAATATGTGATAGCTATGTACTGCGGATATTGCCGTGCGACATAAGAAACAAAGAACAACCCTTTCGTTCCCGTTCACGGACACCCAACTATCCAATCGGTCATATTGCTCTAGCTTCAGCCCACTCATTCGTCGTTTATATCACATTAACCTATCTGCGTAGTAAGCCCGCATATGCGAGCTACCTCAAGTGGTCTTGAAATGGAGAATGTGAACCATCTTCATCACACGGCAATGCGCGGATTGTGAATAACTCCATGGGAAAGTAACAGCGCGTAACCTAGGCAGTTAGCTATATATTCAAAACCCGATCCGCATCAGCACGTCAAGATTGAAAAGCAGAGCCCGGGCCGGCGCTGACATGATAGGGCTGCCACCAATCCATCACAGCCCATCAAATGACGTGGCTAGATGGAATGGAACGAAAGTGGATGGCAGCAATCAATGGAGCGTAACGTCGAGGCCGCCGGTCAAGGGGAGCCAGATAGTCAGTACATTGATCATACTGTAAGACAAGATACCGAAAAGAGAACCCACGTGACAGAGAGATGGGGTTGCAAATACGACGATGCGCATATAAGCTGTAAAACGTGCTGAGACGTGATTGCGTATAATTGAGGCTGAGCCTTTTTTTTCTTCTTCTTCTTTTTTTAACTAGTGGTTTCCTTCCTTATCCGCTCGTATATATCGTTAATACAGAAAACTGGCGAGTCTGTGAGTAGCGCATACCTACGCGCGTCTAGGTGTCATTCACTATGCATTGAATCACCATAGGAGGCCGTCGTCTTACACCAAGGATATTTTCTACCGGCACTCACTTAATCAAATAGCTACCTAGCTACATCACTCCGCCTCCATGTAAAGCGATGTAACAAGTCTTGTTACGCCGACGGGTCACGGGGATTTCATGCAAACATGCCAGAGCCCTTATAGGAGATTGTCAAGTAACAGGTACGACGCAGCTACTATTCACACCCAGGAAAGGCCGATGAATGAGCACGCAACGGCTCGCAAACTATACAACTCTTCATGGCATGTCCAGGCCGTTGAATTATCTATGCTAATGCTCCGCTATATTCCACTGCGCTGTGTCAGTGTCAAGTGCGTGTCGCCACACAACAAAACAGAATCTGCGTCCGTTCAGTTTTCCCATATTCTCCCATCTAATCCATGCATAGGAATCAAGTCGCGAAAACAATAGAGTGTGATAGCAGGCCTCGTCTAGGTGCCCAGACAAGGCTTTATTGGTGTGAAATCCCAGCATAGAGGATTTGTAGCGATCACTCGCGTCCCTCGTTAACTCCTTGACAAAATATACTAGGTCTGTTTCTTTTCCCATATATGCATCGGACCTTCTGATCTTGCACTCATCAAAGTCGTCCAACTCGGTAATTGCAACAGTTGAAGGAAAAACATAATACGTTTGAAATAGTCGAGTAAAGTAAATAAGGGGTACAAAGGCCGCGCCTGAGCTTGATAGAGCCTTCTCTATATCTTGGAATAACACACATAGTAGTATATAGCTAAGGTATTTGTACAATGGGCTGCGATTAGGAAATATTTGGGGTATCTTTAAGATTGCAAAGGAACGAGAGGATGAAGTGGAGTAGCGGATATCCATACGCCGCCACTCATTAGTGTAAAATCGATTTTATTTCCGCGGGGTTACCAGCCGCGACAGTGTAGCGGGGAACATCCTGAGATGATTGTTAGTAGAGAACGCTACGGAGAACAACAACGGCAGTACAATTTGGTGCTTACCTTAACGACTACCGCTCCGGCAGAGACTGTAGCACCCCTACCGATTCGGATACCGTGCTGTATGATGGCGCCAGCCCCAATCCATACATCCTCGTCGATAATGATATGTCCGCCTATTTGAGGGCTCTTGCTGCCCGCTCGTCTCTTAGGATCAGTGAAGGTAGTAGCCCCAAGGAGGGTGACGTTGGGGCCAATAATACAGTTATCTCCAATTGTGATCTCCACGGGATCAAGAATCGTACAGTTCCGGCCGATCATAACGTTGTTACCAATCGTAATGTTGTATCCGTAATCGCAAGTAAATGGCGCCTCGACTACCACTTCTGATCCAACACGACCGGCTCTGATAGCAGAAGAGACTATCTGGGGTGAGAGATTGATGGGTTCGCGAGGGTTGAGAATATCTCGGAAAAGGCGAGACCGCTCCGTTGCCGATACGCCGGTATTCGGATTTGTTGAGTTGTTGAATCGCCAGCAAGCAGCACTGCACCTTTGGCGTTCTAACACCAACTCCTCATCAAACGGGTAATACTCTCTACCCAAAAGCATTTCCTCCTTTTGTGTCCTGGGCTTACTGCTGTTAGAAGGGTACTGTGTGTGAGACAAGGCGAGCTGTGCTGCAATCTGTGGATCAGTACTTGACGGCGGAGGTTGGGAACTGGAAGCAGCTGTGGAAGTCGGTTCCAATATGTTCATTTGGGGCAATGACCCGGGACGAGGCGTCTCAGGTCGATTGTTGTCGGGATCAGTCCGAGTAATGTCATGCAGTGGTGGCACTCTCGGATATTCTCGAGGGCGCTCAATATTTGGTGTCTTCAGCTGCTGTATGCTAGGAGTGATGGCGCTTATCGGCGTTGGAAACATGTTTGCAGCACTGGAGTACGATGAAAAGGCAGACGCTTTGTTATCCGGACTTAGCACTGAGCTAGCAACCGAGGCCGTCGGAATAGTCGAAGCAGTCGGTCTGTCATCATCGGTCAGGACGGAACGTGCCTGTGAAGTCTCAAGTCGAAGATATGGACCACGATAAGATGAAACGGAGTCGCGCTTGGAAGCAGGCGCAGCTGGAGGATTGGGATAGTTGTTAGGTTGAGGCATTCCATACGCCCCAGGGGGAACGTAACTTGGATCCTTCGATTCAAGTGGAACGGCTGCAGGTTTATTTTCCATCCGTGGTGGCCCTCGCTGATTAGGATATCCATAACACACGAACCCGCCACGAACACAATTGGTACCTACTCATGATCAGTAAAGAATGCTTTTTTTCAAGTTATCAGTATCATGGGGACGTACACTCAGGCTTCGACTCGTCACACTTCTTCTTCCTTTTTCGACATGTCAAGCAGCCTTGGAAAAGGTTAGCAAAACCCAAAACGCACGAGCGAATCAATAAGACTTGTACTTGCCAGTTTTGGTTCTATTACTGAAGTTCCGCTTTCGCTTTTTAGGGTCTGACTGAATTACGGGGTCCCTCGACTGATCTTGTGAATAGGAACCACCATAGAGCATGGAACTCTCATCACCATCGGGGCTCGTAGCTGGATAATCATGCCCTGAGTCTGCATGACTAACTACTCTTCGAAGGCTATCACCAGCTTGGTCGTCGGCCTGTGTGGGAACAGACCCTGTGGGGTCTCTTGACTCGTACAAATTTCGATCATCTCGAGACTGCTGCTGCGAGTACCATGAATCGCCATGCTCCCTTTGGTCCTCCCCATAATGCCTATAATCTCGCTCTCGAGGATGGGTGTCGTATGCGCCTCTTGATTCTGCCTGAGGCCGCTGATCCTGGTCCTTTACATTTGGTGCTTCACGTGATCGTTCAACTGAAGCTGATCTTTTGCGCTTGTGCGTCCCATCGACCTCAGGATAGCCTTTCGACTGGTAATGCGACCGCTCTAAACCAGAACCGGGGCTTTTTGCAGCCTGTGTCACGGAAGAGTCTCCGGTATTGGTCTCTTGGCCAACGCTTTGAACAGCAGCACGATCTTCCGAGCCAGCATGCCTCGTTATCGGACTCCCGCTTACTCCTTCCGAGGTCTTGGTTTCCCCTCCATTCAACGCCGTGAAAGTTGACATCGTACGTCCAGTGATGTTGTCGCCCCAGCGTCCTCTAGTTGGGTGCGTAAAAATCCAATCGTTAGCGAGACTTCCGAACGCCGGTGGAGCCTTGCTTTGAACAATACGCCAGGAATTATTCCCAAAGGCATTCGAGGTGCGTGGCTTAGTTATTACAAAGTTTCGCGCGTCTTCTTACGTAGGGAAACCCTTGAGGTACGGTTTGCGCAGTGATTGTTCAAGGCAAGCTGAGGCCACGGCAAGGAGTCAGGCAAATCAGTGCCGGACGCCTTAGATATACCGGAAGCAGTCCCCGCGATGACTCAAAGGATAGAGTTCAAATAGTGTTAAAGAGGGACGAAGACGTGACGTCCGTTAAGATGAGAGAATGGGGGCTAGAATGAATGCGCGCGCGCATGGGACGAGTGCTGCAGGTAGGAATCTCACCCGTAGGAGGAGGATGCGCGGGGGATTATGAAAAGCGGGAGTGAACGAGCCGCTTTTTTTTGTTACCTTCTCAATGACCCGCGTAATACGACGTGGGTATGCCAGGCTGGGGCTGGCTGGCTAGTGGGTTGGCGATGTGCCTGGGAGACGCAGAACGGACCGGTGCAGCGAATTGTTGCGGTGTGGTATGATGTTGGTGGTGTAAGCACACGCGCAACTTGCGCCCAACAATTTGTCCCAACTCTGACGACTTTGTCTGCCTAGGTGACAGACGGGATGGCCAGGGTTGGACAGGACAGCTGTATCGGAGCTCGCCCCAGGAGCCGGAAATATCACTAGCCAAATAGGACGAAGGGTAAGTGATCTCTGGTGTAGCGCAGTCCACGACGACGACGACGACGACGGGAAACGGGTAACGAGCGGACAAGACGAGTGAGGGAACAGGTGAGTCAGTCTAGGAATGTGCAACAGCTCGCTGCAAGGAGGTGTGCGACAAAAATGCGACGGGTAGAAGGGGGAATACGGGAATACGTCAGGGCGCCAGAGTGTAGAGACGAACCCGCGCTTGGTGATTTGACGCGCGATTAACTGGAGGGTTGGCAGCGTCTGTTGAAGCGAACGGTGTCCCCGAAGGCAGACCAGAGCCGTTTCTCCGCTCTAGCTCTAGCTCGAGGCTCTACTGTAGGTCTAGGACAATGACAACAACAAGCCGCTAGGTTGACAGATATATGTACAGTACGGACGGCGGCTCCAGAGCCGACAGCAGTGACAGACAGTGGGTCGTATATATGGCGACAATGCCGGCGTCGCTCGACGAGCGTCACAGGGGTGGGATAACTGGGTATTAAGAGAAGAAGGAGGAGAAGAAGGCGCCGAAGGAGTGCTGACAAGCAGACAAGCAAGCAGTCCCGCCAAAAAAAAAAAAAAAAAAAAAAAAAAAAAAAAAAAAAAAGAGGCGGTGGTGACAGCTTCGTTAGGGCGTTCCGTCAGTCAGTCAGTAAGTCAGTCAGTCCAGTCGTATGGGATGCGAGGAAGTAGGCAAGAGGTATGAAGTAGGTATGTAGGTAGGTATTTCCCAAGTACCTACCAGTAGGGACCATCTGCTGTATGTAGGTACTACTGTATGTATGTACCTATGTATGTAAGTAATTACTCAGTTAGGTAGGTCTCTTGTAGGTAAGATGAGGAAACTGGGGATGCACAGGTCGAGCGGCTGCGGCAGCAATAATGCAGGGCGGGAACCGATGCAAGGGTACCTACGGATGGGTTATGGGCTGAGTGGCCTACATGTACCTACCTACCTACTTAGGTACATGTAGGTAGTACCTACTGTAGGAAGGTTACTTAGTTGCATTAGTTGCTTTAGGTGCTTTAGGTGCCTAGCCAGGTTAGCGCAGTGCCACCAACAGGTACCTACCTACTGTTTACTGGACAGGTACCCAGTGAAGTGCAGGTAGCTACCTCTCCCACCTACGACAATATGCCTTATAACGAGACCTACGAAAGGAGTGAAGTAACCCCTAATAAGATACCTAAGGTAGGTAAGTATGTAGGTAGCGTTATTCAATGGTGTACAGGTACAAGAGTTATCAATTAGTAAAACTGTGGACAAACCAAGCGGTGGTAATATCACTTGGCAAAACTAACACGCACATCTAAGACAAATAGGTAGACGACGTGCACAGAGAAAGCCCAAACGACTGGTGGTGGTGGTGTGTGCGTGCTTCCTCAATACTTCTTGGACTGGATGAGATCGACGAACCCTAGACCGGATCAAGGTCCAATTGCGGGCGGCATGGCGCTTGAGAAGGGGGGCCGTCCAGGCACAAGTCGCTAAAGTACGGCCGGGATGTGTGACCGGGGGGAGAAGGAGCTCGAAGAGGGAAGGGTGGGCATGGAATAAATTAAAAGAACGTGAACCTGACGGCGAGAGCTTCCATAAGCGGCTTCTCTTTGCGCTGGTTCTTTTGTTATTTTTATAAGTTCCAATCCTTCATGTGCTGCCGTTGTCTAGACATCTACTGACACAGCTCATTAGTGATGGTGGTCGGCTTGGGGAGAATGCAGACAGACGTACGTACAAGCACGGACAAGTCGAGGCAGACTTCATGGTGATGATCATGGTGGTCATGGTAGTCAAAGACCGGACTACTATCTGGAGGCCGAATACTAAGTACCTTGGGTGAATTGAATCTAGCCATCTAGCCTAGGAAACATCTACCTAGCCTGAAATGTCCCTAGGCTATCTGCAATGTATTGGACATTGTGCCTATTCACACCCATCCAAGACTGACGAGAGAGAGCGTGAGAATTGGGAACTTTGAAGCCTTCAACAGGGGCTATCAGACATGGTAGTATTCCGCACGACGCCGCAGATACCGCACGGTCCATCCACATGTTCCGCAGGTCGGCCAATTGTATACTTGCACCTGCATGCATGTACTATATTCTCGAGGGTGTGCTCTGGGTGTGGTGGTGGTGTTGCGAGTCGTCTTCTTCATTTCTATACCCATTTCTATACCTCCTGCGGCCAGGTGGTTGCATGAGATGTAGGTACTGCTCGCCATGCCCATCATCATCATCATCACCATCACCGTACATACATATACCTACACTAACACTACCTACATCCATACTTACCTATACATTGCCGACATACTTGTATCCAATAGCTACTAACCTGGGATCGGTCGTTGAGATACATACATCACTATACACTTCCTTTCTCCTTCACCAGCCGTTACGTTACCACTCAACATCGCAATCCAGTCTTCATTATTACACCTCCATGCCATAGTATACTATGTATACTATGCACCCTTACTTATACATACTACTGCACGCCTTGTACACCTACTGCTAGGGAAGCTAGGCTACTCGAGTATGATGAGGTGGGGTGATGGCACTCCTGTAATGCGGTCGTACTTGAAGAGTGTTTAATTGTTGATTCATTCCCATTTCTGTCAAGCAACCGAATTAAAATGAGCTTTGCTCGTCACTCACTGTCTATTACCAAAGGAATACAGCACGGGTTAGCTGTACGATGACCGTCATTAGCCCAAATGTGAGACGTGGTAGGCTGTGATCCCCTCGTGACATCGACTCCAAGATGGGGAAACGAGCCACGATATGACATAGCCTGTGCCTCCTCAACTCGGAGCTGATAAGGAACGAAACTAAGCCAAACCAAACCAAACGAAACAGGCCGCCCAGGCAGTTCCCAGGCATTTCCCAGGCACTGAGTGCGACGGCGGCAGTACGTAACGGATCGACGAACGCTCCAAGCATCAGACTGCCCAATGAAGTGGTCTCCGGCTCCTGCCGCTGTCCCAAAGAGTAGGTAAGGCCCTATTGTCACTCATTCTTACCGGTGAGACCCCCCTCCCCTTCTATGGTAGCGTTGCACTGGAATGTAGCTGCGATGCCGACGACGCGCTGCCCCATTCGCTACCCAGTTTCAACTCAAACCCTTTTCCAAGCCCAACAGGCGCAACTGTCCTCGGAGAACTGCTCGGAGCGCTTCTCGGCCCGGAGAAAGTTTGTTTAACGCTCCGAACCGGTACCCTAACAACGAACAACGAACTTCAATCCAGGCCAGAAACAAGGCGGCCGCGCTACGTGGCTACGTTAATGCTTCGGGTGTCCAATGATCTTCTTGTGCTGGTTACAACTAAGCCTGGAATTCGTCTAGGCCTTGTAGCCCAACGAGATCAGCGAGTCCATTTTCTATCGGTTTCAACCATGGTAGCTTGATGAATGACGTACACTGCAGCGATTTACCCCCTACTAGTTGATCACGGTTCATGGAGCATGTCTGTGGTTCTTTTGTCTTCTCCTCCTACCGAGTAGAGACCCACCTGTCCTGCTTACACTGCAAGCGTTGCCGACAGCTTCGCTGGAGTGTCTCGAGTGCGACCATTTTTTTTAGCTTAACCATGTCCATGGCCAATGGGGAGCAGGGGACAGGGATGTAAGTCTTGTGCAATTTGACGCGGGCGTGTGATGTCGAGTGTCCAGGGCGCTCGCAGATGGAGCATCCGCGTTGAGAAGCGACAAGCGTGCGTTTCCAACTAGGACCTAGTCGCTCCGGCGCATGCACCTATCCTTCTGTCACAATTGTCTCGAACGAGCAGAACGAGTATTTGGACGGATGCAGAGAGTGACCACGCTGTGACAGGACCAGGACCAGGACCATACCGTACGTACTACTCAAGGGCTCGCGCGTCTAGGTAGGTCTTTACACTCTAACCGAGCTACCTAGGGTGCCCTGGGTGTCAAGAGCAGTCCTAAAAATAGTCGTTGCGCTCCGATAGGCACGTTTGGGCATGAACATCGGCGTACTAAGTATGTACTCGATTTTACCGTAGCTGAACCAGCTCCGTTTCGCCACCGAAACGAAACGGGCAAGGGATCCCCCCGGTCAAGAAGAAGTATCAGAGTGTTAAATTTGGGCCGTAATAACCGTTACAAGCGACGCTGCCCTTCGCTAGACGCACGATCTGCCCATCTCATGTCTGTAATACCATTTTCAGATCTTGCTGCAGCACATACATCTGATCTAGCTGCCGTAAAAGGTGAGTGGCGAGAGTGGGTAACGGGTTGGTCGTCAGTTTGGCTGAGTCGCTTAAATACAACATGTTTCCCCCTCAAATACCCAATATAACATTGCATGGATCAACTTGCAGTAGGCAATAACTAATTTGTA